GAAGGTGGTGGTTGAAGGTGGTGGTTGAAGGTGGTGGTTGAAGGTGGTGGTTGAAGGTGGTGGTTGAAAAATGGTGGTTGAAGACGGGCAGTGAACCGTACGGGTGCACATGCTACGGTGATGTATGCTGCGTCAAGTGAGTAGTAGGAAGAACCGAAATGACAAGGACGCGGTGATAAAACGGCATGAAGGCAGATTCAGACGCTCAGTGGACGTCAGGGTGTCGGCTCACGCCAATATCAGGATGTATGGTGTGAGCGAGGGTGTGGATGTCCGTCATGCTTATTGTATGCCTATGCCGCAGTCACACCTGCAAATAGCCTCAATCCACCGGCTTCCAAGTCATCATCGCTGTCATGGTCATTTCCGTTCGCATGGCCCTTCCGCGAATCGCCATCTTCAGCTATCACGCCACCGAACAAGCTCCCAAAGAACTCCCTTCTCGCTTCCGTTGTCCACGTACTCCTATCTTCCGGTGCCATGAAATTCAACAGCTTTTCGTGCACCGTATACCGGATCTTGCGGCCTTTAGAGGCTTTCGTGTCGCGGTTGGACTTCACCCTAGGTGGCTTGATCCCGTTGATGGCTGGTGTCGAAGTTGGGGGCAGTGCAGATGAAATGGCTGCAGCATTGGTGCGCGAAGAGATTAGGGAGGTGAGCAACGATTGGTAGAACGGCGTGTCGTTGTATGTTGTCGGAGCAGGTTGGGCAGAAGTGGTTAGGTTGGAGAGATTGGTGGTGAGGTAACTGGAGAGGATGGAGGAGATTGTCGTATCATCTCCAGAAAGGGACAGTGCAGAGCGCACTGCGCCAGAGGAGGCACTTGTGCTGGTGTTAGGGCGAGTACGGGCATACCAGTGGTTGAGAGCGGACTGTCGAACTGGGAGGGCGGTCGACTCGAGGGATTGGGTCTGGCTGTAGAGGGCTGAAAGTGCTGTCGATGGGGATGGGTCCAGTGGTGAGATCTTCCGTTTCTTGCTCGAATGCTCTGATAATGCGGATTTTTGGCTGTGAGCAAGAATGTCGCAGCGGATGGAGTCGATGGTCGACCAGAGCGTCAGAGCGGCTTCTTGGGCTCTGGTTGCTGCGGACTCAATGTCATTGACTCCAAGATTGTTCTCTAACTGGTTCGAGGTCGTGAGGGCCTTCTGGAGCTTGATACGCGCGTCCAGTAGACGGTCGTGGGCGTCGTTCTGCTGCTGCACCGCTGCGCCCTTTCGAGCCTGATCGGTTGCTGATGACACAAGCGACGAGACTAATTTCGACTCCGCAGTTTTCCTCGAAAGTTGTGCTCTCATTCGATCTCTAGCTGTGATCGGAGCACGACTCGAAGGTGCCTCCTCGTCCATACTAGTGTCTGAGTCGTCCGAGTTGGTGTTGACCTCTTCGGACTCATCTTCGGACTCGACATCGCTCTCGACTGAAACATCATCGTCTGGAAGACCGACACCTTGGTCATTACTCGTGCCGTTGATGTCGTTCTCAATTTCTGAGTCTTCTGACACATCTTCCTCGTCATCCTCGTCCCTAGCAGCCCCCGAGTTGAGCCCAGCTTCCTCACCTCCGTCGACTGCGAACGGGTCTTCGTCCTCGCTATCCTCCACAGCCGCAAAAGGATCATCGTCCTCGTCCAGATCTGCTCGGCTGATGGCTACACCTCCGTATTTCGGGTCTAGTCGAGGTTGCTCTGGCTTTCGCAATTTGCTTTTCGACACTGCCTCGTAGTGCTCGCGACCGTCGTCATCCGCATCGTCTTCACTGCCTGCACTGCTGTCCTCCTCGTCTCGGTAGCGTGCTGGGTCGTCTTCGGGATCAATGTCTTGTGGTCGTTTCCGCTTCAACTTCTCTGCGCGTTTCTTGAGCGTCGACATGGTCTTATGCACCTTATGCCGTCTGTAGCTGCGAGGAATCGGGCGTAGAGAAATTTATGTGATGTCGCGCCGGCAACTTTTCCACGAAAGTTGGAGAAATCAAGTTCACTTCTAGTCAACCGGTCGTAGGTCTGTCTTGGCACTTTTACTGCCTCATTTCCGCTTCGGGACAGTGGTTCGACATATCGCGCTTCACGGACGACAAACATCAGCTTCACACCAGCCTCAATAACTCGGTCGCTGTTGCAGGCTCTGCGCAGTATCATGGAGCAGCACAAGTTCTCCGATACAGCGAAGACTTTGCTGCGGGATGTCAAGCCCTATCAGGGGTCGATGTTCCCCTCCTCCCACAGGTCCGCTACACCTCCTGGACTCTCCCTGCTTCCCTCCATCGACAATCCACTCAACAAAAAGCAAAAGAAAAGGGCTGAACTGGGGATAAAAAAAAAGAGGGTGTGTTTGTCTTTATATAGTCCATCGAGAAATGCTATATGCTAGTCAGTGTGCTCGGGGTTGGGACTAGGGTCAGGTAATGCTACGGAGGATCTGGGGATGTGGTTGTGCTAGCTGCTAGCTGGGTCAGTGTGCTCAGTGTGGTGACTTTGCTAGCGAGGGTTAGGGGTGACGCGATGTACGATGTGCATGAAATGCTATCAGTTTACAAGCAGGAACGACAGCAAAGCTGCTTCTGGGTACCTTGCAGATGCAGCAAATTGTCCACAACTCCGCGAGAGCATGAGTTGCTAGGCGATAAATCAGTCCCTAAAGTAATACCGCGGCTGTCTGTGTCTGCTACCGTTTCCGATCCTCAACAAAAAGCAAAAAAGATCATGATTGATGAGTGGGCTGAACTGGCTGTAGCTTGGTTAGACAGGAACCACAATAGATTGACACATGAGACTCACGGATTGAACTACTGCTGTCAGATGTGTTCAACACCACCGAGTTATAGATGCATACCCCAGGACTGAAGAACATTAGCTGAGCTGGTCATCGAGCCTGGGCGTTGCTGAAGCCTACCCTCTTACAACTCTGATACACTGCTTACGCAGAATCCCAAAGCAAGAATTCTACCACTGAACTATCCACTAGCGAGGAGTTAGCAACGATATATCTGGAATTGTTCACAGGAATACGTACGCCGTGTGTGCTCATTTTGCAGCAAAGTTTGAGCCCTAACGTGTATATACTATAAGCTATCAGAGCCCCAATAAGGCCTTCTCCAGCCCCTGGTTCGTGGGATGAAAAGATGCGCGGGATGTCTTTAGGGCAGCAACTTGGCCCCAGCCGCCTCGGCCCATAGTCCATTTGCAATACCTACAATGAATAGGTTGCCATGGACTGTAGTGTGATTTCGATCCTCTTGGACTTACAAGTCGTAGAATCAAAACTTCATCCGATCCTCTGCACCAGTTCATTATGCGGCAATGAGAAACGGATCTGGACGGCGGATTGGTGTATGACCACGATCTACAGATTTCTTGCTCTGGGGTTCTGCGCAAGCAGTGTATCAGAGTCTATCAGAGGTCCTTAGTTGAATCCCCGTTCAGCGCCTACTCCGCATCCAATCTTGCCGCCCTCTCCTGCTCGATCTTCCGATCCCGTCCCCGAACAATCCAGAACGTGACCGCCATCATTGCCACCGCGCCAGCCAACATACCTATACTTACACTGAAGCTCAACCTATAGCCCGGACCGTACCTCGTTTGATAGATCTGTGGCCCGACGATGCCCGCCAGTTGCGCACAAGCGTTGGTAATTCCAATCCCCAGACCCGCCCCCGTCGTGCCTTTCGCGGCGCGAATCCGCTCCGGCCACATCAGCGGATAGACACAGGACACACATGCCGTGGCCAGTGAGACGAATATATACTTGACCACAGGCTTCTTGACGGTGAGCAAGATCGCATAGCAAGCACAGATGACGACCTCAAGGCCAATACTAACGGACCAAGGACCCAGAGTGCCACGATGAATAAGCCAGCCAAAGAAGCACATAAACAAGCACCCGAATGTGTAGGTCGGCATAGTCATGAGTTGTGTCGTAGTGGACCCCTGCAGTCCGAGTTCGTAGATGACAGTCGGGAGGACGAGTGAGATGCCCCACCCTCCAATGGAGTGGCAGATCCAGAGCATGTTGAAGGAGTAAAAGGTCGGGTCAGTGACCAGCCCTCGAGCTTCGCTGAGATCCCAGGTTTTGGCAGTGCCGACAGGCTGGTTGGCGGGCAGGTCGGAAATGAGTGTTTGCTTTTCGGAATGGGACAGGAAAGAGGTAAGTTTGGACGTCTTGGTATCGGACGGGAAGTTTGGCAGTGTGAACCAGGCTACAATGCCAAGGAAAATGGCCGGGATGCCCTCGAGGATGAACATCCACTGCCAACCAGAGAGGCCATGGAGCTTGTTCATGTAGCTTATTGCATACGCCAGGAACCCAGATGCGGTGCCGCTAAAGACACCGAAGGAGTAGAAGACGGCGATCCTGAGTGGCAGCTTCTTCGCGGGATACCAGAAGGATAAGTGGTACAAAACGCCGGGATAGTATCTGTTGAAGCTGTCAGCAGATGAGCGCGGAAGGGTGTCTATTCCCTTACCCAGCTTCTGCGAGACCTAGGAAGAAGCGACAGGCTAGCATCCCGGAGTAGTTGGTAGTTGCGGCTTGACACATCGAGATGGCTCCCCATGTGATCATGATTCTGGACATCCAGACTCTTGGCGTGAAGCGCTTCAGGAGGAGCGTGGAAGGCGGCTCGAAGAACATATATGGGTAGGAGAAGATTGAGATGATCCAAGCCCATTGCGAGGAGGTGAGGTTGCCAAGCTGGATCTTGATGTTCTGTGGCGTCTTCGCATTCATGATGGCCGTGTTTGTTGCGTTGGTGGCATTGATCCGCATGAACAGGTACACCACGCAGTAGAAGGCAAGCAGTCGACGGTCGACCTTGCGACGGACGGCTCGCACAGCATCTTTGTCGGTCTCGTTGAGTGATGAGTCTTCCGTGACAGATACAGGAGAATCGTAGGACTGTAGCTCTTTGGCGATGGGTATCGTTGCCGGCTCGAAGGCAGCGCGGTGTCCATGCTGTTGATCGTTTGATGTCCACTCTCACGCCTGTTGTTACTCGAAGACAGCGGGCGCTAATCAATAGCTGAATCTCAGCGATGAGATATTTACCACAGACGTTGGACGAGAATCGCTGCCCTCGGCAAGCTATCCGGACAGACCCTTATACCACACTTATATACCAACATATCTGTGAGTACGTATGGCGGCATCGTCCCGGATGTCTACCGCCAGAAACTGTACCGGAGTCCACCTACCTTCACCCAACTATGCATGAGGTCCAGAAGAGCTCATACTGCCCACGCCGAACGGAGTAGACACGTGGTGGATCGTCACGCAATCCAAGCCAAAGTTGCGAATATCGAAGTCAATGGGCATGCTTTCCACGCTGGCTGCTGTCAAGACCAATGGTCGAGATGCCGACTATCTCGCGAACAGGAGTGTTGGCTTTTTCGCTGGAGTCCATCTACAACGCAGGGACGCGGCTCAAGCAAGCACGCCATGCTGACTATGCTGCTTTGACTCTCGGCATACAGTTGGTTGTTGTACGGAATCGTAAGCAGTGAAGTGTGATCAATTGGTGAAGAAAGCATGCACCGCTGCTCTTACCTGGCAGTCTGAGCACGCCTCCTCGCTTTGCATGTTCGCGGACCTGGAAGCCGCAGAGTATGGCGACTCGTTGAATGAGTTCCTGCTGCAGAGTCGAAGCAAAGCGAAGGAAGGCAAGAGCACGGTACGCGCTTGGAGAGGGTCGATCTGATCACGCAATGACACCCCTGTCAAAAGGACTACCCCACTCTTGCTCACTACCAACTCTACACCACTTTGACCTTCTAGCGACTCATGTGCGACGGCGATGGTGCGGGGGATGAGTACGATGACCGACCCGGAACTCGGCCGGCTTGGAGAATGAATTTTCAAGCAGAAGAGATGATATATCATGCGAGAGCCGAGAGCCGGCCAACGTCGCTATACTACACTGAAAGTCAATCATAACAACAACGAACACCCCCAGAAGCGATGGCCGCAGCAGTACAGAGCCCACCGGGCATCCCGTCTCGCCCAGTAGAGACATATGTCCAAGTACCAGAAACAAAACACTCTGGCGAGTTGGACTGGGCCGATCTTGTGACGCTTGATCTCTCACAATTTGATCAACCTGGTGGGAAGCAGAAGCTTGCAAATCAGCTCAAAGACGCTGTTCATCATGTCGGTCAGTAGCTTCCACAGCCCTCTACGGGATGTTGCCTCGCCTCGGCCCAACTGTCAACCAAATGCATCACGCATCAACAAACTGACCACGACCCTAGGCTTCTTCTACATCACCAACTTCGGACTCTCGCAAGCCGAGGTCGACGAGCAGTTCGCTATCGGCCGCGACATCTTCGCGCTCCCCATGGAGGAGAAGATGCAGCACCGAGCAGCCATGGAAAAAGGCCACTACTCCGGCTATCGATGGCTTGGTATGAGTGAAATCGTGCCTGGTCTAAAAGACAACGTCGAAATGTACAACCTCTTCAAGTTCAACGGGAAGCTCGAGCGATCCCACCCTGACGTGATCAACGACAACCGACCTACCATTGAGAAATTCCAGAAGCACATCGCTCAGGACACGGTCCAAAAACTGCTCACCCTCATCTCCATCGTCCTTGAGCTGCCCGAGGACTACCTGAGCCAGGGCCACAAGTGGGATGACGTCTCCGACTGCCACCTACGATACATGATTTATCGGGCACGTACCAAGGAGGAGAATGAGCGCGCTGGAGGCTTGTACTCGAAAGGCCATAGTGACTTTGGTAGCTTGACCCTACTCTTCCGCCAGCCGGTTGCGGCCTTGCAGGTACGAATGCCGGAAGGGGAGTGGAAGTGGGTGAAGCCTTACCCAGGATCCATCACAGTCAACATCGCCGATGTGCTGCAATTCTGGACAAATGGGTACCTGAAGTCGTCGATCCACCGCGTGTCTGTCCCACCTGAGGACCAGGCCAGTCAAGACCGCTTGGGGTTGCTATACTTCTTGAGGCCTTCCGAGGATCTTGAGCTGGACACTGTTGATAGTCCCCTGTTGAGGAGATTAGGATTGAAGGATGATTCTGCAGCTGGCCAGGGCAAGGGTATTAAGGCAGTCGATTGGGTCAGGGCCAGAGTCAAGGGCAACATGGACAAGCCAGAAGCGAAGGACAGTCGAGGTGATGGGAAGGCGGTCGTGGGCGGGTTGAGGGCTAAGTACTATGACTAAGAGCGTTCAATTCAAACAGCCTTCGCCCCCAAATGATATTCTAGGAACAGGATCAATTCTTTCACCCGCTGCTTCGTGCGATATACACTGAACAAATGTCGTCTAGATAGGGTATCAACATGGACAGGCAGCCGAAACCGAGGTCGATGGTAGCATCGCCTTCCATGGCGCTTTCTTCAAACAAAGGACGAAGCTCAGATGGCCAGAAGTACAGGAAGTCGCAAAACAGTTTCTGCCATTCCTGGAGTCTTCGTATCGGGAATATGTCGACGAAATGCAGGGTCTCGCTAATGGTGCCGGGCTTGATCTCGTTGAACGTGCGGACTGAGATCGCTTACGGTATGTTGAGCGATGGCTGCACTGCATTATCCTAGAAAACAGCACATGAGTCCTTCCTTGCGCAGAACTGGGATTGGAATTTTGAGCAGACCCCGAATATCATCCGTCTCACAATTGAGCAGAGTGGTAGGCCGAAGATTGATATGATGTCAGAGGGTGGAATCATAGGCAAGATAGGCTTGAATAGCAAGGGCGTGAGAGTCACCTTGAATGCGATTCAAGCACCAGGCGTATCGTACAATCGACTGCCCTGTCACCCGGCGCTGCGAACGGTGCTGAACAGCACTTCGAAAGATGCCGCCGCTGAAGCTCTTCGGAAGACAGGTGTTGCCTCTGCCCGCCATATCACTGTGGCCGATGCGGCAACTGGTGGCATTGGCTTCGAATGCACTGCTTAAGACATTGTCGAAATGCCCATGGAAAGTGAGGGTCAACTGAAGGGAAGTTGTACTCACTCCGATCACCTGGTCAAGAAGCACAAAATTGAGGGTACATTGTTCCTCAACGACTCACCATTCCAACTCGAACGTATTCAGGCCTTGATGAGAGACGTCGGAAGTTCATCTGTTCCGCAAATTACGGATATACTCAAGGACGAGAAGAACTTTCCATGCGCCATCAACAGATCGGTCGGAGAAAAGAGCACAAGCCAGACCTTGTTCTCGATCGTGATGGACTTGAAGCGAGGTTTTGCGAAGGTCAAGATGGGTCGGCCGACTGAAAGGGGCGAGGCTTTCGAGCTGAGGCCATAGAATTTGGAGGTACCTAGGTATCTTTCCTAGTGGATCATCGCCCTTACGACTTTCCCTTCTAATTTATGTACATTGCACCGCTCATTCCACCATTATTTTGAAAGTTGTCGCACTCAGTGTTTCGCCTTGTCGGCCTGCTCGGCTTCTTGCAAATACTTTCTGTGTGGTGTTAGCATGTCCACGTAGTTGTGATGAGTATTTCCCGTACTGAATGATATCCTCCTCGGCCTTGCTACTGACAACTGAGCGACTGTTTAAGCATACAGCGAAAGCTCCTGTACATCCTCATTGCTATCCCTGAATTTGGACTGACATATGAACAACCCGATAAACAGCTGGCAACAGTCACACCATGGCCACAACCACAACTCCGGCCTCTCATGGCCGCGAGGATCCAACATTCCGCAACTACTCCGCCGCGGCAGCACAGACGTACCTCAAGAATCGACGAGGGTACAGCGAGAACATCATCAACCTCGTCATCGACCAGCACAAGTCGACGGGAGGCTACTTTGACATACTGCTCGATGTTGGCTGTGGTCCTGGCCAGGCGACTAGAGCTCTAGCACCTCATTTCGAGCATGTCATCGGCGCGGATCCCGGTCAGAGCATGATCGAGACGGCAAAAGGTGTCGAAGGCCTCACCAAGAGTGGCGAGTCCATCACATACGAAGTATCCGGAGCCGAAAATCTCAGCAACCTCTCCGCTCTCAAGGAGTACTCCTCGCAAGGCCAAGAATGCGTCGACCTCATCACAGCAGCAACAGCAGCCCACTGGTTCGACATGCCCAGATTCTGGGCCCAATGCGCGAAAATCCTCAAACCCGGTGGCAGCGTCATCATCTGGGCGGGATCAGGCTATACCTGTAATCCCAACACCACTCCCAACGCTGCTAGACTGCATGATTTCTTGACTAAATTCGAGACCGAAATCCTGCAGCCCTACGAATTACCAGGAAACCGTCTAACTCGAGAGTTCTACGTCGATCTCGGAATGCCCTGGGAGATCCTGGCCAAAGACTCCGACACCTCCACCTCCACCTCCACACCCCTCGACGAACAAACCCGCACCGCCCTCCAATCCTTCCCAGAATCCCAATATAAACGCCACGAATTCAACAGAGACGGCTACGTGTCCCCTGGCCAACACTTCTTCAGCGGGGAGCGACGCGCCACATTCGAGCAGATCAAAGCCACGCTGGGCACCGCGAGTCCCGTGACGCGATGGAGGGAAGCGCATAGGGAACAGGTGGAGAAAGGGGAGGTGGAGGATATTATGGATATGTTGGTGAGGAGGATGGGGGAGATTATGGGGGAGGTTGACGAGGGGAAGGGACGGGATTGGATTGATTCGGGGGGTGGGTTGGTTGTCTTGGTCGTTAAGAAGATGGGGAAGTAATGATTGGATGAATGAATGATCCAATGATCTTGTTGAGTTGCGTTGTTATTGAAGTGTTGAACTCTGGACTCTGTGGCGGGTGGACGGTGGTCGTTGTGGGCAGGTGCAACTCGACGTATCGACTGGAAGGCGAGTAATGACTTTATCTTTCTACTTCGGATCCGAGATCTTTCGAGGAAAATGCTACAACGGCGAGACTTGTCTTTCTTGTCTTGTCGCGCTCCTTCGAATGCTTTGCGGATGAACCGATCGTTTGATGCAGCAGGCGAGCAGAAGCATATCCGGCCTGTGCTAGCCCTTGATCTGAGGAGCTTTGGCATACTTATTTTCGTATTCAGGCTGCCTCATCGTTCTGACAGCCCTGTTGCCTGGTAAGCGCGCACGTCAGTAGGTAAGTGGTTTCACAGCATCACGACAGTAATGAGATCTCAAGCTCAGCTGAGAGAACCTTACCTAGCCTGGCCTGGATGAGGTGAACTCTCCTCTTTTTCACTCCAGGTGTCCAGCATCCCAGCCTTGTGATTTCCACTATTTTCGCTCGCGAGAATCGTTCTTTCATCTGCGCATTCTAGTATCCTCAGGAGTTTGCTTGTCGACATTGCTCCCAAGGCGTTCAATATGTCTGCCGCAGAAATTCGACGCGGCGACTTCGTATATCGCGATACGCTGGTAAGTCAAACCATCTGCGCTGCGAGTAATTAAGATCCGCGGGCCGGGCTTTGCGTCCTGCAAGCAGGCTTGTTGCTGGCGTTGATCAACGAATGGCGAAGGCAAGAGTCTACGAGCTCGAACACCGCTCTGCCGTCTATTTTATGCTGCAACACTGACCAGTCATGCTGACACCTCTACCCCCTGATCGTGTAGTTCATCGACCTAGGTCAAGCAAAACGACATGCTCGCGCGTCAGAAAGCGAGCTTCGCCGACTGCTCCTTCCCAAAAGATCATCAGCTCCTGCCGACAAAGATCAGGTCGCCCATTACTACGAAGCACAGCTTCTGCACTATGGCCTTCCGCGCACCAAGGATAAGAACCTAGCCAAAGTCCGACTGACCCAGGCTCTCAATATGGGTAGTCTCAAATTACCAGCATGGGTCTCACAGACCGAGAAGGACATGAGGAAGGAGTGGCTTGCCGCTTTGAAGCGGGATAGCAAGGCAAGCGAGCCGAAGCCTGCTGCTGGAAGGAAGCGTAAGGCCGATGAGCATGACGAGAAGTCGAGTCCTATTGGTGCAGCACGGAAAGTCAAGGTCACGGTCGAGGTCGACTTGAACGATGTTGAGCAGTCGCCAGCCACTAAGGCAAGACCGAAGGCGAAAGCGACTTCTGCAAATGCCAGGACCAGCACCCCAGGGAAGCCGAGTACGACACCTTCAAGATCAGCAACGAGCCCGGTGAAGACTCAAGCTTCTCCCAAGCGGTACAACCCGGCTGATTACCACCTTGCCTCCTACTCCGACCACGGTAGCGATTCCGACAACGATTCGAACGACGTGCCGCCACCCGCATACGAATCTCATGACTTCGGTGCTCCCACATTTCCACCTTCCAGGAACGTCTCCCAGATCTCGGGCGCCTACAGCGTCAACACCGCGTCAGCAGCATACGAAGACTGCACCACCGCTGACTCCTTCGTCACTATCCGCCTGGATAAAAGCGATCCCTCTAGCCCAACGCTGTGGGGTATCCTGAGCCTTCCCGGTAAGCTACGCTGCGTCTTCATGTCCGAAGAACCTGCCTCGGCATGGAATGGATCCCAAGCATCTGTATTGTGGCGAGCTGAGGATCTCGAGACCGCAGAGGCAATGTTCCGGCGTGACTGTCGTGGCTGGGTGGAGTTCGATGTTGGCCGGGGCGAGATGGGAGCCATGTTCTGGGGCGCTCTTGATGGACAGGATCTGAGTGTAAGGGCTGGACTCACTGCTCGGGGCTATCATGGCGGTTCGTGGACGTTGCAAGGCATACGGGACGAATGGGGTGCCATGCGAGGCGGGCTTATGGCGGCGGTGAGGGTCTCAAGTCCAAATGTTGGTCCGGCTCTGTGTCTTGGACATTGATCGAGAAGGAGGGCATGGATGACTGGACCGAAGATAACGTGGCTTTGCCGCACCTTTGCTGGAGTGTGCAATTCCGAGTAGAGCTTCTCGATGTCGCACAGGCCAAGTGTAGGTCTTGTGGCCACAACAGAGGCGTCGGCGTGGTGCAACTTCCTCTGGAAATGAGCCTGCGTTAACCTCACTGACTCACACGAAAACTCAGGTGAATATCCCAGGCAGCAACCCATCATGAACCACATGACGAACAATGAAAACATTCTGATCAAGTCACTTAAGCGATCGTTCCGCGTCTGCCCCTGGTTTCTACTCTGCTGGAGAGGTATATAGTAGCGGTCTTGCCATCGACGTCTTCTTCTCCTTCAACCAGATCGATGCAAACGGCTGGGAAGATTGCCATGCCAAGATAACATCTGATGCTGTCTAGTGAGGCGAGGTTGATTTCTTGAGGGTCCCACTTGTAACAGCAGAATCGTACCATGAACTCGATGTGTCTGTAGTCGCAGATGATATTGCTGATTCTAGTTTCTCCTATCTCAGCTCTGCGGGACGATTGTATCAACGGGTGTGATCCAACGGAGTGATCTGTGGTAAGTGTGCGTCCCCGTTCGAGCATCTCATACGATCCGTCCACGTGGCTGCACACTTCTGGGTGCTCGCCTTTGGATCCTATGGCTACCTTCCGAGTTTGGTCTGACCACGTCAAGTTTGGTCATCCGGTCTTGTGTATGACCAGATCTTAAGGCCGTCTAAGTCCTCGATGTTGAACCGCATCCATGAATTTATTCCTGTTCCCTGCACGACCTTCATCTCACAACTCCTACACTGGCGGCCACAATGCAGGCATGCTCCGCCTACTCTTCTTCCTCACACTCACGCTCCTTGCCACCTTAGCCCATGCCACCGACTACCACGAGCGCCTAACCCTCAGCCCCCTCCCCCTAGGCACGCTCCTCGCATCCTTCGACTTCCGTAGTAACGAGTCCCAGAGGACCTACAACGCCCAGAACTTCCGCCTCTTCCCACGGTCACTAGCCCAGACTCTCCAACATGCGGACACAAAAGAGCTACACCTGAGATTCACCACCGGCCGCTGGGACGCCTCGGAATGGGGAGCCCGACCATGGGATGGGACACGGGAGGGCGGCACGGGGGTTGAGCTGTGGGCATGGATTGAGGCGGGGAGTGAAGAGGAGGCATTTGGGAAGTGGGCTGCTTTGACACAGGGACTCAGTGGGTTATTCTGCGCCAGTCTGAATTTCGTGGATGGTACGAGGACCACGAGGCCGGTCTTGACTTTCAGTCCGAAGGGAGAGCATGGAACCAGCGAACCTGGCGGCGGAGACGGATCAGGAGGCTCTACGTACTTCCTCCACGGCGTCCTTCCCGGCGAGGTAGTCTGCACAGAGAACCTTACACCCTTCCTCAAACTCCTGCCCTGCAAAGGCAAAGCCGGCATCTCCAGCCTCCTCGACGGGCACAAAGTCTTCGACGCCGACTGGCAATCCATGTCCATTGATGTCACTCCAAAATGCCCAACCGACCGCTCTGACTGCATCGTCGAAATCGCCCAAACGATCGATATGGTCCTGGACATCGAGCGCTCCAAACGGCCACGCGACAACCCCATCCCACGCCCCGTCCCCGATGACCAACTCGTCTGCGACGAAACGAAAGACTACCACTCCCACGACACCTGCTACCCACTCGACTTGACCTCCGACCATCAACTGCCCTGGTCATTCACCACCGTCTTCGGCCGCGACGTCGCCGGCGCATGCCCACTCACGCCCAAAACCGGTCCCGGATCGCACGCAATCTGCCTCAACGTCCCACATTCGCGGACCGCTCTTATCGGACCATGGGGATTTGAGTTCAAATCGCCCGAATCCGAACCCGAGTCCCGCTGCTACTCACTCATGTCCGGTCAATCCTTCGACATCGACCTCCCCCAACAAAAGGTGGCCGACCACTACGCTAGTCTAAACCACGAACTCCTCCGCGCCGAACGTACGATGACCGGCATCGGCAGCGCCAACGGCGGCATGCGCGTCCTCCTCTCCAATCCCTCCCCCACCACCCCCGTCACGTTCATCTACTTCGAGTCCCTTCCCTGGTTTATGCGCCCCTACATGCACACCCTCAAGGCGACAATCACATCCACCGAATTCCCCTGGGCCGACGACCGAACCCTCATCAGCGACATGTATTACCGTCCCGCCATCGACCGCCAACGCGGCACCCAACTCGAACTAGTCATGACGATCCCACCCGCTACCGAAGTCATGCTCACCTACGACTTCGACAAAGCCGTCCTCCGCTACACCGAATACCCACCCGACGCAAACCGCGGCTTCAACGTCGCGCCAGCCGTCATCCGTGTTCTGAACCAAACGACACTCACTCCGTCAGGTGGCGTGGAAGAGAGAGACGTATACATCCGCACAACCTCCCTCCTCCTCGCCCTCCCCACACCGGACTTCAGCATGCCGTACAACGTGATCATCCTGACGAGCACGATCATGGCATTGGCGTTTGGGAGTATTTTCAACCTCCTTGTACGTCGGTTCGTCGGTGCAGACGAGGTTGAGGAGGGGAAGTTGAAGGTTGCAATACGCACAGCGGCGGCGAAGCTACGGACGAGGATAGCTGGGAAACCTGTTGGGAAGATGGAATGATGCGGTAGTTGACCTGGGTGTTGGGCTTGTCTCCGTATGTACACTAGTAAAACCGAGCATGAATACAGAAGAAAACAAAAAGAGCGGACATGCAGTGGCTGCCTAGAGACCCACTCAGGTCCTACATGTACACAGACGCAAGCTCTTCTTTATGCGGACGCCGGCTTCCTATCTCCCCCCAAACCAGGTCTCCCGCCAACCGAACCATGCCGAATTATGGCACGCACAAGTGCAATCGCCTTCTTTTGGCTTCGCCGGCCACGTCTTGCGGTATTGCCACACCACAAGTTTGTACAAGCCGTAGTACAACGGTGCTATGAGGAGGAGCTGTACCACGATCCTAGTACCGTCTCCCAAGAGGCGCTCTTCACCCGGCTCGACCAGGAGTTGTGCGAGTGATGGTAAATGATCGGACATGCTGTGTGTTTTGGGTTGTAGTATTTGTCGTAGCGGTGTATGTATGTGTGTCTTTTGCGCACCTGGATCGCCGATCGTGTGTGAGGATGAGGGCGAGCTGAGGGACCCAGTTCAGGGAGCTGTTCCTGTGGTGCTGGGATAGTTCGCCGTCGAGAGTAGCCTGGTAGGACTTAGACTCCCGACATTGAGTTGTATGAAGACGATTCAGATCTTACAGCCTCCCTCCCGCCTACTTATGTAGAGTTCTGAATACCTTGCGGTAGGTGACACATGTCCTCAAAATCCACCTGTTGCCGTTTGAAACGTTGCGCGAGCCGACGCGACCTGAGAAATTCACTCAAAAGGTAGCTATACTTCAAGCCGCGGCTGTACCTGACTTGGTCCAGAATATGTTTCAGCAGTTTTGGCATATGGCGGAAACTTCTTAGGATCGTTCTTGGCAGCCAATGTACGGGGGCCAGGGGGCGGAACGGAGGGGGTTCAGGCCTGGCAGGGGGTGGGAAGCATTGGCGTGTGGCGGAGCTAGTCCAGGAGTAGTGTGGAGTAGAGTGGAACAGCAGAGGTTATCGATGCGTGATGCCCCTGGCGTCATATCGTCAGGCACAGTCCCCCTGCTCCATAGCAGCAGCAGCAGCAGTCGAGGTGTGCAGTACAACTGACTCATCGGTGAGCAATTTGCGATACCGGTGTCCTTCTCGTTGATCAACCCCTCGCACGCAAGCAGGCAGGCAGCAGCGAAATGGAACCGGGGCCGGTGATGAGCTGAATTTGTGTAGTCAGGAGGGCCACTGGCATACTTCGTGAGCTGACCCAAGGTTGACTTCCCGCTCCGTTGTGGCCCCTCCCGCTCGGGCAACGGTCCATGTATGGGACTTTTGCTACCAGACTGATCCACTGGTGACAAAGCTCAAATGCCATGGGCAAAGGAACAACAAAAGCTTGTATCAGCGTCGCCAAATAATATGTAAACGCGCCCATGCTGTATAGTCGATGTTTCCCGTTCTATCCACGCCTGAAGAGGAATTCAAACCCAACGCCACTCATACGAACCATAGCCACACTGCATGTGAGCTGAATGCATTCTCTCTCCCAGTGTTGAGCATGTGAGAGACCTCCCTGCCTATCCATGTAATTCATCAAGTCGTTTCAACGTCATCGATCGATTCGCACCATACTAGACCTCCATATGGCCCGCTGGTTCCTCGTCGCCGTGATCACTCCGGAAGTCCTCCACCTCGCTCAGCTCTCCGTCATCCTCCTCGTTATCGTCGTCGTTCTCTAGGTGGGCTCTGGTGGCGTACTGCGTCACGTATTCTGCAGGATCGTTAGTAGCAAGACAGACAAGCAAACAATCATGGAGAGCTCACCCTTCACTCTCTCTTCATATCTCTTAGGTTCGCGCATGAGCAAAGCGGCCGCCTCGCCGTTGAGTGGATCTGTCGGATTTGGGTATCTGAGCAGTTGTGGTAGGAAGACTTCGAAGATGTTGATCATGTCGAACATTGGGGACCAGGTTTGATTGATCACGTCTAGACAGACGGAACCAGACCTGGAAAGCTGATCAGTTCCGGGTTCAGATCAGTCGGCTGGCCTCGACTTACTGCTCGTCGATATTGGGGTGAAAGATCCGGTTGACGAAGCCGATCGATGGCGAGCTGTACGGGTATGCATCTGGCAGTTCGACGTGTACCTTCCACCTCCCATCTGCGAATGGTGCTGAGGTCTGATCAGTTGTCTAATCGGGGCGGAATGGGGACATTACGCACTCTCTGTCGGTCCCTTGAATGTGACGAAGAACTCCTGCATATTGTCATTGACCAATGTCACATCATAGTCACTCATCAAGAGCTTCATGACATCGGTCTCGAGCCTCCGCCGCCTACCGTCCCGCAGCGTGTTAGCTTGTGTCTGCTAGGCGTTGCAGCTATGGCGAACAGAGGAGAGCCTGGATGGATGGCTTCTGTATGACTCACGGGCTACTCATTGTGGACGCTCTCCTGGATGTCTCACTCTTGGATGTGGTCTGTACTTCTGTGCCGTCAGGTTCGTAGGATCGTTGAGGCAGCACTGGTCTACCAGTCGAGAAGGCTGTGGCGGGCAAGTATAGACTCAAGAAAGGTCTTGCGTTTACTGTCGCGTACGTCGGTCCGTCGACGTGCGTTCGAAGGCTTAGGCGGCTGTGTGACCTCGTAGGCCACGCGTTTTCTTTGTCTCTTCTTGCAATCGCCTCTGTGCAGGTGCGTTGAGGTTGAGTTAGGCGTGGCGGGGAACCCTCGGTGACAAAGACGCCGATCTGCCGGCCTGAGGATCTGTCCGATCCTGTATACAGTATTGCAGCAATGACTACGATGCCGTAAGAGATATGTAGGATAGTGTAGGCAGTGTCGGTGGTGAATGCAAAGCAAGCAATTTGTGGAAGTGAAGCACGAGTGAATCAGTTGTACTCATCTGATCTGCAATGGCGTGGGGAGAGGATGGGGGCGGGGAGCACCTGACATGTACACAACAAGGTACTTGAAGTTAAGCAGCATCATGACTTCGAGTAATACTTTCCTCCCCAGGGCAACTGCCACAATAATGACTGTTGTTCGATACTCCATGCGGAAGCAATCTGAGGACCTGGGGAGTGCAGCTGCGACTCACTCAATCACCTGGGAAGTTTCGTTCCACCATCTTCAGCCGTCCGAGTCTGGACCTGTGGGCCATCGGGAAAGTGCTCAGTTCTCAGTTGTATTCACCGGCTCCGCCCATGCTGGCGAGCTCGACATCGATTTATTAGTTCAGCGAACCATACTATCGTCCAGAGTGATAGTTCCGTTGCTCATAGACCGCACGTCGAACCAATGACGTGAATCACTCAATTCTCGATCGTGAACTTCGTCTTCACCCCCATGCTTGCGAGCTCAACGTCAAGATACCTCAACACGCCAGGGACGTTGACCACAGTCGTATTGTCGCCGCCAACGAACCTCTTGCCGGCGCCATCCTCCCAAACGTTCATCTTGTGATCCTCCCATCTTGCCTCCCTCGCACAAGCTCGACATCTGACCATCCCGCTTGGCTCCATCCTACCGCCTCTTCGACCAGGTGCAAACTGATTCGGCACCATCATCGTCGACAAGAATGACCCACAGTCTCGACAAACCCAAGCTCTCTGCTTGTCAGAGCAGTCCATCAACCGATCCTGCAGCAAGTATGCACAGCCGTGGGCAATAAGTGAATCACGCTCCATCTCTCCGACTCGGATACCACCGCCTTTACTTCTGCCCTTTATCGGTTGTCCCGTGAGGGCGTTCACTGGGCCTGTCGTCCGTACCTGGAACTTGTCGCTCACCATGTGTCGCAACCGCTGGTAGAAAACCACACCGAGGTAGATGTCAGCCGCGAACTCCTTGCCAGTGATTCCAGAGTACATTGGCTCGTTGCCATAGAAGTTGTACCCCGCTTGCCTTAACTGCTCGCCGAAGAAGTCACCGGCTGTATTGTCCTCACTGAACGTGAAAGGAGTGCAGTCCTGCGCCAATCCGTGCAAAGCTCCTGACTTACCCGCCAGTGACTCGACAAACATGCCAATGGTCATGCGTGAAGGAAACGCATGTGGTTGATGATGACATCTGGCTGAATGCCGCTCTCGGAGAATGGCATGTTCTCCGATGGCCACAAAAATGAGCAGACACCTTTCTGCCCATGTCGAGACGAGAACTTGTCTCCAATCACTGGCCGTCGTGGGATACGGTATTTGATGCTGATTTTCTGGCATGGTTGGTCACCTGTCTCGGAGCCCAACATCCGTACTTGATCGATGTATGCCTCCTCCTGGTCTTTGTACTTGAAAAACTCCGTCTTCCCGTCCAGATTCACCAGCTTGTTCGTACTTGGATCTAACATGACCGAGTGGTAGCCAAGCACAACGCTGCCTTCAGTCACTTTGGTCCCAACCTGAGGCAGTCCATCTTCGTCCAGCATGTGATCAGCGGGCATGTTCAGATCACCCTCTGCGATTCCGAACAGGTGCTTGACGTTGATCCGCCCATGCGCTCTCGACTTGTCGAAGTCGAGGTCGTACACCTTGGTCTTGTAGATGACGCCGTCGCCAAACCCACGTTCGTGGGAAGATTTGTTGATGATCATAGCGTCGTCCATGTCGTAGCCGGTATATGAGATGACGGCTACCACCGCATTCATGCCATTGGGATAGTTATCCAGCCCGTACGCGTTGTACAACGGCGGCCGCACGATGGGTGTCTGGCCTGTCTGTAGAAGATACGCCTTGTTATCCGTTCGATACATCATGTTCGAGGATGGTGTGCCCATAGCTTGCTTGCTCATCTGACACTGGTACATATTTCTGGGAGACTGATTGAAGTCGGAAAATGGAGTCATGTTGGCGAGAATCGACAAGATGTTTGTTGGTGTATATTCGATGTGTGTTGTCACGTCTTTGATAATGTCGTCCTCGAGACATGCAATATTCATATATTGTTGTTCAAAAGGCCCAACGTAGTCCAATTTTCCTGAAGACAAGTACTTGACAGGTCGGATCATACGTGAGGGTTGCGCAAAGAGGTAGACGCCAGGATACAAACCACCATTTGATGTAGGCACATGTCCGATCTCGAGCTCGACGGGTACGCCGTGCTCACCATTGACTTTCCAGTGCCGCAGTAGCTGCGAAATCTCCCGTGCCCGGTCTGCGCTGCAATAGCCCAGTATTCGCCCATCCAACTGTACCGCGAGACTGTTCTCAATGCTCATTGACGGAGCTGTTGCTAGACCGAACTCCGCAATGGTCTTCTGAAGCTTGTCCAGAGCTGGTCGCACAGTAGGTATGATACATTGGTGAGCAAGATGGTTGAGTAGTCCGCAAGGTGCTCCATCCGGTGTATGAACAGGGCAAAGGAAGCCCCAGCTCTCTGGCAACAACTTCCGGACCGTTGTCGTCTTCAACTGTGCGAAGAATGCACCTCTGTGTATGCAGCGGAAATGACTGATGAAGCGATAGAAGTTAATCTTCTCAGCCACAATAGTGAACCCTGATGTCTGCGACTGATCAAGGCCACTTGGACTGACGAGATTTCCCGTGGACATGAAGTATTCCAGCGAATTTGCGACATTTTCGTTGGATTTCCGTACCACCTTCGCCAGGAAACTGCTGCCAAACTCCTCGTGGGTGAAAGACCTGCCATTCTTTTCCCTCACCCAGTCCCGAGCAAAATTGGATATTCGTCCTAGCCATTCTGACAGGCTCTCTTTCAGTATCATGCCGTAAAGGAAGCCGCTGAGCAGCACTTCGTGGTTGGAGACGGCATCCGGATTGTCGACAGCGCAATCTCCAGCCGCGAGAGCATATACCTTGCGGATCATGAACAGCAAGAGGTCAAACTTCTCCTGGTTCTGAGCGTCTGTCACATCAGCGTTGCCCAGATGCGGTAGAATGATCTTCCTCAGGAACTCTTCGCCCGCCTTTTCATCAGACATTGTGAATGGTATGCCGAGAACAGGCTTGAACTTCTCGCCAAGATAAGCAAGTGTCTGTTTCCTGGACTTGAGGTTGTAGACCTTGTATGTTCTGAGGAGCAATTCCGTGCGTTCAGACACGAAGGAGCTGGGCTTTTCCGACCCAGTCTGCGTGCCGACAATTCCTTCTGCAATTTCGCGATCGTTCGTTTCAACCAAGGCCTTCAGGATCATGACCACAGGGACCAAATACTCGTTCTTCCGCCACGAAAACCTCATTGTGACATTTCCATCAGTAAGATAATGCAGTACATTGGTCTGAGCGGACTGATCTGGCCGGACCGAACGAATAGACACGCCATACTGTGAGAAGGTAGGACCTCTGTTCGCGAATGTAGCACGAGATATGGCCATGGGATAGTTCCTCTTGGGCATGATCAGCAGTCTGATCAATTTCTCGTTGCCGTTGATGATGAAGTAGCCTCCCAGTTCCTCCGAGTCCTCCCTCCGGTATACTAGCTGTGACGGCGTAGCATTTTCCAGATGGCACCTGTTCGACCGAACCATGATCGGTATTTGACCCAGGTTTCTCGTGCTTTGTTGCCACTCATTGTTGTTGACCTTCCACTGTAACTTCCCACGCAGTGTCCCTCGATAACTGCTGTGCCTTTCTCGACATTCTGCGGGATATGTTTCTCGATTTCGCGTGCTGAATTTGTTCGAGTCTGGTAGTCGAGGTGTTTCCAAGGTCACGTCTGTGAGTCTGAGGTGTAGCTTGTTCCGTGGTCCTACAGGATCATCTTGATTGCCGTCGACGGTGGTCACAATGCCAATGTCTTTGAGCGCTTCGTCGAGAAGGCCACCGCCGAAGATGGCGTTAAAGGACTCGACATGCGGTCTGACGGCGTTCTGCAAAAGAGGATAAGCGCTTTTGTCGTTGGGAGGCCTCTGAAATATCTTGCGCTTTCGAGTCGTGTTGTAGTCGACGTCCCAGTTTGTGTCTGTCGCTGCCCGAGTTGCTGAAGGCATAACGACGAAGGAAAGCTCGTCGAACAACGGACAGGAACGCACTCCCTTGACTTCACTCCTTCCCGCTGTGAAACATGATGCGACACAGCACTGGTCGTCGTAGGTCTGCCGGAGTGCAACTTGCGACTGCGAATATCGAAATTTCTCCAACTTATCGATAAGGGTCATCCGGCGCTCCAACATTGAATGTACTAGACTTAGACGTCGGCCCAGATTTAGGTAGGTATTCCTACCTGGCCAGGCCTTATACAACCCCATTTTGTGTCATTGAGGTTTACCTGCGCGGCATTTGCCTCAACGCGATGCTGTGCAAGAAGAGGGGACAATTTGTCCTCTGCTACTATCGAATCATACACGAAGCATCCTTCAACTTTCATTAATGTTACGAAAGGTTTCAACACAGTGACAACGTCGCGTACCAAGCGTCAAGCACGTTCCCTAGCTCACTTGATCGGGAACCTCTCCTTCAGCCAATCCGCGATGATCCCGCCCATGTCCTGCGGCTTTTCGTATGCCCACCAATGTCCGGCGTCCAAGACCTCTGCAGATATGTAAGGCTGAATTCATTCCAATGTGAGGCAGCAAGCGGGAGCGTAGTTACGCAACTTACTTTCTGTCACATCGTTGACCAGACCCTGGTCTTTAGCGTCCTTCATCAAATCAGTCCGACCTGTGATGGGTTTCGTCAGCAACGACATGAACGCAACCTGGGAGGATAAATGGCACATACAGACCCAGTCCCCAGTCTGCCCCACGAACAACAGCGGAACATCTATCCTCCTCCTATCCTCCTGTCCTTCCCTCTCGCACAGCCACTTCTCGTCCTCTAGCATCGTGTTGCCCTTCAAGCTCAAATAGTAGCACACCGGGCCCTCGAACCCATCTCTGCTGAACCTTTGCACAAACCTCTCCTTCTCCTGCTGCCAGTTTGGGTACTTTTTGGGCTGCACCGTCCAGTCCTTATACTTGCCCGTCCCCTCAATGTAGGCGCGCATTGAGCCGGACTCGCAGAACATTTCCCGCATCCACACATCTCGTCCGTCCTCGCCCTCAACTCCGTTCCCGCCTTCGGCCTTACCGGGCTGGAAGCCGTTGTTGACGTCCCAGAACCGCTCTAGATTATGGCGCATCGTTTCCGGAGCATCAGGGGCAGTAAAAAACTCCCAGTACGCCCACTGTGGGTACCCAAACCGTTTACTTGTCGCGGCGTTCTGCTCCTCGAGATTGAACGGCTTGGGGCTAGGAATTTGGTATGCAAGGCTGAGCAGGATCAGGCCTCGGCACAAGTGGCGATGGTACAGGTAGAAACGTTGCGCAGTAGCAGATCCCCAGTCATGCCCACAGGGGATGATACGGCCATCGCTAGCGACGTTCTCGTGCTCGAGAATCTGGGCCAAGGAAGCGGCTTGGTCTCGGTAGTTGTAGCGGCTGGGATCGGTGGGTTTGGAGCTGCCTGCGAACCCGAGTAGGTCGGGGACTATGAGGCGTAGCCGAGCTGGAGGAGGGAGGGGACCACTCCGGACCACATCGCCGCTTGATCAGGGAAGCCATGAAGGAGGAGGATGGCCGGATTAGAGGGGTTTTCGGTGGTCTGTTGCTGGAAGAATGGTGAGAGGTAGTAACTATAGGTCAGTCTGTGGGGAGTGGTGATGAGGGATTTGTGCGTGAAGTTGCTGAGGTCCATAGCCACGGCCATGTTTTCGATCTGTTGTTTCAGACAGCCCTCAGGACTTCGCTGGCTTCTAGGCTTGTCATCTATCACGACTATATGGGACTCTTGGTGGAAGCGGGGTTTGACTTCTTATGATGTGTGCCGGCCATCGTCATCGGTCGACTCGTCTTGCTGTGCTCGGTGCTTCGAAGCATCTCATTTGCTCAGCTACCGTACATCTCAGTGCATCAGCAGAATTAGCTGTAGAGCGTGTGATGTATTGCTAGATCGTAAGGTGCTCAAGGCAATACACCAGTACTATACCTCGCTCACCTTACCACATGTGTCGCTAGTCAAGACGCCGTGGTTGCCTCGTGCTGCTATCATGCGCTTGCCAGAGGCCGCTGCCCATGGTGTATCCTGTATCTAGTGTTTTTGAAAGAAGGAAGGAGCGTGTCCAGATGCTCCATAGTCAGTGCTTCCTTCCTTGCAGGTCTTTGGGAAGGTGCGTTCTGTCCTGCACACGCGATCCGTTCTTCAGTAGCAATCGCTCGTTCATCAACCCTGCCATGCAATGTCGATGACGCACCGAGTAACACTCTGGAAGTGTGCTCCTTCGTACCGATCAAGCTCAGGCGCGTCGAACGACCTCAATATCGATATTCCAACCTACGGCCTACGGGTCGGAACCCTGCACCAGCTCCTGACGACAACAAGTGGGGCATGAAGCTGTAGATATCGGTGGTCTCAATCTCGAACAGGGATTTTTGGAAGCAACAACGCAATGAGACTTGGAGGTTTTACGCATTGAAAGACGCGAGCTAGAGACGATTGTCTCGCGCAGTGGAAGGCCGCAGTCCACATGTTTTCACATGCGTCCATTCGAGCCACCTATTCACGAACGCCTCCACACGATCAGTATCGGGCAGGAGTGCGCGACACGGTCATCTTCATATCTTCGAAATCCCGACCAAGGCAGATACGCGTCTTCAACACATCGAGTAGCTCTCGCCTCAAAAACACGACAGCACATGCATCGAAGCGTGGTGATCGAAGCAACGCGCCTGCAGATTCCCCCTGTCAGTGCTTTGTCCACGCGCTCGGGGCGGAACCCTACCGTGGGCACAATGCAAGCCACCCCTGCCACTGTAAGCCCAAGCCGATAAAGCCCGGATCGCGTGCCTATCAACAGGGGCAGTCATGCAGCTCGGTCAATATTCAGGCTGAATGGGGTCCCAGATACGGATTCTCAAGGCCTGAAACGAGAATCCATGGCCACGATCGGCAGTGTTCGAGACCTTGTCCTCGGCACGCATATCGCAGTGACCAGGTTACCCCACGTCTTCACAGGAAGCAAAGCATCAAGGGTATTTCCTTTGTCTCGAGGAACCGATGAACAACGTTTCTGTCTTGGTTCGTGCAACACTGTTGGACTCGATACACACTCTATTGTGCGATTACGAGTGTCTCTGACGACTGAGACAGGTGCCACACACGCCACGCACCTAAGCTGAGAGAGGAGCATCCGGTATGCTCCTTTGGAAAGGTGGGGAGCACGTCAATCAAACCTTGCGCTTCCCGCTGCTGAGCCAAATTCTCATTTGAGATCTGCCCGAGCTGCCACCTAAAGACACGTCTACAACTCGGACACCTTCCTCGGACTCTTGTCTTCACCTGCGGCGGAGGAGCGACGACAGCGACGAGCTATTACACGGATGCCGATCCCGAGCGCAAATCTTCTCCGTGCCACAAACGAGGCTATCATCACATCGTCCATGACGCGAACGGCCGTCCAGTCCTTCGCGAGCTCCCGGATAGTGTATAGGATACGAACATGTATAGAAACACAGCGACCGTCGCGAGCGGTAACATAGTCCCTGCAGCATCGCTGAAACCACCGAGCGAGAATGAGACCAGCATCGCAGACATGTTGGCGCGTAAGCGCCAGCAGATAGACCTCGAAATCGACGAGTTCCGTTGCCTGAAAGAACGCGAATTCCAAGATTTCGAAAGAAATCTACGGAAACAGAGACGAGGAAGGCGGCGTGGATCAGGTTCCAAGGATGCACAGAAGGACTTACGGCCGGGCGCACTCGGGTTGCTCAACTTGCCGGTAAAGCAGCAGCAAACGAACGGTGTCTCCCGCCAGCAGACAGACAAGGATGTCGTGCCACGGGCAGTCAGCAAGCCAACGACTGGAGTACAGAAGGACACAATCACCGCAGAGCTACCACCAACACCACTGAAATCGAAATTCGATCTGCCCAAGCCTCCCAGATCACCCCAACCAGCGTCCCTGTCACCTGTGCGTAATGGAGATAAGAAAGGAGAGGCACCGTCGTCAGCTAGGAGGCCACCTCTATCGCCTCTGAGCCCACCGAACGAGAAGACTGCAGACGGTTTTGCGGGTGTCTTCACCCCTGCCTACCTACCATTACTAGACTCGAGGCCATCAGCCGCCCCAGTGTCACCTAAGTCAGGATCGCCGCCCAGCCACGGCTCACTCTCTCTATCCCTACCCGACTCAGCATCACATAACTCAGCCACGCCTATGCAACGTTCGAATCGCTCTCACACGGAGCCTATAATACCTTCCACCTCTTTACCGTCAGCACTACGAACAGCATCAGGCACAGCCGTTCGTAAACGCAAACACGTCACTTTCCAACTCGCTGACTCCGCCATCGTCGAACCCAGCAGCAGCTACGAGGAGATGCCGAGCCCTAGTCCGAAAGACGAGCGGGGCATGAACGGCTCTCTCGACGAGGCGTCTCCCAGCGACGAGGACATTCCCGCACCCAGACACGGACTAGCTTGGCAGTACCTTCGCCGACTCTGAAGGGAATGGAGCGGAAGACATCGAACAGCAGTCGCAACAGCCCGGCTGATCTGACGACCGCGATTGAGGGCGGTGGGGCGGGCGGCTTTTTCGAGCTGGATGAGGAGCTTAGTTCGCCTGGGTTGGATGCGGGCAAACCATTCATCCAAGACTTTGACGATGATACCAGCAGTCCTGTTGGAACGAGACGAGGTGAGAAGAATGGCAAATGGACTGCTAGTGATGGAGATGAGAGTCTGCAGAAGTATGAGTACAGCGGCAGTGTGCCGATCGATATCGTGAGACCGAGCAGTAGTTGGGTTCGGAACAGCGTACACTGAGTGCCGCTACAGGGGAGAGCAGCATCTGCGACGACAACAGATACTCTGGCTGAGTCTCGTGTATGATAATGTGGATAATGTAGATGATTGGGAGCCATATGATGACCTTAGTAGCATCTGTGATTATGTCAATATATTTGCACACCATCTCAAGTGTACCCGAGCATGAAGCGACTTGTATGCTCCGGTCGTTAGTAGGCACAGCGTGCTGCCACACACAAGTCTACTCGCCGTCTTCGATACTATCAGAAGGACATGAAAATGACACAGCGAAATACCTTGCCTTGAGGGCATGTGCCTCTATTCGAGGCGCTTCATCGTATTCCTAAGACCGGCTGACAAGATATTCAACTTCTCCAATTCCATTGCCACGCTTCTCCAACACGCCAGAAACATGCCTGCGATGATGCGCATCAACCTTGCCTTCCACAAACTACTCGACGTGGCAGTCTTCGACACTCTCTTGACTGCAGCAGCAGTACCACCACCTAGGCTCCACCCGTGGCATGCGCACAGCACGCTTTCTAAGCAGCTGCGCCCGCCTCAACAGCCATGAAAACCCACTGAACCTCCCGCGCTCCTCCTCCTCCTCCGCACCACCACCACCACGCTCCCGTCTTCCTCCACGGGGTACTCTCCCGCCCAGACGTCCGATCCAGAATGTAAGAAAGGTCATCGCAGTCTCCTCCGCCAAAGGCGGCGTCGGTAAATCCACCCTGGCCGTGAACCTAGCACTCGCCTTCTCCCGCGCCCAACTGCGCACGGGCATCCTCGACACCGATATCTTCGGTCCGAGCATACCCACACTGCTGGGCCTGGACGGGAAAGATGTGGGACTGCCGGATGTGACAAGGGAGGGGAAATTGGTGCCGTTACGCTCTTGGGGATTGGGCAGTATGAGTATGGGTTATCTATTGGGCAAAAAGAGCAACGAGGACAGTACTAAAGAGGAGGGTGACGGGGACGGACCACTAGCATGGCGCGGCCTGATGGTTCAAAAAGCGCTGCAGCAGTTGCTGCATGAGGTGCAGTGGGCTGGTGGGATTGGGTCGGCTGTGCCTGAGCTGGATGTTTTGGTGTTGGATCTGCCGCCGGGCACGGGCGATGTCCAATTGACAATCGCGCAACAGGTTGTGCTGGACGGGGTGGTTATTGTGAGCACTCCGCAGGATGTTGCGTTGAAAGATGCTGTCCGCGGCGTGGGATTGTTTCAGAAGATGAATATCCCGGTGCTCGGGTTGGTGCGAAATATGGACTTATTCGTGTGTCCCAAATGCGGAGAGGAGACGAAGATATTCGCGCACCAGAGCCACGACGGGATGCAAGGTGCTCTACAAGACAGGATGCGGCAAATGGGCGTGGAAGCGCTGGGCCACATACCGCTGGATCCGCAGATATGCTATGATGCGGATCAGGGAAAGCCGACTATTGTGGCGGAGGAGGGGCGGGGAAAGAGGGTGAATTCGCGGTTCTATGAGGAAATTGCACGGCAGGTGGCTTGCAAGGTTGGATTGGAGTGGAAGGGAAAGGGATAAGAGGTGGCTCATGCTCTATTCTCTCATGTAAGACCTTGCTGGAGCACGTCGACTCCTACGACGCTCGGAGAAGACTCTGCCAAGCTCGATGCTCCATAACGAAAGCCATGTGCGATGCTGATACACTGTGGACTGGTCTGATTCCATCTGAACTCGAAACAATCCATGCCATTGGCTTCAACGCTTGAAAGCTATGAGCGCTTCTGGTGGTACACATGCTGGGGCACAGCCCTCGCTTCGAGTGATTTCCAAGACTCTCACGTCGGGAGAGCCGTCTTGCGAGCTCGCGGCGTGGTTTGCATGCAGCGGCATAGCCGCCTGCCTGAGCAGCACTTCGGAGTGGCAACACGCCTTGTGATGTCGATCTCTCGGAGCAAGAGGGCGGCTCAGAAAGGCGGCAGCCAGAAAGGATATCCTCCATTCTTGATTCTGAAGACACTGAGCAGGTAGCTATACATGCCGAAGAGGACCGCAGCCAGATGAAGACAGAGATTTGCTGTGCTCTTGGATCCTTCATGCGTGGCACCTTTAGGGCGAGTGCTATCGTTGCGAAGGAGAGGATCGCGTCTGCGCGGAACATCTGTCAGCAGTCGCATCAGGGACAGAGAGGGTGTTACGTACACATGGCAGCCACAATCTGCGTCTCCATACCATACTGTGTCTGAAAGCCATTCGCAAAGTATATGATCTTGCCCTTGCTGCCCTGCACATATGGCACTTTTCGAATGTGGTTGAACATATGTCCGCTGGTGAACAGCAGCACCGCGATGAGGCTGACTGCCGCCCACAGGTTGCGGGACTGAAGCACGGGCAGAATGTAGGGGTACGCCACGGTGCCGAAGGTGAACATGCCGATCAGGATCATGAAGCTGGCAACGATCCGACCGTAGTTGACGGGTCGGACCAGTTTCGGATATGGTGTTGCTGGGTCCGAGGGGAGTTGGCGCAGGATCCAGGCGTGTGTCTGCTCCGCTGACTGAGACTGCAGGAAGTCCATCCTGATCTCCTTACCGGAGCCGGTGGCGTCGGGACCGTTGGTTGGCGGGTAGAGGAAGAGCACTGGAGCAGTCTGTAGTTGGTTTCTCATGAAGACGTTTCTGCCGTTGTCGAAATCAAGCGTTGCGAAAAGTACTCGGGATGCGGAGTTCTTGTCCCCCTTCTGCCATGATGAGGCCAGGATCTTCCATTCTGGGTCGAATTCCCGACATAGCTGGCAGGCGAACTTGGCTGGGCGGGCAGTCAGGAGAACGGCTGTCCAGTAGTCACGAGGAGCATGTGTGATGGCGTCGTAGGAAGATTCATCGACTTCGATGGGGAAGGATCTTGAGGAGTAGGTGTCGAACGTCGAGGCTGCGGGCTTCTTGGCTGCTAGGGCGAGGAGTGGCAGCAGCGCAGTGGCGAGGAGATTGTAGAGCCGCATGACGGGCCTTGAATAGATCAAAGGAGTGTGACGAAGTGCATGAGACGGCCTCGAGAGGGGAGTTCATGACGGTCGCTTCCCATTCGGAGCATTCATCGATGCCAAGCCATATTGTCCGGTGGTCGACTCAGCCAGGAACGCATCCTCGCCTCTGTTTGGCTCTAGCCATATCGGGCATCGTCGTCCTCCTCAACCCGCTCATGAGGCCCCGATCAAGTGAACGTTCTCTCACCTCAACATTCATAACTTCATGTCGCAGCATCGATCAGAATATCAGATCAGTCAACATGGCTAGCGAAATAGAATGTATGCTTCCGCATGAAATAGCTCAGACCTTCAAAACATACGAGCTAGAGCAGACATACCAACATTGTTTACGCGACACCGATCGAATCTACGAGGACGAACGCGCGCGTCTGCTGCGGGTGCAACTACTGCTGCTTGAAGACGAGAACGAGGAGCTTCAGGACAAACTCGACGCAGATATCAGCGCTATTGAGAACCTCGAAGACACAAACGAAGACATGCGCTCACGGTTAGCTGAGACGCAGGCCGAGTTGCAACGCGTAGAGGTTGAGCTCAAGGCACGCAGTCGCGAGAACGAGCGGTACAAGGCCGAGATCGATGCACAGAATCAAGCGTCGTCCGACACCCAGAAGATTCTGTCTGAGAAATTGGCTTTATCGCGAGAGCTGGCAGTACTCAAGCCAGAGTTGGAACACCTGAGGTCGCAAACGTCAAGCCAGCAGAATGCCCTTGCCGAGAAGCTTGCTCTACAGAGAGAACTCAGCTCAGCACAGGTCGAACTCGAGAACGAAAAGCGTATTGTGCAACGGTTGCAAAGTCAGCGAGAAGCCTCGGGCCATGATGATTCTGCCCTGCACTCCGAAATCGATGACCTGAAGAAGGAAGTCGCCAGCATGCGAACCCAGATCCAGAAGAATCAGCGAGAGATAGTCAAGAAACAATCCGAGTGGGAGACCCAGAAGGACGTACTCGAGTCAAAACTCGATGCTTTCCGCACCAAACTTCGCACCACAAAAGAACAACTCAAAGAAGCACAAGATGAGCTCGAGAAGTCACAGGCGGCGAAGATGGCTCAGTCCGCGGAGCTCACCAAAGCACGACTTGCTGGAAAGATGGCGCCTCCGCCTACCACTGGCCCGATAAACCCTAGGAAGCGGAACGTTGCTCGATTCGACCCGGATATGACTATCGGCACACCCGGGCAGGGCGGAGCAGCCAAGAAGCAGCGATCTTCTGTTAGCATCGGCGACAAATCTAGTTTTTCGATGACTCCATTCCTCAACCGCACGACCATGAGCATCCTACCAGAGACGCCCTCGGAGGACGTGGCTGAGTCAACAGAGAAGGACGAGTCGGAGCAAACCGTGGACGAGAGAATGCACGAGCAGATCCACTCCATCATCGAGGAAGCAGAGACCCAAGCTGCCCAGAGAAAGGCTGCAAAAGAAGCTCGCGACAAAGCCAGAGCGGCTGCATTAGCGTCTACTGCCGCCACGAAAGCCAAGGCATCAACAGCAGCTAAGCCAACACAACCTCTCAAGGAGTCCACAGCAACCAAAGGCAACAAAGTCGTCCAGAAGAAGCCCGCGCTCGACAAAGTCACTGAGGAAGACGTAGGAGAAGAGCCAGCCACTGCTCCACCCACCATCAAGCCCGTCGCCGCCGCCAAAAAGGAGAAGAAGTCAGCGAACAGCGATCGCGAGAACGATGCGCCCTCCGACACCGAGCAGAACAAAGCATCAGACAAGACCCACAAGCGTAAACGCCCTAATATTTTCGACGAAGACGACAAAGCTCTTCCAGTCGAGCCAAAGCTCAAGAAGGTTAAGACACTTAAAGTGCTAGGCAAGGCTGGAGGGAGCGGACTCGGCAATGTCAGTCTACTGGGTGCTGGAGCTGCAGTGACTGGAGGAAAGGCGAAGAAGACATTTGCTGAATTTAGTCCCTTGAAGAAGGATCGGAGAGCGGCCGTTGGAGGTGCTGGCAGTGCTGCGTAGGACGTGTCGAGCTCAGCGATACCGACAACGTCACAATTAGCATAGTCAGCGAGGACGAGAGGCTCTGTGCAAAACAGCCACACATTTCGCTCAGACCAAGGTACAGTTGGGAAGCGATCCAGGGAACCTTGCGATGACCATTGATGACGATGATGTACCAATTCAAATGAAGACGATCTTCCGCACCATGTTTTCACGCTCGAGCTCCCAAGCAGTCGACGTACACTCAGTTTTTGACTTCTGATACCTGATGCGTGGTGACTCTCCTCGACAGTTCAGTGAACATAGAGAGTAACATGTTGCGTGAACTTGGCACGCTTAGCATTCGACTGAACGGGAACAGTCTCTAGAGCCTCTTGCTCGGGTACAGGAGTCACTCTGCCGGTCCTCTGTGAATCCCGTCGTATTTGCTCCAGAACATCAAGCAATGCAGCAAGAGGCGATGATGGAATCAGGCACCCGCCCTCGGCCCAAGATTCCAGCCAAGCACCGTGTCACCGCAGGTCCTTGATTGGCTGCGCCCTGACCTACAGTGGCTGTGCCATTTTTTGCCGCAAGTATTTGACTGACAATGCGAACGATTACGTATCCTGGTGTAGACTATGATCCGAGCTGCCAATAGAAAATACGACGATACATCGTTTGCAGTGTGTATAGGATCCACATGGGCAGCCGCGGGGCGCAGTCAAAGGTCCTTCCGGTCTTCGTCCAATTGCAGGCAAACTTGCGGGAAGTCACATGGTGAATCGTCTGGCTGTATATATCTGCTCTACAGGCCTCCGCGCGTCTTCGTGAGAGTCGGCATCCTCACCTAACTAAAAGCAGTAGATCACCTAGTCATCAATATAACTGTATCATACTCAACGAATCACCTATTCACGACACGTCAAGCCCTTTCGATCCATCCTACCACCCTAACAATGGTTCTTGAAGTCCTCATTATAGGCGGCGTTGTGTATTACTTTGCGCACAAGCGCCACGAAAAGAAGAAAGCCCGCCTCGCAGCTGAAGCCGCTGCCGCCAACGCTGGTAATCCATCGAATCAACAATATCTACCAACATCATCACGGGACAAGGGCAACGAAGCCGATGGTTACTCAGACCTACCATCATATGGCGATGCGCGGCGGCAACGTCCACCAGTGTACGAGCAAACAGGAGGGGCGCTGCCGGCATACGAGGAGAGGGGAGCGGTGGTGAATGAGAAGAGTCCGTTGGTGAATGTCAACGAGCAGAGTCGATAGGACGGTGGAAGTATGAGTGCGACTGTTTCTATTTCTGGAGCTGTGTTGGTATTGGTATTGTTGCGACAAGCAGACATGGAAGGCGTTGGTAGCGAGCTCTGGTTGCTGCTAGAAGTGTCAACCCCCAGGTAGGGGGATTTCGTGAGCTAATGGCATTGACTCTGAATAGTTGAAACTTGGTCCTTCAAATTTGCTCTGAAGCAAAATTTGAGGCCTTCATCAACGCCCAAGACACGTGTCTCTGCTGCTGATGAAGAAGAAGCCGCACAAATGTTCTCAGAACAGTGTCGGCGAGTCCAACGCGTCCATCAACATCCATCGCCCTTTTGCCTCATTCCCGTTCGCGTTACCGCTCGCACGGTCGTATGCATCCTTTCCGGTGTCTCCTAGCCAGCTACGCTCGTTGATGTTCAGTCCATCTTGAATGTCCACCGCTTCTCGTCCCATTGCGTAGAGTATCCTGCCATGCAGTATTGCTTCCTCCTGTTCCCCTGTACGGTACTCACTGTCAGCGGAGGCATTGCCTATCAGGCCGGCAATGATATGGCCGACATCCTCGCCGTTCTCGGTAGGCAGCTGCACGCTTGTTCGTCCGCCACCATTCGTCTCGACTGCGGAAGGGAGGAGCATGTTGGTTGCGACCATGTTGACGCGGACGCCGTCGCGACCGTAGTCCATGCTTGTGGCCAGACTCCGAACTAGGCCAAGAAGAGCGTGCTGTGCAGTGCTGTACACCGGCAAGTAAGGCACCGGCATGAACGCCGCTGTTGAAGAAATGAAGGTCAGGCTGCGATCCTCGCTCCAGCTCGAGTCCTTCGAGACGGGCGCTGAGACCGGTGACAATGAGTCGCCATTGGAGTGATGCGTCTGTCGTCGTCCAGGCGAGTTCCGTAAATACCCAACGGCGATTCGCGCAAAGCGTATTCCGACGCCGATGACGTCGCAAATGTTTCTGCTTGAGCTTGCCGAATAGTCCCTCGGCTCAAACGACTCGATAGATTCAAGCTCGGCCTTATCGGTCATGTTTCTCCTATCACTCATGCCGGTGTCCAAGCCCCACAACTTCTCGCCAACGCCGACAGTCCTTGCATGGCCACCATCGTCTCCTGGCGCGAACACTGCGTGATCAACGCGTCCGTACATAGTTAGAGCTAAAGCGAATAGGGCGTGAATATCGGAGTAGGATGCGAGGTCGCAGGAGTTGAAGTGAATAGTGTCAGGTGGACCGAGGGAGCGGATCAGTAGACGGGCTTGTGGTGCCAGATCAGGCGGTGTAGAGAAGATGATGCGCGCGTGTGCACGGTGGAGAGTGGTCAAGAGGGCGGCAGATAGAGCAGAGGCGCCATGAGTAATGACAACCACTTTGTTGAAGAGTGACCCTGTTGGCAAGGGATCACTTGGTGGGCGGTAGAGGTAAGGCTGGCGAGTCGTGGTCAACGGCCGTGACGGTAACGAGACTCTGTCTGGCCGTGCATTAGCCACGGGTGAAGCAGTAAATGGGTTGTTCCTGTCGCGATCTCGGCCTAGACCGAAGTCTCCGATAAAATCATAGCTGCTGGTCCGCTTCGACCGCTTCGGTGAGGCTGGCAGAGAAATCTGGGGCGGCGACGGTGGTCGAGGTCCAACAGGTGTGATGTTAGCCGAGACTATAATCCTACTGAAAGATCGCTTTTGCGGTCTGGGTGTTTTGGCTTTCTTCGAGGTCTTCGGAGGGGCCGGTAGTATGGGCTCTGATTCGGCCAGTGTTTGATGCTGGCTGAAGACGAGTTTCTGTCGTTCAGACCGATGATTGGATTCGCCTGTACTTCGAGTCTTCGACACAGTGAGACTATCTGTAGGCGTGGACGGTCTCAATGCTATAGGTATTGATGGAGGTTTGGCTAGCAAGCTGTCGCGCTTAGCGTCAACAAGCTCGAACCTGTGTGGCGTAACTTGATTCAAAGTCTTCTTGCGTCGTCGAGTTGGCTTCTCGCTGACACTTCTTTCATTCCGTTGAGTTCCTGGAAGGTCCAAGTTCTGTGCACGACCACGGTCATCGTAGTCATCCGGCTTGGTGGGCCGAATTGGCGAGGACGCTGAGACCTCATCGTCCCAGGGGTTCTTCTCACCGGTACCGCCCGGCATGACACTGGCGGTAGATATAGAGCGCGAGTGCCGGGGTGCATTGTCGTTTGTTCCATTGTTTGGAGGTTGCAGTGTATCAGTGTTAGTGATGTCAAGATCAACGGATTTGTGTAGCTTGCTGCCTTTCCTCCGCAATGTGTCCTTCATGTTTCTGATCATAACCCTTGGCCGAGCGAGCCGGGCAGCTACTGTGGTTATGTTTCGGGCATTATGACTACAATAAGCTGTTTTGTGAGCGCTTTGCAGGTTGAATGTAGACTCTCAAGCTTGGAACTGGTTGCGAGTTCAGCCAGAAGTGCAGAAGGGCTAACCCTGCTGCTTTCAGTCAGATCCTTCTGCGAGCCGGTTTCGATCCTTCCTGCCGTACTCCCCTGGCTTCCTGGTAAGAGCACGATATGGAAGCTGCGTCCCGCGGCACACGTTCCATTGAGCACCTCTCCAGCACTCTTGAAAAGCAGTACTTCTTACCTACGTGCCGGTCAACTTGAGCCGGCTTCCAAGGTTGACGCAGAGCTTCAAATGACAACGTCAATAGGATGATGCTTACTTAAGCTGCATTCTTCTCAAGCTTGGCACCGGCAGTCGCAAGAGACAGTTGCGCGGTGCTCAGGTTCAAGTGACCTACATGTACCTTCACCTCCACTGGTTCACCGAAGATGACCTCAAGCTCTCATGCCAGTCGCGCGCAGGCATAACCCGTAGTGATGGTAACAGGATTTGAGACACATGTGCGCAGTGAGACCATCAAGGCGAATGGGCGACTGGCGGCCTCCGTGCCGATAGTGGGGCTGCTTCAAGTACCAGTGCAGCAGAGTAAAAATTTGCTTTACAACGGCATGATTGACTCAGAGCCACCGGACGCCCAAGCCGCCCGGCAAATGCAGCGTATTTCAGCAAAACGAAGCTCACGGCTATGGTGCGCGAGGCAACACTGATGGAAGTACTCTCCCATCTCGATGAGTAACGCAGTGGATGAATAAGATTGAGGACTTACAATGACTAAGTCTTGTCTGGATTCGGAGATGTGATATACTCGTGGCTCTATGGACTGGCTCGGAGCTCTTGCGTTGCGGAATGCCCATCATCGTACAGACGAGAAAGTAGACACGTACCTGAAGAGAAACGCTGTTCACGCATATGCTCGATCAATTGGCTGGTAAGCATCAGTCAGACATACTTCCACGGAAGCACTCTTGACTACAGCTACGCATCACTGATGCCTCGATTGAGGTAGGCTCTGTACCTCGCTGATCGTCGGCTATACAGTCGCAGATCCAATGAGTAGTCATCAGTAAATTAGAGCACAGTCGTAGACCAAACAGTCCAAACGGGCGTCCGCGGATAAACTTAGTTGGAGAGGCTACAAGCCCCCACCAAAAACTGCAAACTTCCCGTCCCTCACATTCAACCCACTTCATCAAAGTCGTCGATTCTGTCTTCGCTCTTTCTTTCTTTCGATACTCACTCAAAGGAAGTTACCTCTTTTTCGGTGCATTAGAGGCCTCCCTGAACGTAGCTCCCGCTATCAACCACCTTCAAGAACCACGTCCTACCCCATATCAAGCTTCATCCGATCAACCCCGCCAAAATGTCTGGTGCAGTGTAAGTTCGCTTTCTCATGAGTATACCCTACCGCAGCAGAGAGCCCGCATCTATGGGCTGTGACGCTTCTTTTCATTGCACTCACCGTCAGAACATCCTTACTGAGCCATGCTAACTGTAGTGCGCGCCTCGCCGGCATCAATGTCGGCTCTGCGCACGTTCAACCTAGTGGTGATTTCGGTCTCATTGGCCTGGCGGTCATGGGCCAGAACTTGATCTTGAACGCTGCCGACCATGGCTACACCGTCGTTGCATTCAACCGAACCGTCTCCAAGGTCGACCGTTTTCTCGAGAACGAGGCCAAGGGTAGGCCGCCTTCAAGACCACAAAGACTTAAGACTGACAAACAACAGGGAAGAGCATTGTTGGTGCTCACTCCATCGAGGAGTTCGCCGCCAAGTTGAAGAAGCCCCGTCGCATGATGCTGCTTGTCATGGCTGGTCCTGCTGTCGACGACTTCATCGAGAAGCTCCTCCCGTACTGCGACCCTGGCGACATCATCATTGATGGCGGTAACTCGCACTATCCCGATTCCAACCGTCGTACCAAGTACCTGAAGGAGAAGGGCATCCGCTTCGTCGGAACCGGTGTCTCCGGAGGTGAAGAGGGTGCACGTTATGGTCCATCCCTCATGCCCGGTGGCAACGAGGAGGCCTGGCCATTCATCAAGGACATCTTCCAGGACATTGCCGCAAAGTCGGATGGTGAGCCATGCTGTGACTGGGTCGGTGATGCCGGTGCTGGTCACTACGTCAAGATGGTCCACAACGGTATCGAGTATGGTGACATGCAGCTCATCAGCGAGGTAAGCTCCCCAGGTGAAGAATTCGTGCCGCGCTAACAAGTCCAGGCGTACGATGTGATGAAGCGCGGTCTGGGCATGACCTACCAGGAGATGTCTGATACCTTCGCCACATGGAACAAGGGTGTCCTAGATTCCTTCCTCATCGAGATCACCCGAGATGTGCTCGCATACAACGACGATGATGGGACCCCACTCGTGGAGAAGATCCTAGATTCTGCTGGCCAGAAAGGTACCGGCAAGTGGACCGCCATCAACGCTCTCGATCTCGGCATGCCTGTCACACTCATCGGCGAGGCTGTCTTCGCTCGTTGCTTGTCGTCAATCAAGGACGAGCGTACCCGTGCTGCCAAGGTCCTCACTGGTCCGACTGCCAAGTTCACCGGCGATCGTAAGGAGTTCCTTGCGAACCTTGAGCAGGCATTGTATGCTTCCAAGATCATCTCATATGCTCAAGGCTTCATGCTCATGCAGACTGCCGCCAAGGAGTACAATTGGAAGCTCAACAAGCCATCGATCGCTCTCATGTGGCGTGGTGGTTGCATCATCCGATCGGTCTTCCTCAAGGACATCACATCCGCGTACCGTGCTGAGCCTGATCTCGAGAACTTGCTGTTCAATGACTTCTTCAACAAGGCCATCCACAAGGCTCAGGACGGTTGGAGAGACGTCATCGCCTTTGGTGTCAAGAACGGTATTCCTACTCCTGCTTTCAGCACTGCGCTGGCTTTCTTCGATGGCTATCGCACCAAGGATCTGCCTGCCAACCTCCTCCAGGCGCAGCGCGACTACTTCGGAGCTCACACCTTCTTGGTCAAGCCCGAATACAACAACGACAAGTTCCCCGTTGGCCAGTACACTCACGTCAACTGGACCGGCCGCGGTGGCAACGTGTCTGCTTCGACATACAACGCCTAAGCGTTCGTTATGCTTTTCGGGATGCCTGCGAGGCTCGGTTTTGCGCACTAGGCTTCTCGTCAGCATTACATAGATCCAAAAATCGAGACCACCAATCACAAGTTGAGTGAGACGATTTTCATCCTTCAGCGTCCGTCGCGACTCTGCCAATTGCACTAGCGTCCAGGTGGATGAAAGACATGCCTTACCTAACCCCCGCGAGCATTTTGTGATAATTCATTGTGTTGAGGAAGAAGAGCCTCCTTCAAGTTGTTCGGCGAAATGATTTGGTGTTGATGGCCCGTGCGCTGGCCGGACTTATGTGCCTTATGCCCGTGGTACTAAACCACTTCATCTGTCTCAATCTCTCAGAAAGAGTCACCATCTCAGCTAAGGCGTTCTCTTGGTTCACTGCACCATTCTACTACTGAGAATAGGACACTTTCTGTGACTCACTGTGTTGCGAGCCTAGTATGCAAAGGCTTTCTGATCTGTAGATGACTACATAGAGTCTGCGTCACCAGAACTAATGTGGTAAGTCCTTACGAGACCCATCTAGGTGGTTTGTTGGAAAGAAAGTATGAAGAAGTATACAGACAGCACGCGGTAGGTACAGAGCCAACTCTGTTGATGACGGGTTCAAAATCGCGAGGTTAGAAGCCTTCCTGCTCTCTCGGAAGGATCGCCGTCGGGTCCTTAAGTACTGAGTCTGCCTGGTAAGAGGGTACTGTGGTCATTAAATTGAGCAGAGCAGCGATGCAACAAACAGGCGTCCCTGGTCACAAAAGCCAGCCCATGGACGAATTACTCTCAGAGGGCTTCGCCTCCCATGTGAATGACCTTCTTAGAACATGGCACGTCCCCGGCCTCAGCATCGCCGTCTTCAATAAACAGTCCACACGCACAGCAGCATTCGGCCACGCCCGCCTCGATCACCCTGTCCCAGCAACGCTCGACACGGTCTACGACATGGCGTCCACTAGCAAGTCTTTCACCGCCGCAGCCATCGGCAAGCTCGTCGCCGATGACGACCACCACCCAAATGTAGCCTGGACAGCCAAGATGTCTGTTCTTCTCCCAGACGACTTTGTCCTCCCTGATGCATACGCGACCCAGCACACTACCGTCGAAGACATCCTCAGCCACCTGACCGGCATGCCCGGCCACGATTTGAGCTACATGAGCATCCGCGCCGCGCAGCCCGACACAGCGCAATCCGTCACCCAAAGTCTGCGGCACCTCCCCATGAATGCCCCCCTGAGGACTGCCTACCAGTACAACAACATGATGTACACTGTCGCCACACACCTCGTCGAAACCTTAACGGAGCAATCCTTCGCCTCATTCCTCCACAAAAACTTCTTCCGACCGTTGGGCATGACCTCTACCTTCCTACAGCCCTCCGCCGTCTACGCCACAGGTGAAGCCTACTCCTCCCGTCTCGCACACCGCCACGTATGGAAACCAGCCACGCAATCCTACCTCACGCTCCCCATCCCCGTCGAGCAGCCCGAAGGCCAAGGCGCAGGCTCGATCCAGTCCTCCGTCGTTGATTTCGCGAAATGGGGCCAAGCATTACTTCGCCGAGACACGAATATCCTGCCGGAGAAGATCTACGATGACCTATTCACCCCTCGGATAATCCTCGACCCCGAATCCACAGTGGACGAAAGGGAGCCGTTCACGAGTTACGAGCTGTACTGTTTGGGCCTGTCCGTGCGGTTTTACCGCGGACACAGAATCATCGAGCACGACGGGTCGATCACGGGAGTACAGAGCTTGTTATGTTTCCTTCCGGAGGATGACTTTGGTATGGTCATATGTGGAAATGGGGATAACGCTGCGATCATTGCACATATTCTGGCTATGCAGTTGTTCGATGATGTGTTGAGTATCCCTGAACCAGGGCGGGTAGATTGGGGGCGGCGTGCGGTGGAGGTCACTGAGAGGGGTGCAAGGGAGGCAGCTGAGGAAGGGGCTGAGTCAAAGGGCGATGCGGACGCGCGGTATAATGCGACGGATTGGCCGTTGAGCGCGTTCACGGGGATGTTCGTGCATCCGGGGTATAAGACGATCATCATCGACATTGTTCCCTCTTCAAGGAAAAGTTCTGATGAAGGCGATCAAGAGCAGGAGAAGTTGCACATCGACGCCCTGGACCGCAGCGAGCCTTTTGAGGCGTTCTTCGAAGGTCTGCGGGATGTCAGGGACGACGAGGAGGCGGAGAAGTGGGAGGTCGAGAAGGGAAATGCAGTCATTTGCACAGCGGACATCGTTGATGATGGCGGGGAGGTCTTGAGTGTTTGGGCCGTCTTTGATTTTCGTGGCAAGGGGATTAGCGAAGGGGAAGGAGAAAGGGCACGGAGGGTCGGGATCGCATTGTGTGTATCCAAGGGGAATATGTTGATCTGGTTTGATCGGGGAAAGCGATAGTGATGGAATAAGTATTTGTGGAGTAATGCTCTTTGTAGGTACAAGTGTATTTGTCCTCGTCTGACTCGGTACATCGATGAAGTCGGGCAATACTAAGTATGGAAGTGGACACGTCTTCGCCTGTAGCAGCATGCAGTGTGCGTCGTTCTGACCTTACGATTAACATCATTAATGTCCAGTGCCTACAGCCTTGCCCATAACAGGCGTTTGCGTACTGTCCCCATCGATATATGCCTTAGGCATGCTCCAGGCCTAACGAGCCCGGCGTCCTGGTGGTGAGTTCACCACGGGATGTCATCCCCCACAAGAGCCTCGCCTGCACGAATTGAGGTTCTGCGACTCTCGATAATACTAGGAGAGCACATTGACAAGTCCGGCGGGTGACAGCTCGTGTCTATTCACGAGGACGTATGGGTCGTGCCGGTCCGCGGACGCATGCTGTATGCTGTGTAACTCGAGTAGACTTTTGTGGGCCGGACCGATCGGTCGAAGCCGCATTGTGATGGGTACCCGTCCGTGCGCTGCGGCTTTCCGAGCAGCATCTAGACCATCCAGGACAGGCTCTGTCCACATGCAGACCGCGGAGGTCTAAGTCGTCTGCCAGTTGCTCGCACTTTTGTTCTGGTACTCCCCACGGCGATGATTGTCTCCGAATAGATTTTATTCGTTGTCGCTTCTACTGATCGGCCCCGCCAGTGTGGTCTCGCATAGCTGCAGCGTGCTCAGCATCCGTGACGACTCTTGCCGTGACGAGTTTGAGCCATGGTGCTGGAGTTTGGAGCGCCCGGTCTGGTTTCTCGGGCGCCAATGCTTGGGCCAATGGAAGTTCCTTCAATCCTCCCTGCGCGTCCTGATGACCCGCACCCAGTCCTCTTCCCCTACCAACCTGCCTTGTTCGTCAAAGCTCAACATGTCGACACTCTCCTTCCTCCTCTTTCCCACAGTCACCTCACCAACACACCACACCTTCCTCTGGCTTTCATCGACGACAGCTTCTCGGAAGTGTGCTTTCAGCCCCGGCCCAAACTTCTGGACTCTATTCCGCCAGTGCTCGAGATATGCTTCTTTTGACCCAGCTGAACCAAGTGTGATAGGTGAGTCGTTGTGTGTGAGGGTCACGTTTGGGTGGATCATTGTTGATGCACGGGAGAGGTCGTGGGTGTTATAGAGTGTGTCCAGTAGATCGAGGGCCAGTGATTGTAGATCTGGGATATCTGATGTGCTGGAAGTGGACGCAGATGAGGAGGACCGCGATTTATACGGTGGTGGTGGTGGCATCGTTGGGAGGGTCTCGCCGACGAAGGACACTTTTCGCTGGCGAATGGAGCGGTGTGGGTGGACGGCTATTGGGGAGGAGATCGTCGCTGTCGGCAGTGCGATTGTCTTCATGGTGGTTATCTGTTCGTGGTGTCCTCGGCCAGTGTAATCGCGTTGTGTTGCGCGTTCGCGTGTGGAGACGCGGTGATGCAGACCCCGGTGGTCACTTGCAGTGAAATACTGTCCCCCTGTTGTGTCACAACTGTGAGTAGCTATGAAGCACAGTACGAATGCGGAGATAACAGTGATCGTTCGAGAGTTTTGATATATCAGCAGGACAGGCGAAGATCAAGAGCAAAGATATCGATAGTAACGAGAGTGGGCCGAGTATGATATAGAAAACTCAATGGTGTTGTGATCGAGGGGCAAACCATGAGACTCAAACGGTCCCGAGCGCCTCGCGTACATCTAGCTCAGACGCCCATAACGCCGAAGCGCGGTACAGTCCGAGTTCGTGGGAACATAGGCTGTATGGAACGGAACGAACGGACAGGTGTGTTCCAAGGAGCGTGGCATGTTCGTTTTGCGACATGTCTCAACAAAAAAGAGGAGACTTTTGAAGGGTGACATCTGAGTTCCAACCGCCGCTAACGGTCCTCGGGACGGACGTAAGCCGCCATTACTCTGGTTGGTAAGGCAGGTTAATCGTAGGCGCATGTGTTCCTCGTGGCAAACCCAAAAGGACCTGAGGTGTGTCTTCCGGGCCCGATGGAATCGTGATTGTTAAGGTGATGCTGGTTTGCTAATCGATGATTAGTATTCCTTGGGTGCCATTTCCAAGACGAAGCGTACGGCCTCAGGCGGTCTTGGGTGCCCTCTAGAGTAACTGAGATCAGTAGGCACTCCCGAATGCAGACTGCGCTTTGGAAACAGCGTCTCGGGCGAACAGAATCCCTGCTATACGCATCTGAGGATGTGGTAGGAGTTCGGAACTTGAAGGGAGGATCTCAAAACTCTGATGTAGGCGTTTGACGCAATTGCTGATCACCCTGGGTTTCGTTCCCAAAACGCGAAGGCCTACTCGGGCAAGTCGGCGTTAAGCGAGGATACTGTGTTCACATTGAATTCGATCTTTACCATCAGGCGGTCAGGCATACAGAGCATTGCTCCTCGGCGCCGCAGAAGTCGTTCTCTCACCGCGCTGATCGGAGGTGATACCACGGTTCTGCAAAATTGCAAACGCCAGATCTAATTTCAAGATGCACTTGCCACGTGACTGGATCATTTAGTCTCGGTACAGGCCGTCTTGGATCTTGGCAGTCTATGCTCCGAGCTGCGCCGGCCCGATCTGTGGGAGGCTGATGAGCAGTGGGATGTACCAATAATGCGAAGCAGTTGACACTTGAAACACGTTCACATCCAAGCCACACTGCCCACGTTGTACTGCTCGAGGACGTCTGCTACCTCAAGTGTCGCCGGCACGACCGTCCTCTCGTCTTGACAACACCCAAACCACGGCCGGAGACCTGATCAGTGACAGATCATGGCGGGACGCTTCGTGCGCTCCTCCAAATTCAGACACGTCTTCGGCAGACCTACAAGAAAGGTAGCAGACCTTTCACGAGACATGTGTCGCAGCTGACAGGTAGAAGAATGAATGCTATGACAATCTGAAGGTCTCCAGGAACGCCTGGGACTCGAACCTTCTCAAAGTGAGAGCGCACGTGCGGACTATGTGCACTGCATATAAGCTGACACTCCCCAGGCCAACCCAGACTACCTCGCTGTGAACTGGGACTCGAGTGGTGGAGGTGCTTTCGCAGTCATCCCTACTGGTGAAAATGGAAGACTACCAGATCGGATACCACTGTTCCGGGGGCACACTGCAGTCGTTCTCGACACCGACTGGAATCCGTTCAATGACTCTCTAGTAGCGTCTGGCTCCGATGACGGCAAGGTAGGAGTGTCCCTTGTCCTATTGACCAAGCTCATGTCCTCAGGTCTTCCTCTGGCGAGTCCCCGACGGTTTCACCCTACGACCCGACGTACCCGCAGATCAAATCGAAGACGTTGCGCCAGTGGGCAAGCTGAGTGGGCATCCAAAGTGAGCAATAAAGAGAGATGCTGGAACCAATTTCTGACCAGTGCAGGAAAGTTGGCCATGTCTTGTTCAATCCTGCGGCGGAGAACGTTCTCGCTTCCACTTCCGGCGACTTCACGGTCAAGCTATGGGACATTGAATCTGGATCATCGAAACTGACATTGAAAGTGGGTGAGGTCATCCAGTCTCTGTCTTGGAGCGCCAACGGCTCGTTACTCGTCACAACGTCCCGCGACAAGAAGCTCCGTATTTGGGATGTGCGGCAGGAGAAGCCGGCTGTCGAAGTCGCCGGACATCAGGCGCAAAAAACAGCCGAGCAGTGTGGATGGGCGAGCATGATCGCATTGCAACGACTGGCTTCTCGAAGATGAGCGACCGACAGTTAGCACTGTGGGACATCAAGGCACCCACTGCACCTGTCAATGGCTTCGAAATGCTTGACTCGATATCTGGCGTTTGCGTCCCCTTCTGGGACCAAGGGACTAGCTGTCTGTACTTGGCTGGCAAAGGAGATGGCAACATCCGGTACTACGAATACGAGAACGACAAGTTCGAGTACTTGTCCGAGTACAAGTCGTCGGATGCGCAAAGAGGCATTGCATTCCTGCCGAAACGCGGAGTGAATATGCATGAAAACGAGGTTATGAGGGCGTACAAAACGGTCAACGATACATACATCGAGCCAATTTCATTCATTGTTCCTCGACGAGCCGAGTCATTCCAGGAAGACATATATCCTCCGACATTTGGCCTCAAGCCGGCAATGAGCAGCGCGGAGTGGTTTGACGGAGCCGAGAAGATGCCGCCCAAGATCAACATGGAGAGCCTCTACGATGGTGACGCACCAGAAGAGATACCTGCATCTGCTGCTAAGCCGACGCCGAAAGCCGCCGAGCCTGAGAAGGCGCCCGAGTCCAAGAAGGAGACACCAAAGCCCGCACCTGAACCGACGCCTGCAGCAAGAGCTCCACCGGCATCAATGAAAGAGCAGGGAAGCTCGATGATGGCAATGGCGTCCAAGTTCGAAGACAAGGAGCCGGTCGAGGACAACGATGACGATGCGTCCAGCTTTGAGGAAGTGCAGAAACCGATTGAAAGGTCGGCCATCAAAAGTCCTGTGACACAGACAGTGCCCAAGCCTGCAGAGTCGCCAAAGGTGGCAACACCTGCGCCAAAAAGTCCAGAGCCGGAAAAGGTAAGCAAATATCGCATCTCTCGTAACTGATCAGATGCTGATCTATAACAGGTGTCGGAACCAGAGCCTGAGGCTCCTCTCCCACTGACCACCACTACATCGTCTGAGACAGCCTCGTCTCCAACCGCGTCAAGCGCGGACACAGAGGGGCTGCAACGAGAGATTAAAAACATGAAGACTCTGATGGCACAACAGACCAGACAGCTGGCCACACTGGCTCGTACTGTGCAAGAGTTGACAGCAGAGGTCAAGAACTTGAAAAGCCGATGAGTTCTTCGTGCAGTGTAGCGTTCATAGCGTACCGCGTAAGACAATAATTGTTCTTGACAACGAGAATACTATTTGTTGTAGACATCGACTACACGGCCCCTTGTATGATGATGTTTGATCTTGGACATGTAGCAGCTGGCACAGCAGGCGAGCTGGGACGGCAGTTGAGCTGGAGGCCGCTCCAAGCGCTCCAAGCGCCCCGAGCGCCCCAAGCGCACGAGTTTCTCCAAATTCGCAGAACGCGGCTTGACGCGTCTCCAAACACTCGAGCCACTTCCACATCCCTCGAGTCCTTGCCCCACGTCACGCCGATAACGTCGGTCTCTTAGTGTCCTGAGTAACATCGCCATTCACTATGCCATCGGTATGACTGAGACTCCATGGACCATCAAGCGCAAAGCAGCAACGCCAGTGTCATTCACCGGCAGGAAGCGACAGCGCGGTAACGATACGCCAGCCAGCGATAGTAGACGACAGCAGACTCTGACGCAGGCACAATGGATTCATTCAACGCCCAGCTTCAGCGAGGATGTCAATTTGACACCCGTGCAGGAGTCGAAGACGTTCAAGAGGAAGGCAAAAAAGGCTCGTGTCTCAACGTTGACTCAGATGCAATTCTTCGAGGGCCATGCCGCGTCCTTGAAGGAGGAAGATCTGGGACTGATCAACAATGACGAGGACTACAAACATGCTGCTGCTCCAATCCCGCAAGTTGATGGTACATATCACCAGAGTCCCCGCAGGCCACAAAAACGGAAACCAGTCCCAGTGCTGAAGACAGAGGGTATCGAATCTCAAGAATATCGGCCTACGAAGAAGAGTCGCAAGCAAGGTGATGATCAGACGGCGGATGAGCCATAAGATCCTCACGTCGTCTCGCCGAGAAAGTCTTGTCAGATCCAGCAGAGAATCTGAAATACTTCGAGGAGGCACTTACGCCGGACCCGACTATGCCACCGAAGCTAGAGATCGAGGACTCGACAGCGGACACCGAGATCTTCGACCTGACCGCGGAGTCACCCGACAAGACACCCGTGCGCCTTCCGAGAGGACACGATGGGATGACCGTCCCCTCCAGCCAGACACCTGACAGCATCACTCGCTCGGCCAGGAGATCTAGTGCTAGAAGGCCACTCGCTGAGCTATCAACAAACTTACAGGCAGCACCCTCGCCTCCCGCAGTCTACACGCAATCGCCATTCGGCAAGTATACTAGGAAGGCACTGAAGAAGCCAGCTAGACCTCCGACTTGTCCGACTGTGGAAGACTCACAGTCAAATTTGTGGTCTTTGAAAGCTACCTCGCCGATCGCACAGCAGAACTCGGCAAACAAAGAGAGTGACGTCTTGGGATCGTCTCCTCCCCTACTGGTGACGGGTGCCGCTTTAGAAGGGTTCGAGATTCCTTCGACGAGTCAGAACAACCCGAGTCACTCAGTTGCATCAGAACAGGTGCCTGCTGACACCAATGGGAGGAAAGCGTCTGTAGAAGCAGAGCCTCCCGGCCCAGTTCTCGATTGTCCACAAGTTTCAGAAGAAGGTCAGGTTGTCGTGGACGTGGCAGAGGGCAGGGTCGACGCGCGCGCAGTAGAGGACAATGGCAATCCGGTCCCCGTCCCGCGTACAAAGGAGCTAGAGCTGTCGGATTTGAGCTCACAATATGTGCGGATGGCTGTCAATTTTGCTGTACCTGATGAGGACGAAGCAGACTCTGACTTTGGATCACCAATACGTAACGACACTCAATTCAATCACGACGTAAAAGAGAGAACCTCGTCTCCATTACCGACACCCAGCCGTCCTGCTTCGGCTGGTCACGACACGGCAACAAAGCCACTCGCTGTGTCGCATGCGAGTCCAGCCATCTTGCCCCAGCCAACATTGCAGCAGAATGGCTCTGGAACAAGCACTGAGAGTCTTGCTCTACCACCACCTCCGCCGCCACGGGAAGCCGCCACGGGAAGCCGGGGATATGTTACAAGCAGAGTCCCGCTTAACGATACAGCACCTTCTTCTTCACCACCAGTGCAGCTCACCAATACTAACACCAAATCGACCACGCAACGCTCAGTCCGGCCCGCGTCGATGGCGCATCCTTCTCAAATATCCACACAGGAAGCTACACAATATACTGGCTACGGCGAGTCGTCTTTCGAACCACTCGAGACCCCCCGTGCGCCGCAGAGGGTCACCATCAAGGACTCAAGCTCGATCCGCCGATCGATCAGTCAGGTTCCTCAGCATGTAACTTCGCAGCCGGAATTCAACATTGACCTCGAATTGGGTGCAGCAGACGACGCAGAGCAAGAGGAAGTCCAAGGCAATGATGAGGAGTACGATTTGGACCCTCCATCCTCTGGTGTCGTTCCGGCGCCTGATCTGCCTGGAGGAGGCGAGAAGCTGCCAGTCGTTCCTGCCAACCCAGTCTCTACCGAAAAGCTGGATTCATCATCGCCATCCCCGCCAGCCTCTCCTGTAGCCGTAGCCCTAGGACCCACGCAGACCAGGCTCGGGCAAGAGCATCACGGGGTAGGCGCAATTGAACGGCATAAGCATGGCAGATCAACCTCGTGGGGCGGTGGGCGCACACAAGACCTACACTTCGAGTCTGGCGCCTCTCCACGACAGGCACGGTCTTCACCCAGACCTGCCCCTCGAACTGTCCCCGGTAAAAAGTTATCGCCAGCTCGAAAACACATCGCCCCCAAACTTCCCGTCGACTCAACTCGCATCTCGCCATCCACAACCAAGAAGAAGCAGTCCTCATCCAAGATCTCAAAGCGCGCTCCGTTGCCAATCGAGAACGCTCCGTCGTCACCACTGCTGCACAGTCGCTCATCGTCGCCTCCCGAAGGGGCTCTCGACCAGCTCAAAAAACCCCTCAATGAATACACTCAGCTCGAAGGTTACAATAACGAGACCCAGTCAAACTTCACACAGGGCGGGCACGTGTCGGCGGCTTATATACATCGGCAGCGTGAGAAAGGGCTGTTGCCGCCTGGGTGGACGCCAAAGTGCTTCAAAGTGCCTGGATTCACAAGGCGGTGAGCTGGTGGTGGAAGAGGAAGGGGCCGTGCGGTGAGACGATTGTGGTAACGAAATGCAGATGCGAGCGTGAGGCGTTTTTGATTGACTTCACTATGCTGCAGAGGGATACATCCAGCACGAGGAGGCGCTGGTGGCCCAGGTGTCTAAAGCGTTGCATCGCAGCCAGTAACGAGACGAGACTCGGTCCAACGCCCACAGTCTGTATTCTTCCACCGCAGTGTCATTCCCAGGCGCGTGCGACGCTTCTGAGACGTAGGACAGAATCACGGATTCCATGGATATAGGAAGGTAGAACAACGTCGCATGAACGCGCTAAGACGGGTGTGTACCAAGATGCCAAGAAACGTTGTCCATGTGGAGGCAGGTCCGATGACCAATTTGAACTTCCTGTTGACCGCTCTTAAGGCCGTGAGGGAAGGATCCCGCAGGACACATAGCCAGATCGTCCAGGCCATCACTTACTAGCGCCTCTACGCATTACATAGCTGTTATGACATATGATTGCTATAAAAGCGCAACACTCTCGAACACCGTAGGTCATCTTCTTCAATCGTTCTGAAGCAGACGTTCTTTCAGCTTGCCAGACACCAGCATTCTGGGCACACAAGTTCATGCCCGACACCGGCCCTAGACCTTGGTCCTACGTCGCACTGACTCACCTCCGACGTCGATTCATCCAAGTGAAGATCAGAAGCCTCCTCAAGACCACGACTATTTTCCAGTAACGCCCGTCATGGCAGCCACAGCCCAGCCGTCCGATAAGCCCGTCATCGGCATCCTGTCTCTTGGCGAGATGGGCACCGGGATAGCGAAATTGCTGCTGGCACACGACTACGAGGTTGCAACGTGCACACAAGGCCGAAGGTGTGTTCCTAGCTCGCCCCAGATCTTTCCTTGCCTGTGGAAATATAACAGAGTCTAACGCTCGGGCACACATAGCAAGTACACGCTTCGCCGCATTCAAGAAGCCAATATCAAAGCCTACGACACTGACTCCAAGTTTGTCGCTGAAGTTGATGTCCTCCTTAGCATTGTACCGCCACGTGATGCCACCGCCACCGCAGTGAGAATGCTTGAAGCGAGCAGGAACGTCGACGCCATCAAGCGTAGAAAAGAGCGCTTGGCGGAAGCTACTTCGGACACCAACTTGATTTACATCGACTGCAATGCGATTAGCGCCAAGACGAGCCGCAACATCGCTGCGTTCTTCGTGCCCCAGGAAGGTTCAAGCGAAGATTTGTCACGGTCTGGCAGTGGATCGAGACCTGGATCGCAGAGTTCCTCGGCTCCAGCGCCGCCGCCTCGGAGGTTCTCGTTGGCTCGTCTTCTGTCCTCCGATGCTCCCACAACTGCAGAGCCCGGCTCCCTAGCGGGACCATCAGCGCCGATCAAGATCGTCTATCTCGATGGGGGCATCATCGGCTCGCCGCCATCTCAAACTAAAACAGCAACAAATTCAGCCGACAAGACCAACAACAACACCAATACCAGCCCTTCCTCCTCCAAAACCCCAGGCCCCTCAACCCAGCCCAGCCCATCGGAATGGAAACGACCCTCCCTCGTCCTCTCCGGGCCCTCAATCACCACCCTTCTTCCCTCCTCCCTCCTAACCACCCTCAACGCGACCGCCATCTCCCCAACCATTGGCGCAGCCTCAACCCTCAAATCCTGCTTCGCCGCCACCACAAAGGGCCTCACCGCCCTCCTCACCCTCTCCCTCGCCACCGCCTCGCAATCCCACGTCCTGCCCCACCTGTTGTCACATCTCGAAACTTACGCGCCGCAACTCCTCACCGCCGCTCAAGGATCCATGCCCACGATGCCGCCCAAGGCGTACCGATGGGTTGAGGAGATGCGGCAGATTGGGAGCACGTTTGCGACGGAGGGTGGGTTGGAGTGTGGGGAGACGGTGTTTGGGGGGGTGGCGGAGTTGTATCGCTTTGTGAGTGAGGATACGGTGTTGGGGAAGGAGAGGACGGAGAGTAGGAAGAGGGGGAGGACGGCAGAGGATGTGGCTGCGTGTGTGGCGGAGGGGGTGAGGGAAAAGAGGAAGAAGGCTGAGAAGGCTGATGAGGTTGGGGGCAAGTTGGTTTGGAGGGGAAGTTGGGACTGAACGTGCTGTTCCGGCCGGTTATGCGGGTGAGATAATGCGTGAGCGGGCGGTTCTGGACGGTGTGCACAAGCTATTTTGGACATCTATGCTGGAGCTAGATGAGGTGCTCAGATTAATCTGAAGTCAACCACGTCCCAAGCTTACTTGACAAGACCTTTGTTTTAGCCAATCTGCGATGATTGCATTCATCTCCTGCGGCCTTCCGGAGGCCCGCTGATGGCTAGGGTCTACAACATCTGCAGGTGTTCTAGTCTAGATGAGGCCGGCAAGAGATACTAGGCGAGAGCGTCGTTGTGCGACGGACTTTCTGTCATATCGTTCGCTCGCCTCGTCAAGCAGCATCAGACGCTATGTTGACGTGGCAAGTTCGGTCGTCCTGTGGAGATGGCGCTGTAGAGAAGAAAAGAAGAAGAGGATCAGGGGCGACTCGATTACTTATACCTCATCAACACAAGTGAAGACCAAGGCAGACGCGAAGCGATAACTTTACTGACTCGGGCGGGAGTCATTCACTATTCGCGGCATGGATCTGGAGATATTCATTACTCATAGCATGCTTCAGATCAGCTGACATTCACTGTTCAATGCAGTTTGATTCAACACTCTTGAGGGACGCTGTCGCCGAAGCTCTCAGCAGACCGGTGGACAAGAACGAGCATGGAAATATATTCGACATACCGTACATCACAACTTCGCCTTCTTCCCACTGTCCTTGTCTTCCTGCTTCGCCTTATCTTTCAGTACTCTCCGCAGTATCTTCCCACTTGCACTCTTCGGAATCTCCTCGATGAACCTGACGCCACCTCGCAATCTCTTGTGGCTTGCAACCTGCTCACTGACCCACTTGACGATCTCCTCCGCATCTTTGTCGCTGTCTTTGCCCTTCGCCGGAACGATGTATGCTCTGGGAACTTCGGTGTGCATCTCTTCGTCCTGGACGCCGATCACGGCTACGTCGTTGACGCCTTCGTGGTCCATTAGTTTGCCTTCGAGCTCGGCGGGTGCGACTTGGAACTAGAGCGGAAGTAAGTACATAGCCCCGAGCTATAGCAGAGCAAGAACTCACGCCTTTGTACTTGATCAGCTCCTTCACACGATCAGTGATATAAAAGTTGTTGTTGGCATCTTGATATCCAACGTCGCCCGTCTTGAAAAACTTTCCATCTGGCGACATAGAGTCTTTTGTGGCTTTCTCATTCTTCCAGTAGCCTTTAAATACATTGGGCCCAGACAGCCAGAGCTCGCCAGGCTGATTTGGAGGCACCTCTTCACCCTCTTCCGACATATACTTCGCAAGCATGTTAGGAAACATCTTGCCCACAGATCCAACTGAGCTGTACCACTCGTCCCATGGCTGAGTATGCGTCATTGGAGAGGTCTCGCTGAGACCGTAGGCTTGGTTGATCTTTATCTTCGTTCGTTTGTGAACAGTGTCGACGAGCTCTTTGGTCAATGGTGCCGCTCCTGAAGTGATCATCTTGACGCTGCTGATGTCATATTTGGACACGAGCTCATCACGGGCCAGGCGGACGATAACTGGTGGTGCGACGTAGATGAAGGTGATCTTGTGTTCTTGGATTGCTTCGAGGAAGACTTTGAGGTCGAATGCTGGCATGACGATTACTTCGAGGCCTCTGTGGAGTGGTTGGTGGAGGAGGCCCGTCAGTCCGTAGATGTGGAAGAAAGGAAGGACACCCAGGATCTTATCCTTCCCACCTTCGTACCACTTGCCGACCGCGCCGTTGATGAGAAGGACATCCGCGATGATGTTTCGGTGACTGAGCATGACACCCTTTGGCAGGCCAGTCGTTCCTGAGCTGTAAGCTAGAAAAGCCAGGTCCTTGTCTGGGTCCATCTTCCGCCTTCGGTACCGTACAGCACCGCTGGTAGCTCTGATGTTTGTCCAGTGCTTGAACCTGTGGGAGTCGTCTCGCTCCTCGCCCAACAAGATAATCCGATCGCTGTCGATACCGGCCTTCTTGGCCGCCTTCTCTGCATTGGCGAGGAACTTCTTCGTGGTGACCAAAGCTTTGGCTTCTGAGTTTTTAAGCTGGAACTCTAGCTCGTTTGCTGAGTATGCTGGGTTGGCTGGTGTGACTATGCCGCCGGCGTAGAATGTGCCGTAGATAATTGGGGAGAAATCAACATCGTTTGGCGCGTATACTAACACGCCTGTCAGAATGAGTGCGTATCGAGAAGAACCCGAAGCAGGAGACTATTGTCTCGCCCGATCCAGATCCATGAAGATACGTACTGGCTAAAGTGTCGCCCTTTGACCAATCCCATTGATTGCGTAGCCCTTTGCCGAATGCTTCGGCTGCTTCTCGTACCTCACGCCAGCTGTATTTCCGTGAAGAGTCATTGCAGGAGCGGTATATAACTTGGTCGTCCGAGAAGTTGCGATCTTTCCTCTCGAATATGAATCCCCAAAGGTCGACACTTGGTATTTCTACCGTTGGGAAGGACGAGTCGGTAGGCATTTTGGCCTGCCCAGCATCTGGCTAACCTCAACTTATGACTTAATACAACACTGTAGACGAAGGTGATTAGAGAGCGGTAAGTCAGTATACTGTATGCCAAGGGCGGCGCTCGATTGTCCTGTGCGAAGCTATAGCACGCGCGGCTGAATGCGCTATCATAGAATGATCAAGGAAGGGTGTCTCTTGTCAAGAGCTTTTTGATCTCTGTCGAGGCCGAGGAGGTCGATCGATGGCATCATAACGCGCCGCCCGGGCGGACGCTTTCCCCGCGAACTGCCCCAGAGAACCGTTCTGGGCTCTGAGCGTGGCTTATCACGTGGAGGGCTTGAATCTTTAGTCTCTGCGAGACAAACACTGAAGGACTCAGTCTCGTCGCTTATACCGCTACGCCATTTAATTACAGTCCGCTGTCTCAGGCGTCAGGTTGCTTCATGTACGACATAAGGCAGTCTCGCAGGTCAGTTGTCTAAGCGACTCGCGTTTTTGACGCCTGAGGTTCAAGAGCATGTGAAGCCAATGCCGAGGCAAAACGTCTTGGCTGAGCCTGGGACAATCACCGAACTTTATCAACTCCCTTGAGTCCTCATCGACATCTGTCATCCTACCACCTCGATCTATCGTGCTTGATTACTACACGATGGTCGCCGACGCGCTTGTATACCATCCGGCGGTGTCGCACTACCTGCGCTATGTCGCAACAACGATCGGTCGCGACAAGGTGCTGAGGTGAGTGATGAACCGAAGCAGGTCTGATCTATACTGATTACTGTTTCGCAGGACCATCCAGTACTTCTCAAGATTCTACGCCTGGTACCTCTACCGGACCAACAACCCAGAACGCCTGATACAACCATGGGCAACGCTCAAAGTCCAATTCGCGCTTGTCAGGAAAGTCCTACGGGCAGGCAAGTTCGTCGAGCACGTCCGTGCCGGCAGTGAATTGTACGACGCTGCGAGCAAGACTCGCAGTGGCGACCAAATCACCGCCTACCTCCAGATCCTCCGACAGGTTGGCTATGCTGGCTACCTGTTCTTCGACATGTTGACCCTGCCGGACGCGTTGGGTGTGAAGAAGTACACAAGCGCGAAGAGGCTGCAGGCGACAGCCTACAGGATGTGGCTCCTGGGACTGGCGGCCAGTGCTTCGGCAGGCGTCTACACCCACTACAAGCTGCAAGCACGATTGAAGGGCATCAGCGTGAAGGATCCCGAAGGCCGTGTCGAGAGACTCAATGTGGCTAAGTAGGAATCTCACCCTCAGCTCACCATCCTCTTACTGACACAACTTGTGCAGGCAGCAGAAGGCTACTAACATGCAACTTGTCAGCGATCTATGCGACCTGACAGTACCAGTACATTCCTTGGATACGCTTCCTTCGACGATGGCATAATTGGCCTTGCTGGAACCACCAGCAGTTTGATCGGTGCGTACGGCGTCTGGACGAAGACTGCTTGATAGCACTTCTCCGAGCGAGCGCGGCCATAGCAATAAGGTACGACGCGCTCTGGAGCTCTACCCCGAACGATGGCTGTATGACTTATCGTGAAGCGGCCATTTTTGGCAATCCCGATTTCGCCCGAATGAGTCGGGGATGATATTATCCACCTGGCGGGACAGCAGCCGGTCTGGATGCGGCGCAGCCCCGTCGAAGAAAACAACCATTTTTCATGTGTCTTGCCAAGCTGGAGTCGGGGAATCCTTGATGCAGACAATTGAAGCAGGTTCGAGTGTGAGCTAGACCAATGGGCACTACAATTGGTTGCAATGAGCACGCGTTCATACCAACGAAGATCTTTTCATGGTTGATCCTGCCATCATCTTCATGAATCAGGAGACGTACATGTGCATTTGCGCATTTGCATCTCATCCCACGTGCCAGAGCTACGCTACCTACCTCTCCAGGTAGGCGTTTGTCCTTTCAGGGCCGCAGCGCCAAGAGAAGGCATCAAGTACTTAAGTAGGCAGGCACCTAAGTCAAACCTTCGAATGAGCGTACACCATGCCCAAACAGTGCGACCATGATCCTCAGGCACAAACGATCACATCGCAAGTCTTCGAGTACGTAATCTCGCGGTCTTACCGTGACCTCATCAGCGACAATGTCGAATCGCGAAGCCTGTGAGCGTTGTTGCTTGGCTTCGTAAGAACGTGCGGGGCAGGAGAAACTTCGCGGGGAAGTAGCACTTCAGTATCTGGTCGATGCGGCGACTCATCAGGCTGGTTGCGCGGCAGAACCAAAGCAACGAGCGTCGTTCACAGCAAACACGGCATCTTCGGCCATGGAACGACAACAGAGAACAACGTGAATGGGATCCGTTGAAGACTGCCGTGTATCAGCAAAGATCGACGGGTAAGAAACGGGTACTATTAGCTCTGGGGAACATTTCCGAGCTTCCTTTGTCCCTGCTCTTGCCAATTGAATGCTGCGACGATTCTCATCAGGCCTAGCCCACAGCTCTTTCGTCATCCTCAATTTGCAGTATTATCCTCATTTTCTCTCTAGATCTACAAGTGCCAGCTCTCGTCTTCCGTCTTCTCTTCGTCAAGTGTACATCAGGTAAGTAATTTGAATAAATCTGAGCTGATCTGAGGCTCAGATCGGAAGTATTCGGATTGCTGTGGACAGTCTGCCTGATATAAAGCTGACTCGCTTTCTCCATACTCCAGACCCAACTTCAAGTTCCCGACTGTGCCCGAACTCTACCTTGGCTTGCTTCGATACATATCTACTATCCCGTCCGCTTCCCCAAATACGATGGCCGATTTCAAACGTGTCACTGCTCCTACCACTCGCCTGACTACTCAACGTCAAGATTCAGCTCCAACACGCACAGACATTCTCAAACGACAGCTGCGTGACTACAAGCCTACCAACATGGTTTCCCACTCAGTCAACAAGACTGCCCTCCACCCTGGTGGTGTCACTGCCGGCAAGGAAGAGCATACTGAGATGTAGGTTTTCCAGGCCGTCGTAGCACGGCCTTTCCACAACTGTGCCCGGTACTAACTGCTCTCACCACAGTGAAGAGACATTACACGAGCACGCCAACATCGACTATGATAGAGTTGCGATAGTAGCCAACCCTTCTGTTGCTGCCCTGTATGAAGATGCTTTGGTACGATCATCTGCTTGACTTCCCGTCTGGTCAGCTAGCTCATGAGTACCAGGTCTACGAAAGCGGTTCTGCAGTTACTTCAAGCGGTGCTTTGACAGCATACAGCGGCGCAAAGACTGGTCGTTCACCATCAGACAAACGTATTGTCAGGGAACCAGATTCCGAGAAAGATATCTGGTAAGTCTACACTCCCGGGATTGATGCATTCGTGGCAGCTCCGGCTGTGGAGGCTTGTCTCGCTGTCCCGTTCTCCTGTCCTTTTGTACGATACTAACTATTTGAACAGGTGGGGACCTGTCAACAAGGAGATGAGCCCAGAGGTGAGTTTCAAGACCACATTTTTCTGTTCTCACGCGACCGAGGTGCTTTCACATGTGTCTGTTCCTTATCCTCGGAATGAGCTGCGACTCCTATCACCATGACGTCCATCAATGGCAGTTATCCGACAGGCTGTATCCCCGCAGACGATAATGCGGACAGGAGGAAATTCCCGATGCAAGCCATGACACGAAACTTCCACGCGACATATGGTGGGGCATGCCAACGGTGACGTTCTTTCGGACATTAGCCGAGGCCTCATTCTCGCCAAGATTTCTTCCGATGTGGGCAGATTGGCGCCCCACCATTTCACTGCCTACACCATACACATGTTGCTAGCTAAATCCGTGTATAGCCGCTGACTGGTTTCGACAGGTATGGAAGATCAACCGCGAGCGAGCAATCGACTACCTCAATACTCGAAACCGCATCTACGTGGTAGATGCTTTGCCGGCTGGGACGAGCGATACCGAATCAATGTTCGAGTGGTCTGCGCCCGAGCATACCATGCTCTCTTCATGCGGAACATGCTCATCCGCCCGAGTCGGAAAGAGCTTGAGCACTTCCACCCCGACTACGTGATCTACAATGCTGGCAGCTTCCCAGCCAATCGATACACCACGGGCATGACCTCAGCAACCAGTGTATCAATCAACTTCGCTGAGAAGGAGATGGTGATACTAGGGACCGAGTATGCTGGTGAAATGAAGAAGGTTAGTCAATAATTACCTGCTCAGGGCGGCCCCTATGAAATTGCGGCTAACAGAAACACTAGGGCGTCTTCACTGTTCTCTTCTACGAGATGCCTGTCAAGCACAATGTCCTGACTCTGCACTCGTCCGCAAATGAGGGCGAAAAGGGCGATGTTACTGTCTTCTTCGGTCTCTCCGGAACTGGCAAGACCACATTGTCTGCTGACCCCAAGCGAAAACTCATTGGTGATGACGAGCACTGTTGGTCGGACAAGGGTGTCTTCAACATCGAGGGAGGTTGCTATGCCAAGTGTATTGGTCTCAGCGGCGAGAAGGAGCCTGACATCTACAACGCCATTCGCTTCGGCTCGGTCCTCGAGAACGTCGTCTTCGACCAAGACACCCGAGAAGTTGACTACGATGATTCGACTTTAACAGAAAACACCCGGTGTGCATACCCCATTGACTACATCCCAACAGCGAAGATTCCTTGCCTGAGCGACAACCACCCGAGCAACATCATCCTGCTCACCTGCGACGCACGCGGTGTGCTACCTCCTATTTCGAAACTCGATACCAACTCAGTCATGTACCAGTTCATTAGCGGCTACACGAGTAAAATGGCTGGTACGGAAGACGGTGTCACAGAACCTCAAGCAACCTTCTCGTCGTGCTTTGCACAACCCTTCCTGGCACTACACCCCATGCGCTATGCCAAAATGCTTGCCGAGAAGATCCAGCAACACAATGCCAATGCATGGCTCCTCAACACTGGTTGGGTCGGCGCTGGCGCCGCTACTGGCGGCAAGAGATGTCCTCTCAAGTATACTCGCGCAATCTTGGACGCGATCCACAGCGGAGAACTTGCAAAGGTCGAGTACGAGACATATCCTACTTTCAACCTGCAGGTCCCTAAGACATGTCCCGGCGTTCCAGACGAGATGCTCAACCTAAGACGAGCTGGACGGGCTCGAGTGGCTTCGACGAGGAGGTGACAAAGCTTGCCAAGCTGTTTGTCGAGAACTTCGACAAGTACAAGGGCGAGGCGACAGAAGAGGTCATCAAGGCTGGACCGACTGTCTGAGGGCATTATTTGTTTGAAAGCAGTCATTGCTAGGCGTTGGGAGATGGGTTAAACACAACAATGCGTTCGTCGACCTGTACATTCCATTGGACACGTGCACAAAAGGACAACCACGAACGCGAGACGCGAGAGGCATCACGAAGTCAATGAACGGACAGCAGTCCGATGATGGCGCCCAGCACATTCGAATGCGGGTGACCTCCCTGTAGTGATAGTAGCCTATATCAATCCAAGACAACTGCCAGTTCAGATCTCTCTGGTGCTCCTCTGGCTCGACTCAGCGGTATACGAGTGCATCGTACTGCACAACGGTCGCCAGGACAGTTCGAAGCAGCAGATGTTCCAGATCCCCACAACGCCCTCCCTGGTCAGAACATCTACAATGAATATTCCCTGCACGCTCATGCTCATGTAAGGCTCATCCCGGATTCGCCGACTGAGTCAATTGGTTGAGTCGGACTTTTAGTGCCCGTCCTGGTCTGGTGACCCTTGATGAGTAGCATCTAGGTGTTGAACAATCGATGCCTCAAGGACGGTTCAACCAACTGAGCCACTGCGTGAAAGGCTTCTAGGGACCTCTGTAGCATGTCACAATTTATCGAAGACGAACACTCGGGCCCCATATTACAGAGAACGATCTGCTCATACGTTCCGCCATCGTCCGTTGGAAAGGCTGGGCGTAGAACAGTGAGTCTTCACCAAGTGGCAGGTTATGTATTCTATGCAAGTCGCACTTTCCATTCGAAAATGTCCGAGCACGCTTCCCGCACTTCCATGGTCCCGATTCTTCGGTAGACCGGCTATCAGAGCTCGTGGCAGACTTTCAATGCACGAAGGTACCATCGGCAGGTTGCTGAGAATAGCATCTCACAAAGCAGGCCACGTCATAAGGTCTTGAGACCTCGTAGGGTCTGGACATCCACTGTAACTAATGCGAAATTGTCCGTGCAATGAGCAGCAAAGAATCTACGATGTGCAAATAAGATCATGTCTCATCTCAACAAGACAGTGGGATAGTAGGACAATGTTTCGAGGTCACATATAGTATGTAGTATTTTGATGTGGTGGTGCTGAAAAGGCTCAGACCCGAAGTCAGGGCTCTGCTTTCTTCTTCGGTTGCAGGCTTCCAGAAAATCAGGGTCTTCCAAGCGAAGGATGGCCGCAGTAGATCCTTGGCTGAACCTGCACTGCGCCTTCTCGAGCGGGAAACCGCTGACTCTTGTTCCATCTCTAGGCGTGCCTGAGCGCCCGTGCGAGCCACCGACCTCATCCTTACTACGGCCGCTGCAGACGCCGCTGCGAATTGATCTCGCCCCCTCAGCATCTCCTACCCATCTTCTTATACTCTCTTCCATCCCACGGCAACTCTTCCACTGCCACACATCCCATATGTCATCTATACACGACCTGTCGATGAATGCGAGACCACACAGTTATCACAGAACGACTCTGTAGCCATGACATCCGGATTACTGCACAGTAATCACACGACGTCCCACTTCTGAGCCTCGTCTCATTGAGGAGGTATCCCATCAGCTGCCTTTCCGCTCGGCTTCAGCTTTTCGACCGCGCAGCATTGGCGCAAACCATTTCTTACACTCTTTGAACCCTCAGCAAGACCGTTGATCATTGTGCTCTTGCCAACGCAAGATCCACAGGCATCACTCGAGCCAACACAGTCATCCCGTGCGCTGCCGAGTCCGCACTAGACATCGCGCCCCGCCTTCGCCGAACTACACTTCTACTGAGCATTGCATCGTTCCTACAATTGTCCAGACCTCAGTCGCAGCAGAGCAGCGCACGAATTATGCTGATCGACGGGGAGAAGTATGCCTGTGAGGCCTGCATCAGAGGCCACCGCGTATCATCATGCAATCACTCTGATCGAGAATTGGTGCATGTAGCCCGCAAAGGCAGACGTAAGTCGCACCAGGTTTCTGTTCTCGCTCTGCCCCGAAAGCACACCAGCACGGTCTCACTAACGCAACAGCAGCCATATCGCAGTGCCAACACTGTCGAGGTCAGCGAAAAGCCCGCAGCCAGCATACCAACTGTGATTGCGGCGCCAAAGGCGACGAGAAGGATCAGCATCATAGCGCCGCATGTCGCTGTAACCAGGACAAAACCTGTATATGTGGAATCAAAAAGGACAAGAGTGCACAGATAGTGCATGACAACGACTCCCCGAAACCTCTATCCTACATCAAGAATCACCACGATAACAAGCCCATTGTCTTTACCGGCAATGGCCACCACAAGCCTGCTCACAAATTCAACGATGCGCACAATCAGTTGGGCTCGCCGTACAAAATCCCTTCCAGGGCAAGTTCGGTCAATCATCACAGCCTCAGCAATCTCAACAGCCTCGCTCAGCGATCACACGATAGTCTTCCGTTGACCAAATTCGCTCGACCACATCACGAGTCGCCGTTGGCCCACCAATTGACACCGCGACAAATCAAGAGCGAGCACAACTCGCCAATGATGCGCCCGGTCAATGCGCAGGGCAATGTGCCTAATGACCTCTTCCTATCGCCGTTCGACTCGAATGCTTATGGATATTCGCCATTTACTTCGAACCCAGGCAACGTCCAGCAAAACAACACACAGCCTGTGTACAATTTTGACGGTCAAAGTTACAATGGATTTTCGATGCCATATTCACAACCGGAAGAGGTTCAGTCGCAGTCGAATGTGGACTGGGACGCCTACGACTTCAATGGACTGAACAATGATGGCAACAATCTGATGCTCAATGACCCGACGTTCTTGACAAACTCAGCACTCGCTTCTGAGCAGTTCGGCAACCTCAACCTCGGCATGACTCCGTCAAGCGGCGATGCGACAGATGCTGAAGAATTCGGGTTTCCCAGACCTGAGCCGCCCCGGTCACAAAGTGGCGACCCATCGACATCCGTGAGCAGCCCGGAGAACAGCCAGATGGATCGTTACCGATATAGTGTTGAGAGCACGCCTCAGACGAGCGCTTTTACCAATGAAGATGGTCTGGAGATTGATGATGTCTTGCGACAAGCACAGGAGGAGACCAAGCGTCTCTCGCTGCAGAATGCCATACGACAAAGGGCACATCTACAGGCAGTGCTGAGCCAGAACAGCTCCCAGGAAAGTCTTGTTCCACAAAATCAGCCGCCGAGTCAGAGCCACACGCCAGTCAATCAGACGCCAGTGCAGGCAAATGCGAGTATGCATCCATTCACTGTGCACGAAGCTCAAGAACGAGCGCATTCTACGGGAGCAACGCCTGTCCCGGACTTGAAACAGGATGCTTTCGCAGGGAGTCCTTCAGATCCCTCCTGGTCTGCACCGGTGGACATTTCGAGTTTGATGCTGAATTTGGACGACGCGCAGGAAGATGAGGACTGGGTCCGATGACAGCACCGAAGTGTACGGCGGAACGACGAATTGACGGAGAACACGAATGACATGATCTGGGTGAGCAGACGCGCTGCGGCCTAGCATTGGAGTTGTGGCGGGAATCAAAGTTCATGTAGAGAAGTGCACAGGGCTTTCATGCACAACAATTCTTTGCGTCGGATCTGTTCTTGAGAAAGAGGAGGAACATTTGACAGCCCTGGGAATTATTTGCTGCGGCTACACGATTGCATCTGTTGATGGATGTGATGCAGTGGAATACTCTATCTTGTTCATCGAGTGTCAACATCAAATGCTTACTTGTATTTGTGACCGGTCAAGGCGACTGTGGGACTTGTCCATTAGCCGGAATTGTATCTAACTTTCGGTATATGTGGCTGCAAGCGACCTTATGGACCTGGAGTACAGTATCAGATGCCTTGTCCGGCAAAGACCATTGACTTCAAATTTGCTGCAGGCTACTCAACACAAGGTCAACCGTTCTACGCCGCTCGGACTGCATCTCGCTAAAGCAACTGTACCTGGACACGGGCATGTCGCGCAAGGGGCTGCCTGGTTGCCTGGATCAATTGTTACAAGAACGCATACTGGCAGCACCCGTAGATGACCCATCTGGACCTGTAGATCAGTGCCACAAATCCAATTGGGTCCCGCTCGGTCCCGGTATGAAACGAGTGCCAAGCCATCTCGACTTTCACCGAGTTTACCCAGAATGAGGTCCTCCTTGCCAATGTTCGCCAAGGTGTTTCGAATCGAGTCATCCTCCCTAGTCTTTCGATATCAGCCGGTATGTTTCGTCCTTCTAGCAGCCCATCCCCGCTTGCAAAGCCTGTCGAGCAGCACTTTATGGACTTGATGGAGCCTGCAACAGGCATAGCCGCCCCTTCGAGTTCGCTTCGACGGTTGTGTGCCGTGGCGGAGATGGTGGCCGGCTACATTCCTCGATCTTGGGCTTCTCCTTTGAGCAGGGAAGAGTCATCCGAGGTGCTGGCCTTACGCGTTGACCTTCTAGGAGAAGAGCCCCATCACTCTGGCTCCCACCTCAGGACAAAGATGAGATACGAATCAATGCTGGCGTTGTGCTGAGACACGATGCCACGAAACATCAAAGCATTGCTGCTGTCCAGCAGTACGCACCGACGAGTGCTGGCCTGGCGGGGGACGTCTTCTCGCTTGCAACTTCTCAGAATCCACGCAGGCGGTTCGGTTAATGTGTATCCTGGACGATCTCAAACACTCCCTTGTCCTGTCCGTACGACGACCTCGTTGTCAGGGATAGGAAAGACGTGTCATTCTTTTGATCCATTCTGTTACAGATGCATGACCGCGTTGCTAACGATTAGGTCTCTTTGGCTCACAAGTATAGGGAGAGTATTTACCTTGCGAAAAGTAGGCTTCAGCCTCCAGGACCCCCTCCAAATCTTTTCACACCCTGTATCTGGTGTCAGTCGTTTCAGCTTGGCGTTCCTTCATGAACGTCAGACGGTACATCAATTGCGCATGGATGATTCTTAACCTCCCATGCTTCGTAAGATAGTGGTCAGTGGTTTGCATACTGTAGACACGTCGCTGGCATGGACCAAAAAGGTATATATCTGCTTATTTCCTCCGCCATTTGTTCACGATGCTGCTCCTTAACCGACTCAGCAGGTCTCTTCATTGTCCAGTCACTCTTTCCATACATTCATTCTCTTGTCGATTGACTCGATCATTCATTGCATTCATTACCATTCTCTTCATTGACTGAAGAGCTTGCACACTCACCAAAAACACACTCATTCCAACACTACAGTCCAACGACGACACCTATTCACCAAAACTTCCATCAACAACAATGTCCGTCCTCGCCCTTCTGGCATTCGCCGGCACAGCCCTTGCCCACGGCCACGTCTCATCCTACACTGTTGGGGGTCAAGTCATCCAAGGCGGCACCAACGGCGGCCTTTCAGTCAATCCCCGCCCTAACACCCCGGCCTGGCTTGCCGCCAACAACGACAACGGCTTCGTCACCGATGTCACCTCGCCCGACGTCATCTGCCACAAGAGTGCCGAACCCGGGTCATCGTCCTTCACCGTCGCTGCGGGAGACACCATCACGTTACAGTGGAACACCTGGCCGGACAGCCACTCTGGGCCCGTGATCGACTATCTTGCTCCTGTCAATGGAGGCTTTGAGTCCATCTCAAAGAGCTCGTTGCTGTTCACGAAGATCGCTGAAGCCGGCCTCTCAGATGGGAAGTGGGCAGCCAACGAACTCATCGCGAACGGCTTCATGTGGCAGACAACCATCCCAAGTTCAATCGCTCCAGGCAACTACGTCCTCCGGCACGAGATCCTGGCGTTGCATGAGGCGCAGCGCGTTGGTGGAACTCAATTTTATCCTCAGTGCATCAACATTGAGGTGACTGGGAGCGGCACCAACACTCTCAGCGACGGCACCCCTGGCACTCAACTGTATGGCCAGACCGAGCCCGGTGTGATCTTCGATATGTACAACAACCCGACTTCGTACCCCATCCCAGGTCCTGCTGTCATGGCTGGCGGCAGCACTGGAGGCGGCAGCGGCGGTGGCAGCCCACCAGCGACCACAGCCACGGCTACATCAGCTGCACCGACTGTTGCGGTGCCTACGACGACGCTGAGGACCTTGACTACTACTGCTGCGCCGGCACCTACTGGTGGCAACACTGGTGGCAGTGGTACGGTCCCCAAATGGTCGCAGTGTGGTGGACAGGAGTACAAGGGCCCCACGAACTGTGTTTCTGGTACGACTTGTCAGGTGTTGAACCCTTACTACTTCCAGTGCTTGTGAGCTATTGGGAAAGTTGGACGCGCTCGCAAGCGGAGAAATTGCATGGCAACGGCCAATCGATTTTGTTTGCTTTCATTCACGGCCGAATTATATGAACGACTTTGTTCACTTTCTAGGAGAATATGAGATTTGAGGCTGAGGCTGAAGAGACCTTTGTAGGCGTCGTTCAATGTTATGATGAACATTCTTGCTGCCGACTGCTACTTCGACCGATCCTGTTCTGCTCTCGTAGTACGCTAGCCTTCACCAGAGCGATTCGAATGTAGTTGCCAGTATTACCACAATGAGTCCAAAGGTGATCTTCCGTCGATGACTGGGTTTCAGACACTTATTCTCCTATCGAGAAGCAGGACTTGGAATTCTTACAGTGCCCTCACTGACCAGAGAACATGTGATCCATGATTTGCACTTATAAGGCTCAAGTAAAACTCATCTCAGTCCGCCGATTTGATGAGTACACCGCGGTCACATCATCAGGGCTCGCCCGGACCGGAATGCATGACGCATTGTTTTGACTGACTGAGCTTCGAGTGAGGCTTATCTCAATGTATACTGAAGGTGTTCTTGTAGAAGTGAAGTTGGACGACGAGTGAATGAATACCTAGGTAGTGGAAGGTATTGTGCCTGACGATATCGATAAGGCAAACTTCTAGGCATCAACTCGGAACGACTCCGGAAAGTCGTAACCTTTGAAATATTTAAATAATTCCTACAGCGCCCGCCCTGGCCAGGAAATCTGCCACGATTCCCGCGCTCCAGTGACGCTCAAGTAAGGCTCCTCTGAAGTGTGCTCTTTCGATTAGCAAGGCCATGTAATTGCTCCTCAGCACTCCAGGGCGGCCTCTACACCGAAAATGTCTGGACGCCGCGATTTCCTGAGCCAGGCCGCGCCTGAGAACTACGTCGCCGGTCTCGGACGTGGCGCTACTGGCTTTACGACGCGATCAGACCTTGGCCCGACGCGCGAAGGCCCCAGCCCCGAGCAGATCCAAGAAGCGCTCGCGAAACGCGCTCAACAATTAGGCGCTGCACCGCCTACAGCGTACGGAGCAAGCGACAAGAAGAAACCGGACGAGGAGCAGGAGCAGGAAGACGAGCGCTTTCAGGATCCGGAGAACGAAACAGGCCTGTTTGCATTTGGGCAATTCGACAGAGAAGACGATGAGGCAGACAGGATATACCAGGATGTGGACGAGAAGATGGCACGGCGGAGGAAAGCCAGAAGGTTAGTCACTCCCTCCCACCCCTATCCCTCCAAGAGAACCCGTGGTTATATCTCTCCGCGTTGGACGAACAGATTACCGACGTAATACCATCGACTAGGGAAGCACGCGAGAAGCAAGAACAAGAAGAGTACGACCGAAACAACCCCAAGATCTCCGAGCAATTCGCAGATCTCAAACGAGGTCTGACTTCTATGACGGACGATGACTGGGCAAGCATCCCCGATGCTGGCGACATGACCGGCAAAAACCGTCGAGCGAAGCAGGATATGAAGAAGCGCTTCTACGCCGTTCCAGACAGCGTGCTAGCAGGTGCACGAGACTCTACACAGTTTGAGACCAGTGTTCAGGACGATGCTAATGGCAATGGGGAGGGCGCTGATGGCACAATGACTAACTTCGCGGACATCGGTGCAGCCCGAAACAAGGTGCTCAAAGCCCGTATCGATCAGGCTCAGGCTACACAGAACAACGGCACGACTACTGGCACATCTACGACGATTGATCCAAAGGGCTACCTCACCAGTCTAGTATCGTCCGAGCTCAAGGCAAGCGAGATTGAGGTGGGCGACGTAAACCGGGTCAGAGGCCTCCTGGAGTCCTTGGTGAAGACAAATCCGAAACACGCACCTGGCTGGATCGCTATAGCCCGCCTAGAAGAGATGGCCGGCAAAATCGTTGCGGCAAGGAAGCTGATGGCGCGAGGATGCGAGCTGTGCCCCAAGAGCGAAGACGCCTGGTCAGAAAACATCCGCCTCAACAAGGTCGACAACAATCACAATGCTAAGATTATTGCTGCGAACGCCATCAAGAACAACGAGCGGTCTACAAAGCTGTGGATGGAAGCCATGGAGCTGGAATCAGAGAACAGAGACAAGAAGAAGATCCTCCGGATGGCCCTGGACCATATCCCGCAATCAGTCGCCATCTGGAAAGCAGCCGTCAACCTGGAAGAGGACATCGCCGATGCGCGACTAATGCTCGCTAAAGCGACAGAAATCATCCCATTGTCCGTAGAGCTGTGGCTAGCCCTTGCGCGACTGGAAACGCCAGAGAATGCCCAAGCGGTGCTGAACAAGGCACGGAAAGCTGTACCAACCAGTCACCTGATCTGGATAGCGGCCGCCCGGTTACAGGAACAGATCGGCAACGCAAATAAGGTCAACCTCATGAATCGTGCTATCAAAGCATTGGTCAAAGAGAACGCTATGCCTAAACGGGAAGAATGGATCACCGAGGCTGAGAAGTGCGAGGAGGAAGGAGCCATACTGACCTGCGCCAATATTATCAGAGAGACGCTAGGGTGGACTCTGGAGGACGATGACGACCGGAAAGATATCTGGAAGGACGACGCCAAGGCCAGTATAGGACGCGGCAGATACCATACAGCACGAGCCATATACGCGTATGCGCTACGTGTGTTCCCAACAAGCATCTCACTTTGGCTCGCAGCAACGGATCTGGAAAAGAACCACGGCAGTAAGGAGGATCTATGGCATCTACTGGAGAAGGCTGTAGAGGCATGTCCACAGTCAGACGTTCTTTGGCTTCAGCTCGCGAGAGAGAAGTGGGATGCCGGCGACGTGGACGGCAGTCGAATTGTGCTCGGCAATGCTTTCAAGCAGAACCCAGGAAACGAGGAGATCTGGCTGGCTGCTGTTAAGCTTGAGGCGGACGCTGGTCAGGTCGACCAGGCCAGAGAGCTACTCAACGAAGCTCGGCGGGAAGCTCCTACGGAAAGAGTCTGGTACAAAAGCGCAGCTTACGAGCGACAGCTTGGCAACACTGATATTGCGCTGGACCTCGTGCTCCAGGGTCTGTCATCGGCGATAGTCAACAAAAAGGAGACAAGATTCCCGCGTTCCGCGAAGTTGTGGATGATGAAGGGCCAGATCTACGAGGACAAGGGCATGATCCCGCAAGCTCGCGAAGCATACTCGCAAGGCACTCGGGCGTGCCCGAAGTCGGTGCCACTGTGGCTGTTGGCTGCACGGCTGGAAGTATCTGCGGGTGTCACCATCAAGGCGCGCTCTGTGCTAGAACGCAGCCGCCTGCAGAATCCCAAGACACCCGAGCTCTGGGCTGAAAGTGTCAGAGTCGAGCTCAACGCGAAACCAGCAAACCCACAGCAGGCTAGGATATTGATGAGCAAGGCCATGCAGGAATGCCCGAAATCTGGCCTCCTTTGGTCAGAGAACATCTGGCATCTACAGCCTCGCACCCAACGCAAACCACAAGCTCTGGAGGCGATCAAGGCCGTCGACAATGACCCAGTGCTCCTTGTAACCGTGGCTAGGATCTTCTGGGGCGAGCGCAAGCTTGACAAAGCCATGAGCTGGTTCGAGAAGGCGTTAGTGCTGGATCCGGATATAGGGGACACCTGGGCGTGGTATCTCAAGTTCCTGATCCAGCATGGAACAGAAGTAAGTAAATTTCCCAGCCAGGGCGGCCTCTGCCTTGAAAATGGAAATTGTCTAATGACTGAGCAGGAAAAACGCGCCGATGTAATCTCCAAATGCGTCGCCAACGAGCCAAAGCATGGAGAGGTGTGGCAACGGGTGCGGAAGGAGCCCAAGAACGCAGGTCTGGGTACGGAGGAGGTACTACAGAAGGTGGTACAGGAACTGAAGGTATTGCCATAGGCGAGCCAATCTCAGACCGTTAGCGGCCTCCCTGGCCGGGTTTCCATGAATATTTTGGTGCCACGAAGTGACGCTTGAGTGAGGCTCATCGTAAACCTGTGTGTGCGATTGTCACAGCGGTCTGGGACCTTCAGCGCCCTCCCTGGGAAAGAAACCCACAGATCTTGATTCGTGGGCAGCTTTTCGACTCACGCAACGTCTTGAACGACATTACAACGGCCCTGGAGAGGTCTCCGCAGCTGGAGCTTTTAGCAGCCTGAAACACTATTTAACAATGTTCAAAAGACAAGCTTTTCACCTTATCGATAGGCCTGCTCCACAAAATTTTGGTTTTTGGGGATATTGCGACTTCACTCTCAGCCAGATTCGTTGCCTCAACCACGTTTTCCCAATAACGTCCGTTGGCCCTGTGCCTCATGATGTAGCTCATCTTGAAGTGTTCTCGATACAGACTACGCCACAAAGATGCCGAAAGCAAGCAAGATGCGGAACGGCGGCGGGCCTGCCTCGCCTTACGCCAAAAACAACACCAAAAAGCCCGCCACCGCGAACAACATGTCAAATGCCATCTTCAAAATGAACACTGATCTTGGCCAACACGTGCTCAAGAATCCTGGAGTCGCGTCCGCCATCGTCGAAAAAGCCGGCTTGAAGCAATCCGACATTGTGCTAGAAGTCGGTCCTGGATCAGGCAATCTGACGGTAAAAATCCTCGAAAAGGCCAAGAAATGCATCGCCGTCGAGCTGGACCCACGCATGGCGGCTGAAGTCACCAAACGTGTGCAGGGAACGCCGATGGCGAAGAAGCTAGATGTCGTGCTTGGCGACGTAATGAAGACGGAGTTGCCATACTTCGACGTCTGTATCAGTAATACGCCGTACCAGATTTCGAGTCCGTTGACGTTCAAGTTGCTGGCCACAAGTCCAAGTCCGAGGATCTGCGTGCTCATGTTTCAGAGGGAGTTTGCGATGCGATTATTCGCGAAGGCAGGGGACAAGTTGTACAGTCGGCTGAGTGTGAATGCACAGATGTGGGCGAAGATTGATCATATTATGAAAGTGGGGAAGAACAATTTCAAGCCTCCGCCACAGGTTGAGAGCAGTGTTATCAGGATGGTGCCGAAGAATCCGCGACCGAATATCTCGTATGACGAATGGGATGGATTGTTGAGAGTGTGTTTTGTGCGGAAGAACAAGACGTTGAGGGCGAATTTTCTTGGTACGACTTCGGTGATCAGCATGTTGGAATCGAACTACAGGACTTGGTGTGCTCAGAACAGTGTAACGCTTGAGGATGGGCCTTCGACCGAGACCAATACAGATGCGTTGATGGAGATCGACAACGTACCAGCCACAACTGCAGACAACGATGAGTGGAATGGATTTGGCTCCGACAACGAATCAGTAGGAGGGATGCCCGTCGCAGCAATGGATCTGGATATGGACGACATGGACGAAGACGATCTTCCTGCGTTCTTCAAAGAGCATCGCGACCACATCGAGCAGCAGAAGCAACAGCACCCCAAGACGCAAGCACGGAAGAAGAGATCCAAAGTCAACGATCTCGTGCGTGAAAAGATTCGAATCGTGTTGGAAGACAAGACGACTCTGGCCGATAAGCGCGCGAGAATGTGCGACGAGGGCGACTTCCTGAAGCTATTGTGGTCTTTCAACCAAGAGGGCATTCATTTCGTGTGAAATGTATATCACAGAGCCTCGATTATATCCATGTGAACTTCGGATGAATACTTTTAAGCAGACTCGGACTAACATCTTAGTGGCTCATAAGTCTCTAGCGTCCAGGCAAGGCTGGACTCACTAAGCGGGTTGGTCCAAGGCATTGGTCGATTTACCCGACCTTAGCCCGCGCCTTGTAGGCTGCAACGACTACTTAGCCTTATCCAATCGTGTTCTTGTACACCTCTTGGTTGATTTGCTTCTAGCCAAGCGATAACAGATATGCTCAGCTTTAAGCTGTGGGATAAGAGACCACATACAGTCGATCAGATGCAGTCGCAACTCCGGCTCCAGCAATGGCCAACTCGGAAGCCATTACATACCAGACTCTGGAGACTGCAAAGCACATCCGCCTTGTCACAGTATCCGCCAGCCTTGGCGATGGCTTGATCAGCTGCGAGATGGGTCACTACGTCAATCCACCGCCTTACAAATGCCTATCTTATGTATGGGGCGCACAGGCCGTGGGCAAGACAATCCTTGTTAATGGCAAGCGCGCAGATATACAGGTCTACCTATACGATTTCCTTCGCCGCGCGCGCGGCTTCTGTCCTGATCAGCTGCTGTGGATAGATGCGCTATGCATCAATCAGACGGATCTGAGTGAAAAGAACTCTCAAGTCCAGCAAATGTCGACGTTATTCGCGGAAGCCGAGGAAGTTCTCATGTGGCTTGGTGTTGCTCCCGAACTTGACGTTGTCTTTAGCTTTGCGGAACAGCTAGAAGATGTGTTGGAGCAGAACGGGCAGATCGATGAAGGGACACTTCGTGCGCTTGCAGCTAGTCCTACTATTGAGTCTGCTCCCCACGGTATCAGGTCAGTGGAGATTAGAACAATGTACATGGAGTCTGTGGACGGGTTTAGGGCTCTCTTTCGCCACAATTACTTCACCAGAGCATGGATCAGTCAAGAAGTGATACTCGCCCGGCGCCAGGTTCTTCTGAACGGTAATCATTCGATCTCCTTGGAGCACTTCTACGATCTCTCCTGCACGCCTTTGCTGGCTATCGTTTTCGCAAGCACGGTGGCTCACGATATCTACGTACTGTGCCGTGAGGGCAACATAGGCCAACTCGTCTCATCCTGGCGTTCTAGGCGCATTGGTAGACCTGCGCCAACACTTCGCCAGCGTCTGCACGATTTCGGCAGGCTAAGGTCTTCGGACTACCGCGACAGGATATATGCTCTCCTCGGAATGGTTGAGGGCGGTGAAAGCTTCGCTGTGGACTATTATGAAAACTATGAACAGCTTTTCTGGAGGGTCGTCGACCACTTCCATCAAAGCACGCAGTATGCGACTTCCTCAGACGTGGACGCTTACATATTCTCGCTTGATCTCATGGATTTGCTCTTGGTATGCCTCGAGCTTAGTCCTGATGATCTGAAGCATGTCACAGGCGGCGATACAGGGATGCTTTTCTCCTTCGACAACATATCTTTCTCACCTGCTCGCTGTCAAGAGCCGGCGACTGCTATCGGCTCTGCTGAGATTCATGTCCATTGGCCAAGAGTGGCATCGACACTGTTCAACTCCGATGATCCTCGCCAGGGCGTGCGTCTTCGAGCCCCAGCTGCCATTCGTCGCAGTCAATGTCAGTGGATCCCTCATGCACATATCCCTTACGCAAGTTCAAGGATGATGCTGGCCACGCGGGAGGCACGGAGAGAGAGGAACTGGACTTCCGACCTAACATCTCTTATGGCTGCATGACCCCCGCACAATACCAATATCATGATGGTACCGTGACCGATATCGCCAAGGTTGACCACGTATCCAGCAGTCACTTGGGCATCCCCGATGGCGCATATACCATCCGCGTACCACGAGAATATGTACTACATGACCTGGCCGCCTGGCGGAAGTACAGGGCTGAGAACCAGCGACCGACCGCTCGCACCGGGGCGGCAAATATGCTTCAGGACTTTAGAGCCCTGCCTAAATACAAGAGCGCCGTTCACGAATCGTTGCGCTTGTATTGGCAGCGAGCTGCCGGACTCCTGCCTGCGGCACCATGGAGTGATGAGGAACTCTCAAAGGAGGGCGATGAGAGCGATGGTTTCATTGGTCCTAGTCGACGTCTGCCGATGTTTGGGAAGTAGCGCTTGCTAAGGCGAAGGACGTCGGCTGCGGATCAAGTTGCGGTCGATCAAGGGCACCTTCAGGCGACTCATAGAAGATGCAAGATGAGTATTTCGGGCCGACCGTCTAATCCCTCTCGCCCAGTGGAAACACGATGCGGTGTGTGGTGGTAGCAGCCAGAAGATGCGAGGCCAGACGGAGTCACCTCTCCCGAATGTTACCATACTCGAAAACGATTGGCGCGTATCGATGACTCGGTCGCGGTAAGTAAAGACGGGACGGCCAAAATGCCCGGGAAAATCAAGCACAGCATATCTACGGCACGGAAGCATTTGGCTAGAACTAGACATCTGAGAATTCAGTCATGCCCTGATGGCCGGCCTTCTGGGGCTACCTACGTGAGTATACTACATAGTGCATCTTGTCCAGAAGACATGATTCAAAGTTGCCCCTGCAAGCATAGCAATCTTACTCCCACCAAAGCCAGTAAATGCCATGGACATGTTCCCGTGACGGAATAGCCTCCTCTCATGTTGTTGCCAAATCGTCCGATTCCCACGTCACGACATTCCAATGAAAGAACGCCAGAGCTGGAAGAATCAGAGAACCAAAATGCTTGACGATGATGAATGTACAACGTAGAGAAAAGCCCGAAATCGGTTCGGTACCCAGAGCCAGCCAGTCTTGCGACGGGCGCCGGAGGGAGCAGGAAGTCGAAAATGGTCTACCGCGGAGAATGTTTGAAAGCCCAGCCCGATGTGCTTTTATTTCGACATGCTTTTTGCGTGTTGAGAATGTGAGGTGAATGTCGAGAAATGCTGGGCAGATAAAAGATGATCCAAGGCAGAAATGCCGCCTAAATCGTAGCGAGAAGCGTGTTGTAGATGTCGTAATGTCGTTGGGTATGAAAGGAGCATTTCATTGTAACTCGGGAGTAAATATTGTAGAGGGAAACGAAGCCGGACATGCTCTCATTAACGTCGTTGATTACCGTCACTCGACGCCCTATGCCGGCTGCCAGACCGCGTCGACGAAGACGACCGGCCCTGCTTCATCTTTACCGGCGACGACGGCGGCCGACTATCATCGATGACATGCGAGATCCGTCTCGTGATCTTGTAGTCTTGTCCTCGATCACGCCCTCCACCATCTCGTCCGCGATCAGACGTCGTGTAGTCGCTCGTGGCAGCACGGCTCCTAGTCGCGGATGACTTGCTCGCCGTGCTTCCGCTTTGTGTCGGAGCTTGTTCAATCATTTTGGGCTCTATGCTACCCTTGAGTCTGGGCTTCTCGTCCGGAGCATCGCCGCCGATCTGTATGGTCACGCCGTGGGCAGGCAAGGCGATGCTCACTGGTCGAGCCTTGCCTCCTGTCTCGATGAGGACGCTGCCGCGACGAGACGTCTGTGATTTGGAGGAAATCCGTGATGCGGAGGAGTAGTGGCTCTGCTGGTGGCTATGGTTGCTGCCGCTTTCTGATCTGGTATGAGTCTTGCTACCGCTTGATGTCTTGGTCTGGTGTGTCAAAGCATGCGATGTCTTGGCTGCGCCTTGTCGCTCTTGGTATGCTTCGGCATCAGCGAGTTTCGCATCGATCGCAGTGACAGGCTGAGTCGCTCGTCGCGTGCTTGAGGTATGACCCAATTGGTCTTTCGTGGCAGATTTGGATGTGTAGGACTCTGAGACCGTCTGTCTTGGCTTTGGTCGTGCAGACAGTGGTGGTAGGTCATGTCGGCGGGGAGATAGATCACGAGATCGTGTTCTTGACAAGTCGTCAGCCGGTCTGCGATGATAGCTGTCGTACGAATCACGATAGTCGTCCGAGCCATCGTAGCCTGTGTCGTGCCTCTTGTAGTCCGCTGAGTACGAATGCGTGTGATTGGGCGTGGGCGGAGTGTCAGTGGCAACCTTTAGATCTGGTCGTTGTGGTGGCGGAGGCATTAAATCGTAATCTTCTGGTCGCTTTCCATTATAGGATAGTCGTTTGGCTGCTTTCAAAGTCTCTCGTTGTGGGGCAGGGTATACTTTCTCATAGTCTGCGTAAGTCGTCTGGGAGGTCGAAGGCCGTTCGTGGACACTATTACGGTGGAGCGGCGCGGGCCGACTTGGTGCTGTGCTACGATGATCGAAGTATCCACGTGAGTGCGATTGCGAAGCATAAGCTGGCGTCAAAGGCGTGACCGAAGCTGGCGAGTAGCCGTAAGGAGATACTGCGTAACCTGCAGTAGCCATTTGTGCCACGTAGTCATGTGAAGAGTAAGGGCCAGGCGCCGGACTGAATGCGGGTGTGTGTCTTGTGGTCGAATGCCGCTTGTCAAGTTCCGGCCGGCCGCCCTTGTGTGAAGACACCTGTCGTACCTTCTTGCCCGGGTCAATGCGCTCCTCCTCCTCTTCGAACACTTCAACCTTGGGTGCTTCGGATCTCCGGTGGCCATCCTGACCAGTCACCGTTTGCTTGGCAAGACCTGCTTCGAACTCGTCCTGATTCACATGGTATCCCAATTGGTCACAAGTATAGCAGACGCCCTTACGATGACAAAACTCCTTCCGCTTCTCAGGTTCATGCTGGGCCGAATTCTTAATATCATTCGGTCGCCTTGGATGTGTCGTAGACTTTTGACGTTGAGGTAGTGGACCACTGCTGTAGGGATTTCTCTGTCTCTCAATCGGCATCGCCATCACTACCTCCGGCGAAGTCTGCTTGCTCTCTCCATCATGGGTACCAGCACGGCTGGAATACCCCGAGTCGCTACCATCCTTGGTGCCTCTACTGGAAGCGCTAGCAAAAGCGCGAGTATGTGAGATAGTTGTGTTGTTATCGTCGTCGTAGTCCTCGACGTGAGCTACCCGTGGTCCTTGTCGATTGTCCGGCATGAATTACTGTCGTCCAAGAGGGTGATGTGTTCAAGGGGTGGTCAGTGACTGGGATCGATCAGATAGACCCCGGAGCAGTAGGCCGATAATCCTCGGAAGCACGGTGAGCAATATGCCAGTAGGAGCTGTCTAGCTCGGTTCCAGTTGAGGGCGGTCCTCAAAGCTGCCCCTTGTTGGGTGGTCGGTGTACCGATGGAGTGAGGTCTGGAGTTCCAAGGGAGTGGATAGTTTCAGTGTGGCCCCCGGAAAGGCCCGCCTATCGATAGAAACCTTAAGCTTATTTGGGCCCCTGTGTAATTGGTCGCGGATGATCTTTGAGGGCTGTCTGCCTGGGAATCTATGATACAGAAGAAGTAGGATGTTATCGTTGACAATGCTCTTGATAGCAGGATGGTTGCGGCCGGGATGCAAGGCGTTACTGAAGTCGACGCGTGGCCGTGATCTCGTGCAGCTGCTGATCTCGCCGCTTTGTGAATCTTGAACGACCGTCGCGATCTGCTCAGCACTCACAATTAATCGTTTCGTCATGCGATCTTCGATGGCTCAGGTATTCTTTGGGTCGCGTTCGCATCTTGCTCACTGGCCAGCACGAAGTGTTCTCTCAGGCTGGACAGGGTAATTTGATGCGTTGTCGATGCGCGGAAGCGGTCGTCAACAAGATGGGTAGTTGCGCAGCTAACAACAGCGTTGCTCAATGTCGCGGGCAACTGCCTCAGAGACTGCAAGAACGGGTAGGTCCTTCCAATGATATGGAAACAAGAATCGCAACAGACCACTAGAAGGTAAAGAGTGGCGCCTGCTGTCTGCGACGACAAGAGATCCGGACTCTGGAGTCACAATTGTTGCAGGAAATGCTCAATGCTTTGCTGCGGCCTGCAGAAGAAGGGGAGAGAATTTCTCAATGGACGAAACGCTCAATGACGGAGACATCATTTTCTGCCCCCCTCCGTTTCCTATCTAGCAGCATGCAGGCCACTCACCTACCGAACGAACGTCCATCCCAGGCATCCATTGACTCGCCTGTCAGTCTCTTAGCTTGCAGCGCGGGCCTACAGCTCACTGGCTGTCTACTCGAATATGCATGCCCGACCTGCCAAGCACCAGTCGCCATTGCAGCCCAACGTTGCGGGCCCTTCGACCTCTACTGCTGACCTTTCTATATTCGTCACCGGTGAGCCCAAGCGAAATGTATGTAAGTGCTGAATCGGCTGCTCATAGCCATCCATCTGTCAGTGGTTCGAATGAAGGTGCTGGGGGAGTGACTCTGGTTTGTGAGCGCATAGCAAAATGTGGCGCATCGGCATCTTGAGTGGTCCAAGCTTTCTGTTGTTGGCGACAGCAACGCATACTTTGTGTCACCTTCGACTGCCACCTTACTGGCCTGGACTTTTGACTGCTGCTGTCAGCTTGCTGGGATCACTGTCTGGCAAGGTTTCACGAAATGGACAATGCGCCACCAGCGTGGGCAGTATCAACAGAAGCAAACCTGGATGAGGGTGGCAATTGCCTACCAAGGTGGACAGTGAGTGCGCTCGAGCGCTGTCACACCTTATCGATTGAGTCGAAGGCGTGTCAGAAGCCACAACTCAATCGACAGGCTTCTGTCGCTTCCGAGCGCGTCCCCAGGATTTACCTTGTTCTGATCCATCAGTCAACGAATCGTATCGAAGTCATATTATTGTACACCTCACGTCAAAGATAAGCACAACGTGATCATCAGTTGATGTGCTTTGCGAGAATGTGAATTGCTTGCCTGGAAGTGAGCCTAGGTCCTACCGAACAGTGCTGCGACCAGCATTCCCCAGATACAATTCCGCCGGACTGCTCCATAAGCTTTTTGCGGAGGTGTCGAGCATGAAAATGCGAATTGCGAACGCGATAGATTCCCGTCCACCATTACCTGCTTTTCCCGAGCTCGCCCGCGCTTTAAGGCCTCCAGAAGGCCTCCCAGGCGGGTTTCGACTTTGTTCGCCCGACCAAGCAGGTCGCTCGTCGAGTATGAGTATCTCGAGAACCTGGATGAATGTCTGAAGCATCTCACATGCGTTCAACAGGAGAAAGACCGAGCAGAGTCATACCATTCCACAACACCTGTCGAGCAGCCTCGTACAGCGCCAGTCGAGCTTTCTGAAGTTCCGGTTCGCTGCCAACAACCTGCAACTGGTCATAACTGGAGCTCAGCGCGTGCGCCATCTTAAAGAGATACGTGAGCACTGTAGCGGGCTCCTGCGTCTTGACAGTGTTGGTCACCACATCAGGCCATTGAGCCAGCGCTCGGACTAGGTTAACAGCGTGACTCTCTGACAACTTCGACCAGTCTGCGCTGCTCAATGTGCTTAGATCAACACCAGCTTTGCGCTCAATCGAGCACAACCGAGCATGAGCATACTGCAAGTATGGACCAGTGTCGCCTTCAAATGCAGTCATCTGGTCAATATTGAAATCATAGCCGTTGCGGACCTTGCCCTTGAGATCTTGAACCATAATCGAAGAGATGGCAAGAACGTCGGCAATGGCCTCTGGGTTTTCGAGCTGCTCGTACTTCTTCTCGTTCGATTTCATCACGTCCCACATCTTGACGCGCACATCAGCGATGACATCGTCAAGGAACTTGACGGTGCCTTTGCGGGTGCTCATGCCTTTCACCATTCCGAAGCTGATGTGCTCGCATTTCGAGGCTACATCTTTGTGTCCACTGATCTCTGTGGTCTTGAACAGCTGGGCAACGTGCTCGTTCTGCTGATCTGCGATTACGTAGATCATCTTGTCGAAGCCATACTTCTCGTGGCGTTCCAGGATCGCAGCCAGATCTCGGGTCAGATACAGCGGTGTGCCATCTCGTCGAATAATGATAGCCTTGTTGAGCTTCTTGGCACCGTGCTTTGAGAAGTCGATCAGGGTTGCACCTTGGTCCACCTCAGCAATACCTTGCTTCTTCAAATCCGTCAAGACCTTCTCCATCATCTCCTTGCCAACCTGTGATTCTCCTGAGAAAACATCGAAAGCAATGTTTAATCGTTGGTAAGTCTTCTTGTATTTCGAGATACTCAGGTCTCGGAATTTGGTCCACAGGGCAATAGCGTCAGGATCATTGTCCTCCATACTCTTGAAGTACTTCCGAGCAGCCTCATCTTCGCTGGCGTCGACCAATGGCGCCAACTTGGCTTCCAGCTCCGAGACATCCTGACCTGTTTTCCGCTTCTCGGTGATTTCCTTCTTCAACGCGTCGATCGGTTCGTTCTGCTCCTTTTGAATCTTGCTGATCTGGACGTAGACTTGGAACAAATGCTGAATAGAGTCTTTCTCGAGCTGCTCATCACTGCCGAATTTTCTGAAGCCGTTGGCAAGCAAACCATATTGCTTACCCCAATCACCGAGGTAGTTCATACGGATGACTTCCCATCCAGTCTGAGCATATAGCTTCGAGAGAAAGCCGCCGATGATTGTACTTCGAAGATGACCTTGATGGAATTCCTTGGCAATATTCGGTGACGAAAATTCGACAATGACCTTTTTGCTGCCTTTCGACTCGTCCTTTGGGTCTTTCAGACCTAATGTCGGGTTTGGACCATAGGCTTCCTTCTGTTGGAGGATCAGGGGTACCACGCGGCTGATGAGGCTCTGTGGTTTGAAGAAGAAAGCCAGGAAAGCTCCCTGTGCCTGTATCGTCACCAATGTTTGGTCATCTGTCGGAAATTTTGAGGCCACATCGTCAGCGATCTCTTGTGGCTTCTTGCCCTTGATTCGAAGTGCGGCTGCTGGCAGTATCAGGTCGCCCTTGTCTAATGTCGTAGTCCACGAAAGCACAGGGTAGATTTCGGATTCCTTCTTGTCGACCAGGGGTGCCAAGCGTTCGGCGATGTGTTGTCGATAGAAGTCAACGGGATTCTCGTACTTCGCCATGTTGAGCGATTGCTGTGTGTAAGATCGCGGGCACGTCTGGCTGTATTTCTTCAGCCGTTCGCTCTTGCGAAAATCGCACTTTTCAACGCGCTTGCTGGAGGTCTTCTTAGAGACGCGCTTGCCCGTGCTCAAATATCGTCCTTGGCAAGTAGTCGAAACTTGAATCGCTTCCTGCCAACCTTGTGTAAGTCGAATGAGTCGATGATATCTGGAAGTGAAGATCGCACGACGAGACAATGCAGAAGCGAACGTTGATAATTCTGATTGCATTGCCCAAGGGAGTCACAATCAATCGTTGTGATTCAGACAAAAAGTTCATAGAGTGAAAGACCCACTTTTTCTTGGTTCAACCTCAAGACATTTGCGAAGTCTTGTGTTCCTTTACCATTCCCTCAACAGGCAGACTTTGCGGCCACAGTAGTGGTCATTTCGCTTCGGGGCTTCCGTGGCGACCATAATGAAGCATCATGTCCGACGACGATGATGGTGCGACTGCGACGCCACTCCAGCCATTCCGATTCAAGGACGATGCAACCCGTACAGATGATGCGCCCAGTGGCGGCACCACACGTAGTCGGAAGCGGCGCCATCACCACGGCTCCCATCGCTCCGACAAGGACAAGCAGTCGCACAGCCGATTCAAGCGACGGCGACGCGAAGACAGTGAGACTGCTGAACAGTCAAATGGCTTGAATCTCGACGATGCATTCAGGGAATCTTTGTTCGATGCCATGGGTGACGATGAGGGTGCTAACTTCTGGGAGGGCGTCTACGGTCAGCCAATTCACAACTACCCAAACACATTCGTGAATGAGGACACTGGCGAACTCGAGATCATGACTGACGACGAATATGCTACGTACGTTCGCCGCAAGATGTGGGAGAAGAGCAGGGAAGGAGTCGAGGCGAAGCGAGAAGAGAGGCGCCAAGAAAAAGCTCGCGAAAAGGCTGAAGAAGAGGCAAAGCACCAACGTGCCCGCAAAAGACGGAAGCCGAAAGTTGATGGAGAAGCATATGACAACTTCACTTTCGACTTCGCGATCGATGCCAGTCTGCGACGTGGACAGCAGCGCAAAGATCAGAAGCGCTGGCGTGAGCTGTGGCAACATTATCTTCAACGATGGGAACAGCTACAGGAAATGGCCAAGACACGAGATCCATCACAGCCAACCGAGAATCTCTTCCTTCGTAACAAGATTGCATGGCCAGTTGAGTCGGGCCAGCGCAAGGATGTCAAGGCGGAGGAAATCCGACGTTTTATTCGAGATGCCACGGCAGCGGTCCAAGCTGACAATGATGCAGACGATGGGGCTCTATCAGCTGCTCTGAAGGTAGAAAGGGTGAGGTGGCATCCAGACAAAATCCAGCAAAGGTACGGCTTCATGGAGATTGACAAGTCGACGATGGAGGGTGTTACGGCGACCTTCCAAGTGCTGGACACGATGTGGAATGAGCTTCGGAACTCGAAGCTACGATGATTGATGACATTCTAGACATTGAGATAACCCCATAGACTTATTCTTTTCGACCACGCCCAAAGTCCTCTCTACGACGCCACTGATGCAACTCTAACACTGTCACGAACCCTCGTCCTGCTTCATCGGTTCACCGCCGGTCCACTCATCAATGATCTCCTGCGGCACATCCCGTACAAGCACATGGATGTGCTCCATCCCCGGCACTGATTGCAAGGCAGTCCAGTTCTTGAACCACATGACCTTCTCAGCAGGCCCTGGCAAACCCTCGACACGATCGATGAACGTCTTCTGGACGAAGTGCTGAATCTGCTGCCTCGACTTTGGCGTCATGTCACCCCTCGACGGCTCCGTCTCCACTCTGCCTTTCAACCACACAATCAAGTGCCTGATCCCATCCTCCATCCCATACGGCCAGTCATTCGGCATGATCCTGTAATCCTCTGAGTTCGCAAACGGCGTAGGATCCTGCACCGAAAACTTGGGTCCCGTCTCCGGCGTTGTGGAAGGCAACGGATTCCATTTGAGCCTCTCCTCCATCACGTAGTTTGGGACACTGCCATACTGAGCTTTTGTTTCAGTAGACCATTTGAGATAGCGCCGCAACTCTGAGGGCTTGCGTTTCAAGATGTCGAGCCTGTTTGTACTGATGATTTCCTTGAGTTCATCCCATGAGTGCGCATGGAACTCCTCGTCTGTTTGTGCTAGAATTTGGCGGTCGAGATCTGTTAGGTTGAATGGTAAAGGGGCATCTTGTGTGCCGATGGTCATCTCCGTTGCTCGGCAGGTACAAGGAAAATATATCTTCAATGGACTCGGCGATAGTACACAACATGGGTTAATCTCTGCGTCAGAAACCTCGCATTTGAGCTGGGAACTACTCCGCAATGTAGATAATGAGCTGTCACCAAGGCGCAAGTCCTGTTTAGGTATCCGACAGTGTGGAGGCCAAGGAAGGAAGCAAGTGGGCAAAGTGCATCGTCTCTTGTCATCCGGTCTCACGGGAGAACTGACGGAGGAACTTTTTTCTTTTTTGGCCAACCTTGAAACATCGTTGTGGACGACTTCATCGAATGTGGGGCAGTTTGCCCGACAATCTATATTAATGTTGAACCCGCATCCTACCGCGGTGCTCCTTTTCGTGCTGAAGTAATGAGGTACTGGTGGTGACCTTCAAGTCCTTGGCTATCAGTCCAGGAGCTGCGTGTGATCGTCTCTGTTGCAGCCACTCAACCACCTGCGCCCCCAGACATTCACCATGGCGTGAGTCAACGTAAAACGCTGGCTCAGGATGTCACTGACGAAAACACAGGTCTATGAATGTTATAATACCATCTCTACTGCTTGTACTGGGTGCTGCAGTAGCAGGCTATATATACCTTTCCTCCGGTTCGTTCTCCGTCTCCCGCAACAGCCCACCAGTGTATACTGACGCAGAGCAGCTCCCCCAGCAAAGCCAGTCCTCATTCCAGACCAATTCCAAGAGTTTCCACTCATCAAGAAGACCGAGACCTCACACAATGTCGCCATCTACCGCTTCGGCCTCCCTTCAGAGAATTCCATCCTCGGCCTCCCCATAGGCCAACATATTTCCCTAGCCGCCACACCGAAAGGTGCCGACAAGGAAGTTGTACGGTCATACACACCCATCTCCTCCGACGAGGACAAAGGCTATGTCGACTTCATGATCAAGGCATACCCGCAAGGCAACATCAGTGCGTACATGACGACCCTCAAGATCGGCGACACCATGAAGCTGCGTGGACCCAAGGGCGCTATGATTTATAGCCCCAACATGTGCAGTCGCATCGGCATGATTGCAGGCGGTACCGGCATCACGCCTATGCTGCAGGTCATTCGGGCTATCGTGCGAGGCAGACCTCGGAATGGTGGAAAGGACACTACCAGGGTTGACCTCATCTTCGCGAACGTCAATCCCGACGACATCTTACTGAAGCAAGAGATCGACTATCTGGCCGCTGAGGACGAGGGCTTCAAGGTCTACTACGTGCTCAACAACCCTCCGGAGAAGTGGAGTGGTGGCACTGGCTTCGTGACGGCGGATATGATCAAGGAGCACTTGCCAGCACCTGGACCAGATATGAAGATCTGCATTTGTGGTCCTCCGCCCATGGTGAGCGCGCTGAAGAAGGCGACCGAGAGCCTGGGCTATCAGAAGGCACGGCCTGTGAGCAAGTTGGAGGATCAGGTGTTCTGCTTCTAAAGAGACACGCGCGTTCATCCGCAAGGAGTGATTGTCGTGGAGCAGAGCTCTGCGAGGCATACACTACGGCTTCAGCGGCACCTATGCGTGAGGTGAGTATGACATATCCGTTAGGGCTTGATATGAGACTTCGTTCCGCAGCATAGATGAACTTGACACCGCATAGAATGACAGCAGCTCTACAAAATAAACCGCTCTCATCCCAGCTCTATCCTCGCATTGGATGCGTACGGTTCGGCTGCCGATGCCGAACTTTTATTGAGAGCGTCCCAACCCGCTTCAGACGCCAGACCTCTGAAGCTGAGCCCATCAATTGTGAAACCGCGGCACCATCCCTGCTCGTATCAATTCCTGGAACAGCTCCTCCCAAGCCTCAGCTATATTGTCCGGCAACCTCCCCTTCTCCCATGCCCCTAAACTTCCCTCCAACTGTGCCTCACTACTCGCCCCCACAATCACCCCATTTCCTTCTCCCCAAGACCCCTCACCCAATACGGAATGCCACCGGAACCACCGCATCGTCGCTTCCATCAACTTCACATCAGCTTCATCACACGCCGCCTGCACTTTTCGTAATCCCCCCATGATCTCCTCGGTCAGGTAGATATCCCCAAAGACCTTCATCTCATCGAACCTCGTCCCCTTGGCTGGCTTCACCAGTTCCTGTAAGGGCTTCGCCAGCAACCCGCCGCCAAGGGGGCTGAATGCGTAGAAATTCATGTCCAACTTCCGAAGTAGGGGAAAAAGCCCGTCCTCGGGACCGCGTCCGATCGGGTTGTATCCGCCCTGGTAGACTTTGGGCAGGCAGTACCCTTCTCGACTGCAGATATCGTGAATCTGCTGTACTTCCTCGGGCGAGATGTTGCTCACCCCGAACCGAGCAAACTTCCCTTCGGAGTACAGCTGATTAATGGCGGCGCACTGCTCTTCTAGGGGCGTCGTTCTGTCCGGTCCATGCAAGTAGTATATGTCGACTTGTCAGTCTGCAGTGCCCTGAGACTGGCATTACAGTTGGCGATGATGGCATCCCGCCGGAGAGATTGTGGGGCGAACGCGGGCGCTTTGGTTGAAAGCGCAAACGAGGACGCAGCGCCGACTTGGCCGGCGACAGCTTCGGATCCGCCGGCGGCGTAGACTCGGGCGGTGTCGAGCTCGTGGATGTTATGACGGGAGCAGATGGCGAGGAAGGATTTCATGCCGGCTGGAGTGGAGAGGAGGGAGGCGCCGTTTGCGACGGAAGAGCCCATCAGGCCGACTACTAGTTTGGGCGGCATTGTGGTCGTGTGTTAGTATTGGTTGGCAATAGATAAGTTAGTGCAAGAGAGACTGGCTGGCTCGGTCGCGATCTATAGAAGGAGCTTATTAGACCAGGACGTCTTAAAGGAGCAGTCGATGGCTTGCATGTCAGGCACACCGTCAACGCCGCTGTGACTCAGCCATGTCGAGTCTGTCAATGTACTCGTGGTCGCTGCCACCACCACCGTAGTCGTCGAGGCCCTCAGCTGTCGTTCCCCTGGTCATACCTATGTTCAGCAAACAGAGTTTGTAGATCCCCATACTTTATGCAGGTCTACCACTATCCGGGGCCATGTCCCTCCGCATGTGGCTTACTCGCCCGAGATTTTGGCCGTAACATGCCTGTAGTAGCCAACGAAACGCAGCAGCGCGCCTGCTTCAGGCACAAAAGTTCTGCTAACATGAATGCTTACAGATACCACATCCCAACTTTGCGAGAGGTGTCGTCCCGCGGTCCGTGCGTAGCCCAATGCCAAGGCATTCGCATCAACGACGTCATCCATTCTCGCTTCCCAATTTCGAGCAGAGGACCAGCATCTGAATATCGCTAATTGAGCAGCGTTTCGCTTCTTGATAGAGATTGTAGAATTATTGGGCAAAGCACGTCGTCGGGCCCAAACATAGCCACGTGCGGATCCCGCAAGAACAGGCTCTGACCTTGCTCCCCTTGGCTCGAGCCGAGCCCGTGCCCTGCTTTTGAAGTGGGTGGCGGAGGGCTCGGCATACATAATGTTGTCGTTATTGATAAGGCCGTTGTTGGACTGACAATATATACTGCCTCTACTACTGTCGCCACTTCCTCGAACACACTGTATACCGATCAGTCGCAGTGGAAGATCACCCGCTTCCAGTCCATACAGGCACGAGCAGTAATTTATCCAGTGGACCGACCTCGTGAAAAATTGTCTTGATATTGAAATATAGGCAAGCCCAAAGTAGAGACTAAATTGGCAAGACGCAGACAGGATAGAAAGTTGCAAGCGCGCGGGTAAAGTCAGACGATATATTGGCAGCCAGACGCAACAAGACATTGCAGGAGACCACTGCAGACACCAAAGTCGACGGCCCCGTCCCAAGGCATAGCCCGCACCATCAGCCAAGACATCAGCCCAAGATCTGAGTCACGATGCGCTACACAAACCACCCACGGACAGGAGCGTCTGTACACAACATGCAAAGCCTGCTGTTGCAGACATTAGCAGCGGTCCTTCTCCTCACAAGGCCCACGGCGGCCCAGAACGGTACCGACAACCCAGGGACCAAACGCGGCATCTCCTGGATTGGCACCAAGTCTTCCGCCACTGACAATAGCATATTTGCTTCAGGTAAAACACCCATAACATGGTATAAATCCTGGGGCGCCGGTCCCATACAAGATCAATCCTTCACCAAGCTCGATTTCGCGCCCATGATCCACAGTCTCGAGAATCTGGACCAGGACATCCGAGTCATAAACGGACTGAGGTACGAGAACGTCCTGACGTTCAACGAGCCCGATGGCGCTACTTCAGGAGGCGGAACAAATATCGAACCGGAAGATGCGGCTGAGGCGTGGGCGGACATTGTGAAATTGAGAGAGGGCAAGAACGGCAAGAAGATCAGCTTGCCTGCCACGACTGGTAGTCCGAATGGTCTCGAATGGCTGCAGAAGTTTAATGAGAGCTGTTGGGACAAGTATGAGGATACGGGTTGCGAATTCGACTTTGTGGCGGCGCACTGGTACGGTGCGTTTGAGGGGCTCGCAAGCTGGCTGGGCACGCTGCATGAGACCTATCCGGATAAGGACTTGTGGGTGACGGAGATGGCGCTGCCGCAACCAGCGACCAAGGAGGAGGTGCAGGGGATGATGAACCAGAGTTTGGCGTTTTTGGATGCGACCGACTGGGTAGCGAGGTATGCATGGTTTGGCGCGTTTAGGGAGGACGAGGCCAATGACTGGACAGGAGATGCGGTGGCGCTACTGGACGACGATGGAGATCTGACGGAGCTAGGAGCGCTGTATATGGGTGGAGAGGCGCGCGGCTTCGAAGCTGGCGATGGAAGTGGTGGCGGCAGCGGCGGCTCTCAGGGATCTGCTGTTTCAGTGCGGGCTTGCTGGTGGTCGACGGTGTTGGTAAGCGTTGTATTTGTAGCGATGTTTTAGCTTGTGAGCGACTAAACATATCTCACCGGGTGAGCGTGGCTCGGTTCTGGTTCCGCAATAAGGACGAATGGTACTGTTGTTCCAATTGAAGCTGTCGAGTCTTTGTGCTGTGGACTGTATCTGCTGAGGCGGACTCCAGACGGTGGCCGCAGATAGCTCATCCGGGTGATGGAGTTGCGAAGCTTGATCTGCTTGCCAGTCCGGCCTCCAGGGCGGCCCCCAGTGGTCTTCTCTGGATCTGTGTAAAGCTGTAGTTTGCGGAGCTGGTGCTTTCTCAAAAACTTCATGTCGCGCCACTCCTGGACGGCGATCACCACGAGGAGAGATGTGGTAAGCCAGACGATGATACTGAAGATGAGACCAGCGATCTGGAGTTCACCGATGCGATACATCATAGGCTCACATTCACGGGTGAACATGTTGAGAGTGTTACAAAGGACAACACCATTCTGGTTGGGTGTTGTGGTGCTTCTCCAGTGCGGGAAGATGCTGCCAACGCCGGCAAAGACAATGGCGATAAGGAGGAAGAATAGTATCGCGAGGAGGGCTCCAATGTTGAAGAGTGGTGGTAGCCGTTTGCGCTGTATGAAGATGGTGATGATTGTGGTGCAGGAGATGATGAAAGATACGAGCAGCGGCGCGAGGATCAAGCCGTCAGTCCAATCGCCACGAAGGCCTCTGCCGTGAAAAAAGTTGTCGTTCCACATCGGCACGACGGCTCCAAAAAGTGCGATTGCCACGAACGCGAAGTTGACTGTAATGAGGTGCAGGACGGTTTTGCTGCGCCATCGCGGATCTGCTACAGATAGCTCGTTACGGGTGGATTTGCTGAGGAAGAAAGAAAACGCCATCATGGAAAAAATCGGTGACTTTCTCGCCAGGGAGGGCGCTGAAGGTCTAGACTTGTGTGTCAAGAAGACCGGCTTCGCTGATGGGAATCGAACGAAGACCAGCTTCGGTGGTGTCGTTGAAGTTGACGGTAAAGAAAGGGTTAAGACAGGTGCATTCCTCGTCCACGAGATGACAAGGCCTTCTTGAGGTCAGAGCACGCCAGGACTTACCGTGTCGATCCTACCTGCGACATTGCTCGTGTGTGATAACGGCATTGTCACTTACCGAGCACTTTGCAAGGAATTATTGTGACATGAAGGAAGAAACGTCGCAGAGCACGCGTTCTCGAACCAAGTTTGTCTCGATACGAGAGGCTCTGGCGGATCTGATTGGCTGGGGAGGACCCTGCCCGGGATTGCACAACCCCTAGGCGGCGAGGCAGATCGAGTCTTTTTGCCCTCCTGTTCGTCCAGATCTCGTCGTCGTCAAAGCCTCCGTTACGCCTCTGTAGCGCCATTGAGTACTTGATGTGTTGACAGCACACATTCTTATCGCCACCACACGTTTTCATGTGCTTGCGACGTTCTGATGACAAGACTCAGATGCTGCAGGGAAGTGGAGGTAAGCTGCGGCTACCCGTCATCATGGACATTTCCAGCCAGGTAAACAATCGTACTATTGCTCACATAGCAACGACTGTCGATTGCGAGCAATAACATAGGTATGGCGGGCTTCAACGGTAAGTGCGGTAGGTCATTTATGCGCATCAAGCTTTATCATACCCGTACTACACCAACGACACGATCAGCGACATATTGAGACCAAGCAACTCAATAACTATCACCTGGATAGTGCCAGATGCACATACTCCCATTCTTGCAGCTTGCCCTTTGCGCTGCTGTTGGCGGCTTGCAACTCGGTCGCATGATGGCCGTGTCGGAGCTGCGACACCACCTAATTAGCACAAATTACGCTGCGCGAGCCGACAACAATGTGCCCGAGCACTTCGACAAGTTACAGCTCAGGCACGAGGTGTCAGTGGCTGGTAATCGAGAGATGAACAGTACTACAAACAGCAGAATGATCACGGCAACCACTCAAAGCGCTGCTTTGTCGACAGCTCAGCGTGTTGTCCGCGAAGGGAAATCGAATACGACTGATGCAGGAGCGCAGATGAGTGACGATGGGGGTCGCCTAACCGTGCACCTGGGAGGACCACAATTAGCGCTTGCTTTGGGACTGACGGCGGTGGTCGTGGCGATATAGTCATTTGTGATGTCTCAGCCCAAGATCTGGATACTGCAAGTTCATTCAGAATACGCGTAAGAAGCGACAGATGCCCAGGTGCATGACAACACCAAGACCATCGATACGGCGTACTCTGACTTGGTTGTCAGTAGCCGGACTTTTATTATAAGGCCCGGAAAAGCCGCCCGGAAGCCCAGGACATGGGCCCTTGAAGCAGTCAATCACATCATTGTTCCTGAAACTTGTCTCCAGCCAAGATCATGGGTCAACACGATTTCTCGGCGGGCACCTGGGCTGTCGCGTGTCCCGCCAGAGTTCTGCCGTCGCGGAGCTGCCACGAACTTGAATGTTCGGCTTCGCAAGGTGGGCAAACATCGAGGCGCATAGTACGGTGTCGTTGACCGCGACGTCTCTCTAGACCATAAGCAGAACGACTTCGTGATAACGTGAGTGGCAGTTACCTGGATCTTTTAGACCTCAAATGCTCGGTAAATTATATAATGCGCTGTCATCCGCAAGATCCGCGTCTGGGGCTAAATTTTGTACTGCGCTCTACGTCACGCAGTCTGCGAGAGATTGCAAACCTTCGCTTCGAACACATCACAATGATGATATCTGCACCCGTTCATCCTGACATGCCAACGTTGTCCTGTGTAGACCCAGTCCACCGCCGTTGACCACCGTAAGTATGGAGAGGAAGTCGTTGCCATGACATGTGCTTCCATACGCTGAAGTGCGGCATGTGAGGCTCCACAATCTATCAAAATCGTAGAGATGACGCTTGTCTCTCCAACAGGCACGAGCGCAGTCGACTACGCCGATGATGCCACGGCCACTGGCCTTCGTCGTCCCTCGTCGGCGACGCGACTCGACTCGGAGGCAACATTGCAAGAGGTTGCTTCTGATCCACTCTTCCCCGGTATAGAATCGCCGTTCACCCCGGTTGACCGCCCCAATGTGCTTGCAAGAGCAGCAACGGACGCCGCCACACCCGTCGCCATACGACCCGTGCTGTCGCAGTCGCATCGTAAGTCGACAGGCGCTGCAGTGACATTGACCCATGACAATGTGCCCATCATGGAGGCGACTGCTGAGGCACAGGAATCACCCTCCGAAGACTCTGATTCTGACGACAACGGGGCACCTCTGCAGATAAGCAAGAGCCACACCGCGCCTGCACAAGGCCATCCTCTAGGAACCAGGCGGCTGAACAAGGTGAAGCGAGAGAATGGCAACGGGAAGCGCGATGTACAGGTCGGCAACGAGCACTTCCAGGGTCGCGGTCGCGTAGCCAGAGACGGCCGGCTTAGGATATCGGTGAACGAGACAGTTGCTAAGTCTGGCTACCTATCGAAAGCGCTCGGAACGACCATAACGAGGCATCTACATCCAGAAGCAAGAGAAGAAGAAGCAGAAGCTCTGCGACATGCGGCAGCTTTTCACGAGTCACAAGCTAAGGGCACGCTCCAAATACCCAGTCTCAACATCGTGATCATGGTCATTGGATCTCGAGGAGATATTCAGCCTTTCCTGAAAATTGGCAAAATTCTCAAGGACAAGTACAATCATAGGGTCCGCATTGCCACGCATCCAACGTTCAAGAAGTTCATCGAGGAAGAGATCGGCCTCGAATTCTTCAGCATCAAGGGCGATCCGTCCCGACTCATGGCTTTCATGGTGAAGAATCCAGGTCTGATCCCATCGTTGGACACGATCAAGGCTGGTGAGATCGGCGAGAGGAGGCAGGACATGTTCGAGATGTTCCAGGGCATGTGGAGAGCTTGCATCAATGCTACTGATGACGAGCATGATCTGATGAACCTCAAGATGATGGGCGACAAGTACCCTTTCATTGCGGACGCGATCATCGCAAATCCTCCTAGCATGGCGCATGTGCATATCGCTGAGAAGCTTGGGATACCTCTCCACCTCTGTTTCCCGTTCCCATTCCATACGCCGACATCACAATTTCCGCATCCACTGGCCAACATAAAGTCGTCGAATGTGGAGGACATGCGATACATTAACTACATGTCCTACCCATTGGTCGATTTGATGACTTGGCAAGGTCTGGGGGATCTGGTCAACAAGTTTCGACAGAAGACACTCAACCTAGAGCCAGTATCGACGCTGTGGGCACCAGGCCAGCTTTCACGACTGAAGATCCCGGTGACTTACCTGTGGTCTCCCGGGTTTGTCCCTAAGCCAGCAGACTGGGGCCCAGAGATCGACATAGCCGGCTACGTGTTCCTCGATCTTGCGACATCATACAAACCGCCTGATGATTTGGTGAAGTTCCTGGAGCGATCGTCTGACAAGCGGCCCCTTCTTTACATCGGTTTTGGATCGATATCCGGTATCGATGATCCGACTGCATTCACGCAGATGATTTTCGACGGAGTAGCTAAAGCAGATGTGCGGGCCGTCATCAGTAAAGGCTGGGGAGACATGGGTAAGGGTATGGATAAGCCTGATGGGGTTTTCATGATTGACAACGTGCCTCACGACTGGCTCTTCCAGTACGTGGACGCTGTCGTCCATCACGGCGGAGCTGGCACAACAGCGGCTGGTCTCAAGGCTGGCAAACCAACGATGATCGTGCCATTCTTCGGCGATCAGCCATTCTGGGCAAAGGAGATAGCAAAGGTTGGAGCCGGAGCAAAGGAAGCATTGCCTTTGAAGAAGCTCGACAGCGATAAATTCGCCAAAGGCATCAGAGAATGTCTGGAGCCCGATGCGAAGGCCAAGGCCCAGGAGATTGCCAAAAGCATAGCCAAAGAAGGCGACGGCGCAGAGAATGCGGTCGACTCATTCCACCGCTCGCTGCCACTAGCCAAGATGCGCTGTGGCGTATTTTCTGACCGTCTGGCAATTTGGACCATGAAACACACCAAACTACAGCTGTCAGCATTGGCAGCGGACCTGTTGATAGAAAACAAACAGCTCCAGTGGCAGCAGCTTATCCTGCACAAGAGCCGCGTCTGGAAAGACTTCCAGGGTCCTGGAGAGCCGTTGACTGGGATTGGAGGCGTGGTGGTTAATGCTTTCCAGGAAGCGTTCTCGGGACTTTCCGAGATCAAGGACACAACGACACGAGATGTGGCAAAGAGGAAAAAGAAGAAGCGAAAACAGCAAGGACTTTCGATTGAAGATGCGGTCACACTTCCTGGGCGATATGCTCATGCTATGAGAGGAGAGACTGCCGAGAATGCAAAGGAAGATTATAGGCGAGCATCACAGGAACTCAACTTTCACGGCGAAGCTGCCCCAGTCCGATCTGTCATGAGTCCTGTACGATCGAACACACACTACTCATTCGACGAGGTGGGTCTGACGAGGACGGAGACCAATACTGGCGAGACTCACACTCCAGTGCTGATAGCGAAGGATGTTGGCAAGGGTCTTGGCAAAGGCGTCAAACCGATTTTGCGACTAACATCTAATATGTGGTATGCTGCTACGCTCGGGCTCAGGAATGCGCCTCGACTCTATGGTGACAAGACGGTCCGGCCACCGTTTGATCCTATACAAGATGTTGCCAGTGGTCTTCAAGTAGCCGGCACCGAATTCATCTTCGGTGTGTACGATGGCGTGACTGGAGTCGTGCGGATCCCGTACAAGGACGTCAGGGAAGGCGACCATGGGGCTATGTCCTTACCTCTGGGCGTTGTTCGTGGGCTGGGTGGCTTGGCCATCAAGCCGCTTGCCGGAACGATGGGCCTCATGGCGTACAGCGGCAAAGGCGTGCAGATGTCTCTGCGGAAACGCTTTCGAGACACGCGGAAGACTGAGCGCTGGATCCGCAAAGCCCGAATGGCCCAGGGTGCGTTAGCCGTGCAGAACTATAGATTTCAGGTCACAGCTGGGCGGAGAGTTCCTGCGGACCCGACACGCGAGGCAGAGCTCGAGCGCTTAAGGACTCAAGCGATGAACTTGTGGTCCAAAGGCATGGCTGGAATGGACGAAGACGAGGATGCCTTCAAGTTCAGCAGGAGGCCCTCGGAACCCACTTCCAAGAAAGACAAATCACGGAAGAGCAAGACGTTCTAGACCTATAGACAGACAATGGTGTCGAGGAAAGGTTCAAGCACAGGCGTTCACGATTACAGGCAGCAAGAGTAGGCGAGTGATACCCAGGCGGGCAAGTAGAGCCAAGGGAGTGCAGGAGCTGAGCCATTCAATAGTGCTCCAGCTTCACGTCTCGAGATGTCTCGAGATATCTCAAAGCATAATTGTCAGGCTACTGCTCTTGGTCGAAGATCTCGAAGCTTGCCCCAGACTTTAGAGAATCACGGTCTGTACAGATCCATCACGTCGGATGATGGACACTGAACGGATGGCGGCAATGATATCCGCTGCCGACGTCGGCAGTATGTACAATTAGCCGGTGTCAACTCGAAGAGTAATGAACCTCAAGCCAGCTGCTATTGGCTGATGGTCTTATCTGGCGCTAGGCATGCTTCTCCAGGCGTTTCGTAACATGAACGTCGCCAGACAAAAGATGGTGTCAACGGCGAGCAATATGATCGAGTAATGTTCCAGACAATTGGCTCGCTCCAATATGAGGTGAGATTGATTTCTCGCAATTACTGCTCACCGTCGGGGTGAGTGCCTGGGCAGTGTCAGGCCACGGAATACTCTGCGAGTTTAGTGGGCTCAACAACCGAAAAAGGACCGCGGGGCAAGGCTTTCGGTGCTTCTGCAAGGTACCACCGTGCTGCCGCCACGCAGTGGGGTACATGCACACGATGTCAGACTCGTCGTCTCGGGCGACGGCAGCGAAGCTCACATCTAGCCTCATGCTGTGCGCCTACATCGGTGCTCAAGCCCGAGCTGAGCTGGAGCCCAGGCGAAATAAGCACCGTTCCACAGGAGCACGCGCCAGCTGTTGCTCATGCGCCTGCACTTTTTCTTTGTTTCTGTCCGTTTGAAGTTCGGAACGAACAGGGAGCCCTGAAACTGCGCCCTCGTGCTGCCGACTCACCGCTGCCCCACGCACTACGTAGATCGGTTGCTGATTGCCTTGCAAACTGGAAGATGGCCATCTGGCTGTTTGCTCTTGCTAAACTGTGACGTTTTCGAGATCTCGACTAAATACCTACCTAGCTCTTCCAGGTAGCTGTACAATGACAGCATACAATCGGGAGATCGAAGCTCTGCTGTTTGTACTGGCCATAGAGAGTGCTTGGTTCGCTCAATCAGTGCTTATCAGTTGAAAGGCGTTAGCCCCAAAAGTCAAGAATACTGGGAGCGGCGAGACCCACGCGGTGCGTTTGGTGGGCTGAGACTCCCGGCCGGGGGGGCACTGCAGGGGCGCTGACCCTCGGAGCGAGCTATGAACAAAGCAAACATATATTTGATCGTAGCTGCCGTTGTTATCTTTCGCGCTCGTCTCCGTGCCTACTCAAGCTCTTGACGACGTTGTTACTACCAGACTACGAGAATTGTGCTCTGTTGAGTGCACGTACATACTGAAACTCCAAATTAACGAATCTCCAAACACCTCATCGCACACAACCCACAATGGTGAGCTATGTCATACCCTGGCTGCGGGCCAGCGGAATTCGAGCACACGATCAGACAAGACTGACGATGTGACTACAGGCGAACGTTGATTCTGTCACTGTGTCGAATGCGACCAACGTAAGTCCAACAGACGGTACTGCTTGGGACACCCAACTAACAGGTCGTAGTTGGCCAAGTACATGAAACTTGACCAGAAGGGAAAGGTCCTCGCCGAGTACATCTGGATCGATGGCAGCAATGGCTTGCGCAACAAGACCAAGGTAAGCTATTCTCTCATTGTCGCTGTCAGCATTATGGTGGTGCCCTCATCTGGAACGACAGCACTTCCGGAAGTCGCATGATCCAACATTTTTTTTGTACGCCGACATCAGCGTAACACGAACGTCAGCCATGGCGCGCAGACGCGCATTGCAGACATGCTTTCGCCTCAGGCTCGGGCAGTGAGATAATATTGGTCATATCCATTACTATCGCCCTCGGCGTGCCTGCGGGTTTACCATCTCCACCCAATTGGAGACAGCTCGCATCGGCCAACATTCTAGAAGCCGCATCTGAACCTTGGAGATGGCTCAACGCTTCGTCACCGATCGGCAGAGATTCCTGAGCGCCGAGCGGTAGTCGCCGTTTCAGACCCTCATTTGCAGTGAATCTGGCCTCAGCTCGCCGTCATTTTCGGATGGACTTTACGCTAACATGACATTCTTCTGCAGACCCTCAGCAAGAAGCCCAACTCTCACGAAGACCTGCCTGAATGGAACTTTGACGGCTCCTCCACCGGCCAAGCGCCAGGTGACAACTCCGATGTCTACATCCGGCCTGTGGCCATGTACCCAGACCCGATCAGACTAGGCGACAATGTCCTGGTCATGTGCGAGACCTGGGACCCCGATGGAAGCCCAAACAAGTTCAACTACCGCCACGATGCTGCGAGACTGATGGATGCCAACAAGGAGCACAAGGTGTGGTTCGGTTTGGAGCAAGAGTACACCCTGCTTGGTCTCGATGACAGACCATATGGCTGGCCAAAGGGCGGCTTCCCCGGTGCTCAGGGCCCATACTACTGCGGTGTGGGCACTGGTCGTGTCTTCTGCCGCGACATTGTTGAGGCTCACCACAAGGCCTGCATGTACGCTGGCATCGAGATCTCCGGCACCAACGCCGAGGTCATGCCTGCTCAGTGGGAATACCAGGTTGGTCCTTGTGAGGGCATTGACCTTGGTGACCAGCTGTGGGTTTCCCGCTGGCTGCTGCACAGAATCGCTGAGGAGTTCGGCGCGAAGGTCTCCTTCCAGCCTAAGCCCATTCCAGGAGGTGCGTATTCTCGCGGGTATCAGAAAATGTCAACAGCTGCTAATGAGTATCAGACTGGAACGGTGCTGGTCTGCACACCAACGTCTCGTCTGCTGAGATGCGCGAAGAGGGCGGCATGAAGGCCATCGAGGCTGCGATGAAGAAGCTCGAGGGACGTCATGTTGAGCACATCAAGGTTTACGGTGAGGGTAACGAGGCGCGTATGACTGGCGGCCACGAGACTTCCTCGATCGACAAGTTCTCATGGGTAAGATGGCTTCCTCAGATCTACCAACACATGTACTAACAGCATTCCAGGGCGTTGCCAACCGTGGCTCCTCTGTCCGCATCCCCCGCCAGTGCGCCCGCGAAGGCAAGGGCTACTTCGAGGACCGCCGCCCCGCCTCGAACGCCGATCCCTACCAGATCACCGGCATCATCGTCGAGACCATCTACGGCTCACTCCCAGCTGAGAAGTAGATTCGCACGAAGAAATGAAGAATAACGATACCTGAGAAGCATTCTCAAAGATTCGAATCCACAAAGTCCTCCCCACAGTCGACCCTCCTGTGACATCAACGATATCAACACAGATCTACGAAGCTTGTTCTTGAAGCAAATACTGGCGCTGATGAAGGGACTTGGTTCTAGAATGGAGTTGGCATGAGCTTAGGCTACGCTACACTGTCTCATAGAGTTGCTGTAAGCTCGAGAGCGGTAATTGACGATAGCGTTCTCCCAGATCTTGATTTTCTCCCTCATCCTAGATTGCTGCAGCCTGTTCGGTCACTTCCTTCCTGCTGTCTTGCACACGGTCGTGCCCAGGTACCGAGATTTCGCCGATTTAGCTAGTCACGTGCAGACATTTGCAACTTCCCATGTCTTGGATTCGACATACGACCTCAGTTCATCTATACATCCTTTGCAAAATATGCGAGTACTCTACGTGTGTCGGCAATTGACCATGATGTCCTCGCGACTGGCTGAGACAGCTGCCCGGCAATTAAATGCGCACGATGTCACAAGGCCCGCGGGATGAGTTGACTTCATCGATCTACGTTGACCTCGGTTGCAGCCATTGCTCTCCTCAGTGATCAGAGACCGCGACGCTTACTGTGTGCTAACACCTGTAGGATACATCACCTGTTGCCTTTTCGATTTTGACACCTCAATAGCCGATATCAGCTTCAACGTTGAGCAGCACTGGAGCGGGTTGTCGTGTGAGCCGTCTGCTCGTCCCATATAAGCTTATCTTTCCCCGGACTCATCGCGACTCTGCTTTCCGAAAGTCAGTTATTCTTTCAGTGGAAAGTTTGAGGTGGTCTTTTGCAAGGGATTGCTTTCAAGTCTCGCCTATAGTGTATGACCGCAAACACCAACCTAATATACAAGAGCTATGCCTGGAGTGTTACTGGAAGAGCCTCTCTTGCAGAGCAGAGGTGCTACTTTGAGGAAGCTAGCACCTACATTCGCGGCTGAGATTGTTGGGCTCGACCTCTCAAGCGCTCCGTCTGTTGAAGCATTTCAAGAAATCAAGGATGCTGTCACAAAGGTATCCCCGGCTTTTACAGACCAGAATGACAACAGCAAGCTGAATCATGCCACAGTACGGCGTTGTTGTGATCCGCCAGACCAATCTTACCGATGAATCTCACATCGCTCTGGGCCGTCAGTTTGGAGAGCTAGACGATATCACGCCTTATCTTGCTGCTGGGCGAAAAAACCGACTTAAGTATGTTGAGCTATTTGATGTCAGCAATGTCGAGGAAGATGGATCCATCGTCCCTTTGACAAGCCCAAAGGGTCAACACGGTAAGGTGAGCAGCTGACAGTCAGCAAACCTCTTCAGACATACCCGACTTGTGGTCTCTGACACATATAAACCCAGGGCAACTCGCTCTTCCACGTCGACTCCTCCTTCAACCCACGGCGCGCAGGCTTCTCGCTCCTCCTCGCCCATGAGCTCCCGCCTCCCAACATGGGCGGCGCCACAGCCTTCGCCGATACGCGCACAGCGTATGACGATCTTTCCGACGACCTGAAGGCCGAGCTGGTCTCCCAGAACTACATCGCCTTTCACTCTATGCATCATTCTCGTAAACTCGCCAGCCCGGAATACTTCGCCGATCTAGACCCAACGCAGTACCCCATGGGCAAGCATCGTCTCGTCCAGCGCCACGAAGCGTCCGGACGCATGAATCTGTACGTTGCGGCGCACGTGCATCATCTGGAAGGGCCCGACGGGCAGCAACCTCCGGCAAAGCTGTTCGAGGACCTGTACAAGCACGCTTGTGACGACAAGTACGTAGTGCAAATCGAATGGCAGAATGCGGGAGATATGATTATTTGGGACAATACGTGTGTGATGCACAGGGCTCTGGGCGGGGAGTTTCGGACGAAGTACAGAAGGGACATGAGGAGGGTCACGGTGCATGATGGGAGCTCGACAGCTTGGGGACTGAATGAGAAGACCGACAAGAGGGCTGGCATGCCATAATGGAATGTAGTCATGAGCCATAGTAAGGTGACCGGCCTTCAAGGTGGACTTGCGTGATAGCACGTTGACTTGTTCTATAGCCTTGCTTGATAGCCAGGTACGTGTTACATATGAATATTAATGACTCCCCACTATCTGCCCCGCGGTCCGGGGTTGGGCCACACCGGATACTTCTCGCGCCTCAAAGTCAGCTAGAACCACAACTTCGCATGTGCCGGTGGTCATTTCCCATCAACCATTGTTCCTTCTACGATTTGAGGATCTGAATGCCGCGATCACGCTAAGCAGCTGCAAAACGTCATCGGCTTCTTGCGCACAGCTTACTCGTATGCTGCTAGCGTACTTACCATTAGCCGAAATGTAACTACTGAGGTGGGAACACCACTGGCACATATCAGGTAAACGCGTCCCGCTGGACTCGTGACTTGGTTCCATCACGGATAGAGGAGGATTAGGTGTCTACAGATTCGTCCGGTCTATAGATCCCCACGCTACCTATAAACTGTACGTTCGAAGCGGACTGGAAGGAACAGGGCGTACCAACCTCGAGATGGCGAGCTCGGCAAGGCCCGAAGTGTGCACAAAGAGGTTCCCGCTGAACAGTATGTACTTGCACTATTCCCAAATTCCCTGTCCAGACCCGTCATGTGCAGTCATTAACAAGAGACCCGAACCCAGTCCGCTCCCAATCCACCACCAAACCAACGATCCCCGCGGTCGGCCTCGGGACCTGGCAAGGCCAATTCGGCACGGACGCCACCACCTCCCTCAAGAACTCTATCATCCACGCCCTGCACTCCGGCTACCGCCTCATAGACACCGCGCAGTCCTACGGCGTCGAGTCCGTCGTCGGCGCCGCCATCCGCGAATCCGGCGTCCCCCGTGACGAGATCACTGTCATCAGCAAGCTCTGGGGCACTTCGTTCCACGATGTTCCTGGTGCGTTGGAGCGGAGTCTGAGGGATCTAGATGTGGGCTACATAGATTTGTATCTGATGCATTGGCCGAACCCGATGGGGAAGCATGGGGAGGTGCAGGCTTATCCTGGGAGTCCGCCGTTTTGGGAGGTTTGGAAGAGTTTGGAGCGGTGTGTGGACGGGGAGAAGTTGAGGGGGATTGGCGTCAGTAATTTCACGCAGAAGACTTTGGGTGTGTTGTTTGAGAAAGGGGTGGAGATCGCGCCGGCGGTGAATGAGGTTGAGTTGCATGTGTTGAATCCGAATTTCGAGTTGGTCAAGTATTGTGAGGAGAAGGGTATCCAGGTGGTGAGCTGGAGCACGATGGGTGGGGAGCGATTGGGGACTGGGAAGAATCCAATACTAGAGGACGGGGAATTGAGGGAAATCGCGAAGAGATATGGGGTGAGTACAGGGGTGTTGAGCTTGAGTTGGGCGGTGCAGAGGGGGATTGTGGTAATTCCGAAGAGTAGTAAGCATGAGAGGATTGAGGAGAATGTGAGGTTGGTTACGCTGGAGGAGGGGGATATGGCCAAGATGAACAACGCCGGGGGGAGGATTGGAAAGATGAGGATTGCGGATGCGATTGAGGGCATTCATTATAAGGTTGATGGGAGGAATACGCTTATGGGGTGGTCGAAGGTGGATATGGGGTGGGAGGATAAGGAGGGGAACTGGTTGGTCTGATCATCCTTGTGCTCTACACTGGGATGGTCGCAACCTCGGAGCGTGTCCAGGCCTTCGAGGTTTCGAGTTCAAGGGAGTTCAGCTAGACCAGGTCGAGACTTCATAATGGCATCTATGGTAGCAAGGATTCGAAAGCGATATCGCCCCAGCAACGCTCTTTGCCACCCAGCCGGTTACCGCCTAGTCTTCACATTTGGCAAGCGACCTTCATATATTCGTGAGTCCATATTCTCGTTCAACAATCGACCACAGAATCAATGGTCGATTGAGAAACTTATAAGCCACCACCGTCCAGGTGGGTAGCAGGGTTGGGTACCACCATAACTTCGTAGATCCGGGCCACCCTGCTATGTTAGGCACAAAGTTTTTGCTTTTTGGGCGATTTCTTTCTGCTTCAGCTGGCTCATGATGGCTTTTGAGCCCAAGTCACCGTCCTAAGATACTGGTCAGTCGTGACTACCAGACACCGCAAGCTCACTCACACTGAGGTATAGGCATGCACACTCCGGTCCTTGAAACCCTGCCGCACTTCGTCCAGAAACTCTTGTACTTGCTCGAACGACCACTGTCAGAAGTCAGCACTGCTATACTGTCACACTAGATGACGGCGCCCTTCACTCACGCCGTAAAGCCTTGTCAGCAGCGCCATACTCCAGCCCTCAATTCCCTCATAGCATTCCAGCAGATGATACCGACCGACTGATTTCAGCTTCGGATCACTACTCCATGGCCCTACGGGCATCTTGAACTTCCTTTCAGTCACATTTGTGAAACCTGCTTCCTTGATGAAGTCGGTCTGCAAGTCCAGGATCCGGAAGGTGCGACCTATTTTCTCGCCTGCCTCAACAAACAACTTTGACCATCTCTCGAAGGCGTGCCCTTCTGGTACCGATCCATCGTCAGCGATCCACGTTACACTATACTCTACTTGCTCGAAATAGCCACCGGGTTTCAAGTGTCTGCATATCGTCAGCAAGGCCACTCCGAGACCCGGCACGAATGAATATCGCATTGGGCACCGAACATACGCCAGGACTTTCTTATAAAACTCTGGCCAGTCAGCTATGCTGCCATAGAATCCTCTGACGTGAATATAGTCGAAGCTGTCCTTTTCGAAAGTCCACTCATCTGTGGCATCGTCTATTTCAAATTGGCAATTCGGTGGGACAGCTTGATGCTGGATCGGAGACAGGTCTGTTCCGATGACTTGGGCATTGGGAAACTCATCAGCAAAATCGCTGGCCCTGTCAGCTATGTATCAAGATACGCTCATCAGTGACCTACCATGCCCACGTTCCTGTCCCCGTCCCAAGGTCGAGCACCCTCTGCGAAACGTTAACAGCGTTCGACCTCCACGATACTTCACAGCCGTACCTTCGGATCTGTCAGCGGCGCAAAGAACAGCTTGTTGTCGAACAAGATCAGATATGCCTGGTGACTGCCATGCAATACAATTAGCCTAGCGCAGACATCCATGTTGGCGCAACGCACGCAATATCCAATTGCTCGCTTTGCTGTTGGTCATTCGGGCCCCAATACTGTCCTTCTTTGTAGGCATGGTACGAGCGGCCGTTCTCGTTGCGAAATGCGTAGATGGATGATCCGATTGTCTGTGTCTCTGATGCACTATATCAATGATCAGGGAAAGCTCAACGGACCTCCACGAATGAAGTCGTACGTATCGCCGTCATAAGAGGCATCAAGCTCGTGCTGGTTCTCGAGATTCTCGGCCTGTTTTGCGCATCAGCCTCACAACCCACCTGCAAGACACGTACCCAACTCACAATCGGGACTTCTCGATCTCCTTCACCAGCAGATGTAGTCGCCATGATCACACTCGTCAAACAAGCTATACAGACGAGACACGAGCAGCGAGCTCCGGGTAGGTAACAACGTGATTTTCAATGAACAAACTACATAAGGCACGCACAACGTCCCAGAAGTACAGTATCATCACTGCCAATTGCCGCACCAAGTAGTCCACATACATGCATCGGTCATTTCGTCCCGTCGGGCACTTGAGACGCAGCCAGGGCAGCAGGGGCAGCTCTCAGGGCTTATGCACGCAAGCGAGGGCAAGCAAGGTGCCCCGAGCGAGGTGGTTTGCCAGACCAGGGAGGGTGCTGGAGGACATGTATCATCCGGCGGCCGTTAGGTGCCCATTCCGGGCATGGTGGGGTTGGCATGAGGTTGAAGATCGCTCGTGTGAGAGAAGATGTGATAAGGAATGGAAGGTTCCGGGTGGTTAGACGCCCCGGACGGGGGCGGACAGGCTGACACGTTCCGGAAGTGTAAAAACACGGCTGTTCACAAAGCTGTCGGAGATGAATTTTGTCTTGCGGACGTCGGGTCGCACAGGCATCGAAGTTTGAATTGGTCAGGCTGGCTCCAGGCTAACACCCATATGCGAGCTACGCTTTTGTAAACCAACGACTCAGTGGCGCGCTCCGGCCTCTGGTCTGCGGCAAGACAGGGGTCAAGCGGTTCTCGACGGTAGCGATCGAATCATATGAGATTCTTCACAATTTCGTCAGCCATGTCGATGGGCCGAGCACGATAGCATCCTGCAGCTTGAGACTGAGGCCTGCATATAGGCATCTTTCCGCCCTTCGATCATGCAAGATGTCTGTTCATCTACCGCAGTCTTCGCTGATGACTACGCTAGCTTACAGGCTATACACCGACACTACTGCAGACGCCCATCGCAGCTGCTCAACGTGGTCAAGCACAATGTCATGGTCTGGAGCAATCCTACGACACGAGACTTATATCCTCGCTTGCCCTAATTGTGACGATTCGTTTTGAGCAAACTCGACCTCAATCATGCCCTCCATCGACGTCTTCGCGTCTTCTCCTACCATGTCTTGGATCTGACCGGCAGCAATCATGGGTGCTGTCGACTACCTGGTATCGCCGGCGTCATGGGCTGCTGGAGCAGGACTTCTGTTCTTATATATCGCCTCGCTTGCCGTCTATAGATTGTATTTCAGCCCACTAGCGAAATTTCCCGGACCCAAGCTTGCAGCGCTGACACTATGGTACGAATTTTACTTTGATGTGATCAAGGGCGGGCAGTATACGTGGGAAATTGGGAGGATGCACGACAAATATGGTGCGAGAGCAAAAGCAGATCTACTGGCATGGCTGACCGCCCATAGGCCCGATCGTACGCATCAATCCGTATGAACTTCACATCAAGGATGCCGAGTATTACGATGTCGTTTATGCTGGCGGCAAAGCCAAGCGAGACAAGTGGCACTGGTCTGCGAAGATGTTCGGCAACTCTGATTCCATGCTTGGAACGCTGCCCCATGCTCACCACAGACTGCGTCGTGCTGCATTGAACCCGTATTTCTCGAAGCAGAGTGTGGCCAACTTGGAGCCAACGATCAAAGGCGTTGTCGAGAAGCTTTGCAACAGGTTTGAGCAAGCCAAAGCAAGTGGTGAGCCTGTCAATCTGGGATATGCATATGCAGCACTGGCCATGGACGTTATCACCGAATACAGCTTCAGCAAGAGCTATGGGTGTGTCGATGACCCGGGCTTTGCGCACCAATGGCCAGATATTGTGGATGGCATCTCCAGGCAAAGCCACATCAACCAGCAGTTCGGCTGGCTCTTGCCCGCCATGAAGATGCTACCGCTGTGGATGGTTAAAGCCACGAATCCTGACATGATGCAATTAATTTACTTCCAAGACGTCAGAGTCCTCCCTGCTTACAGCCATCACAGAGCTAACTTACCCTCAGGACATGGAGAAATCCATCAGCAAGATTATGGACGGCCGCACCGACACTAAACAATCCACCAACCCAACCATCTTCCACGAACTCCTCAACTCCGACCTCCCCGCTGAGGAGAAAACCCTCACCCGCCTCCGCGACGAAGGCCAGACCGTCGTCGCCGCCGGCCAAGTTACCACGGCACACCACCTGAAGACTATGTCCTACCACATCCTCGCAAACCCCTCCATCCTCAGCAAACTACAAGCGGAGCTGAAGCAAGCCATGCCAGACCCATCCGTCCTCGCTCCACAGTCGAAACTCGAGAACCTGCCCTACTTTCGCGCCGTTGTGCTGGAGGGCTTCCGGAAGTCATATGGTGTAGTCCACCGCCTACAGCGTATCTCTCCTGACCAGCCTCTGGAGTACAAAGATTGGGTCATTCCCGCAGGTACGCCCGTAGGCATGACATCAATCTTTATGCACGATGATCCAGAGCGTTTCCCTGAGCCTGAGAAGTTCAAGCCAGAGAGATGGCTGAATGGTGGTGGCGAGCGGATGGAGAAGTATCTAGTCAATTTCTCGAAAGGCAGCAGACAGTGTATGGGGATGAACCTAGCGTATGCGGAGATATACCTAACGTTGGCGGCGGTATTCAGGCGATTTGAGCTGGAGTTGTTCGAGACGACGGCGGGAGATGCGGCTGTTAAGCATGATTACTTTAATCCGCAGCCAGGGATCGAGAGTAAGGGAGTTAGAATTCTTGTGAAGTAGATGAGCGAACACGTAGCCATGTGGCTCACTTGAACAGTCCTTGGCCAGAATCTTCCACCTCATCTCCGCTTCCTCGAAAAGTACAAGTCACAATGCGTGCGATCCCCTAACTTCCTGGTCTGCTGTCCGGACTGGTGGCGGACTTCCTTCTGCGGCACAGAGAGCGTGAGTCCGTCCAATTCTTTCCGCCCAATCACAACTGGTTCTTCCCACTCACATCCACGACCTCATCTTCATCACTGGACCCACGGCCCCCAACCTTCGCTCCTTGCGCATCGTGCTCCTGATCCCACAGATCCAGCCGGGTGAGTGGCACCTTCACCAGCCTGTGCGTGACCTCACCGCCCTCAAGCACCAGCTTCTCGTGACGGACGCGATACCCTTCCCACCTTGCAGTGCGTACACCCACACCACATAGTACGCGCCACATGCCAGCAAGATACCGATGCCGGTGACCACATATGTGGCATACCAGAAGCTGACGTCGCCGCCTGTTGCTCCGCTTGTTGGAGGATACCATGGCATGATGAGCATGAAGAGGTTGACGGCGATGGTGAAGAGTATGGCGACGTGCCAAGTGCGAAAGGAGGCTCGCTTTGAGGGGGCGGGGATATTGAGGCGCTTGCGGGAGCGGCGTGTAAAGTATAGGCCAACTGCCATGCAGAAGTTGAAGAAGGACGTAGGTAGATGTTGAGGTCGACTGCGAAGTTCTGTAGCATGTTAGGCTGACCTGTTTGCTTGAGCTGAGGGATTACATACAAAGGCGTCGCCTGCAGGTGGCGCGAGAATTAGGAGAAGTGTCAGTGCCCACTTGAGCAGATATGGCCAAGAGTTGTGCCGAAAGGTTTGGTGCTGACCCAGAAGTTGGCGTAAGGTAGGGTGCCTTGGCTAAGACAAGATTGTCAGCCTAGGAGTTCCAAGCAAGATAGGACAATTCGGCTCGACTTACCGACCACACTCACGAATGAGCCTCGAAGATCCCAGGAGAACTGCTAGCAAGTTCCCGAAGGCGCTGATGGCTATGAGGATGTTCAAGCCTCGCACAGCCTTGCCCGGTCCGAAAACGTGCTGGAAGAAGAGGCTCGCGGCAATGGTCTTGCCCTGAACCAGCTCCTCTTTAGGTACAGCCGAGAAGTAGGCGACATTTGCCAAAATGTATAGGATAGCGACAACGAGCAGTGAGAGGCCCCCAGAGTTTCGGATACTCCTCACGGGGTTCTTCACCTCATTGACGACGTTAAAGGCATTCTCGTACCCAGCATAAGAGAAGTAGATCTTGTACAGTGCATTAGTGATGCCATAGGGTGACGCCGACGTGCCCTCGAACCCAGAGAAGCTGTCTCGGAAATTTGCATGAGGGTCCGGAACACGCGAGACGTTGCCACCAAGAACGACAAGGCCGGTGATCGCGACGAAGATAAGAGTCAGTAGTTTGATAAAGCCAATGGCATTAGATATGCGATAGGACCATTTGGTGGAGAATACCACAGTCAGGAAGGCGAGGCTGTACACGCCGACTGCGAGACCTTTCACTTCCCAGTCAGAAGGAGTATGAGTACTGATGCGGAACAGGTAGTTTGCCATGACGATTGCATTTGAAGAGCTGAACGACAGCAGGACACTCTGAATGGCGAACGCGACGGGAAAGAGATATCGGGGTCGTGGAAATGCTTGCTCCAGATAGACGGCCTCGCTGCCGGAGCGATGAGGGAAGTAACTCGCGAATTCAAGGTAGACGGAGAGGCCGGCGGCGGACATGAAGAAGCCTATCGTCCACCAGATCAGAGCGAGGCCAACTGATCCAGTGCCTTTCAATACGGATCTGCTCCATTATTAGCATCGCTGCAGAGAACATGGGCTTGTGGACAGGGCAGATCTCACGCGGGTGTCGAGTATACTCCTGTTCCGACCATCTTCGACAAGTTGAGGAAGGTCTAGCGACGTTAGACCCGTTTGAGCTGGTCAGACAATATTACTCACGATCGTGACAGCACCAACATGGTAGCCAAGGGGCGAGCGACTCTCTACCGGAGCGCCAGAGACCTCTTGGTAGGATGGCTCCTCGCTGTTTTCTCCCTTCTCAACAGCATAATGAAGGTTGCCATCTTTGACGAACGTTGTCTGGAAGTCGCCTTGGTCGCCGGCACTCACGGAGGCCCTGTAACGATCTCGTCTGATCCGATGAAGGATAGACATGGTCTGTTGTCACTGTCTCCGAGTGCCGCGCGGTTTTGTGATAGACAGTCCTCGCCTCGCCGTGGAAGGTCTCAACCCTTTATGATCGTCCGTGTGACCTGCGAGCTGGTGCTACGCTGCTTTGTGTAGCAGGATTGCGGGAAGTGATAGAGGAATGGCGACACCTGGCGCTATCCATTTGCGGTTGCATCGACGGCTGAAACCTTGTATGGAAGGCATGGGACGGGCCACCGTGGCCTCCGAGCCGAATCAGGGGCAATAGTTGCTTATTTGAGCTTGCAGCGTTTCGATCATGAGGTCGCCGGTCGAGGCGACAAAGCCGACCTGCATGTCGCCTTCCCTACATTAACCTACACGTTGCCTGCACAAGCTTGCAGTGTATTGGCAGGTACGTGCTACTGCAGCAAAATGACGTGCTCCCACGCCTAGTCTCATAGGCTCGTGCCCGACCATGGACGGCCATCGGCGGCGTAGAGATCTTCTTTATAAGCGAGGTTGTAGGATAAAAGCAGATCCAGGATCGACTTGAGCCTGTAATGGGGTTTCTGCATGCATGAACATGCGGACGATCCACTCATATATCGCCTAACTACGATCACGTCTTCGATGATCCGTTGCTCGCGCTGCGCACGTATGGCTCGAGTGGGAAGACCTGATTCTGCGGGCATACACTATCGTACAGCTGTGCCCATCTCGACCTCAACGCGGCTGGTGTCTCCCAAGCATACTCAGGATCGCGGAGCCAGAGCCGCACCAAGTGGCGCTGCTGTTCCGGTGTGTCCGTGAACCCGTCTCGGGCATGAAAGACGGCCAGGTTGTTCACATACTGAATGTCGCCCTGCTGGAAATCCAGCTCCACATTGAAGCGTTCTCCCAGGAAGTGCAGAGCGTCAAGTGCTTCAGCTTGGGCTTCCGAAATGGGAGGAATGTCTGTGGAGCGTGGCAACGCGCCATACCCGGTGAAGTATCTTCTTGCGTATTGCAGAATGACTCTCTCCGGCGCATCATCAGTAGTAGGCTGGTGGAACAGCAAAGGCTTCGCTGTGTAGCGCTCCTCGGTGTTTCCAAAGTTTTCAGCGATCCAATCTGAAGACAGTGTCTCAATGAGATCTGGCCGAGTGGCCGCCAGTTCATTGTAGACGCGCCAAGTGCTTGCCAGCCTGCTCTTTCCACCCTCAGCTGCGGTGCTAAGTGCGAACAACGACACAGTGTCGCCGGCATCCGTGTGAAACACCTGCTTGTCTGCCGTGTAGGCTGGTGCGCCAATGAAAGCTTTCTCCTTGCTGGAGCTCAGGTCTTTGATGTGGTTGAGCACCACATCAGCTGGTTTGCCATCGTACTTGGAGTCCTGGCGGGCCCTAAGCGGGGCAATGTGCGAAGACAGGCCAGCGTAAAGAATGATATTATCCTCCCGTGAGTGCTCCTTGACGGGCAGACCACGTACGACCTTGAAGCCATGGCCATGGTGAAGTTCTCGGGAGACCGCACGTAGAGCAGCGTGTAGCTTGGGTAATGGAAACGTGATCTGGTCAATATAGCCAAGCGGTTTCCCAAGTGCTAGAGAATGTCAGTTCGGCGATAAGCATCTACATCCACGAAAACCTCACATTTGAAATGGGCAAGGGCGTGCTCCAGTTCCTCGAGGTGTTCCCGTGTTAGCACAAAGTTCCAGTCGTAGTTGTCAAGCGATTTGCCGTCCCAGACCAAGTCCGAGTATAATCGTCGACTGAAGCCTTTGGGCAGAGCCTGGCTTTTCAGGGCTTCCGCCTGTTGACGACGCCTGGATCTGGCTTCATATTTATTGAAGTCAGGCGCGTATTGAATATCAGGCTGCTGTGGTAGTACGTCTACAGTCGCCATGGCTGCCGTCCGTGAAGTGCAGGGAGGGTTTCATGATCCGATGTTACCTTATATCCTTTGAGTTCTCGTGGCCGCGATGACGCCATCTAGCGACGTATGGTGTGCGGAGATCATCACACAGCAGCACTTGAAGTTGAAATCGATCATGAAGTTTCCACGTAGGAAGCCGACGACAGATCAGTGCTAGCTCCACGATTGTCAGTGATTTCGCGTTACTGGGACGCGTGTCGATGGCTATAGGCACTGGGGCTTCTGCTTCGCATGGTTCTAACAGCCAGATCGCGCCTACTCACCGCTACAGAACCCACATGAAAGTCGCTGAGCTTCACACCGGTCTGCAGGATTTCCACCAGAGCAGATCTTATGATTTGGATGAGCTGTGGGAAGTAGCTACAGGCACAGTAGACTCGACGATCCGGGCCAAGGAGCGGGCTCTAGTGTCGGGTACCCGGCTTGGCGGAGATGCTCCGCTACTGCGGCGTATCCTCTGGGAATTTATCTTGTTTAATGAAAGCCTTCTGCGACACGACATAGCATTGATCGTTGGTGCCGGCCGGAATGGATGCAGATGTGAGCTACCCTACGGCTAAGCGGCGAAGAACCTCCCAGAATTCCTCCGATTCGCGATCGAGATCCGGCTCCAGAACGCCAGCAACGCGTTCGCGTCGAGATTCGCTGAGACAGCGCAGCAGATCCTACAGTGGCTCCCGATCACCTCCACGTCGACAACAGCGGAGCGCCACTGGCTCATCGGACTACCATAGCGCGCGAGACTCTCAAGATGGCGACCAATATAAAGACAGATCAGGCTCGCCTCGTCTCAATCATCCACGAGCATCCACATCCTCGAGCCGCAGCCTGCGCTTCCTTCCCCTACAGACCCTTCCTCGGGCTCACGCAAGAGGCATCACCTGCGCAAAATTCTCGCCGGATGGCGCCTTGCTCGCGACTGCGTCAGCAGATGCCACCATCAACATCTACTCCGTCCCCACAGATCCACGGCTACCTTCTACAACCTCACCGATAAAGCAAGAGCCCGACACCGAGGGTCCTGTCACAACAGCAGGCTTCAAACACATACGAACGCTCCGCGGCCACCTCGCCGGCATCAACGCTCTCTCATGGTCGCCCGTCAGCAACGGCACCACCACCACAACAACCTACTCCGCCGCCGAAGACAATCAACCCACCCCACCCACGACCTCCTCCAAATTCTACACCCTAGCCTCCGCCTCCGACGACAAAACCATCCTCCTCTGGTCGCCCCTCTCCAGCGACACCCCCATCGCGCCCTCTCCTCTCACCGGCCACTCCAACTACGTCTACTCCCTCGCCTTCTCCCCCAAAGGCAACATGCTGGTCTCCGGCTCCTACGACGAAGCCGTCTTTCTGTGGGACGTGCGCTCCGGCCGCGCAATGCGCCAGCTACCTGCGCACTCTGACCCCGTTGGTGGCGTGGACTTTATCTGCGATGGCACCATGGCGTGTTCGTGTTCGACTGATGGGCTGATTCGGATTTGGGATTCGGGCACAGGGCAGTGTTTGCGGACATTGGTGGATGAGGCGCGGAAGGGTGTTACGGGGGTCATGTTTGCGCCGAATGGGGGGTATTTGTTGGCGTGGACGCTCGATGGGTGTGTGCGGTTGTGGGATTTTGTGGGCGGGAGGTGTGTTAAGACTTATCAGGGGCATGTTAATAAGGAGTTCAGTTTGGGTGGTGCGGTCGGGACGTATTTCCCTTCGGTGGTGGATGAGAGGGGAAGGCAAGGGCAAGGGGCGTTCGTGGCGAGTGGGAGTGAGGATGGGGATATTGTGATTTGGGATGTCACGACGAAGGAGACGCTGTGGAGGGGAGAGGGGGCGCATCGGGACGTGGTGCTTAGTGTAGATCACTGTACGCCGCATGCTGTTGAGGGGGCAAGGGGATTGTTGGTGAGCGTGGGCAAGGACAGAGATGTGAGGATCTGGGTTGAGGATGTGGACGATGAGGCGGTGCGGAGGCGGCAGGCGGGCCTAGTGGCGTCCAAGAAACAGCAGCAAGACCGGAGCCAAGTCAACGGAAACGGTAACGGCTATGCAGTGGATGAGGACGAGGATTATATCAACGCTCAGATGGTAGAGATGGGTGGTGATGGGCATGATGGCATGGATGTCGATCACCATGATGACCATCATGAAGTTAATGGCCACGATGGAATGGAGGAATGACGTTTGTACGCCATTTGCATGGACCTGCCAGTAGAAGCAAGTAGCATGCGGTCGGTAAAGTATCTTCCGGCCACCCCTCAATCTTCAATGAGAGCCTCCAAAAAAATACCAAATGCTATCTCAAACCATTCAAACAGAAGCGCTATGCGATGACACACACTACTTCGCATGTCGAAAATTGCCCCTCGCCTGCTCCGCCTTGAGCATATCACTCTGACTAGGCAGCGGGGCCCTGGCTCTCCTGCCCGCGCTCCCAGCGCCATTGCTCATCCCTGGTGGGGGTACCGGCAACCCAGGGATACCAGGCAGTCCTCCCATCCCACTCGTGTCCAGACCTGGCAAGCCCGGCGGTGCAGCGCCAGGGAATCCAGCAGGCATCCCAGAGATGCCGGGTGGTGGCGGCGGGGCCTGTCCTGGCGCAAAGTTGCCCACGCTGGGCGGCTGAGGAAAGCCAGGCGGGAATTGGATCTTGGAGAAGTCGATGCCCGACATGTGAGGTGGCGGTGGAGGAAGCGAGATGTCATGGGGGAGACCTGCTATACCACCAGGTTGTTGCGCGCTCTGGATCAGTTGCGCAATGGCATCGCTCGAGCCCGGCATACCACCTGGAAAATTGGGCAGCGGAACTGGGAGGCGCCCTGCAGCACCTGCAGCAGATGGCGGTGGTACGGGAAGGTTGCCGAGCCCGGGCATGCTCATTCCTGGCAAGCCAGGCAGGTTGCCCTGTTGTTGTTGCGCTTGGTCCTGCTCAACTTCTCTTTCGTCCTCCTCTTCTTGCATCTCAGCTTCGCGACGTGCTTTGCTGCCATGTTTTCTGTCCCATGTGCCCTGTGCTTCTGCACCTTCCTCGCCGAGATGGTACTGGTCCTTGAAGCAGTCCGTCTGACCTGGCAGGGAGCGAGACCAGAAGCGTGTGAAGTGGTCGTTGGACCTGATGCAAGTATGTGGCCAAGTGGGTGCCAGTCAAGGGACCAGATGGCGGATTCGTGGGCGTAGGTGATGCGATGGGCAGGGTAGATCGACTGTGCAGGGGCGGATTTTGGTTCTGGTGTTGCGTATGGTGATACGGTCGCGGTGGAGATGCCGGCGGGCGTGTTTGGTTCAGTGAGGAGGTATGTGTGTAGAGCACCGTCTTCGCCGCCAGTCGAGAGGAGGGACGCGTGGATGGGGTGCCATGCCATTGTGGTGACGCCTTTCTCGTGTCCACGCAAAATGGCAACGTCGCGCATGAGGCGAAGGTCGAAAATTCGCGTTTGCCCATCACGAGCACTGGTGGCGAGCAGCTGGTCCTGTACGCGTGAAAAGCAAGTTGCGGTGATGGCGTTCTTGTGGCCGTGTAGTGTCGTGAGGTTCCGTGAGGTGCGTGGATCCCAGAGACGGACACTGTGATCCTTGGATCCAGAGACTACGAGGCCTTTTGTTGGATGCCAGTCACAGGCTTTGACGTCCCAGCCGTGGTCTGTGTAGGTAGACTCCATCTGGGAAGTGTGAAAGTCCCAGACTTTGAGATTATTGTCATCGGAGGCTGTGACGAATTTGGTATCGGTTGGAGAGAAGGCGAGATCTCGGATCGGAGCTTCATGTGCTTTGAACTGATGTGGATTGTTGAGAGTGGGTTGAAGATAGTAGACGGTGCCTTCATCGTTGGCGGCGATCAGCCAGTCCTTTCGGTTCGACCATTCTGCTGCTCTGAGGGAGGAGCTGCCCATAGCAGTGACTGTCTCAAAATTGAAGGACATGCCATTCCAGAGCATGAATTCGCCATTGTGGACGCCAGCTAGTAGACGTCGTCCATCCGGCATCCACCGTACAATTGTCACAGGTTTCTTGGACTTGCCAAGTGATGTGTGAAGATGCCGGACAGGTATTGATTCAGCCGGGCTATCTCGACGTGCGATGGGCGGAAGCACGTCCAGGACATAGCTGAGTGACGGTCTCTCCTGTTCGTAATGCGATGTTCCTCTGTAGGCTGGCTTGCGGTTTGTGGTCCATTGCACCATTGATGATCCGTAGTCGGTCACGGGTCGCGGCCTACGCTTCCGCAGGAACATAGGATCATCTGGGTCATTGAAGCGGTCCCCCATCGTCGGCTACGACGAGCCGTGCTCGTCAGACTATGTTTCGGCTCAGTGCTAGAACGCTTGAGGCAAAAATAAGGATCAATCCAAGTCTAGTCAAGGGGAATAGAGAGTGAATGACAGGGCTCAACTGCCCTCTTCCGGTGCTCCGACTCCCGCCCGAACGTATAGTCTAGTGGCTGGCTGCCAATTAGAACTGCAGCGCAGATTACTCTTGCCAGAATTGTACCAAAGCTGAACTGTCGCTTCTGTGGCACGCGTGGTCGTGAGGACCTCGAAGTTCGGCAACGAGCCAGACTTGCACGTGACTTGCATTCTGTCTTCAAGTTGTTGAGTCAAGTGTCCGACCAGCCACCGGCTTTCTGAGTCAAGCCGACATCCTTGCCAAGACCTACGGCCTATAAATTTCGCCTGCGAGTCTGCAACATCTTGTTCTCCTTTCTTCATACTTACCTTGTGAGAGCGACCGCGATCAAGAAGGCGGTTTGCTATTCTGGAGACTCTCCATTGCACATCGGAGTAGTAGACAGGATCCAATATCCTTCGGGGTTTTGGCTTGCGCAATTTTTGTCTCGCACACTTTTCATCAATCGCTTCGCTTCATGCGAAGCTTTGGGGAAGAGGTAGTCCGTAAGTAAGTAGCTGTAGTGAGGTAGGTAACTTGCGAGTAGGCAGCAAGCAGTACCGTAGAGTATGCCGTCGCTGTCGAAGACATCGGGAAGCTGTGATTGGCATGCTCTGTGCTGACCTATCCGCGTCGCGTGTAACGAGGTTTTCTTGAGCGATGGACGCGTCGTGCATGTCGTGATTCGTGTTCGACGACTTCGAGATGTGTGCTCACGCTCGTGACGTAGCAGTCTGTAAGCTCGTTGATAGCGATCTGAGGTAGTATTTCGTAGGGAACGCGTCCGTCGCGGTGAATCATACTGTATCTACTGAGCGAGGCTCTCCCATTGTTATTTACAGTCAACGCGCGCTGCGCCGTCATCGATGAGAGCCTAATATATCACTGCAAGACATGCTGCCACCCAGAAGCCACAGACTTGATAGACGGAGCAGCTGACGATGAGTACGCGGCTTCGACCCTCGAGGCGATCGATGATCTTAAGGCCAATTTCCAGACTTTGAGATGAGGCACGGAGCTGCCATCCTTGAAGATGGCCTTCGTCGCCGAAAACGCGAAAACCCCATCACATAGCGAACACCCCAGTCCGGCAAAAGCACATAAGCTGTCGGCACGGACGATCCAGAGCAACCACCAAGTGACACGCAACGGCACCTGTATATCGGGCATCTTACCCTGACAGCTGGAACCATCTTAGGCGCGGCGAGCACTATTCGCACGCCAAAAAATCTACCAACAACCAGACCCCGATGGTAGCAGCAAGACCGCTGCAAATCCTTTCTACAGTCTGCTCACCGTCTCATCGAAAAGCTAACGGTAGCGCGGATACGACAGGCGCTGACTTCGCTAGGAATACGCCAGAATCGGTCCGGGAATGCTACGATGACCAGGCGTACCAACGACTGTTACATGAGACAGCGTCGAGCTACAACAACGGCGACATGACACAGCAAGAACATACTACAGGGAAGACGTACGAAAGCGAAAGCATACTACAGAGAAGACGCGAGACAGCGAGCATGTACTACGTTGACACACTACGGCGACAGCAGGCGACAAAGACGGCAGCAAGTTTTTCTTCACAATGCGTAACTAATTACAGTAGCGACAGCGAGCTATCTTCCACATCAAAAGGATACACCCCCGAAGGCTTCACAAAGCAAAGCCAGTCGATGGTGCACACACATATGACTTCAAATACCAACATATTCCAATGCTCAAGTATGGCAAATTCGAAATATGACAATATCATTCGACGTATGTTGTACAAAGGAAGGAAAGAAAATCTCTGAGAAGGACGGGGCAGAGCACGAATATATACCTCTGTGATCTGGGACCACATGTCAGCGGACAAGGAACTTTGCATACTGGGAGGGGCGGGAGCTGAACTCGAAAGCTGTTGCCTGGCAGGTAAGTTTGCTCTCCGCTGGCTGAGGGCGGAGGTCGTGCCGCATTTGGACGTGAGCTGATGCTAGGGGTGGAGGGCAGCGGAGCTCTTGGCGACAGACGCCCAATGATCAACGACCAAGACTCCGCTGAGCACATTTAAACAACACTCGCTCTCGAACAGCATGCCATTGCGCCACTCTTGCGAGTCAAAACTGATTCCCGGAGACAGTCACAATCGCAGCAGCCGCGCCTTATTGGTGTTTCGGACACAATATGGAGCGACGCCTCGGGCCATCTCGGACACTCTATTCCTTGCGGATGGTCTTCAATCCAGGCGCCAGCGTTCTCACGACTTCCCAATCCAGCGCCTCTTCGCAGAAGCTGATCCGTTCGGTCCACCAGTGCAGCCAGCTCTCAGCCCGGGCGCCCTCTGCCGCTCTGAGCAGACCAATGCTCACATCAATGAGCTCTGGCCGAGCCTCGCTCCGCCAGAAGACCGTTGCGCCGCACGTCTTGCAGAAGTCTCGCGTGACGTCCTTGGAGCTATTGTAATGCCCGAGTGTCCCAAAGTCTGGCTGCCATGGTTTGCCGTCTTTCATTTCTATGTTGGCTTGTGGTACGAACGCCCAGGTCTGGACAGGCACGCCGCTTGCGAGTCTGCACGATCGACAAGTGCATGTACCGGCCAGGTACTTGTTGTCTTCCCGAATCCACCATTTGATATTGTCTGGATTGTCGCTGTGAGCGGCCTGTGAGGCGACGATCAGATCTGGCCATGGGCTGTTGAAGGTCTTCGAAGCTGATGTAGGTCGAGTGATGTAGTATTCGACGCCACCGCAGTGGCAACTTGCGCGAAGTCTCGTCTTATGGTTGTCTGAGCTGAGAAGGGCATCTTCTACCACCGATCGCTTTCCGGTTGAAGTGTAGCGCGAAGCTGGCACGCAGTCCTCATTGTCAGCTTCTGCATACAGCTCGAGATTCTGTCCCTCCCCATTCCTCAGCATACAGATCGCTAGGCCTCCATCGATCGTGTCGTCAACGAATTCGTGGCTTGTGTAAACTTCCGGGGAAGTGCTGCCGTCCTGAATTTGGTCCACGACGCCAGAGCACACATCCCATTTGTCGCCCTGGTAGACATGTATGAACATGTGAGAGCCGCATGATGCACAGAAGTAGCGGCTTAGGTTGTTCGATGATTCGTAACGTGTGAGTCTGTCCACGAAGTCGGGCTTTGATGCGAGTGTGGGTGCGGACAAGTATAGGACGCCTGTTGTGTAGCGGCAGGTGTCGCAGTGGCAGATCCGCTTGTGCTGTGGTAGTGGGCCTTCAAGGTGTACGGTCTCGTTGATTCGGCCACAAAGGCATGTAGCTGTGACGGGGACTGACATCACTGGAATGTTCTCTAAAACCTCAAGCAATCCTCGGTGGGGCTATTGGATAGGATATCACGAACAAGAAAAGACCGTCAGTATTAGAAGCTATCGAGACATTGACGAAGGGGTTTGTCGCTATACACTAACATTTCTGGCGCCGGTGCGCGATGCTAGATTCACTGCTCAGACTGTGGGAGATGTGCCACGCGAATACGAAGATGCGGAGGTCCTCCTACCTAGAAGAGCTTTAATTGTAGAATGTCATGCAGCTTGCCAGTATCGACAATGTTACAATCCCGCCGCTTGATCGCGCCAGATTGCCGCGCATGCAGGCAGGCATCTCAATCACTTGAAGGGTTTGGCACGGTGGTGAGAGTCCGGGTGACGAAAGACCTCGGTTGGGAACTGTAGAGCGCGAGCGGGCCACGGTCACGTGAGTCAGTCCTCGGCTAAGTTGCTCCTTGCGTGCTTGATCGAGTCTTCGTCAGCAGGCACCCATCGTCGACCTTCTTCTTCTCCTCACTACACTACACCTTTCACGATATTACGACATTCACCTCAACACAGTATTAGACGACTCCGTCCATCCTTCTCATACACACTGTCGGTGTTACTATCTCTTTGCGTTTGTCTGCTCTTGGAAGAGGTTGCTTTAGATTACAAACAACCTTTGATTGGGAAAGAAGTCTTTGTGTTCGGCATCGCGGGCAGGTCGAGGTCGTTCTTTCACCTTCTTCAACTCTCACCATTACACTCATCGCAGTCTTGACCGGCATTTGAGAGGGAACTCAAGATAATCTGAGATTGGAATCGGGCGGCAGGCTAGCTTGCTGAGTCAACTGGACTTGTTGCGCAGACAGTGTGGTCTCGTACTTACTACCTCTTCTTTCAATACGACTTTGATTCCTGCATCGCCCGCATACTCTTTCTGCCTTCCACACTAACACAGCGCTGTGCTCTCCGAGCGTTGGCTCCCTGCATTACCCGAACAACGCTGCCACAAGCTTGTGGCTGTCGCCAACATGGCTTCATACGTGTACTTCAAGTTCAAATCGCAGAAGGAGCCGCAGCGCGTGACTATCGATGGCCCTCACACCGACGTCTGGAACCTCAAGCGTGAAATCATGTCGATATCTCGACTAGGAGATGGTACCGACATTGATCTGAAGATCTACAAGGAGGACGGTGAAGATGGTAAGTCTCGTCGCCAGTGTAGTACCTGTTGCTCTACTAACACTGCCAGAATACACCGACGACACAGAGATAATTCCCAAAGATTCGACCGTTCTCGCACGTCGCCTACCCGCCTCCGCTCCTGGAAAGGGTAGAGCTGCTCGATATGTCTCAGGCAAACCTCCCGTCAGTGCCAGACTCACTGCTGCGAGTGGCAAACCGGCTGCGCAGGTCGAGCTCACAGCAAACATGACCGAGAAAGAAAGACTAGAGGCCATGTTCAAGTTCACAGATGCTCAGTGGCAACAGAAACAAGAAGAAATGGCACATGAGACGAAGGTACACTTCCAGGGCACCAAACCAAGACAAAAGGCCAATGTGCCCGAAGGCGAGCCCCCGCATGGCTACATCTGCTACCGGTGTGGCAAGAAAGGTACGTCCAACAATCCTGAATCGTACTCCAAGTCTAACATAAGTCATAGGTCACTGGATTCAAGCTTGTCCAACCAATGATGATTCGTCATACGACAACAAGAACCGTATCAAGCGCACCACTGGCATTCCTCGATCAATGTTGAAGAAGATTGAACAGGAGGACATCGACAAACTAGATGATCAGCAAAGACAGCATTTGATGGTCAACGCGGAGGGCGAGTATGTCTTTGCTCAGGCAGATGAGAAGACATGGAAGAAGCATCTTGAGCAAGTCAAAGCCTCCGAAGCTAGCAAGAAGAATGCGGCAGAAGATGATAAGGAGATCGTGGAACGTGGCTTGGCATGTCCTATCGACAGTCGGCTTTTCGTTGATCCAATGAAAACACCATGCTGCGGGAAGACGTATTGTCACGACTGCATCGAGAATGCTCTGTTGGACAATGATCTCACTTGTCCTGGTTGTGAGACGCAGAACATTAGTCTCGAGGCTCTGGTGCCAGACGAGGATGTGAAAGCCAATATCAAGGCATATCAGGAGGAGAAATCAAATGACAAGCAACGTTCTAGAAGCCCTACTGCTTCGGTGGCTACTCCAAAGCCAGACGAAGCAGCCGGGAGTGATAGTCGACCAGTCACCCGTGACGGTAGCAAGACTCCTGTGTCGGAGAATGGTCAGGGTAAAAAGCGCACAGCCGATGAGGCTAACGAAACTTGCAATGGTAATCTGGAAGTACCCGCCATGAAACGACAGAAGTCTGGTGAAGGCACACCAGCTCCTGCCGAGTCGAAAGATGCCAGCACTTCAGCAGACTCAACAGGCGATGCCAAGACCACTGAGTTCCCCGTCGACATGATGCCACCCGACTTCTCACAGATGAATATGCCAAATATGGGCATGAACTTCCCTATGATGCCGAACAACATGATGGGAATGGGTATGCCGATGGGAATGAACATGATGCCGATGATGGGCATGATGCCAAACATGAACATGAATATGATGGGTAACATGATGGGCGGCCTGCCCAACATGAATGGTATGAACGGCATGAACGGTGTGGGCAACTTCGGTGGCATGAACGGCATGAACGGAATGAACAACATGAATCCCAACAACCATTTCAACGGCAATAACAACCACCGAGGCAACTTCAATAACAACAAGAATCATCAATTTCGCAACAAGCGCGGTGGCGGCTTCAACAACCATGCTGGCGGTCCTCCTGCTCAACAAATACCACCTAAGCAACCAGAAGGTCTTAGCAATGTGCCCACTGGTCCTAAGGCCATGAAGCCCAATGGTGCAAACAACAACGGAGGCTATCCACCTAGCGGCCCTGCAGGTGGCAAGTTTGCAAACCAGCAGCGGTACAATGGTCCGGAGACGGCGAATGCATACCAGAGAGCGCCCGTCAACCCGCAGCGCGGAGGATGGAAGAACAAGCGTGGGAAGGCGAGGGATGCGGATTATCGGGAGCTGTAGTGCGGCACGATCTGGCAGCAGGCTGGGTTTCGGACTGTATGATGAAGCCGTGAGATGAGAGGATTGACTTCATGGGAGCGGAAGCGGTAACGCTGGTAGTGAAAGATTTACGACATCCTGGAAGTATCAAAAGGGCATAGCGACTGGCGTGAGCGATTCATTGGTGGCATCAATAGGTTTGCGTGCTGTACAGAATGCTCAAGGCTTCTTAGAGTGGCAAGTTGAGCAAGTCCCCTTCTGCTCGGGACACTTGGAGGGTCTTCTGATAGTGAGGGAGGCCTACAAGCATACATATGAAATAAAGACTCAAATCTTCTCTCGCTGATCTCGTCGGGTTTCTACTGGACTTCCCGCCAATGTAGAACAATGGATACAATGGGTTTATCATTATTGGCTTTGCATGATCTTCTGTTAAGCCTAGTCCAGGCAGACGACCTTCATAGGAGGTCCAACCCTGACAACCTGAACCTCGCACGTCGTCACGCCGTGTGCATTCACGATGGGACCCTTAGCATGCTGCACAACAGCCTGACTCGCGTTTGCAGTACCGCCCTGTACCACCCCACCGCCCGGCTGGAGTTGCGCCCTCACGACGCCGGGCACCGACTTGGCTGTGTGCGAATCCGTGAAGAATCCAGATGGATTTGCCTCGATTCGTGCGAGCGTAAATCCAGCACCAGTATCTCCTCCGTTCGTGCCGTTGATTCCGGTGGTGAAGGGGCCCGTGATACACCCGGAGCTACGCTTGACGACCTCTGGGCCCGAGTCTGCTGGCTCGGGGTTGGGAAACGCGATGCGTGGTGGGCCGGCGGCGCCCTCGATAGCTTTCGTGGATGTGCGTGGCGGTGATGGCGGGGGAATCGTAAGGGCCGGTGACGCCTGTTAGGGTGATGTTGTAGCAAATTATGTCCAGCTCGCTATTGATGCCGTAGTTGTAGTAGCCGATGGCGCCCGTCTCGCCGGGAGCACTGTTGTTCTGCGCACCGATGACTTTGTCCGGTGTTGCGACGAGGTTGTAAGTCGACGTGAAATGGAACGGGCCAGCAACTTGTGCGGCGGCGAGAGAGGAAAGCAGGGAGGCGGAGACGAGTGTCTGAGTTATTGACTTCATTGCTGCTGGAATCGTGTCTTGGGTATTATGGTATTGGGCTGATTAGGAAGGGTACGACAGCCTGCTGTCTAGTACTGAAAATGAGTGTGGTGAAATGAAAGAATAGCTGCAGATGTAGAGAAGACACAGAGATCAATCATAGAAGATGCGTTCACATAGCACTTCATTCCCTCCACATAGCTTTGTATTACCTGCATAGTAACGGCAGATTGCTCAACGGCAGGTCTGGCCCTCGTGGTCCGGTGCTATCAACACCCGAGCTCACCTTCGAAGCTCCTGAGACTAGGCGGAAACATGCCCAGCCTTTCCGCTGCTGGGCGAAAACAGTCGTAGGCAGAGATTCAGCTTGGCAGGGAGGTCGACGGACGGCTTAAAGAAGCTTGTACCATGAGGCTGATCCGGCAATGAGGCGAACCGAGCAGAAGCGGGCGTTCCGTACAGTCTGAAACATGTTGGTGATACTCTGCCAATGCGATCTTGGCACAGAGCTTTCGCAATTCTCAAGCAAAGCGACATGCAAAATCTGCGTACCGTCCAGTTGCGGGTGCAGTGCGAGGATGGTGCATAGAGATTGATAGTTGTCGACATCGATGGCAGGGGATGAGGCAGATGAGGTTCTCCAATGTGCAGTGATGCACTGGTGCTCTCGTAAGACCGGATGACAGGTCTCTGACACGTCCGGTTGACGAGCATCTCGCAGGACCGGAAGAGTGGCGTCTGGCAAGACCGGCTGACGTGCTTCATGGAAGACCAGTGATGCTTTCTAGGACGGAGTGCTTGTGCATCATTTCTTCCCTAGAGAAACTTCAGCACCTTCCTCCTGACGTGCCGTTCCAGCGATTCAGTCCGTTGTGGAAAGCTGGCTGTCTCTCTGGTCGAAAGTGGCTTGACCGATCCAAAGCTTGCCCTTGAATATAAGTGCGAGCCATAACTGCCTAGGATCTTATGTCGAACACGGACCGTTCCTAGCTTCTTGCAGTAGGTGCTGGGCACCGACAAGACCTGGCTTCAAGACAGTCTCTGAGCTTGAAAAGTCCAGTCGACTTGCGAGTACAGCTTGCTCGAGCTGGTTCTGAAAGGTAGGTGCGTTCAACAGTCCGCCAGTTATGACTAGCTTCGAAGTGGGGGCATCGATTGCGGTCGCTTCTGCCAACCTCTTCAGTAATTGAGTCATGCAGGCGATCGATCCTGCAATGATATTCGCAGCAATTTCGCTCGACGACTGTTGTTCGACGACGATTCTCGCAACGTCCGCAACTCGCTGCCTAGCGTCCAGCTTACGACCATCCGACGACGGGAGCAAGCAATTCAGTATCCCTTGCACGGCCTCTGGTCCCTTCACAATCCCGAGATGATCGAAAACTGCGGGTACAAGACTGTCTTCGCTTTCTGTGCTCACAGCGTTCGCCTCGCACGAGTCTAACACGTACCGAAGAGCTCTTCGTCCAATGTCGAATCCAGACCCGTCGTCCCCCAAGAGCGGACCCCACCCGCCAGCCCTTCCCACCTTCACGTACCCTGTTGACGTACTGCGGAATGCCATTGCAATGGACCCAGTTCCAGCAATGAGCACGCAGACGTCTTTGCCTGAAGCGCCTCCCGCAGCCGTTGCGAGCAATTCGAGGTCGTTCGTGACCTTGACTCGGGCCGGGCAAGTCGCCTGAAAGAGAGCCTCTACCATCGGTCGGAGAGCTGTAGCGACCCGAGGCCGGTCGAAACCTGCCAGACCAACCCAGATGCCGTCAAAGCTAACATCATCCAGTGTTTGGGCTTGTAGCGAAGGACATGTTCCAATTGCTTCTTCAGTGACTTCCCGGATCGTAGCAAGTGCCTCTTGCAGACTCGAAGTCGTGCTTCAGGGCAAGTTAGAAGCCATTCCAAGCGAACAAGTTGGACTTACACGTTACAAGGAGGCCCAACAGCCGTTCCTGACTCTCCGTTGTCTGTCAAGATATATGCGGCGCACTTGCTACCTCCGCCATCGATACATAGCACAGACCGTGGCGATGGCTTTACCACTCCAGTAGTGTCTCTCGGAGGCTGCGACCGGCGCAAAACATCTGCCAGAATACCGTTGGCATCTTCGAGTCTCTGCTGCGCTACCCCAGCGGTAAGGTGCAAGTGAACCATGACAATGGCTAGCTTGACACTCCCGCGACTCTCCGCAAGAATGCCGTCAAGAGTTGTGTCTGATGCTGAGCACGTCGGTCCGCAAACTTCACGAATTATGTTTCGGGCTCGCTGCTGAAGCTTCAGGTTCGTACTCTTAACATCGACCATCTATGTTTGTACGGTCAGCTTCGACTTGTGACCTTCAGGTCTCCATTCTTACCATGTTGCCATACGTCTTCCCCATGCGAATTTGCACTCCCGTGCTCAGCATGTTGAGAATTATCTTCGTGGCTGTGCCTGCTTTCATCCGCGTGCTACCCGTGACAACTTCTGCTCCAGTGACAACTTCGATCATAAAGTCAACATCGCCGCCATTGCTCATAGCTGAAGGTGACGAGCAAGCAACACCGATCGTGATGCAGCCCTTCGCTTTCGCGTGCTTGAGGCAGCTGAGCACGTAGGGCGTCCTTCCAGATGCAGCGATGCCGATCAGAGCGTCGCATCGCTGCAGGTTGATTGCCTGAAGGTCGCGGATTGCTTGGTCGACGTCGTCCTCGGCGCCTTCCTGAGCATGTCGAAGCGCTCGGTCGCCGCCTGCGATCAAAGCAACAAACTGTGATGGATCTGCTGAGTATGTTGGTGGGAGTTCTGAAGCATCAAGCACGCCGAGACTGCCGGACAGTCAGCATGGAGATTCTGCTGACTTGTACGCAGCATCCTTACCGCCCGCTGGTGCCAGCACCAACGTAGATCACCCTTCCACCTGACTGAACGACAGCGGTGAGGGCATCGACTGCTCGCGCAATGCTGGGCAGGCACTTTTGCACCGCACCTGCCACAGTCTGATCTTCATCGTTGATGATCCGACACAGCTCGGCCGTTGATACAACATCAATGTTCAGGCTCTTCGGGTTCCTGCCTTCGCTTTGCAGAATCTTGAGATCGATTACCTCTGGCATGATCGGTAAAGAAGAGGTCTGGAGAGTAATGTTCTGCTCATCGCTGATGTCCTTCTCTTGATACCTTACCTGGATGGATGACTAAACCTGCTGAAGCAATTTCAATGTCAAGCATCGCCGCACTGGTAAATCATAGCCCCTATCCTGATGGCCACTGGCATGCCTCAGCGTTGCATGCTTGTGATGACTTGCTACCGGTGATGGCACTCATGGCCCGTCGGCGATGGCTTTACCAAGGTAGTCACCACCTTATCATATCAGTGTCCACATCGATATATGTCCGACTGTGACCGTGAGGACAGGATGCAACCTTTGCCCACGAGATCACGAACACGCGGAGGCTTCCCCAAACCCTCGGCTCTTCGGCTTGGCTAAAGTTCAAGCAACAAGCAAAAGTGCTTGCCTGAGACGCCTATAAGCGAAGCGTGGCAAGGCTTGGCCCCCCATCGCCGTGATTGTCGCCTGTGAACCGCGGAGAGCAGGGACTGATAGACAGTTTGGTTGCCTGAAACGGCAACCACAGTACCAGGAGGATGATTACTGACTGCTTTGTATGGAGTTGCCCGCGCGATCTGGCGGCAGCATGCGGCTCTTGAGGTCGTATCATTAGACAAGGTTGCTTCAGTCCTTATCATGCAGTGGAATCTCGGCGATGCTGTAACATCCGTCGCTTGTGATGAGATATATGCTTCTACAACGTCTGCTGGAGCATAAAGTTGACCGCAAGTGAGTACCCTGAAACCTCCTCGAACTCCAATTCCCCTCGGGCGCATTGATGTGACTTTACGAACCACTTTACTCTTCACACGACCCATAATAGACGACGATGGACACCAAAGAAGAGCGACCTGTGCCAATGGCACCAGCTCAGGGCATCGACAGCGAGGATACCATGACTCCAGCGACACCACGGGATAAGATCAAGGCGATCTATGCGCATCCCTGGTCCCAAATTATCCTCATATCACTGATATGTGTATGTTCCTAATCATAATTGCAAGTATTCCTTGCCCAGCGCAGTGCTGATGAGAGATTCTAGTTCTGCTGCCCGGGTATGTACAATGCCCTAGGCGGACTCGGAGGAAGTGGACAAGTTGATCCGACAGTCGCTGCCAATGCGACTGTTGCTTTGTTGTCGACCACGGCTGCCACTGCCCTCATCGTGGGAGGGCCAGTATTCAGCTGGACTGGTCCACGCCTGTGCTTCCTGCTAGGTGGATGGACCTATGCGCTTTACAGCGGTAGCTTGCTGAACTTCAATCACCACGAGAACGGCGCTTTTGTCATCGGAGCCGGTGCAATTCTTGGTCTTGGGGCGTCGATGCTATGGGTCGTTCAGGGGTCTATCATGACCACATATGTTCCTGAGGCTCAAAAAGGAAGGGCTATCGCAGTTTTCTGGATCATCTTCAATCTCGGAGGAGGCATCGGCTCGCTAGCAAGCTTTGGTCTCAACTTCCACTCCAAGTCGGCGACTGTCTCGGACTCAACGTATATCGCGCTCATGGCCGTCATGCTTGTTGGCTGGGTTCTCGGTATCTTTATCTGCTCGCCCTCGCGTATTCGGCTGGCACAGCTACACGCTGCCGTCGAGACCGAGAAGCACACGCTTAATGGCTCAATCCAGATGGTCATGAAGGTGCTGTTCAAGTGGCGTGTACTTTGTATGATCCCACTTTTCTTCAGTGCGAATGTGTTCTATTCTTATCAGCAGAACGTTGTGAACGGATTTACCTTTAACATCCGGACACGATCGCTGAACGGCGCCCTGTACTGGATTGCGCAGATGCTGGGCGGCTTGCTCATCGGAGTGCTCCTGGACTTGCCTTTTCTCAGCCGGCCAAATCGTGCCAAACTAGGATGGGTGGTCCTCTTCGTCTGCGGTATGAGTATTTGGGGTGGTGGGTATGCTTTCCAGCGCTGGCAAGATCGAAGGATCGCAAGTGGGCTGAAGCAGGACATCGACTATACCAAGCGTCGATCGCCATAGGACCAATGTTTCTATACATCTTCTATGGTGCATACGATGCGCTCTGGCAGGGCTTCTGTTATTGGTTGATCGGCACGGAGAGCAACAGTACTGCCAGGGCAGCTGTGTTGGTTGGCGCCTACAAAAGTAAGTTCTGCATTGAGGTTCGGTGTGCAGTCCTGACAATGAACAGCATTCCAAGCCGTTGGGGGCGCGATGGCCTGGCGAATCAGTGAGTCATGCATCCCCTACCTGATCCGATATGACGCTGACCAGAAGTGTAGATGCTGAACATAAGAGTGCCATGACACAACTGGGCATGAATTGGGGCTTGTCGATCGGCGCTTGGTGATTGTCTTACCGACTGTGTGGACTGTGGCCAGCACAACGACAGCAGAAGATGAGAGCGGCGGAGTGGACACCATCAGCGTCGGTGCAGACAAGGAACGGGAGTTGCAGCAGTTTGAGAGACATGTTTGAACCTTTAGCCAGTAAAGCTTGGTGCAATATTGGTTTGCCAACGCATTTTCTGTGATCGGCTTCGAGACTTGACTTGCTCGTTTGTGATCGCGATATCGTAGACGTAGCGCAACTGCGAGGGATCCCTATTCTTGATTAGTAGCTTCGTGAGCGCCGGGCGACCGCCGCCAGACAAACGCGCAATTGACTTGGGACGCAGTGCCGGTGTCATGAGCTGGCCGTTGCTTGCGGGCTTTGCGTAGTGCGAGTAGATTGTAGTGTATGATTTAGCGGGAACGCCAGTTCGGCGTTGTTCTCAGATTGTCTTGAGCCATTATCCTGTACAACTGGGGTGCGGCATTCAGAGACGGTCATTTGCCACCAGACGAAGTGAGGCGGCTAGTACCAGACTGATAGAGAACCTGCGGCGGCAGTCTCCTCGGTGAAGTGTGCCGCGCAACTTGAGTCAGTCAGACCTACATGGCAGGTCATTCTTGACAGACTGAGCTTTGACCATAAGATGTCGTAGACAGAGGCTGGGTATCGACTCCATCTGTCATGATTGGCCGGTCCGAAGGTACTGTTTAGTCCAGTGGCAATGAGATCCTACCTAAGCGACAGCTTGAAGTACATGTCGGTCCCTCCACCGGACTGAGAGGGCGGTGTGGCGAGTACTTGCAGAGGTATCGTGGCAAAGTCTTGCATTCAGGCGGTGATGGTGGTCGATTTTGCAACGTACCGATTCCGCGGTTCGAAGGATGCGCCTTGTACTACCAAGTCTGCCCGCAGCCGCATTTACGACCGGGTCCCGCCTGTGTCACCACGTAGGAAATCCTGAGTAGGCAGATATCCAGCGTGATAATATGACCTGCACCCCCCTATGCCGATGAGGTGGAGTGAATTTTACGTACATTCCTGCTTCGTCCTGCATGACTGAGTATTTTCATGCGTTCGGATAGTGTCAAGTTGTTCACCGCAGGACTGCTCAGGTAGTGCCGTACCGCTACACCCTGTTGTGGTTCATGACAGCGGGTAAGAAGTCGGCTTTTGCTTCATTCTGACCGGTGAGATGATCCAGAGATCTGCAGATGTGGGCAAGTACGTACACACAACGTGGACACTGAGCTGTGTCAACAACGTTGTAGTCGACAATGCAGACTTCGAAAATGTAACATTTCTGCGCTCCCTCAGGCTGATTGGTCCGCTGCCTCATATTGACCGAAATTGTAGCAGAGGTCCGTCTGCAGTGCTGTGAAATGGCCAAAATTTAGATCGTTATCCAGCGGCCGAGATCTGTTGGCAATCTCAAGTTGCTGCAGAACATACTGGATCGCATTTTCGATCGAGCTAATCTCAGTGGTCGTCAAGACAGCGGTATGCTGTCAACATTTCACGGCGCGTCAATCATCGACATGATGTGCGCGCGTGGCTTTCCGGCAGCTTCAGATCCTGGCGGGCCGCTTCGGTATAGAAACTCTACGGCTAAAGCGAGTCATAGACAGTATACCGTGAGGAGTAGTGTATGCAAGGAGGTGCTCCTTAGTAGATCCCTGTATACCTGGTAGGTATTCCCGTATTAGGTCCACATTCAGGTGCGAGCCGTGTGGAGAATCCAGGAGCGGTCTGTCGCGCAGATGCATGCTGCGTGACGAGTCAGTAGTCAGGAACAGGGTCGAAGGGAGTTCGTAGTCGAGGGTCCCCTGTGGCATGAGGTCAGTCTGAGAAAGAGGGTGTCGAAACCAATTTTCATCGCCATCAACAGCGCCTGATATGTGCTACCATAGGCGACGAATCAGCAAGGACCATCGTCGGAGGTGGCAGGTGACACAAATCGGGTATCTTCACAAAGACAAATCCCAATGATCTGGTCCCAACCGGCTCGTAGCAGGAATGATTTCGCCGCCGACGCAGTCGTTCGTCAGGCTGAGATGTCGTACACGAACCGTGAGTAAAATGGGGTGAGGTTGAGCAAGGAGATTTCGCTTAACAGAAACTAAGGCAGCTGCCGAGAACCGGGGTCGTGCTGCAAGCCAGTTGCTCAAAATTCGGATATCTTCCCAGAATAATCATCGTCAACTGTGCGTCTCGGACCAAGTGCAGGAAGAAGAAACCATTCGATCCCGATCAAGCATCGAGTGCTGCGTCGAGGTACACCTTTCAGGCCGGTGGCCATCCAGAAGATCGTGGCTGGTCAAGCACTTCCCCGTTTGCGGAGATGCCTACCTTGTTGCTGGCGCTTGTCAGCTGTCCGCAGCCTGTCATCTGGATGTACTCCCGCGAGACATTCGAACAACGCATCCAGACCAGCCCAAGACATGTACCAGCGAAGAAGATCCGCTCTTGTCCCAGGAACGGTTTCCTTTTGTTTCTTTCTGGACTGACTACGCACCCCTTCTCCAGTTCAGCTTTAAGATTAGCCAATCCACGATCGGCTACGTAAGAGTCCGAGATCTACGATCCGAAATGCAAGATCGGCTGTGCCAGAAGCGAGGAACCGAGCAACAAAGTCCACGAGTTTGCGAGAAGCGAGTTATTAATGTTTCTTGATGTTCACAGCGTCTCGGGTGCTGTGCGGTACCTTCCCATCGCCAAACTAAATGATCTTCTGTCTTGACTTTGGTGGCAGCTCAAAGTGCCGACGCTCTGACAGAGACAGCCTTTGACGCTATACTGCTCGTAGGCTGACACACAAAGGAAGACTAGCCAGTGGGATAGGCTCCGATTAATCCTGGTCGTCGTCAAGAATGTCGATCTGCAGGGAACAGCCACATAAAATCACCCTTACACTCCACACGCATTCAGTGCCGGGTGCTTTCGATAGGACCATTTTAGTCCCACGCCATACACAGTACGAGCTTCATTCTCTGACGATGAAGCAATCCCGCTCTATGCTCGGAACTATGGGCCTTGGGCTTCTTCCTAGCCTGGGGCCAGCATACTGCAGCTCTCATGCTCTTCCGCGCTTTCACATTCCCTGACTGACTGGGTAAGGTCTCCTCAAACCAGCGCCCCTTAAGTAGTTGTGGCAGCAACCTGATCGAGTCCACAAAAACCCATCGAATTCCCTACTTTGCCTCAAGGTTTCTTCCTCAGAAACTTGTTCTTTCGCACTTCGAATTCAAACGCAAGAGACTTTCCACGCTTCTTGCTTCACCATCCCACAGGTGACGGCCTTCTAGATACGGAGATTTGATCAGAGCTTGTACCGCCACACCTCTGGCACAGCTTGCACCGTCAAGACGTACCTGTCATATCTTCAGATCCCTGTGTGGCAGTTGGTCACGCTGCTGTCAACCTCAACCCTACCCGAGCACCCGCCAAACACTTCCTCGACTCGAGCCTCTCCTTGTGGGTCCACCATTGCGTTACTTGTAAATAAACCCAGCACGAAAGTCAAGTATATCGTCCACAGCATTTCCAGCCAACAGAACGGCTTCTCAGATCGACACTTCGTTCCTTGTTCTCAAGCCTTAAGCCGCCACATCTCAATCCCACTCAAACTTTTCAATATACCTCGACTACGCTTAATTCGCCGCCGAAAATTCGTCACTGGTCTACCGAGTCGTTGGTGAGTCTCTTACACTTTGCCTTTGATGTTGTGTTTGAGAAAGCATTGTTCACCTCTATTATCATTCAACCATCCCACTCCTTGTCATGGCTGTCATGTAGCTTCTGACAGCGGGCCCCTGTGAATTCTGCTGCCCAAGGGTTTCAATATGCACGCACTGTTGTTGCCCATGTTCTTCTTGCATCAGTCTACTTCGTGAGACAAATGGCAGAGAGCACAGCAGCAACACTGTCTCTCATTGACATCCCCTGAGCATGAAGTCCCGGCGCCTCATCCTTAAGCCGCCTTGAGGACCTTATTACAGGATATGCTGGCCTTCAGGCCGTGCCTCTTCCCATGGATCCATTCAGATATAAGGGTCACGATCCTAATCGACCAGCAGACCATAGACACAGTCAAGTCAGGGCTTCACCTCGTCAGCTCCAGCAGCAGCAACTGCCATCTATCCGAGAGGTGCATACCGTGGTACTTTGCTAGGAATCGGCTGACAAGTTGTGTATAGGTAGTTTTGCCATCTCTGAGCCAGGCAATCGAATCTACAACGGCAGAATCATCGCTGTCCAATCGACTTCCACAACTGCAGACATCTATTCAGCCATCACCCGGACGATTGCCAGCATCGAATCTCTCGTCGCCGATTTACTCAAACACAAGTTCCATGCCCGATAGCTTTGAGGAGCTCGGGCAAAAGAACTACGACTCGCTCAACCACTTTGGAACGCAGAGACCAGCAGCGAATTGGCCCGGGACATCTAATTACCAAGACATGGCTACGTCGTATGCCCAAAGGCAACCATTCTACCACCAGGGCATGGGTCAGGTCAAGCATGAACCGGGTCTGCCCCCAATTCGCGACATGACTTTTGCCTCTCCGACGATGCCCAGTCCATCATACAACACAGTCTTTGGAGGCTCGCCTCAGGGCCCAGTCCCGATGGACTACAACTCAACATATCGCAGGCCAAGTTACAATGAAGGCCGAGGTCTGAGTCAAACTTATCCACCATACACACGGCCCTACTCGATGGACAAGTTCGAGCCTAGCTTTAGAGGCCAGAGCATCCCACACCCAGTGTACTCGCAGCCGTACACCGACTATCAGAACAATTATCACACATCAATGAATCACGGCTACGCACACAGCTTGGAAAATGACGTGCGCAATAAGAAGCGTAGAGGTAACCTCCCAAAGAACGTTACCGATGTCTTGCGACAATGGCTGCATGCGCATATGGATCATCCGTATCCGACCGAAGAAGAGAAGTTGCAGTTGATGGACAGGACAAGGCTGTCGATGCCACAGGTATGTCCTATTTGTGCTCAGAAGGCATAGCATCACTGACCAAGCGCCCACAGATCAGCAATTGGTTCATCAACGCCCGAAGGCGACATTTGCCTGATATGAAACGGAAGGCTCAGGACCAGAAGACATTGAAGCAGGAACCAGACCGACATCGATGACGACAAAGCGCACTACGCGGTGTCAACTACTTTGAGCATGATATAAGCGATATACCCCCGAAGAAGCAGGATGTAAGAAGTTCCAGCATTCTCCAGGCGTCTATACACGGCGATTCCAGCGACAGAAATCCTCATGTGGGATAATGCTGCTAACCTCTTTCGAGGTTCAGAGGTTTCTCTCTGTTTATGGTTCTCAAAGCCACACGCTTTCGGTGAGAAGAAGGCGACTCTTTGCGGACAGACACCATATGTATGACATAATGAAGTACGAATTGCCAGCGCTCCTGCTACCGATGTCGTAAGCCCTCGAAGACACCTGCCCTTTCAGACATGACCGCTTCCCTAGCTGCTGGAAATGCTGTTAGCAAGCACCCCGTGTGCTCTGTTCCTGCTGACATCTGCACACAAGGAGTTCACAATTGTGCGCGATAAGGCAAAAGCCGAATCTTTCTTTCGAAATCCGCAAACCACGCCCACGCGTCATCTTCACGTCTTTCGAGATGCAGTCTCACAGATGGTTCTCAAGTTCCGAAGTAGACTCCCACCAGAGTCCGCGGCACAATTCGTCTCGGACAGAAGTCGATGTCAAAGTTGTCGAAAGAGGCATTACTTTTGACTTTCTTCAAAGCTGGAGAATGGGCCTGCCAACTGCTGTCACTCTTAAGCTTACCCACCTACCCGTTTGTCTCCCACGCAAAGCATGTTCACGTCAATGACCTGAAACCTCCAAATCTCCATATTATTCCCTGCTTCATCTAAACCTTCGCCAACCAAGGCAGATCTGGCAGACGGGAGTTCTGCCGTTCTGCCACTCTAAAGCCCGGTCGAGACGCCGTCAGACTCGAAGATCCGGTGTCAGGCTGACGCGCGTTGCAAGGCAGCCGCCCACACTAGAACTGCTAGCCCTAATGCGAACAAAGCGATCGGAGTATTGTGTCAAGGATGTGTCATGCGCTCATCATTCTGCGCGACTGACAATTCCTTTTTGAGCTTTGCGTTGTCCCGTCCGGCTCGAGTTATCACTGTGATCGAGACACTCATCTTCTTGCCAGTCTGGCGCGACACTATTTCAGCCTCTTGCAGGAAATGCGGATAAGCGTGCAAGCGAGCGAGCCACAAGCTCCTCGCTCCGGTCCACCGGTAGCGAGTGCTACAACCCAGACCAGTTTAGCATTTGGGAGGTAGTCTGCATTGAGTTGCAATAAGCGCCACCACAAAACAGGGTTACTCCCCACGCAGTATCAAATCTTTGCGCCACCAAATTCCTCGGATGCCTACCCATAACCTCTTGTGTGCAGCCACTGATGACGGCATTTGCGTTTTTGCTTCGCAAGGTACGGATACAACCAGCAGTTGTTGTGGGTTGCTGATCTGGCACTGACGGAAATATGCCACCCGCTTCCTCACAGCGGCTCGAATTTCAGCAAACACATATGTGTCAAACTTTCAGCGGTCTCACACTTCGGGGCAACCCTGACGCATTGGACGCTACACTGCACCTCATTCGAGAGAAGCAGGGCTCCATTTCAGGGACTACGGCTTCGACGAAACGCGTTCCTACACGGCAGACAGCAGCAACGCAATGGCCGCGTGTATCTGACTCGCTCGCACACGACATCATGGCTCTTTCGTTGCGGCACCGTATGCCTCAGCATTCTTACCTTGTTCGCTGCTCTAAATCGAACAGCTATGCGATTTAGATTTGACTTTACAGGCTGCTGGATGCTCGGGACTCTCAACAGGAGCTACACGCAAACATGAAGCCAATGATGTGCCAAGTCTGGGTACTTTGCGCCCCATATCAGTGATCTCCGTCTCCCTTCCACGAACGGAGTCATGTCACACAGATAATGAAGCGTGAGCATTCAGGCCCTTGGAATCAACTCGGAGGCAAGTCGTGTCGCAAGACACCACCAAGACAGCATCACGACGTGGAATGCAGGTTGCGCGCAATGGAGTGCATGCTCGCACTGCATTACCTGTTGCTCACACGAGCCTCACTGTCGAACACCGCCACAAGGATCTGCAGGGCAGCGTTCAAAGTATGCCGCCGGGTTGGAACCAAAAGCGAAAGTTTCCAGAACATGGGCAGCCCACTTCGATCTCGAACAATGTGGGCGTGCAAACGCATATCTGCTACACGCGTGAAGTTTATCTCCAGATGCAGTTCACGCCTCATTTCGCCGAAAGTCTATCACAGAGTAGCATCAGATGCCACGTTCGGCTCGTGGCTGAGGGTCCCAGTTGAAACGAGATCAGAGTCGAATTTAACAGATGCAGACCTGTGCGCAGACTACGCCGACACTGTTCTGTGGCTGCAGCGCTCAAGTTACGGCAAATGGACTCCATCGATACCATTCATCCGATACTACCGGGGTTTGGTTCTCCGGACCACTGCTGGCATCTATTGCTGCAACCAGGTGCCGAAAGACGGGTTCACTGCGCTCTGTATGTAGCAGTGCACGACAACTTCGCATGCTGTTGGAGAACATGTCGCCTCACGCCACCGAAGAGCAAAACAATCGATTGCCAAAGAGTGTGAGTGGTCTTTCGTCCGACATTCCCCTACTACCGCCCACACCGCAGTTCACCTGCTCACCATGCCCGTCGGTCTATTCAATCGACCCTGAATCATCGGTCTGGCCGAATGTGTTCATGCACTATCAGTCGTGCTCGATGGCGCTGAGGACCCGAGATTCTGTCAGGCGCCGTTGGGGTCCTAGGACTTTGCTTTGTTGACTGGTTTCTGGCAAGCCCCCTAGCTGCGCACTCCATGCCACGCGTCGGCTTTGTGTACATGATCTGTGAGTCTCAGATCAAAGTTCAGGAATGGTTGTTGCCTGACTGCGGTGGTGTCGTTGCACGCAATGTACACCAGTGCTAGCTGGGAAAACACAAAGATTGCTGAACAGTCACTGAGCTCAGGGTGCTCGCAAAGAACTGCTCCTGTGTGGGCGTATGTCTCAGCAAACGTTCTGTGTGCATGATCGCTGACGCCTCGTCATCCTCGACTGTCTTGCTATTCCCCCAGCGGAGCCGCAACATGCTGTCGAGCCTTGGGAGTTGGCGGTTGCGTTTTGCATGCGTTGCCAGTTAGTGAGCTACAAGTTCTGCTGCGAATCAACCTTCTGCATGGCAGTAGTAGCATCAGATTTGTCACGAAACTACCCGATCCTACGGGCGGAACAGCTCAATTCTCTCCCCTGCTGGCAGACAAAGTTCGCATTTGTACAGGCTTCGCTCGCCACAGGATGAAAAGGTGCTTTCTCCCTTCTGCCTCGTATCACGCACTTGGCTTTCTGGGCCTCTGTTCTACCATTGTTGAGAGGGAGTGCTTCGACTTTTCCCTGTCCCACGCTGCTGTAGATAGCGCGGCATGGGCGGCCATATGTGGCTGTCCGCAACTGACAAAAGAGATCATTACGGCATGCGTGGCCAGAATCAGTTGTGATGAACGCCTTCTGTCAGCTTGAGGTATTGTCATATGTGAAGTTCGGTTCAGGCAAGACCAGACTCTTCGATGACTTATTCACTTGGTCCGATCGCGGGCAGCAGACAAGTCTGAATCGTAAGCGGATAGTGAATACCTGTTGGCATAGTCAAAGAGGTCATTGCTCACCGTCTTCACTCATGCTGGAAAAGTATAAGTATGTGTCTTGCCGCCGACTGCTTCTCATTTTCTTTTTCTCAAAGCATTGAATTCTGTGTCTCATTTGTCACGCTATGGGAGCCCCTGCTGCTCCCTGGTAGGACGAGCTTCTTGGTGTCACTACTGAAGAGTAAATGGTTCACCCTAGTCCCGACACCCCAACATGATCTTGCTGCCATCGTTCTTTCTGTGTCTTCGAGGAACACGCTGTTGCCTGCTTGCGTGCGGCTCATGCGTTCATGTGCTGTCGAAGGACCTCACGTCCACGCCGCCGACTTACCTTGCTGAGGCTGCTTTGGCAGCAAAAGACAAGAGACGCCCACTTATGGCATGGCGGGAGATGGCTACGGTCGGATCATGAGCTCTTGACGTCAACTGGCAGAATGCTCAATTGAACGAGAATCACACCTTCGCTCGCAACGTGATTTGCAAAACAGCGTTGTATACATCAGGATACTGGCAAACTGCAATGTGAAATTGAGCAGCGTACTTCGTACACACTGCAAGGCAAGTGGTCAGGATCGGAATTCGTGTTTGGGAATGCCGACCCTCTTCCGAGGATCAGATAAGACTAGATGGTGGGGTTTTGGGAGATTTTCTAGCGGTGAGGGGCATGCTAGTGGGCTCATCAGTCGATCGCTGGACGCCGATGACCGCTCAAATTACGGATTGCGTGAGTCCAGAAAGCCGTACAAGATTGCTCCGAATCCCTCAATATCGCATCGCGGCGATGTCGACGGGCTATCGTATACTCTGCTACTGAGTTGGGCAGAGCAAACGAGATGCCGCACTCTTTGCAAATGGCTTCGATCCAAAAGTCAGGTGCTTTCAGCTCAGGTGAGACAGGCGTACCTGAATGACGAAGGATGCATCTGATAACCGAAATGAGGCACAAATTATTACTATAAGCTTCGCGTGAATGCAGTGAGGTCGGCTTAGGGCCCCAGCCGCAGACAAGAAATCGGTGTCACAGAATTCGATGCTTAATATGGCTGATTGATAAGATCAAGATTAGATGAGCAAAAGTGGTACCGCGGGTGTCCTGGACGTCCGTACGAAGTGCCACAGCAGTACGACCTTGCTCTGTAGCATCGATGTCATCGTACTTCTCATGGTCAACGGCGTATCGTATTGGTGAGCAAAGCCGGAAGTTTGATCGGAATCTGTGGTGAAAGGTGGGAGTTTTGACCAGGGTGAATTGCTCCGATCAAGGCGAGGCGAGGGCAGTCTCCAACAAACTCTTGGGATGATTCATTTCCGCGCCCCAAGTTCGATATTCTGGCTTCACCTCCTCTCGAATTATTCTCGACACCTCTCCTCTTGATCTATGCACCACGCACTGATCTCGCCCTGTCAACACCTTGCACGAGGGGCGTTCGTCCCAAAAGGCTTTCCAAGCACCTACAGACGCGTTTCAACCCCGCCCACCTTTGCCGGGCAGTGCTGGCTTGCTCGTCGCGGCGCTGCTTCCGTGCTTAGCCATCACATCATCCGGGACCGCAGACGGAAATCTGGTGAGATGCCCCGAATCTTCCCTCGTTCACTCAGAATCACGTAACCGCTCAGCAATACACTTCACTACGATTCCTATGCTGTGTATATCAATATGACGCTTCCGAACACGCCACCTTGTTTCCTCTCGCCACCTACTCTCGTCGACGACCATACTCATCATTATGCTAACCCAACACTTCCCCACAGCTTTGCCGGCGCGCTCGTTTTCTCCACACAACATGGCCTCGACGCTACGGGCACCGCCCAACCCTATACTCATGAAATCGAGCTCTCACCCAGAGAACCCTATACCAGAAGAGCCCAAGCAGTCGCGACAGCTCTCGACGTCGACTTCAGATCCCAGCCAGTCACCGCGGTCGCAACCAGTAGATGAGGTATATTCAGACGATGCATCGAGTATAGACACCACCCCCTCAACACCTCCCGAAACCTCAGACGACTTCATTGATAATCTACCACACATTGCACCACACAGCAAGAAACGACGGGCATCAACGATACTGGTGTCTCAAGGCACGGAAGATGTCAATCGCATTCTTGGACTCGGTGGCACAGTCGGCCTCATACAGAAAACCTGCTGCGGAGGCGGGTGTTGCAAGTCACAGCAATTGAAACCTGCTGACCCAGGTGCTCTACGAGTTCCATTCCTACTACCAGACTCCGCCGCATACAGAAGTCTCGACATCCGGTTAGGAGAGCTTGCGCTAGATAGTGAGCTACTTGACATCGTGGACATGCCAGCAAAGACCGTGTCATTTGAGAAGATCGGTTCGTCAGATCAGCCACAGAATAACCGCACATCAGCACAGTCGCCCGCGGAAGTGCTCAAGCACCCACCAAACTTCGTCCAACCTCATCCGCCTTACCAGGTCTTTTCAGCACCACTATATCACGCTCGAGAACTGACCAAGCCTGGCGCCGAAAAGCGCACATTTCATTTCGACCTCGATGTCACCGACTATCCCGTCGAGGGAGGTGACGTCGACTTCGTCGTTGGGGGTGCCATCGGTGTTTGTGCGCCCAACCCGCAAGAAATCGTCAACGAAGTTTTCGACAGACTTGGCATACCGAGCTTTGTGCGAGACAAGCCCGTCCTAATGAAGACAGTATCAGGCCGCTGGCCAACAATATGGGGCGAAGACGAAGCCCGCGAACTAGTCACCACTCGACGAGAACTCCTCACCTGGTGCACGACCTTCAAAGCTATCCTCCCACCAAACAGATCTTCCGCCTCCTAGCCGAATACGCCGAAGACGAGCACGAAAAGAAGATCCTCCTCTACCTCTCCTCCGCTCAAGGCCAAGCCGCCTTCTGCGATCTCCGAACCGGACCCTACATCACCATCCTCCAAGTCCTCACCGCATTCCCCTCTTCTCGCCCGCCACTCGACCATTTTCTCTCTATCCTCAACCAACTCATGCCCCGCTTCTACTCCCTCTCCCAAGACCCCAAGGTTTCCGCCACGCGCGACAACCGCCGCATCATCGAAATCGCCGTCACAGTCCACGAGTCCGTCAACTACGATGCGTCCGCCGCACGGGCGTAGGGTCAGGCCACCTCGAGCGCTTAGCACGCCAAGTCATCGACGCCGAAGCCAAAGGCATTAACCCACGAGACCTCGATCTGCGCGTTCCCATGTTCCGCGGCCTCATGGCCAACCCCTTGGCCCGCGAATTTGTAACCGACGGCCCCATGCTCTTGATTGGGGCGGGCGTTGGCGTCGCGCCCTTCCGCGGGTTCGTGCACAGCCGCCTCAAGTCCGCCAATTGTGCGAACAAGGTCTGGGTGATGCAGGGCATTCGCGATTCGGAATTCGACGAGCTTTATCAGGGTGATTGGGGCCAGTATGAGGATAAAGTAAAGAAGGTGGTCCAATCACGCAAAGCGACTGGTGATGGGGATGCGCAGTACGTGCAGCACGAGATTCTGTTCCAGGCGGATCTGGTGTGGTTTATTATCAATGCACTGGATGGACGAGTGTTTGTGTGTGGCAGTAGTAAGGGGATGGGCGAGGGGGTGTGGGCGAGTTTGGTTCAGGTGGCGATGAAAAAGGGGAAGTTGAATCACGAGGAGGCGGAGGCGTTTTGGGAGGAGAAGAGGGTTGGGGGGCAGTATGTTGCTGAGACTTGGTGATCGAACGACTGTGATTGACGGAGTAGGCCTTTGGTTGGATCTTTGCCGTTGACGGCTTTTCAGCGAAACATGCATTGTTCTGGGAGGTGTTCTGAGCGTTCGAAATCCCATGGCGTTGTGAATACATATGGGACAGGGTTGTCTGAGTCCAACGACTCCTCCACAAGAGAGACTACGCAGAGGATGGCAAGAGAAACTTGCATTGTGCAATCCAGCAGATCGGCTTTCAGAAGTGGGAACGGAAGGGAGCACCACTCCGAAGCGAGTCGAGCTCCAGCGGAGAAGTCGATGCCTGCAGCTGCGATGTCATGGCCAGGCTAGGATGCTGGTGGGAGGGTCCACATTGCAACACATGCACATGGTGCTTGTACAAGATAAATGCCAATGCACGTATACCTATTTATATCCACCATTGCAATGTGGACCGTGGTCTTTCCGTGCCTATGTCTCTCCTCAAACGACCCATTAGAACCTCTGACAGACTTCGCCTCACCAGGTAGCAGCGGGTGCTACCAAGGCATGGCATTGAATTTCCCGTTCCTATCGAAATGCTGGATCGAGAGAAGATGAAGACTTCGAGGGGCAAGGCTATCACTTATACTCGTTAACGCATTGGCGAGCCCGAGGCAAACCGAGATGACGGCGTAGTGACTGCGTCAGGAGTCATTCACTGTTACTTGTTCGAGTCAGGTTGAGCTGCTGCCTGTTGTCAGTCATTCGATTGAAGCGCCTCATCGGTGGCGAAAGTAAGTGAATGTAGACATGCCAATGGACGTATACGAATGCTTCGTTGCGGATACGTCGACGATGTTAGTCCAGAGGTATCAAGGTAAATCAAGGTTATTGGTGGTATGTCCACAGTAGGTGTCGTCCCATGTACGCTAGATCAATCACATTGACCTGTTCTCATCTCCAAAATATACATTGAAATACTCTCGCCACGAGCCAACTCCTCATTCACGCAGCAGTCGGCCTCCTGAAAGGATGCGCCTCCGTGTTCAACACCCACTCATCCAAATCCACCTCGCCATCCCCCACCGGATCACCAAAAACCAACCAGAAATATTTCAGCGTCTCCGCCAGCCAGAAGCTCTCCATTCGATCACTTTGCAGAGGGATCTTCATCCTGACATCGAAGATTGCCGCGTTGGCGATTTTCGTCTTCGTAGCGCGATCGATTGCCTCCCACATCCGCCACGCGGCTTCTTGGTATGCGGTGTCGCCTGTGACGCGGTAGAGTATGAAGATTGATTCGATGGCTTCGGGCCGAAGGATGTATCGGTTGTCGCCGTGGGCGGTGAAGCCTGGGATCACGCCGTTTTGTTTGGCAAGGAGTTTGCCGTGTTCGACTGGTGAGGCGTCTGATACTGACGGGTCGGAGGGTTGCTCGTCGCTGTCGGTGTGGCGGGCGGCGATGGCGGCGTAGTACCTGTCGTCGTCCCACTCGCAGGGTTTCGTGGAGATCCCGCTTCGCCGCAGGGTACGACGTGGAATGTCTCGGGCATAAGGCCGGATGGGGTTGCGTTGTAGGCCCAGATGCAGCCGTCGAGGAGCTGCTTCGCGGTGTGCAGATCGTTAGGGCGATCGAAGATTTTGGACCCGATGGCCAGCATGCCCGCTGTGAAGCAGGTCAGGTGTTGGCCCTGAGGGTCGAGGGAAGGGTGGCCTTGCTCGGTGAGGGAGGTGGTACCGCTGAAGAGGACTGGTGCGTTGGTTGGGATCATGGGCCGGAAGAAAAGGTGTTCTTCGGCGGTGGTGATAGCTCTTTCGTACATCAGGCCGTAGGATTGGTCTGCGCCGTTGAGAAGGAGGTATTCCTTAGGAAGGTATTCATAGGTTGAGTCTGCCATGCCGCCAAAGGTGAAGTGATTGAAGTCCCATTTCAGGTCTCGTGTGTTGACGATTGTGGGCCATAGTCCCGGCAAGAGTGTCTTGTCTTGGGCATCGACCATGTGCTTGGAGATACGTGCGATGACATCGTAGTATTTGGGATCGCCTGTAAGCTGGGAAAGGCGCGTGAATTCGACTGACAGTGATCCGACTTCTGCCAGCAGAGTATAGTCCGATGGAACCAGTTGAACTCCTGCTGCGGCTTTTCTCCAGTCCCAGCGACAGACAGGGAAATGGTTGGGAGTGTCGAACGCAGCATAGAGCATGTCCGCGAGTTCTGTAGCCTTGGTCAGGAGTGATTCGTATCTCCTTTCACTCAAGTCGTAGGCCGACAGCAGGCCGCCGATGTATCTGATGGTGGTCTCGAACACATTCAGATCCTTCTCGGTGTTAGTTGTGAAGTCGATCTTCTCTACTGCGTCCACTGCCTCTACAAACTCCTCGCGCAGGCCCATCAGCCACAGGGTATCTAGACTGTCGACGAGTGTGGCGCCCCATCCGCCAAAGCTGTTTCTATAGCCGCCGTTGATGGGTCTGACCTCATCTTTGCCAAATGCGTGCTTGGTGTAGCCACTCCAAGCATGGATGAAAGCGTCCTTGATCTTTTGCCTGCGGGAGAGCCGCAAGGTCTTCTCCTTTGGTGACTCTGTACGCGATGAGAAGTCGAATTGTATACGAGGAATTGCAGTGCCTGTCTTGGGCAAGGCTGTATAGTCTGATATAGGGTACCGCGCAGGCCGCTTTTGCCAACGCACGTTGCCATAGTGGCGGCTGTCAGAACCTGACGACAGCGGTCTTTTAGTGACGAAGTATATGACGATGAGAAAGAATATAGCCGGTGCGAGCCAGAACCGCCGCCGCGAAAGCATGGCTCGACCGGCGCCGACACCTCCTACATCCGCAAAGAACTGAAAGAGCGAGGAAGAAAGAATGCGCCTCATCGTGAGAAGTCTCGACGCGGGCAGACAAGGCGCCTGAAACGACAGGGGTACTCTGCCCTAATGGAGGCTACTGCAGGGGCTCCCTGGCGGCAGCTTCCCCAGAAATGCTAAAAACAGCCTTGAACTTTAACCGAATGACTTCATTTTCGATTTTCGTTCATCGGAGGTGTTCTCATGCCGTCTTCACATCAACATCAACTGTGATTGTCATTGCAGACTTTCGCAAGCTTTGGAGACCATCAATTTTGGATGCCAGGGGGGCCTTCGTGTGTATCCATTTTCTCTCTGAAGCATTCATCATGCCGCTGTCGGCTGTGTTTCTCATACCGCCTCCGGCCCTAAAAGACGTGTCATCCAGCAATATATTGGGTCATCTGGCCCTGAAGTTCGGCGCTACACCACTACATGATACACCAACGCACACGCCATTCACGCTCAAGCACGAGCTATCGGTAACAACGTCGTCATTATTGCCAGGACAAGCATCTACCAGAGGCTACATGCAAGTGCTGCAGCTCTCGGCCAGCGCTGACATACATTATATTGGTATCACCCAACCGAACGAGCCAATCAGTCTGGCCACAGTCCCTACCAGCGGCATCGAGATGTACAAGGCCATGATGCAAGCAAAGATGCAGGCGCTGTGGAGGAATCGTCATACCCTCACCGTCACTGATGGACAGGCTGTGCGACTTAAGGTACCCGCTGGACCCATTGAGTTGCGTGTTGGTGACCTCAGAGCCGATAACAATGTATTTCAAGGCGTGCTACTGGAAGTCACTCGAACTCACACAGAGGGCATCCCCGATGAGTATTCGCAAGCGGACGAGGCTTTGATCCAGGAACTGGCGCGGAGACTGCTCGAAGGCCTGCCAATCTCGTTGGACGAGGAGGGCGTCGGATCGCATCTTTGCTACACCGAGACCATTGTTGAGCCACATCCAAGGCATATCAACCAGGACAAGAAGACAAGGGCCTTGGGGCTCGCTGAGGCGTATATGGAGGTACTCCGGAAATAGAGACCCCGGAACCCTTCAGAGACAAGCAGCAATACACCTGACACGTCGTCACAACAGATGTCTCCCGAGCAGACGCTGGGAAGCCCTCAGGCCTTCAGTGATATCCTTGAAGACGTAGTCATAGGGACACCCAACAGAAACTCTCAAGTGATCGACCACACGTCGACACGAGAGACTTCAGCAGTCCCGCCAACTCCTGACGACTCCAACGTCGTTCTACCTACGAATGAAAGGCCTGCACACGAGCTTTGGGGCGACATATGTACTCAAGAGGAGTTCGAGCGATTGATGGCCGATACGCCGTCAGACGCGTCGCCTGAGACACCGATCGATGGTGTTCCGTCGGCTCAATCAGGGAAGGAATGAGACAGAAAGAGTCCTCCCCGACGAAGTGCAAGCTCAACAGGATAGATTAGAGTACAGACAGGCCAGGCATGAGCTTAGGACGACTGCTGAGGCAGACCGAGTCCTCTGCGACAGCATACCGACTCCTCGTATACATAGAATTGGACTGCTGTATCCTGACTTCGCCGCGACCCCAGATTGGCTGTCCAGGATATAATTGCTCCTTGTAGCGCTTGTCCCACGTCCAATCCCACGCCTAAATCGCAAGTAAACCTGATGCCAAGATCCGCTATTTAAGGTCCCGAAACCTGCTTTTTCTAACTTCACCTCCTGATACTGGTCGCCGAAGAAGGCGCAGCACTGTAGTAACCGAATTCACTTCACCTCTGGCGGCCATTCACGCTTGATCGTGAGTTGCTGGCGGAAAGATGATCAGCACAATGCCTAATCTCCTATTCGGCGGGCCAGCGACCCACGGTCCCAAAGTTGCTTAAGCCACCACTGCAAGCAAGAGAACATCCGCTTAAGATGACCCAGGTAGCTGCAGCCAGCCAGCACAGCAAGCAAGTTCATGAACGGGCAGGTGATCTGCCACGCCGCATCTGTCTTCACTTGGCAAAAGACAGGAACAGGTAAGAGCACCGGTCTGCCGCTCGGTTAGGTCTGTTTGCTGTTCACTATATCGGTGCAACAATTCTGGACCTCTTCTCAGCACTTCGGTCAGCAGTATTACCTCCACGGACAGCGAGCATGATTAATTGACGGCATCGTTATCCTTATTACTGACCACAGTCTGTCCTTTCTGACAACTCGGGAGCCCCTATCTTCCTAATTTCGGCTTTCACGACATTATGCACCTCACCTCCCTGCTCTTCGTCGCCGCGGCCGCACTGCCAAGCACACTCGCACAAGCCGACGGAAACCTACGCTCATGCCTCGAGAAAGCCGTTGGCGGCGAAAAGAGCCGTGTGGCATGGAAGACCAAGTTCCTCTTCGACCTTCTCGATGTCCATCGGTATAATCTCTACTACGACACCGACCCGGCTGCTATTGTGTATCCCCATGACGCAAAGGAGGTTGGAGCTGTGGTCGTTTGTGCGGCGAAGGCAAAGGTGCCGGTGCAGGCGCGATCTGGTGGGCATTCGTTTGGGAACTATGGTACCATTCTTACTCTCTGAAGTCGGATCGCATATGCTCACAACAGTCTAGGTCTTGGCGGTGACGGTGGCGCGGTTGTAGTCGACACCAAGCATCTAAGCCAACTGACCTACGACGAAAAGGATCAGACCGCGCATATCGGCCCTGGCAATGGTCTCGGCGACGTAAATGCGTTTTTGCTCGAATATGACCGCCTGGCCTCCCATGGTGACGCACCCCAGGTCGGCGTCGGCGGCCACTACACCATTGGCGGACTCGGCCGGGTATCCCGTCAATACGGCGCCGCCTGCGATAACATCCTCTCCGCTGAGGTTGTCCTCGCCGACGGATCAATCATCACCGCTTCTCCCACGCAGAACACCGATATGTTCTTCGCCATCCGCGGTGCAGGTGCCAGCTTCGGCATCGTGACTGACTTTCACATCCGCACGCATCCCGCGCCCGGCTCCGCCATCGCGTTCACCTACAACGTCACTCTGGGCAACGCCGAGGCCCAAGCCGACGCCTTCAAAGCCTGGCAAGCACTCGTCTCTAACCCGAAACTGCCCCGCGAGCTGTCGACGCAATTCATCGCGCTACCCTTGGGCATCAGCGTCATCACGGGCTTCTACTACGGCTCCGAGAAGGACTTTTCGGCATTGAAGCTGGACACGCAACTCTTCGGCATCGACGACGCTGAGATTTCTGTGCGAGTAGTGGATAAAGCCGTCGCGGTAGCGCACGACTTTTCGGAGCTGGGACTGAAGTTATTTGGAGACGTGCCTGCGCATTTCTACAGCAAGTCACTGTCCTTCAACAAGGATACACTGATGTCTGATGATGCGATCGACGCAATGTTCAAGTACCTCGGCGACATCAACCTTTCGACGCTAACGACGCCGTGGTTCGTCATATTCGATCTCGAGGGCGGTGCAATCAACGATGTTGCCCAGAACTCGAGCGCATATGCGTTTCGAGATGCGATTTTCTTCTTGCAGAGCTATGCGGTCGACTTGCTGGGCCTGTTCCCGGACCAAACGCGCAAGTTTCTGGATGGACTGAATGAGGTTGTGCTGGAGCATGCTGGGGATAAGGACAAGAAGTTTGGGAGTTATCCCGGATATGTCGATCCGTATCTGGGAGACAATGCGCGGGAGCTGTACTGGCGGGGCAACTATGAGCGGTTGAGGGAGATCAAGAAGGTGAGGGACCCGGACCAGGTTTTCAGGAATCCGCAGAGTGTCGAGCCGGCGAATTGAACCCTCAAGGGCGAATCTACAGCTGGAACCTGGCGAGGCCAACTGATCGATAACAATAATATTCCCAAACGAGCGTCTGTACGGACCGATAAGTGTCATCGTCCCTCCTTTCCACCTCACACAAACCACCCCCATGAGCCAGTCAAATAGCTAGCTAGGAGCGCCAGTGTGATCCTCGATGCCACGAACAGGAGTGCAGTTAAACTTACCAAGACCAGCGCCGTGATGGAGAAAGGCACGAGGACTTGCCTCAAGCCGGATGACAAGGGCGTATCGAGACCGGCTGACAAAGCTACCTGCGGGAAGGAACCCGTCATCCATCGCTCCTGCCGCAAGAAGCACACGGAGAGGCAGTTGCGAACATGTGGTCATCCCTGCCGCAGCAAGTATTCAGAGAGGCAGGTGCGAATGCCAGCACCCAGTCGCTCCTGCCGCAAAGACTATTCGAAGAGGCAGGTGCGAATGTCAACAACCCACCGCTTCTGCCGCCGAAGGTTCTCCGAGACAGCAGGTGCGAATGCCAGCACCCAGTCGTTCCTGCCACATGAAGTGATTCGGAAAGGCAGGTGCGAACAATTGATTGATCACTCCTGCCGCAATAAGTATTCGAAGAGAAGCAGGTACGAACGCCATGACCCAGTCGCCCCTGCCATGGAAAGTATCTAGAGAGGCAGGTACGATTGTCACCAGCCGATCCCTCCTGCTGCAGAGGATGTCTCAACGTTTTACCCAGACCGGATGATTGGTTTGGTCGAGGGCGTATCTGAGACCGGATGACTGAAATGCATGACAGTTCTAGCTGAAACCGGACGACGAGGACATGTGTTGTAGATGCCGACATCTGGTCTGTCTGTTGCACAGCGGCACTAGCGTTGCGCAAGTGGCACACGCGTTCGGTCAACCTGGCTACTAGGTGAGAACCTGGATGTGGGTGGGCTGCGACCATCATATCGGCATGGTTCTCACTTGGGGCGATATTGGTCGCTCGGAAGGGTAAGTCTAGATCTATCTATACTCTAGTCTACAAGGTGTGTCGGCAGGCTATCGTGCCTCGAAGTGCCCGGCTGCTCCATGTCGGCACTTCGCCTTACAGCTGCAACTCCTCGTATGGCCTCACCAACAAGCCCTGCTCGGCCAGGTGCTCCTTGACTTGTGAGACCTTGTACTCGCCACGATGGAACTGCAGATCTCGTCAGCAACCGACCTCATACGCCACCAGAAGCGAAGAAAAGGGCTTGAGCGAGAAGACTTACCATCCCAGCACCCAACGCAGCATCAACGTCTGTCTCCCTGAAGACTTCCTCAAAGTGCTTTGGCACGCCCGCTCCACTGCTGGCGATGACAGGTATCCCGACCGCGGCCTTGACCTGTCGAATCAGCTCGAGATCATAGCCCCGATTGCTGCCATCTCGATCAATAGCGTTGAGCAGAATCTCGCCTGCGCCCATGGCCTCAACTGCCTTCACGAGCTGCACGACGTCCAAGTCCCTCGTCTCTCGCCCGCCTTTGATAGTGCACGCATACCAGCAGAGCGTCCTACCATCCTCGCTCGGTTCCGCTGTCTTAATGAAGTGGTGTGACTGTGCCTCCTCACCCGTCTTGACAAACACTTTCTTCGGGTCAACACTCACCACAACAGCCTGTCGCCCATACGCCGCGGAAATAGTCTCGATGCCGCTCGTGCCATCTCCTTTCCCACCACGCTTCCAGAACTCTTCCGCAGCGAGCACCGCATCGCTGCCAATGCTGACCTTGTCGGCGCCACTGGCAAAGTACATCTTCGCGACGTCCAAAGCACGCACGGTCTTGCCGGTCCCCGGATCAGTCATGTCGCGGATGCCACCTCCGATAGTAAGAGGCACGAAGACTTCTTCGGAGGTGCGCCGGAGGATCTCGAGCATAGGCAGGTCGGAGATCGGTAAATCGCGGAAAGAGGTGATGTTGAGGAAGGTGACTTCGTCGGCGCCTTGCTCGTAGTAGCGTTTCGCCATCTCGACGGGCTTGCCCAAATTGCGGACGTCGTTGGTGGAGGACTTTTCGCGGACGTCGTACTGGTCGCCTTTAGTAACGACGAGGTCGCCAGCGTCATTGGTCCGGACGTCGAGGCAGGCTATGATGCGGCGGGTGAGGCCGTGGGTGCTGTCTTTTGAGGTTACTGTTCCGTTCGTGGTTGAAGAGGTGGTGGGCGTGGAGAAGGCTTGTCCTTCTAGGAATGCTTTGATCACTCGTAGGCCCGCGGCACCAGACTTCTCGGGGTGGAATTGTGTTGCGAAGACGTTGCCTCGTCCGACAGCGCCGACATATGTTTCGGTGCCATAAGTGGCAGTGGCGACGGTCCAGCCATCTTTCTCGAGTAGGCCGGGGACATAGGGCGTGAAGTACGAGTGGACGTAGTAGTATTTGCTGGTTTCGCTCAGACCGTAGAAGCTCTTCCGTGTCCCATCTGCTTCTTGATGGTGGTGAACAGTGCTGGCAGAGTTCCAGCCGATGCAAGGAACCGACTTCTTTGGCTTTGTTGCATCGCCCGTAGCAGTAGGATTGAATCGTTCGAGCTGAGAAGGTATCAGACCAAGCCCTTGGACTCCCGGAGCCTCGACCGAAGATGCGAAAAGTGCTTGCTGTCCGACGCAAATCCCGAAGAATGGCTTTCCAGCTTCGATGTGTTCCTTGATCACGGGCAAGTATCCGGCGTCCGAGAGTGAGGTCAAACAGTGTCCAAAGTGTCCTACTCCTGGCAGTATGATCTTGTCGGCGTTCTTGACATCCTCCGGCTTCCGGATCCATTCAATTTTCCAGCCACATTTTTCGATAGCATTGACCAGCGACCGTATATTGCCAGCTACGTAGTCCAGCAGATGGACCGTTTTCCGGTCGACCGTCATCACCGCAATAGAGGCCTACTGAGCAGGAGGACTTTGAGATTCAAGGTCATCGGTACAACAATAACAATATGAGTCCGACGACGGCGAATTCTCGGACTTTGATTCAACAATATACCAGCGGCCGGTGTGATGATGAAAAACAACACGTAGAATGCGATGAACGTAGTCTCGTCCATCAACAGTTGCATGATTGGTTCTGGAGGACGCTGAGTGAGGATTGAAATATGGAGAGCTCGATGTAGAACTACAAATTATGATGCAGAGTTGCTCCTTCCTGAGTGAAGCCTTACTCGCACCTGCCACTTCATCTTTTCTTTTCTTCCACGGCTTCCGTGACTGTTTCCTGGACCTTGCTACCCTGCATCTCTTCGTGGTCCGCACCTTCCTCAAGTTCTTCACCTTCACCATTGTGCAGAAGGTGGTGAATCTCCTCAGTCTCTGTAGGTGGTCCCCTTCCACCTGGCGTCATAGAAGTATCATTCGAGTGATGGCTCTCAGTTGTTTCACCGCCACTCATTTGCCATTCCATCAGCTTGGTGAAAGCACCATCTGGTCGGCTGCTGAGCTCTTTATACGAGCCCATCTCAGCGACACGCCCATCGTTGCTAAGACAGATGATCGTATCGGAGCGCTTAATGGTTGATAGTCTGTGGGCTATCGATATAGTGGTGTTAGATCCCTTCAGCATTCTCGCTAATGCTTCGTTGACCAATGTCCTGGGGAAAATTAGCTATGAGCTTGACATGACGCACGAAGGAGTCAAAGACTTACTCTGACTCAGCATCCAAGGCTGAAGTCGCCTCGTCCAAGATCAAGATGTCAGGGTCTTTCACCAGTGCACGAGCGATAGCAATGCGCTGCTTTTGACCGCCAGACAACTGCGTGCCTCTCGCACCGACCGACGTATCAAGTCCGTCTGGGAAATCTGAGATGAACCACAATTGGCCTGACGAGCAGCGCGCATGATCTCTGTGCGTGTAGCGTTTGGTTTGCCGTAGGCGATATTCTCCGCAATAGTTCCCGAAAACAGGACCGGCTCCTGCGAGACGATTCCGACCCTTCGTCGTAGCGACTTAACATTCATGGTAGAGATGTCTTTGCCATCGATCAGGATCTCACCCTCCGACGGGCCGTAGAACCTCAGTACAAGCGACGCGATGGTCGACTTGCCTCCACCAGACGGACCGACTATTGCCACATTCGAGCCTTGAGGGATTGTAAAATCGAGATTCCTGAAGATCTTGACGGCTGGCCGTGTAGGATACGCGAAAGTTACATTCTTGAATTGAATAGGGCCTCTGGCACTCTTGACCGGATCGCCCACGGTTGGATTGATGGTAGGCTCGCGATCTTGCAGCTCGAACAATCTGGATGCGGCACCGACGCCTTTCATTAATTCTGAGTAGAAAGATGAGAGACCGAAGAGCGAGGAGCCAGCATATGCCGTATACATCAGGAACGAGGTCAGCTCGCCGATGGTTATGGCACCACTGCTCACCATTCCACCGCCAACGTACAGCAGGGATAAAATGGTCATGTTTCCAAGGAAGCCAGTAGATGAGAAGAAGGTTGCGCTGATTAAGGATTCCTTCTTGCCGAGTTCGAAGATCTTTCGTACCTGCGTGTTGTACCGATGAACCTCAAGAATCTCCCCAGCAAATGCTTGAGATGTCCTTACGTTGCCGAGACGCTCCTCCGCAATCTTTGTCAAGGTGCCGACATTCTTCTGGATCTTGCGACTCAAATTTCTGATAGCTCGACCGTAGAAGAAGGCACCAATGGCGATGGGTGGAAAGAGCAGTCCAAGCACACCTGTCAGCTTCAGCGAGACCCAAGCCATTAAGCCGAAGCCCGCGCCGCCACTGACAAATGCTCGGAGACCGTCAGACAGATTCTGGGTGATTGACTTGCCGACGATGATGGTGTCTGAGCTAAGCCTGGAGATGAGATCGCCCACTCGATTTGCGTCGAAGAACTCTGCATTCTGAATGTACGTCTGGCGGAAGAGTCTGGATCGCAGACGGGCCACAATCCGCTCTCCAACTATTCTCAAGATGATGATGCGCCCGTAGTTGGCAGCAGCTCCAGTTGCGAGGACGGCAACCAGAGTAGTGTAGAATGTAGTCATGCTCAGGCCAAACAGCATATCGATTGGGGCATCAGCTTGCTCGCCATTGGTGTCGGCCTTGCCCTTTGTCGCAATGTCTAGAATTTTGCCAATCGAGAACGGTATAGACATGGTGATGCCAGATGAAATCAACAATAGTACGAAAGCGAATCCTAAGACTTTGGCCTCAGGTCGTGCTATTTTGATAAGTCGCCATACTTCGCCAAACCCGCCACCCTTGGGAGAGGCTCCTTCCTTGGACAGACGGGCGCTGAGATTTATCTGTGCGTTGGCCTTCGCCTTCTCGGACCGCTCAAAGAACTCGTCGGCTTCTTCATCTTCATCCGCCTTCTTGGCAGACTTTTCCTCTTTTATTACCGGGCTCGGTGTCTCTCGTCTGAAGAACGACGATACGCTGAAGGGGCGAATATGCTGCAAGACGCTTCTCGAAGCTCTCGGGGCAAGTCGCGCTGGGCCGACACTGGATGCGAGTGCCGGTTTCGGTTGGGTATGCGGCCGTGTATAGACGCGATGGTCCGGATCTGGGATTGCGATATCCTTGAGTGACGCGGCGCAGAGTTGTATGAGGCGAGAAGGAGGGTCTGGTCAAGGTGTTGGACTCTCAGCGCACTGCGACCTGGTGCAAGCGTCGAGAGTAGACCGCTGGCAGGCCGCAGAGGGCCCATCCCAGCTATATTTCCGCAATGTAGAAGGTTCACTTGTCAAGCCATGCTGTAACCATGCGCTAATGGCAACAACGCAACTGCCTCGGGAGGATATCACAGTGTAGTGCTCGAGTGAGTCTTGTATATGCGAGCAAGTTTTATGTTGTATGGAAGTGCCGAAAGTGAATGTCGTCGGTCATGACGGAGGACTTAACAGCTCTCGGCTCTCCACCACTATAAAAAGTGCCAAGCCTCGGAGATCGCGTCGCGACTTCTTCGATTCTTTCTCCGCGTTTGGCTGAAGCCAATCAATAATCTTTCGCCAGAACTTGTGTTTGAGCTGCTTCCTACGATCCTCCATCGCAGTCTCAACTCCCATACTTCAGGGGAAGCGACAAGTATCAAGAATACATCGACCAAGTGATCGCCCATTCCTCTCAACCCTCAGGTAGCGCCGCAGGCGCATAGGCGCAATGTAGGTACCGATATACAGCACATAATGGCCAGCGGGCTGACCTATTTCAGGGAGTCCTTCGAGAACATCCATCTGGATCTGTCAAAACAATCCGGCAGATGCAGGCTGGCAGAAAGTGGTCTCGGCTGGAAGGCCGGCGGCTCATCAGCAGAGCCCTTTACACTCAGCGGCGATCAGCTATTATCTGCCCAATGGAGTCGAGCGGCGAAGGGCCACGAGCTCAAGATCATCACCAAAGAGCAATCTGTCATACAACTCGATGGCTTTGTTGCAGATGACTTCGAGCGAGTGAGCAAAGCATTCAAAATTTGGTACGGCATCAATCTCGAGAATAAAGAGCATGCCCTTCGTGGTTGGAATTGGGGCAAGGCAGAGTTTGGCCGCGCGGAAATGGCATTCAATGTGCAAAATCGCCCAGCCTTTGAGATCCCCTACTCCGAGATATCCAACACCAATCTGGCCGGTCGCAACGAGATCGCCGTCGAATTCAACCTTACGAGCGAACAGAATGGCGTCAATGGCCACAAGCCCGCCACAACACGAGAACGCGGTCGAAAAGCAGCTGCCGCCCGCGACGAGCTTGTCGAAATGCGCTTCTACATCCCAGGCACCATGTCCAAGAAGGAAGCCAACGGCGACGAGGTCAACAGCGGCGATGATGACGACGAGGAAGAGACAAGCGCTGCCAACTTCTTCTACGAGACCATAATGCAGAAGGCTGAGATCGGCGACGTGGCCGGCGACACCATCGCCACCTTCCCCGACATCCTTTTCCTCACACCGCGTGGCCGCTTCGATGTCGACATGTATGAGGGCTCTTTCCGGTTACGCGGCAAGACGTACGACTACAAGGTCGAGTACTCCGCCATCAAGAAAGTCTTCATGCTGCCCAAGATCGATGAAGTACACACCCTACTCACCCTCGGCCTCGACCCTCCACTTCGCCAGGGTCAGACCCGCTACCCCTTCCTCGTCATGCAGATCAAGCTCGACGACGAAACACAGATCGACCTCAATCTCGAGGAGGACGTCCTCGCGACCAAATACAAAGACAAGCTCGAAGGCCACTACGAAGCACCTCTACACCACGTCATCACACGCGTCTTCAAGGGCTTGTCCGGCAAGAAGGTCATCACACCATCGAAAGACTTCTCCTCACACCACAATCTACAAGGCGTCAAATGCTCAATCAAGGCCAACGAAGGCGCGCTGTACTGTCTGGACAGAAGTTTCATGTTCGTCCCCAAACCGGCCACATACGTACCCATCGAGAACGTGGAGAAGATTGTCATGAGCAGAATCGGAGGTCAACTGGCGGCTAGTAGAACCTTTGACATCAGTATTCTGCTGAAGGGCGGTGCTGGAGAGCATCAATTTAGCAATATCAATCGGGAGGAGCAGCAGAGTTTGGAGGAGTTCTTCAAGGTCAGTCCTTCCCCCCTCGACCATGTCCACGTTTCCTTGTACTAACGCTTCTGGTGAACAGGCAAAAGGAATCAAATACAAGAACGAAATGACAGATGACTCCTCCTCGCTCCTCAAAGCCGCCCTTGAAGACCAAGATCTGGCCTCGTCGGAAGAGACGCACCTGGCGGCGGCGGCGCGGACCGTGGGTCAGCAGACGAAGATGATGAGTCACCGGATGAGGACTTCCATGCAGACTCGGAAAGTGATGTGGCCGAGGAGTACGACTCAGAGCATGAGAGCAGTGGGGCGGGCAGCGGCAGTGATGTCGAGATGGCCGATGCGGATGATGGTGATGATGATGACGGTGACGCGGAGGAGGAGGAGCGGCCGAAGAAGAAAAGTAAGAAGTGAGACACTACTACTACGTGGTCGGGACAGGTTTTGCAGTGATTGAAGGAGACTTGATCACTCTGAAGTGCTCCATGGACGTTTTGGTTTGGGATTCGACTACCCGGATATATTGGCGCAACATCGCAACATCGCAACACCCATTGGCATGGTGCTCTGGGTGCGGAGCGAGGACGACTCCGTCGATCTAAAGAGTGTATATGAATAGCATCATCAAAACGAGAACTGTGGTGATCATTAAAGATTGATCATTGCCTTGGCTATTTGTAATCCTGTTCCCAGGTTTTTGATATTGTACAGAATCTCCTCATGATTCAGCAAGAAGAGTCACAAGTCCGAGACGCGGTAATCCTCGTCGAATGGAGCGTTACTCGGGGCAAGGAAGCCGCTTGCGCTAGCCCGTCGTGCGACTTCGTCAAGGCAAAGAGTTGAGTGGGTTGGACAGCAACGGTATGCGTTCGGCGCTGTTTCATCATATGCAAGACTGCGCGAATTCGTGCATTGATCCGGGTGGGATGCGAGCGCGCTGTGAGACGTCGCCTGGGCGAAAGTGGTGGTATGGACGTGACCTGCGCTTGAGCTCTGGAGGCCGAATGCTTCGGTGATCGCGAGGTGCTGCTTACTTGCCCGTAGTATGGGGCTCGCGCTTCGACTCGTGCCTGTCCAGAGCTTCCAGTGTGCGACAATCTCGACCACGGACTGCTCTCAGTCGGCGGGGAAGTTCAAGCCCAACGGCATCGATGCCACTGCCACGCGCCACTTCCCACGCCTGCCGCCTCGTTGCCCCTCCCATAAGGGTGCCCATCACTGCGGCCCTCCGATCAGGCCACCGCCTCCCTCCCGTTGTATCCTTCCCATATACGTCCTAGACACCGTGTTCCATGCATCGATGTACTTCTCCATACAGCTGCTCAGACACTGCGACTCCTTCGAGCTCAGCGTATTTCCTGGTGCTGGGATGCAGTGATCAAAGCAGTTCTCGTTGACTTTGGACATGAGGATGCGAGCATTCAGCAGGTTCTGGCGGGCGGTGACGTCGGATTGGATTCGGTTGCGGAGAGCGGTTGATGTGCTGGTGGAAGTTGAGGACCCAAATGGCGAAGGAGAGGAGAGCGGGGACGAAGGGGGATTGAAGTCGGCTGAGGGGGATTCGGAGTTGCTGGACTTGTCGCCAGAGCTCGAGCCGCCGAAAAAGCCCATGTTGGACGGAGTTGGGATGGTAGCAGGTGGTCGAGGTGAGGTTGGAGTTCGAGTGGTGGCTCTGCGAGTAGCAGCCGAGCGTGTCCTTAAGCGGTGCAAAGGCTTGTGGGCCGAGCAAGATGGTGCGTAGTGTCCGAGAAGCCGTGCGAGGGTCGTAGGCGGTAGTGTGAGATGTGTAGAGATTGCAGGTAGACGTCGAGTCGATGATTGAACTTTTTGGAGAGAAGCGGCGAGCTTCGAATTCCAAGTTCACGCCGGAGCAGTTGACTCCACCCGTCTGCAGAGCGGCCACCATGTCAAGTTTCCCGTTTCCTTGCCTTGCAGAATCTCATTCACACCAAAGGCTGGGGGAGTTTCAGGAGAAGAGACATATCTGCGAGTCCAGTCGATGCGGCCGAACTGGTTTCCCTTTTCTGAGCGTTGAGCGCATACATCGTACCTGCATTTTACTGATCTGGGGTTTGATCTCACGACATCGAGGGGGTAAGAGTGCAGTCCCAACATTGCATCTCTTTGAGCGCACACACAGTCCTCCAACGGCGTCATGAAGTGGCTATCGAGTATATGCGTCCTAGCGGCTACTTGGGCTGTTGGTCTGGTGCAGGCAGCGGAGGACACAGAGATGAAGAGCGTGCCAGTATGCGCCTCCTTGGGCTAGACCGTCGCACGATCTACTGTATACCATAGCTGACGACCGGCAACAGTTACGAACACACTCGTTAGAGTCACCCTACCTCGACTCCGACATGGCATCCCGGTGGTGGGATTTTGGTGGCGACACTATGATCCGTGCAGACAAATACGTCCGACTCGCAGCAGATCAGCCCTCACAGTCTGGCTGGATCTTCTCGCGAATACCACTTACAGCAAACAACTTTGAGATCGAGATGGAGTTTTCGATAGCCGGGAAGGGAAATCTACACGGTGATGGCTTCGCCATGTGGATCACGAAGGAGCGGGCGCAGCCAGGAGACGTGTTTGGGCATACTGATCGTTTCGAAGGGTTGGGTGTTTTCTTTGACACGTACAAGAACAATCGGCCTGGTGTGGTGTTCCCATATGTTATGGCTATGATGGGTGATGGCAAGACGACGTATGATCGGGCGAATGACGGAAAGGCGAATGAGTTGGGCGGCTGTTCGGTGAGTGTCAATATGCTGCAGCGAAAGCCAATTGCTAACGATTCCAGGCGCGAGGTCTCCGCAGTTCAAGCGTCCCTTCGAAAGCCAAGCTCACCTACCTCAAAGATGAGAGCCTAAGTCTGGATCTGCAATACAAGACCGAAGGCACCTGGACCAAATGCTTTGACCTGAAAGCCACAGACAGTATGCCTCTGAAGTTGCCAAATCAAGCATACCTGGGCTTCTCGGCACATACAGGCGAATTGTCCGACAACTTTGACATAGTTAAAGTCGAGACCAAGAATCTATACCAGCCTCGAGCGTCGATTCCTCGGACCAAGGACGGGAAGAAGCTGGCGTCTAGCTTCGAGAGGAGTTCCAAGAAGAGCGGCGGTGGGTGGTTGTGGTTCTTCTTCAAGATCATACTGTTTGCTGGTGTCTGTGGAGGTGGTTATGTGGGCTACAACGCATACCGAACGCGGCAGAGGTACAACCGATTCTGAGCATTCTTAGCACAGTCAGCATATTGATGTCAGGACCACCAGCGCCATTTTCCCGTATTTCAGACACGTTCGACTGTACCTGGAGTCCTTGGAGGACCTGAAGCTTGCCCCATCAGGTAGCAATAGATGCTACCTTGACATGGCATCAGGCTGCGCCTCCCCCCGGTAGCATTGGGGATTGAGAAAGCAAGAGATGAAAACGTCGAGGGTAAGACGACTACTTATACTTCTCCCGCACAGTGAAGGTCGAGACGAACACGGTGCGATGACTCTCCTGACTCGGCCAGAAGTCATTCACTGATCAGTACATGATTCAGCGTCGAGCTGCTGCCTAATGTATTCACTTGAGAGGTCTTTTGACGATGAGATCCAACTGGCAATGAAGCAGCTCGCTGGCCAGATAGATCATTGTCGTGGTCTGATCAGTGAACCCGATCGGTATCAAGTTACAGTACGTCACTCCATAGTCACGTCGAACGGTTTGACGCGTCGTATCTCGGGGCGCGCGTGCGAGAGCGCCTCGTAATGGTGTCAGAAGCAAGACGCACAACTCTGTCGCGCGAGGACGACTTCCCTCCATATTTATAGCTTCTCTTGGTCCAGGTAGTCGCGCCTGCGCGTTCGAAGGGTTGCTGACCCAAAAAGAGGAAGCTGCGCCAAGGCTAGTACTCCAAATTTAAGCTTGCACCAATCAGACCACAAGATCAGAGCTCAATGGGCTTTCTCAGTCATGATTTAATCACTGATTTCGAGTGCCGCTTTCCAGATCATGATCCGTGATTGCAAAATGCCGCCCATTTTGCCCTGTTGAAAGTTGAATCAACCCGCCAAGCCAGCTGATCGCGCCTGCCTCTGCTGCCTCCAGACCTTGCCTTCCTTTCTCTTAAATCCCTCTTTCCCCCTTCCCACTTTTCTTCCTTCTTACCTTTCCACCATTCGCACGTTTCGACCACGCTTCAACCACTCGTAACCACATCCATCCAGACACATCTTTCATCGAAAGAACTATCTGAATCTATCCCATTCATCCTCAAACTCATTCAATATGACTGGCCGGTATGTTTGCACCTCATCGTCGCCGTCTTTTGACGCGTCAAACACCTTGTCGCCACCCTGACCTCACCGTCGCTTATCCATCTCACTCCAACATGTACTGACTATCCCCTCTAGTGGTAAAGGTGGCAAGGGTCTCGGCAAAGGAGGTGCCAAGCGTCATCGTAAGATCCTTCGGTAAGTCTTACATGCATTCTATGGTCCTCTACGTCGACGTTGAAGCTAACAAACGCAAAGCGACAATATTCAGGGAATCACCGTATGTCCTCTCGACTGCAATAAGCACAACGACAACAACCACTAACATTACAACAGAAGCCAGCTATTCGTCGTCTCGCCCGTCGTGGTGGTGTCAAGCGTATCTCGGCCATGATCTACGAAGAGACCCGTGGTGTCCTCAAGAGCTTCCTCGAATCAGTCATCCGCGATGCTGTCACCTACACCGAACACGCTAAGGTTCGCCACATTCATCAGTCATACAGGACTTCGTTGCTAACTGATCTCTAGCGTAAGACCGTTACCAGCTTGGATGTCGTCTACGCTCTCAAGGCAAGTAGCGTCTCTTTCCTGTGGTTCGCACAGCTCGCTAACTGCTGCCGCAGCGTCAGGGTCGGACCCTTTACGGTTTCGGTGGTTAAGCGCCTCGCTTCGCTCATCGACTCCATGTGACAATCAACACGAACACTACTGCCTGCAAAATGGCCACTTTCACGTATTGACGATTTCGGCGTTTTGCAATGGGGAAATGACACACCTTGCCATACAACGCAAGCGACAGGAATGGGTCTTTTACGTCTCCAGATGAGACACATACAAAGCAACATGTAGATACTCCAGGCAAAGTGGATATCTCAGGACAGGCAGTATCATCGGTGCCTGCCAGATAGTCATACGCATCAATCAAGAACTCATTGACTATCGCCCTGCTTTTGCCACCGCCTCTTCGTGACTTGCTTGACTCGAAACATCATGGCTCGAATGACGAGCTCGAACGCGCTTGGTCGTAGAAGGGGCGGAATACGCGTACGGGGAAGAGGGTGCGCGACTGTCGCGCTTGATATAGATCTGCTTGAGAAGGAAGTACTCTGCGATGTGCCTCGATTCAGCATCGCCATGTGGAAACCGCACGCCGGCTACAGAAGGCAGCAGCGATTGGACAACGATTAGTTGAATACGTGACCTCGTAGCCGGTAGCACATGCACTCTTACTCCCACATGCGCATCCGCAACGCGAGAACGAAGCAAGAGCGCCCAACGCAGTCCTGGTGGCGCAATCTCCTTTGCAGATTGGTTGAAATGGCCGAAATAGAGCGGATCTGCAGGAGTGCGATCAGTTGCACCGAATCTGGGAACAGGCTGCAGCGTTTCTCTGTAGGAAAGAGCCGCAAGCGATGGGCGGCGAAAAGTGCCAGCCGACCCCACCTTTCACCTCGAAGGACACCCGTTGTGGTATGCTTCAGGCTTCCGCCAATTCAAAGTAGGCGGACGGTTTCGACGACTTGTGCTGATCTGATCCATTGCATCTGCTTTCTCTTGCACTTTGCAATCACTGCATACATCACCCTGCAGACGCTCATGACATATGGCTGACCCCGCGAACAATTGCGACACGGTGAAGCACTGAAGAGCCGGAGGATCGAGCAACGCTCTCGAGGCCTCGCCAAGCCACGTTGTCGAGACCTTGATATTGACAACAAGTCATCATATGGCACCAAGGTCCACGACACCCATGGCGTTCTTTCGTGGTGCGGCCGCTGGGCAGGGCCCATTCCAGCGACTGACGAAGTTGTACTACGACACCAAACAGACCTACGAGTCGGCAATGACCTCGATGAACGCCAAAGAGGCGCTCGAGTCAGCACCCACCGGGAACACGGGTCCAGACTTCGAAAGCGATGAGAACATCAGGGAATTGAAGCGAGACTTCCAGGTCCAGCAGGATCGACTGCTCGCATGGGGCATCAACTGGAGTGAAAGTGGCGAGGATACTAGCAGCTTTCGACAGGGTGGCGAAAAGGGCGCCATGATGGAGAAGGACATCGATCGCCAGATTGAGAAAGCTGATCTGGGCGAGGTTGTGGCAAGCATCATGAACCAGATCAAAGGGTTGCTTGATCAAAGCGGAAAATTGATGCATCCTGAACGCTATGAAAGCGTGGCGAGGAACAGGGGCGAAGTCGCGCCAAATGCCGAATGGAACGCACATGAAGTTCAGACTAGTCGAGCGCTTTTGGAGCAGCTGACGACGTGCATCGACCTTTTGTACAGCCTCAGTGAAGGCCGCCAGTCCGAGAGCGCTGGTGGCAAGGAGAAGGAACGCGAATCCAAACGCCAGAAGAGCCGAGGTCTTGAAGACGATATCGAAGAAGCCTACTATGGTGCACGGAGAGAGCAGAGTCCTAAGGGAATGGAATCGACAGGCCATCTTGGGGGACAGTGGGAGCATGCACTGTATGTGGAGTATGCTCATATCGATTTCGACAATGGTGTTGTCCACCGAGAACTCGATCCGCCTCCCTACGACATCGATTCGAGTATACAGGCCGAGTCACAAGCACGGAGAGTTGGTGTTCTGCGAGACAGCAATAAGCCCGTACTGGTGGACTTTGTCACAAAAGACGTGCCACCATACGTGATCGGAGCATCAGATGATGTATATGAGATGCACGAGCTGGGAGAGAAGCTCACTAAACAGCGAAAGTCGCTGTCCTGGTGTGGGCATCTACGACTACTTGGCTTCACCGTCTCACCAAAGGGCCCGAAGTGTGGCATGGTTTATGAGCTGCCTTCAGCAGTCGGACATCAAAACCTACTGGATCACCGAACGCTGGAGCCGCCGTCACTGCGTCCGCTCAGCAGGAGTCGCACCAGCCGAATCTTGAGGACAGGTTCAAATTGGCATACAACCTGATCGTATCGGTGCTTGGCTACTTCGCAAATGGAGATAGTCATCGCCACATCAACAGCGGCAACGTACTCTTGATCGGAAAGGAAGCGACACATCAGGCAAAGGCAAAGATTGATATTCGATGCCCGTTCATTGTGCAGCCATGCCAGGACCTAGTAGGCAAGGCCAAGTCGGACGAGCCATTGTCATCGACTATCTATCGACATCCTTCGCACAACGTGCAAAACACCGACAGCATTGTCCCAGCCCATGATCTGTACAGTCTCGGTCTCATGCTCCTCGAGATTGGTCTTTGGAAGCCGCTGACCATGCTGTGGAAGCCCAAGTATGACCGCCGCATCTTCATGGAGCGTGTGCAACGAATCTATAGCTCAAAGCTGGCCTCGAAGTGTGGTAGCAAGTACATGCGATTGGTGCAGCGTTGCTTGCACGCTCCTGCCGAGTTGCTCGAAAGAGAGCAGCCTGAACAGGCAGGCGCACTCCTTCTGGAAGTCGCCAAGGAAATGAGGCTTTGCTGCGCTCTTGACGAGGAAGGCATGCCACCTATCTCAGATCTCGAGACGTTTGAGCTGCTCATCATTGAACAAATGGTCAAGACTGATGACGCGCAGACTGCACAGGGTCGTGGTACATCTGACGTACCGCCTGTCCCACTAGCTGACCGACAGTACTCAGGCACAACAAAAGCCAGCTCGGACGCCGTTCGCAGGAAGCCAATCCCGCTACCGTCCGTTTCTGTCCCCGCCGAGGTCAAGCCTGAGAGAAAGAAGAAGCGCTCGACGTCTCACTCCCTCAAGAAATGGCCTGAATTGCCCATCGACCAAGAAGATCTGAATCAGTGGAACAACTTGCTTATGCCTCGACTCCGCAAGATACTGGAAGATGCTCTGAACGAATCGCCCGAGTCCTGCAGCGTCTCACTGATGAAGATCGGAGCATCTCCTGAAACTGCGAAGACTACCGTCTGCATCCAGTGTCAGCATGCTGACAGGGTACATGAGGTGCTACGCAAGCGTTGTCGCTTAAAGAAGGGATGGGGCATGATCATCCTCAAGGGCGATGTGCACAGGAGCGGTTGCAAGCCTCGACGATCAGGTGGACGGAAGAAGGCGCCGAGAAAGCCAAAGGAGCAGAAGTTCCAGCCAAAGCCTAGCTGCGGTGCGAGCATCGGCGCGTTCAGGGACAGTGAGCATTTGCCGCCATGCTCTTTTGGTGGGACTATTCTCGTTGATGGCGAACCTTTCGGTATGACCGTGCATCACATGCTGGATGCTCCCTCAGATTCTGAGGATGAGGAGGAGGAATACTCGAGTGAGGAGGAAGAGAGCAAGCCTCGTCGGTCTGCTGGGCGTCAGGTATCACGAGCCGAGATGAATGCCACACTAACCTCTGTGCCTCGACTACCTCACATGGAGTCTAGCACGCAGCTTGCCAGCGACTCTGAGCTCGACCTGTCCCCAGACGAGGACGAAGACGACGACATCTTATCCGACACTGAGTCCGAAGCATCGACGATCCGACCAGACTATGCCATCACCGACGACTCAGGTACCGATCACTGGTTCCTCGACGACTCATCCGACACGACGACCCCATCTCTAATCGACGACGACTTCTCCGACGAAGAAGACGACGACATCGACGACAACGCCAGCATCGGCGACAAGCCTGCCGTCACGCCTTACAGCCTCGAAAGCGAAGAGCTGTGCGTGACGCAACCCGCCATCGACGACGTCGACGAAGACTTCTTCCCGGACGAGGACGACCGCGATGAAGACCACCTCCTCAGCCACACCTTCGGCAAGGTTCACGCTAGCAGCGGCATCCGTCGCGTTGTCCGCGGTGCGCTCAAGCACGAAGTCGACTGGGCGCTGATTCGTATTGACGATGAGCGACTCGATGTGGGCAACCTGATCAGTGCGTCCTTCTCGGCGTCCAACTCGCCCAAGAAGCCTGGTCAGCCGTGCAAAGTGCCTGGATCGGTCGAGGCATCTGCGGCGGCGAAGCAGGCAAGGGAGAACTTGCCGATGCTGACGAGCATCACGCCAGCAAATAAAATGAGTGCGCTGCCAGTGGCGTGTCATGCAAGGTCGAGTGGGTACACGAATGGACGAATCTCGCAGGCTATGTGCCTTGTGAAGCTGCATGGGAGGCATAGCTTTAGCTACAGTTGGTGTGTGGATAGTACGCCCCGTCGGCCGACCGTCCCTTCGAGCGCCTTGACTCGTGGCGGAAATGGAAATCCGCAGCGGAGCATCGCCGCTCTACCCTCCACTGCCACTATGCACAACAAGCCCAATCAAAGCCAGCCACCAACATCCTCATCCAATACATCAGCATCAGTGTCAGGAGGCATTCTCGGCATACCCGGCGACTCCGGCGCATGGATCTACAACCCCAACACAGGCGAGCTGGCAGGCCACGTGTTGGCGTATGGCGAAAGGATGAAGCAGGCATATATCGCGCCAATGGAGGTATTGTTTGAGGATATCAAGGCACGGCTGGGCGCTGCGCAGGTTGGGCTGCCTGGTGGTGGAGGCGTTGGCGTTGCTGCAGATGGTGCGGACGAGAACGCCCTCGCTGCCCGAACTGCTGTTGCTGGGGTTAGTGGGTTGACCGAGGGGCTGAAGAGGATCGAGATCAATAGAGAGAGTATGGGCAGCGTGTCAACATCGACCGAGGGAAAAGGACAACAAGATGTGGTGGTGACAGTGGCAGGCAAGAGGCGTGATCAGAATGAGGTGGGGATCTTGTCGGTCGCTCAGGGTGTGGCGATGGGAGCGAGGATCAGTTGACTCGCCGACCTGCTGAGGAATGCCCCCAGCTACAAGAACGCTCGGCCTCGACTATGGGTTGACACGCAGTGTGTGCATCGCAAGAGAGTCCCATGCGGGTCGTCTTGGTGTCGATAAGGGGGCGGCAGTAAGAGTATGGGACCAGAAGATAACTGGGAAGCTAAGCTTCCGTAGTTGGCCTGCTGAAGCTTGACTTGGGAAGAATAAATGATTCGTCAATTACCTTTGGTTGTTGCTTTTGTCGACAGGCTTTCCCTTGTGCCTCGATCGTGTCGAAGCCAAACGAGAGCAGCTTCCCTCGGAGTGACCGCCCTGTCCTCCCGCGCTGATGTTCCCTCATGCCACACTTTCAAGGCAACCCCCTCCCTTCCCTTGTCGCTTTACCAACCCCGCTGCCCGTGGTATCTTCGGCGTACCTCTTATACGCCTCGATATACCTCTCGCGATCGCTCATCGTAGCCTGCACACTGGGGTGCGTGGAGATGGCATTGTACCAGGTTGAGTATCGCTGCCAGAGGGCGTCTTGATCTTCTTCGCTCCCTAGCTCTGGCTTGTCGTCACCAGCTGTTGTGTGTCTCCCCACACCACTCCCACCAGGTAGCTTGTAGTGATCAATCAGAAACACCCTCAGCGCCCAGGGTATCAGTGCGATGTCAACCATACTGATGTCCTTCCCGCCATAGAACGGGCCTTGGGAGTGCATTTGTCGGGTGAACTCCAGCAAGTGCCCGCAGAACTCGGCGCGGCAGGAGTCCAGGGTGTAGGGTTTCTGGGGCGTATGCTGCAGGAAGCGGTAGAAGGCCGGGATGATGCGCGTAGAGATGAAGTCTATGGCGATGGCTTGTTTGGCGGCGGTGTAGGCGTTGTTTGAGGTCAGGGGGTGGGGTTGAGGGTAGCGGGTATTGAGGTAGGTGGCTATTATTGTTGATTCGTAGAGGATTTTCTCCTTGGGATGGACTCCGTCGGTGGTCGTCGCGTCGTTGCTGCTGTTGCCGTTGAATTCCTCGTTGCCGGCGTCATCACCGATACCATTGGCCTCGACTCCAGCAAGTTTCAAATCATTGACCGCCAAGGTCGGCACTAAACCTCTCGGGTTCCGTGCCAGGAACTCGGCCGCCTTGTGGTAGGGGTTGATCTCCACGTAGCGGTGTGGGATGGACTTCAGGTGCAGGATGATCCAGACGCGCTGGACGAAGGGGCAGAACCAGCTACCGTAGAGGGTGAAGGGGCTGTCGGCGTCTGAGGCGTTGAGGTGGGACTGGGCGAAGGTGGCGGCCAGGCCGGTGGCATGAGGGTGCAGGGAGAGGTCTGGGTTGGAGCTCTTGTCCTTCGACATCTCTGGTGGTGCTGAGGTGGTGGAAGACTGTATGGCGCCTACTTGTTGTGAGCGCGGGTGTTTGGTGATACTGGGAAGTCTGAGCGCTGGGCGATTGAGGGTGGCGAGCCCGCTGCTGAGTACTGTGCGATTGACGCTGCTGTATGTGTCTCTACTTCGTCTCGCGAGCATTACTCGCTGCTGTCAGAGTGCCTGTTGTGTTGCCATACAGTATCATGGACCAGCGGAATAGCAGTACTTCAGTACGTATCCAATGACGTAGCCACCCATCGGGTGGACTCTGGCTAGCGGAAACGAATATGCAGGATTCCTACACCGGACGACGGACGTGCTTTGTCAGGAGTCAGATGGGCACAATCAAAGTCACAAGGACGTATCACTCGCAGACGTATTGAGCAAGCCTCCACATTTGCGCCCGATTTGCGGCACAAGGAGTGACTCTCCTGGATCTGTGAAGCAGCAGAAGTGTCTGTCAACGAGGACAATCCATTGCACCGGGCACACTAGCTTCCCAGCCGTGCTTTCTTACGTCGCACAGCTGAAAGGCTGCTGCTTGGGTATTTCTCAGTTCGAAAAACTTCATGGGGGCATAGCTTCAAGCCTCCATCATTTTCATGATGATTCTGCTAACGCCGTATGATGAGTGTACAACGCTTGATGTCTTTGTTTTACTTCCATCAACAAGTATTCTGCCTTCATTTGCCCCACGGCGACTTGTAGCCCAGAGCTGCTCGGCCGGCACCCCACAAGACCCAAAACATAAGACCGTAGTTTAGAACGTAGAATGGGTAGACGAGGAATGGCGATCGTGATGTCTAGATGAGGCAACGGTCAGTGTTTGTCTTTCTCATGACGGACGGTCTAAGATGCAGGAGCGCCAGCACGAGCTTGTGAGGACAAGATTCCGCGAGACTGTCAAGAACTCATATCCAGGATAGTGTGTCCAGGAGTGCCGTTCGATGTGCGTGGCAGGCCATCGGGGTCATGGGAGCAGTCTGTATGGTTGAGATCGCAGTCGAATCGTATCGTACGCGCCAGAATCGAACCTCACGGTCGAGTGTTTCCAATGAGAAAGTATTGTGAGCTCTGCACGAGCCGTGGAACCGGACATCGGTGCGAGCGTTGTGGTGTACGGGCACGCGAGCTCACTTATGAGTCGAAGCCCGATCGTCGATGGTGGTAGACAGAGGACCTTCGCCTATCTTCGGCCTCGATTCCACTAACATGTAGTCGCCTCTTAAACCGTCCGGGTCTCAATTCTTCCCGAAGTATTCAATTCCGGGGACGTGATTGCAATGTCTCCTGCGACCTATGTCGATCCATCCGTCTACCCTACTCGTCGACATTTCTGACACAACTTCCGGTTTATGCAGCTCCCGCGTGCTCGAACGAAGCAGAAAATTGACTAACCTTATGCCACTGTCTCTTGCCGTCATGGTTCTGGAAAAGGCGCTGGTAGTATGGGACACGGTTTTCGCGGTGGACAAAGCTAGGAGCAGTACATCAGTGAAAGCTCGCAGACCTCTTGACGCTTCATGACATCGGCTATGCGCCAATAGGTTCGACATACCCCCATTGCTGTCGAGCTGCCGGCCGGAAGAGTTGTGCTCGTGTAGCCTGCATGAAGCGGGCGGCGGTAGGGGTGACCATGGTTGTGATATTGTCCTCCTTGAGACTGCTTGTGTGGAGGAACAGGAGAGGAGTGGCCGGATTGTGAGTGGTGTTGAGAAAGCTGCTCGAGTGAGGTCAACCGCAGGAGCTTGATGCCAAGGCACTATTCTAAATGGAGCTAGTTCATCCAGCTTGAGAACGCGAACTCGGCTTTATTGATGATATGCTTGTCGAAGTACATGCCATCTCATCACGGGTACAAGACCAGTCAACTATCGTCACATCCTCAAGATTCATCTCGCTGTCGCTTCTGGATGATTCATGCGATGCCTGCGCCTACTTGACCGTCACGGGCAAGTGGCGCGCCAAGTGGGATGTAGACTCCCGCGACGAACATGGACTTCGTCCAGTGCTCAATCGCTGATCAGGTACAGACGTATCAGATTCAAGCCCTTGGGCGGCGATGTCGCTCAATCTGAGCCTATCAGCATCTCGCCACGTGCGAACCATCCAGCGACGGTGCAAAGTACGGCGGATGACCACGCCACCCCGTTATCGACCGCTCTTGACGAAGTCTCTGAGAGCTCGAACCAGGATCGTGGCGCACCACGAGAAAATTGCCTCGAAACTGCAGATCAGTACCATGACACGCCACGAACGGAGGGTCTTGGCCCAGAAGCTGTCTCGATTGCAGAACGAAGACTTCTTGCTAGAGCTCGTCTGCATGGCATTTACTCTGCAGACCGGCTCGACTACGAGATCGATCTTGGCCGACGTGCCGCTCCTGGCCTGCGAATGCTTGATGGTGGTCAAGCAACACGCAACGACCTCGACCTATGGCTCTTCTTGATAGATGCTGCTCGCCAGAAGAAAGGTGTTCAGGGTATCCACGACCTTTCCAATGCTTTGTTTCATCGCGGTCCGCCTCTGCAGCTCACCTCCGATAATGGAAACGCCAGGGACATGATAGATGCGTTTTTATGGGCTGCTATCAATGGTCCCAAGGCAGAACGCCAAGATTACAGTTATCTGAAGCGCATCTGTACCCAGTGTCGCAATCGTGGATACTGCGCCGATTTACTTTTCGTTGGCACTGTTGGGGGTCTGCTCAGAATGAAGCCTCATCTGGCCCTCAGCATGGCGCAGTGGCTGAGGAATCGACAGTTCTACAAAGGACCCGACGACTTGCAGCATATTTTCCGTTCAGCGTGCGCGTCAGCCATCCCATCCGCGCTTGAGCATTGCAACGATGTCTTGAACTTACTCACTTCAGACAAAGTTTACCACTGGACCGTTCCCTACTTATGGGAAACTGAGCGCGCTGCAGATGCATTCGCCTGGCACGATTACCGCCTTGCGCACGGAGACCGGCCGCAGAACTTCAGCCTACTCCTGCCGTTCATTGCTCACACTGCACTGACTGGAGCGACATTGAGCCTTTCATCACAAATCTTACCAAACACGGCGTTGACTTCGCTGGGCAGGTACGACAGACTTACGAGATCATGGCGACGGATCTGGCAAATAAACCAACAACGGTCAATGGGGCCGTTTCGCGGGCAGTAGCAGCAGCAAGGCGTTTCGCGACGCCCAGTGACGAGACTGTCGCACGACTTTTTGCGACTGCGAGCTTGTCTTTCGACTTCGCCCTGAACAGTCTCTGCTTCTTGGGGCTCAGACAAATAGGGCCAATGTCCGTTCGGCAGATGATCTTAGGCGCTCCGGATCTTACAACTGTGAATGAGAGATTCGAACTGCTACAACAGCGAGGGGTCGACATGGGAGCTCATCCATTCGTTGTCGTTATACGGCAGCTGCATAAGATGAAAGAATTTGGTTTGCTGAAGCGGATTGCTGAGACTGACATGCATCACGACGAATTTTCAGATATGACTTTGCAGCGTTCCTTGCTCCGCCGGTCCGTGCCGAACAAGGAGATCTTCGACACAACGCGATCTCTCTTGATCCTACGTGCTAGTGACAACCGACTTCAAGACAGCGACTGGATAACCAACACTCTCTTGGTCGATGCTATTCATTGGGCAGACTGGCAAAGAGTGCTAGAGATTGTGGTATCTTTGCATCAGACCCGACATGTAATCACTCCCAGCGTCATAACATATTTGAGCCAGCGATGTTTGGGGCCGTCGGTACGTCGTGAGATGGCGTCTGAGTTTCTCGTGACGCCCCGAGAGGCTGATCTGGTCTCCTTCTCGATCGGCATCTGTCAGCAAATTCTAAGCAGCGGCAGCAACATCGACGTGTCATTCTGGAGATATGCATTTGTAGCATTGGCTCACACGAGCAGGATCTCCGAAGTCCACAGACTGATCCGCTGGATCCTCAGACACTATGGGCCAGGCGGTCAGCTCCGCGCCAGGAGCGCCTCCTCGGCCGACCTGAAAAACCTTTTCACGCCGATGACCCAAAAAGCAATCATAGCATGGGATTTTACCAAAGTCGAATGGAAGAGGGTTCTGTTCGGCGATCGTGCGCCACCCGACCATCTCTTCTTTAGGCCACTCACCTCACCACCATGGATTCAAACAGCGCGGCTGTTGCGTTACTTGAGCGATCACCCGGATCTTGGCGTCGAGATCGACTACATGGACTTGGAAGACGAGTTCGTCTACCGCTTGCGCCAAATGCACCGCACCGTTCGTTCGACCCAGATCTCATCGAACAGGAGATGGGCCGCTGTGCGAGGTTTCACTCTTTTGGACATGGCTGAGCACTGGCTGAAGGTTTGGGAAGGCTCTGGTCATAGTGTGGACGGAGAGAGGATGCTTAAAAAAATTGGCAAACTTATCACCACCAGCTCGTATCCTCAGGAAAGGTGGCCGGGCCTACGCAGGGTGATGAATAGACGAGTCAATCCGCATGTTCGCACTTACTTGGACGATGTGCTTACCTGGAAGGCCCACATAGTTCTGAGACGCTCACTTGTGGCATCGAAACCAGCCGCGATAGCAACTGCGTCCCGGTCTGAGCCGGAGCGCAGCAGCCTCTTTGGATTGAGGGCCAGGCGAAATCAGGGGAGCGACTCTACGCGTAACTCGGACTATCAGGGGGTGCAATTGAAGAGAAAAGATACGAATCTACCAGCGAGGAAGGGTCCCAACAACGAGATCATGTTCTCAGTCGACTGAACGGCAATTGCAATATCGCTTCGGAAGGGGCATTCCATTCATTTGTGGTACGCTCCTGCTGTTAGTGAAAACCAGGCATAAATTCCTCTTGACTCTTTTGTCATCCTTTTCGTCTCTTCCTCATGTCGCTGACAAGATAGGCCTTCGCCGCGACACATAAGATCAAACGACAGCCCGGCTCAGCAACATGTTCCTACCCCTTCAACACACTCAGTCGTCGAACTTGACAACACATCGTCCAGCAACTTGACCCTTCCGCAGCTTGTCCACGGCTTCCGGCAACTGCGACCACGAGTACTCCGTGACGTGCGGCTTAACCAGTCCCCGCGCACAGTAATCCAGCGCCTTCCTCGCATCACTCCTCGTCCCCACAATCGTCCCCATGACCTTCTTATTCCCGCCCAACAGACTCAACGGGTCCGCCACGCTGGGTATGTCCGTAACAGGTACGATTCCGATGCACATCATCACGCCTGACGTCCTTAACAGCGCCAGTCCCCCCACGTACGCCTTGGAACTGCTTGCCGTAACGATCAGCCCGTGCGCGCCTAGTCCATCGGTGAGCTTCTGAACTTCAGAGACGAGATCTGGGGTCTCGAGGAAGTCGATGAAGTGGTCGGCGCCGATAGAGAGGCACATCTTGCCTTTGTCAGCGCCGCCATCAATAGCGATGACACGCATGCCCATCGCCTTAGCATACAGAACACCCATATGCCCGACACCACCACCAGCCCCGGAAAAGATAACCCACTGACCGGGCTTGAGGCCAGCCTCAGTAATCCCACGATAAATCGTCGCCCCAGCACACATGACCGGCGCCGCCACGCTCCCGTCCACCCCATCCGGAATCCGCACTACATGCTCCATTCTCCCCAGAACATACTGCTGGTACGTCCCCGCCACATGCAATCCCGTCTGCACCGACTTGACACAATACATCTCCCTCTCGTCGCAACACAACTCACACATCCCACAACTACTCCACACGGGCTTCAGCCCGACCCGGTCGCCAAGCTTGATCTCAGGCACGGATTCTTTCGCTACGTTGGAGCCCAAGGCGACGACGTGTCCGATCCCTTCGTGGCCGGGGGAGTCGATGCCATACTGAGTCTTCATGTGCAGGGAAGGGAGGTCCTCGAGCATATAGTGTAGGTCGGAGTAGCAGATACCGGTGTGCGTGAGTTTGATGAGGACTTCGCTGGGGCCTGGGCTGGGGGTTTTGATGTCGTCTTTGAGGGTAACGGAGAAGTCGGGGCCGGGGTTAACCACGCAGCCGGCGCGGGTCGTGGAGGGGATGTCAACTTTTGGGGCAGCTGTGGTGCCATCTGTGGCGGTGGGTGCTGATGTTGAGTCGGCCATGATGGTGGTGCTGGATTGGCGGTCTAGCTGGGTTTCGTCGAAGTATAGCGTGTGTTGAGGCAGTGTGTTCACCTGGCTCACTTGGTATCGGCACCTCTGCGGGTGTTGATATTGAGCCGGCGTGGAGAAGTATACTGTTCCGTGCAAGGACTCGGAGACTTCTTGGATATATGTCCCCTTCCAATGTATATCAGTGACTTACGCTTGTTCGGTCCCACAAGGCCTTCCACATACGCTACACACCTAGACGGACGACTTCGGACTGCTATTCCTTCAGGCCTCTTCGCAAGGTGTGCCAAGAGAGGGGGAAGGCACAGGAAGTACGAGAGCTGAGGATTTGATCCAATCAGAGGGTCAGCCAGACGTGAAAGAGTCGATAGTGAGCGCAAGATGAGGTCTCTTTTGGTCTCGTCTGTCGATGATCTTCTGAATCCGCTTGACAGACGGTCAGGTAAGCCTTTGCAAGCAGGAGCGTAACGCGAGGATCGTAAGACTTCTAGCTACAAATCCAATCGAGGTTGAGCATGGAGGGGTTTTGTACGCTCCTAGCTGGTTCATCGGTGTCATCAATCTACGACTCAGGCCAGGGGGACTCCTCTGCCCCACAGGTACATGTGTGAAGGTCATTGTGTTCTCGCGCGTCTTCCTCCCACCGGATCGTGGTTCTGGGCTTGGGCCTCGGCCCCTGGTCGGCCATTTCGTAAGGCTACCGAAAATGGTTATCCGCGGGAACACAGCACGTTGGGGCAATGTCAGCGAAATGCGGAGGAGGGAGGGGCGAGTGAAATGCATCCGCGAACTGCCACCTAACTCGAGAGAATCCGAGTGTCAGTCTAGTCTACCGGCTTCAGCAAGGTTAAAGAGCGACCGGATGACTGACTTTTCATTTCGAAACATCCTTGAGAAGGACGACCCAGGATGCACCACCTGCCATTCCTTGAAAGTGCACTGGCAGCACACTGGCAATTACGCTCCGGTCGATCGCGAGTGCTGCTTCCATCTGAACGAATCCGTGAGGGCAAGCGCGAGCTTTAAGGCTCTGAAGAGGCCGGACGACGAGAGGGCAATGGGGAGATCGGCGCATTTGCCGTCATATGGTGGTCTGGGATAACGTCGTCTCCTAACAGCGCTTGTCGTCTACCAAAGTGGTGGGCCTCTACCTCTTCTGCTTCTGGTAGGGAAGAGAATTATGCACGCAGGCCCCAGTGATCATCAGAGCAGATGTGGACCTTGCGAGTCTTCACCTGCTTGAGCATCCTCCCCAGGCCTTGCTGGTTTCTTGGTTCACCTCTAATCACGAGGCTTTAACTAGACATGCTTCCACGCAGCAGGATCCATCGTTCGAAATCATCCTCAAGTAGTTCTTTCGATGTGTATCGCACAGCTGGTTTTGGCCGAGTGCAGCTCAACGATCGTCACCGCCCATCCATCTGCAGCAGACCGCTGCGTCGTGCCACACAGCCCCTCCGCTACTAAATCCCATTGCCCCTTTCGTCACCGATCCCCCCTCAGATCTCCTCCCAGCCCATACCCCCGCACCTTCTCCCACTCCACCCGCTGTCTCGTAACCGGCAACTGCCTCCTCAACCCCTTGAACATTCCCTCATTCATCCCCACCACCCCACGATTCACCTCCTCCTGGTACTGCTTCTCCAGCGCCGCCACCTTCCTCACTATCTCATCCCCTGTCGCGCCATCGCCACTCCCCACTTGTGTCTCCGGAATCGTCTTCTGGGTCTTGAGCGCGACGTTGCCGTCTTCGTAGTAGTGCACGTCGACCTTTATGACACCCCGGAGAGTGCCAGTGGAGCGGCTGTAGAGGAAGGAGGAGCGCCAGCGGCCGGAGAGGAAGTTTTGGGGGGAGGCTTTCAATGTGCTGAGGAGGATCGCTATACTGCCTGATGCTGCAGCGGAGGCGCAGACGGTGGACGCGGACGAGGTTGAGGATGTGGAGGCAGGGTAGTGTTCTTGGAAGTGGGAGCTTATGGAGCGGGAGATGGAGGCGATGAGGTCGCTGTGTGGGGATTCGTGGGTGTAGGATTGTGGCGACGAGGCTTTTTGGGTGATGTGGTCGAAGGTGAAGGAGGTCGAGGTTGCGGTGTCGTAGTACGTTGAGGAGGAGGCGTCGAGGCGGTTGTGGGCGGATATGAGGACCTGCGAGCGCTGTGTTAGTGGTGGTGTGTTGCGTTGCAGTCGCGCAGAAGGGTACATACGTGTTGGCTACCTCCGGGTAGTTTGACTGCGAGGAGCTGATCCTCGTTGTATTTCTGAAACGCCGGCTTCAACTTTTGTATCAGTGCTGGGTCGTCGTCCGATGTGAGTGCTTTGACGTCGTTGACAACCTCGTTCAGCTCGCCGGGCGGAACGGCTTCTATGAACGCGGAACATATCTCTGTCGACGAAGACATGTTGGAAAGAGTGAGAGGCGCTAAGGCGTTGTAGTTGAGAGCAGAATGGTGGAACTTGCAGTATGCAGACGCCCGTCGTTGATGTAGATGTGCCCGCCGGTTACAGTTTCCGCACCAAGCCCCCGAAGCCGCCGGATGACAAGCCTCATCCGCATGTCGGTGATTTATATGGGCGAACAACGATGACTGCCATGGAGCCACGGTCCTTTGGATAATGATACTGAATCATTTAATAATGCCTAAACCAGTACTGATGCTAATGCCAATGCTAATGCTAGAACCTAGACCGCGCAATGCATCCAAACCAACCATGATTCTCATTACAAAAGAGTCTTCCTCTCTTCATATCTACTGGTAGTAACCCCCGTACTTCGACTGATCATATCCCGACGGCGGCGGTTGCTGTGACTGGTATGACATCCTCCACTGTTGTTGAGCAGCCTGTTGAGCAGCCTGCTGCTGCTGCGCTTGCCACTGCTGCTGATGATACTGCGCCTGAGCTTGACCATCGACGGGAGCACCCCAACTCGTCCACTGCTGCTGCTGCTGCGGTGGCTGCTGCGTATAGTAACCACCCTGCTGCTGCTGTTGATACTGCTGCGCATAAGCAGCCGGAAACTGAGCAGACAACCGCTGCGCATCCTTCTGAGCCTGTACCTGCTGGGCCTTAGCATGATGTTGCCTTTGAGCGATCGCAGCCTGCACCATGTGCCCAGAGACATTCTCTCTGGTCTGCTTTTTCTCCTGTTCGCGGGCCTCGATAGCGCCGATCAAACCAACCGTAGGGTCTGGCGTCCGACTCCGGTCTGGCAGGTTCAGCAGTGGGCCGCCAGTCATCCTCGCAACGTGCTCTTGTTCACGCGCCGAAAGTTTGGATGAATAGTCCAGTAGGTCTGTCGAGCTGCGAGAGCTAGGCCGTGAATCCTTCTTCTTCTGCAGCTTCTTCGGCCCATTCGCTGGTGGAGGACTAGGGCTGGGCACATTACTCAGCCTGTTGGCAGACATAGACCTTTGCGGAACATAGTTGCCTGGTAGCTGAGCTACAGCTGCCCTTTGCTGAACGAAATCCTCTGGCGAGAGTGCGGGACCGGGGCTTTGACGTCCCGCAGCCATGCCAGGCTGCCAAGCATAGCTTGCTCCCCGTGAATGACTTGGCCTGCCAAAATAGGAGCTGCGTTTCTCATCGGATGCTAGAGCTTCTGGCGTTCGTAAAGGTGACTTCTTCTCAGGAGTCACACCGCCGACCATGCCCATGGCAGTGCTTGATCGCGAGGTGCTAGATAGCCCCATCGGAGTGATCGGTCGACTTCCTGGCGTCAGTCCTAGGGCAGTGCCTGGCCGACTTGTTCCCGGGGTGCTGCTACTGGAAAATCCCATCGGCGTTATTGGTCGACTGCTTGTCCCTGGATCCAGGCTCTGAGTGACTCCAAAGTCGATCTCTGGAATGTCCGATTTCCGCCGATCGTCAAAGCTGGACAGATTCGGATCTCCGACCGTCTTCAAGACGCCAGTTCGAACCCGTGGGACGGACTTCTCAGACTTTTGGTCCATCGAAGGTCGTGTGCTGGCATAGCTTGGCGAAGAATCTCGTTCATGGTTTGACATAGCTGCAGCTCTGTCGGATGATCTTGTCCGCGCCATCGCTAGTTCCGCGATGCCTTCGCTCTGTGGTATAAGAGGTGTACTGTGTGTGCTCGAAGTTCCTGGAATGGGTTTCCTCCGAATAGAGTGCTCACTGGCTTGGCGTTGAGAAGAAGGTCGTGCGTCCGTTGGACTTTGCGTCAATTCGTCTGCTACCATGGCTTTATGCAAAGGATTAGCAGTCATTCTCTCGTCGTTGGGGCTGGTTGTATTTACCCCTCGATTGTTCTGGCTCTGTTGCGGATGCGGCTGGTTCTGATTCCCGTTCCCGTTGCGCCAAGCCAAAAAGGCTGCATTTGCTGCTGCGCCTGCCTGTGTCGTGGGCTCGCGCAGCTTGTTGACGTCCGCTATCTGCTCAAGTGTGGCATTGGACATGCGGCTCTTCTCCCTTCGCATTTCGGGACGAGCGTCAGGTCGTCTTTGCGGAACATCAGTGGCTTGATGCTGAAGCGTGGGTGGGGCAGCCACAGGAACTGGAGGTGCTGAAGCTGTCATAGCCGCATTGACATCTTCTGCTGCACGGGACTGCTGCCGCTGGAGGCTGAGGCTCGAGTCCGAACTGCCTCTGCTGTCTGCGAATGGACCGCCGTTAGAGCCTGTCGGTGCAAGTACCGGGCCATAGACTGCGCGATGCGCTGGAGGTACAGGCGCAGGAATCATCTCGTCACTATCAGGAGAATTCCTGTCCATGGACAATCTCGAGTTCTGGTAGCCATTGTCTTGCCTTCGTTTGGGCGGAGACAGCGCAATGGATTCTGATGCAGATCTGCTGTGATGGTGCTGCGCGTGCAACAATGCAGGATTTTGGGCGTGAGGCTTCGGTGGAGACAGCGCAACGTCGGTGGTCGACATGCTGTGATTGTGGCCTCTTTGAGGGCCCATGGAATCTACTGGCGAGATGTCGTTGGGATGACCCATGCGCGAGGACATTGTTGATGTCCTGACGTCCATGGTGCTTGCACGGTTCTCTCTCATCGTGGCCATTCGCTTCGCAGTCAGGTCCTTCATCTGCTTCCGCCACTCTCGCTCGGACCACTTTTCACTTCCTTGCGTATGGATGAGTGAGGCAACGTCCATAATGTCTAAATAGCCATACCGCCGCTGCTTGGGCATTGCAAACATCAGCCCTTTCGCGTCCAGCGTGTCTGCAATCAGGCGATTCGGCCGTCCATACAGCTGGAATGTGTCGTAGACGGGGAATAGGTAACGCAGCATCATCTCGAACCCAGACACAGCAGCATGGAGCTCTGGCATGACGAAGACAAATCCTTCGGTCTTCGACTCGGGCGTCGAATGAATCGTGATCTTTCCCTCCAGCTTGATAAGCGTCGACTGATCAATCAGCGGCTTCGATTGTGGATAGATGGCGTACGCAGCATATGCATCGGTAATCGTCGCGATCGGTATTGTAGTCTTCTTGATCTTCTTGGTGTCGTAAAACTTGATGTTGCCCTTCGGATAGGCGGGTCTTTCGTATGCTGAGCGTTTCTTCATCGACTTCGCAGCCTTCTGCCATTCCTTCTCGTCAGGAGGCTCAACGACGCACCAGCACCTCCGCCACGGTGTCCCAGCGCCGAAGCGGACTCTAGCCCAGTCTTCATAGCGGAATTTTGTATGCTCCATAATAGATCTGATGTTGTTCAACGTCTTGCCCTTTCCAGCAATCAACGACCCAGTGTACAGCTCTTGCAGGGACGAGTTCTCGAACATCGCTAGCCGAATCCCAGCGGTCCATTGTGTCAACGAGTGAATGGAATTGAAGTGAAAGAGGTATCGGTTCTTGCCGGCGGTGGAAATCGACAAGACATTCTGCAGTGGCTGCACGTCGTCGCTTCGAGTCGGTAGCTGCTGGATCTGACCGCTGAATTAGCATACCCAATCTTGTAGCTGGACAATGCCACGTACCATTTTTATCGAAGCGTCCGCGAGATTAACAAATGTAGGCGCCACCTCACCATCCTGACCGGCCACATCCAGCGCTGCCGCGTCCCATAGCGAGAGAATCGTCCCAACGAGCTGTGCAAAACACTCGGTCCAGTTCCTATCAGCATTTGGCTTCCCATTTGTGTCGAGATCGTTCAACTTCAGGAAATACCCCTCCTGGTACAACTTGTTGCTGTGGCTCGAAAGAAAGCTAAACACGGGCGCAAGCTCCTCAATATTCATCTCCCGTCCCAGATCCATCGTCGGGCTCGCATACAGCATCGAGTTGGGTCGCGAGCGAGTCGACTGCTCTTGCCGATATGGCAGTTGTGACGTGTTGGGTATCGAGCCGCTACTAGAGGATTCCCTGACGAGTCTCTCCTTGGAAACAGAGTCGGTCTGTGCTGCTGCGGAAGGAGCGGTCGAGCCCGAGGGCTCGCGGGAGTGGCCAGGGCGCACATTTTGCAGGCTCTTGCCTATTGAGTCCGAGAATTTGCGGAGGCGGTTTGGCATGTTGGCGACCTTCCTGTTTGGCGGTGCCTGTGGCCCGCTTCGGCAAGCGAGTGTTGTGGGAGAGTGGCGGCGCAGGTGGTGTCAGTTGGTTAATTTTGTCTTCCGGAAAGAGCGTGAGTTTCGTGAGGGACAGGTGGTCGGGACGGCAGTAGCGTGAGCTGGACACGACGCTCTGTGCTACAGGAGGCTTCGTTGGTATTGTGGACAAACGAATGGCAACAGCTATTATTGTCGAACGATTGACTGAACTTGAATGAACCTCACACCCTCTATGCACGCAGCCGGGACTTGAGGCCTGAATAAAAGTTCGAGATGCAGAGAAAAGGTGGATGTGACAGGGCTATTATGCAAGTTTCCCTCAAGCCAGGCGACTGGGTGACGTGGGAACAAATCAAACCTCAAGGTTCAAGATGCAACGGTGGTTCACTTCCAGCAGGTCCGATATCCGATCGACCGTTAAGCACTAACTTGACGAGAAATGACGAGAAATGATGCCGTGGCAGCGTCATACACACGCGAACCACGCAGCGGAATAGCCTACGAAAGCCTAGAACTGGGATCCGCCGGTGCTCCCACACGTTTTGCCTTGCTGTGCTTTCAGTTCTCGAGCTGATCAGGCAGACAGCCAAAGAGTATATACCTATCAGCTCTTGTCGACAGCCTACTTTTCAAGACGTCAGCCGCTCCCGTGGCACCACTGTACGTTCGCGCGAGTCAAGAAACAAGACGTCTACGCGGAGTCGATGTTGTTGATTTGTTTGCATAGCCTCAATCCATTACGTTCCTCTCGCCTAATTGCCCTAACGCCAATCATCCTTGCCAGCGGATACCCAGATCCAGCATCAAATGCTTGTTTCTGTGCCTGGCACCTGGGCGCCGATGCTGGGTGTCTTGGTGCTCATGTCCATTGATGAGAAGTTGACTTCCTGAGAGCTGTGCTGCTAGAACGGAGGATCTGCATGATGCATGAACCGTGACAGCCGCGCATATACGTTGCTGACCTATCTAGCTGTAGCATTGGGGAGCCAACCGGCATGCTCGGGTCCATGTCTTAAGCTGAGCCTGGGAGAACGCGTCCCTCCCGGCAGCTATGAGTCTCGCAGGATTCTGGGAGGCTTCGGTGTCTTGAGCCGGACGCAATTTCGTGAGGACAACGTAGTGGCATCCAGTCAGCATGCACGATTTCCACCGTCCAAATCGAGCAGTCAGGCGTGGGGTTACTGTTGACTAAGGTATCGGCTGCTTGCCCGCGGCGCGCTCTAGAACTGTGAGAGATTGAGATCGAAGTTCTACTTGACTCGAGTCTAGCATTCATGCCTGGGTATGCAGTACCTGAGCTCTCTTCTGGAGCTTTCTCTTTGAGTGCCTCTGCAGGCATTGTGTCTGGTATCTGTCATGACCCGGGATTAATATGCTTCATGCATGACCGTGACGCCTTCGCTAGAATTCAAACACTCCTGCCATCTGGACACCATTCCATAACAAATGCAGTTGCTTCATCAACAAGCTAGACTATTCAGCTGAGGCCTGTCGGTCTCGCTCTGCTGTCAGCATCTGTACCAACTTCGCGTCTCCATCATCAACCTTCCCAGGTACCGTAGCAACTTCGAGATCGCCGCCGCCGCCATCCAGTTGAGATTTGGCTATACCATTGTCGACATTATTGCTGTCCAAGCTTGGGTCGATATTGGCGTCTGGTGCTGCAGGACCATGAGGATTTGTCGACTGACCCTGTTCATACTGAGTCCCTGGAATCGCTGCAGCAGATGAATAGTATGGGACTAGTGGTGGTAGTCGGACACTGCGAGCATCATGCATAGGATCAGCAGATGTCGGTGGCATATGTGAGACCATCAGAGGACCGTGCTGTGTGGTTTGCGCCGCTTCAGCAGAGCCTTGCGCTTCGCCAATTGCAGTAGAGGCTAGCTGGTGTAGACTCGGGTGCACTATCGGATCCATTTGTTGGTATTGACCTGGATGACCGTTGAGATCTGGGGTTGCTGCACTGAGCTGCTGATATTGACCTTGAGGGCCATTGGAAGGAGCTCTTGGAGGCTGTGACTGACGAGCTCGGTGAGGATCTTGTATGAGGCCCGGGTTGCCAACACTAGTGACAAACTGGTATTCTGGTCTAGCGACGTAGTCTGTGCTTAGGCGACTGTTGTCCTCTTGTCTGAACGACGTTGGCGCATCCTTGAAGAACTTGGTCGACTTGCTTCCCTCAATCGACGGATTCTGTTCGTGCTTGAAGATCACTATGCAAGTCAGCAAACTTCGGACTCGAGGAAAATGCATGAATATCGTACCCGCGTCATCCCACTGGCAGCCGCGCTTCGCCTTCTCGCAGTTCGTGCATATTGGCTATAGCCGTCAGGATTCTGCTTGTCGCATTCTCTGCAGTGACTTACCTTTCGCTCGTCGCACTTGATCTTCCGACTGCGACAGGTCGCGCAGCCGGCACGGGTTCTCTTGAACCCTCCAGGAGGCTTCCTGCTCTGCTTTCGCCCATCGCGTCCTGCGTTCTGCAGGTTGGTTGGCTGCGCCGCGAAGACGGTGGACGCCATTTTCGCGTCCGATGGTGCCAATTCAGGCAGGTTTGGCGGGAGTGCACTTGGAGGTGCAAGTGAGACACCTGTTGGTGAACGGAGTTAGAACTGGTTTGTATCCGGCGCTAGTGAACTTGAGGTGGTATAAACACCAGACAAGCCAATATGCGACTCACCTCCAGTGCCAAATCCAGCCATCACAACTCCAACAATAAAGCTCTATCGGAGTGAGTGCGTGCATACAGTTGCTGTGCTCTGCAGTCTCCCAATCGAGGCATGTTGTTGTTCTCTTCAGCACCTCACTCAGCAAGGCCAATGTCCGTGGTCTTAGCACTTTTGATGACCTCGTCGCTACCTCACGAAGTCGTCGCTCCAGCTTCCAAGGCAATATCGGAGTGAGAGCGTGCATACGCCTCGTCGAGATCTGAGAGCCGACGAACGCTTATGATTGAGCCTGTCGGAGAAGCGAGACACCGAGCGCTCGTCGCGAAGATCGGTCTGAGTACCAACAATCAAGCAGGGAACACTAGGGCAGCGGTGGTGGACTTCGGGAAACCATTTGCATCCACCAATGAATGGCTCGGGTCGCGCCGCCTGCCTGGGAGATGATCTTGAGACCGTGGTAGTCACGGTAGTGGCCGCGGCCGGTGAGCCCGTTCGCATTCGCCGTGGGACTGAGCCTTGAAGTAAGCCACTGGTGGCAGTGTTTGGAATCGAGGCCGGTGATCTTAGTGGAGGATTTCTTGGTCGACTTTCCTATGAAGATCTCGGCGAGCTCGACAGACTTCTCATCGCCCTCGACGCTCTGGAAGCGAAGGGCCATCTCGAGACCGCCAAGGAGAGTGGTCACATCATAGCATTGCTCCTCGAGCTGAGCAGCCGGACGATGAAGCGCTCCTTTCAACCGAGCTTGCGCCGCCTCAGCGACTGTCGAAAAACGAACCACTTCAGCATCACGCGTACGAGGCTGAGGCTTTGGTGCTGGCTCGACCAGCAGCTCCACTGGGACGTCAGAGTCTGAATGGTACAAACAGTCCTCTGGTTGCTGTTCCTTCGCCTTTGCAGCATCACTAGCTCCACTGCTGGCGGCAACTGTTCGACCTGCGCAGAGGAGCATTTACCCCACCAGAGACAAGAGCTGAAGCAAGCTCGCCATTGACCAGCATGGCTGGTGGTGGCAGAGGCTCGCCCTCTTCGACAAAGCCGTCATGGAGTGAGTGCGTGCATACAGTTGCTGTGCCCTGCAGTCTCCCAATCGAAGCAGCTCGCGGAAGGTGTGTTTCAGACAGCAGTGAGAGGGCCGGCCAAACGGTCATAGTCTGGAGGGACTGTCACTGGACGATCTGGCTGTGTTGGTGCCGTTGGCGGGCGTAATTTGTCGAAACAACATATGCTTGCAGCCAAGATAGACCAGCAGCCGTGGGGCCGCCCTTTCAGATCTCCTTCTGGAACATTTGAGTTGAGGTAGCCATCGATGCCACGGCGTGGTCTCTCCAAGATCAGACAGAGGGAAGACTGGGTCGTGTTTCGAAGGACGCAAAGTGGGTTGACTCGTCGAAAATCGAAAGGATAGCAAGGTCTCAATGTCCTCGCCATGTAAGGCGCGCCATAGAGAAGGGAGTACAGGATCCTCACCGATGACGGTGGGTACGACACCGTTACCAAACGAATAGATGAGGCGTGGCAGCTGTCATGAGATGCGACTGCCGATCACACCGGGGCTCTTCCTTGGTCTAGTGGCCATGATCGTTGTGCCACTCACTTGGTGCTGTCAAAGAGGTCAGACCAGTGTCAATACCACAACGATGAAGAGCTGCCTAGACAATTTCGCGATCTCCGGGAAGACTCACCAGGTCTGTCGGCACTGTCCATACCTGGATGGCTATCGCGCGATGTGCTCAAACGTTGAAGTCCACAGTGACTGCCACCATTGCTAGCAGAAGCAGTTGGTGTTGTCGGTGTTCGACCAACGGTGCATATCTCGAGGTTTAAAAACCCGTCGATGATGCAAGCCGCTGATTGTGGCTGTGGGCAAGGGACCGACTGGATAATCACTGATTTCGAGCAGTCGCCAGACTTCTTCCTTGGTCTAGTGGTCATGTGTTGACCGATCCGAGGAGTAGTGCTTTGCGGCTTCTCGAAGCCTTTCGGCGGTCGAACGAGAGAGGGGTAATCCTCGAAGGATTAGCGACAAGGCACTACTCCTCGGCCGGTGCAGTCGCAATCGAGACGCCGATGCCTGAGATGATTCGACTCAAGAAAGCCTCCCTGGCATGAGACTTGTCTGATACTCGTGCCAGGGAGGCTTTCTCTGGACTTGGTCAGTCTTTGCTTGGATGCTACAGGTTGGTCTCGAAAGCGCCGACTTACTCAGGTCGCTAGCAAGGCTGAAGACATCTGGTCTTAGAAGAAGTCGCGCGGCCGACACTCCAGCTGCGATGGCTCTTGCAGCCACCTCCGCCTGAGCTTGACGCTTTCTTTCTTTACGCTGCTTTTTCCACTCTTTCAACGAATGACCGCGGATGACGTCGCGGAGAGGCTGGCGACGGTAGACTGACGTGATGCCATGCCAGGTGCACTTGTCTTCGAACAAATGTCAGTGCCGACCTTCAGTTATGGCAAAGGCTTAAAGGTCGACTTACTATGGTTGCTAGAAATGTTGCCGAAGGCCTTTGATTCTGAAAGAGTCAAAGGCCTCCGTTGCATGAGACTGGCATGGCATCACGCCAGGAAGGTTGGGCCTGCACAGTGAGGTCAGTCTCCCCATCCTTTGTCCATCTTGAATCTTCGCGGGAGACTTCTTACCGGCATGCCGACGTAACGCTCCTCCGTCTCTGTCAACCAGAGCATTCGCATTCGCCGTGGGAATGAGCCTTGCGATAGGATATTGGCTCCTGTACGAGCGTGGACTCGCGACCGTCGACAATGGTAGACAGGTCGGCTGGAGTGACGCGGCCGTGGGTTGTTCTGCGCCACGTCTCTGAATGCCGGGCGGTTCAGTGCAGTCTTCGAGCCCGCCGGGCGCTTCAAGGCGTTGAGCTTTGCCTGGATACCAAGGTTAGTCATTCGCTTTCATCATATATAACTCAAGGCGAAAGACACTTACCAGTGTGTGGTAATTGGTTTGACCGCCTCCAACGACGGTCACGGCATAGTTGTCGAAGACCGTTGGAACATACTCGCTCGGCAATATGTTGGTGGTGCTCCAGTGTAGCGATAGCGTCGTTGAAGATACACTATGGCATCGCTACACCGGAGCACCACGGCAGTGCCTCCTCCTCGATGCACGGAGTGGTCGTACCACTCTTCGGCTCGGCCGGTCGATCCAGAATGGCGCTGATGACCCCTGCGCTGTCGTAGTTGCTGCTGGACGACGAGAGTTTGCTAGTAGTACGCGTCAAGGGCAATCCGACATGGCCATTGACACAGGGTTCGACATTATGACTGTCTTTGCCAGATCGCTGTGTTGGCTCAATTGTCGATGGCCATGTCGGATTGCTTCCTCCAGAGACCATCTCTGACGATCTCGAACCAGCGAGACCGCCAGAGAGGCCTCTGGGGAAGAGGTACATTGAGCTTGTTTGAAGGTGGTGCTTGAGGTCGATAGTGAATGACTCACTCTCCAGAGATCATCTCCGACAACCTCGAGCCAGCGAGACTGCCAGAGAGGCCTCTGGAGAGGAGGTAAGCTGATAATCAAGGTGAATGATGATGAAAGGTAGGTTCTCCCATTGTTCTGTTGATGGATTCCGTGTCAGCCACAGCCTGTGAAGATGTTCAGGAGCAGGAGTGTGCAGCAGATGTTTACTCACGATGAGATTGCCCCTTTGTGCCATCATTGATGATGACGATGATGATGAAAAGGAGAAGAGAAGGAGAAGGAGAAGGAGAAGGAGAAGAAGACGATGGGATGGTTTGAGAGCAATAAGGTGAGTCAGTGAGAGAAGGTCAGGTGGTTTGTGGCCATCCTGAATGAAAAAGCTCGGCATGTTCTGCAACGGGAAGGGGCACATCAATTCCTAAACGCAGAACATGCTTGATACACTGGACCAGGACGCAGAGTACGTCTATTGGAGTTTGGCCAGCAACAGAGACTTGTTTTGGTCGTTGCTCACAGTGTTGCACCTGCTTGAGACCTCTGCCCGTGCTATTTGCCAGACCACTCTGTCTTGCAGCCTCGCCGCCACACCTTGGTCCCCGGAGCAGGACCTGTCGTTCGCCCAGCCGAGGAACTCGCAAGCGAGTTACAAAACGGATACCTTCAGCCATCGACTTGCCACAGCTCTGCAGTTCAGAGGTCCCTTTCTGAGCCGAATAGTTTCCACTCCCTCCTCTGTGAGAGAACCTTCAGCCTCTGAAACCGCCGACTGTCACGATGAGTAGGCACCTCGGTCTCCCGCTGGAGGAGCGAAGCACGGGCAAGTGTGTGCTCGGCGCCCTCTCGACTGCAAGATACACCCCACCTCCAAGCCCTCCCCCAAGTCCGCCTTCAAATCCACGTCCAAATCCACCTCTAAGCCCGCCTCCAACTCCCACCCAGTCCGCTCCTACCCCGTCCAGCACCCACAAGTCACGACGCCACACATGACCACGCCTCGAACAGCTTACCGGTCAGCAATCCTCCCATCTCCCGCGTTCAGACGTCCCAAAACGGACGTAGGAGCTCGATGAAGCGCGTTGCCGTGACCCAAGCCAACCCAATCAATCCAACCATCCAAGAAGGTCCGTCAGATGCGCGGAGAAAACAGCGCATGCTTGGGACGGAATCATTGGTCGACATGCTGAAGGAAGGTACTTGGAAATAAGATAATCAGGGACAGGATGACATGGAACGACGCATGTCAGAGCCATTGAGTAATAGGACAAGTGAGCGATCATCATTTGCGATTTGCTTTTGAGCACACAACGCTCAGGGGACAAACCAGGCAGGGAAAAGTTCCCGAGAAGCAGGGCTACAACACTAGCACCAGCTCCAGCTCAGACTCCTCCAGGCAGGCCTTTGCAGAATGATAATGCAGTAAGCGATCGAGACCAATGAGGCTGCTATCAGTGCGTTATGCCTGGCTTCACTACCCTTCCTGTAGTGCTGTACTCAAGAATCTCGCTTTGCATGGCCAGGTCCAGAGGGAGTACCTCGTCCGTCCCTAAGAGTCCCTCTCTGCGCAGTCCACTGCAATCAAGTCGTCCAAAACGCCTCCTGGTACAAAAAGATACTGGTTCAATTCCGCCACATATCGTGCCAAAGATCACATGTTTTCGGTTTGCGAGTGGACTGTACCATTTGTGTAGTGTGTCGCGTACAGTCATGTCGTCTCTCGGTATGTCGCCGTCGCAATCGCTCGCTTGTTCATCCGCTACATTCGCAACATTCGCAACTAGGCCTTTTCCCTCGGCGATCTGGATGCCAGTTGCTCGGCTCAGTCGTCATCTCGTCCTGTCCTCCACTCCCGTCCTATGGTTCCAGTGCGTTTGGACCCATTCCCATTCCTGCTGGCCAATATCAAATTGTCCTTCTGGGGGAGATCGTCTGTGGATTAGAAGTCCATGAAATGATGACCATATCTGTTTGCAGGTCAGTATTTGCATGCACGTTGTGGATTGAAGTACACTCACGGGTCATCGCTCTTCTTTCCGTATTCCTCGGTCTCCTCTGGATACTTGTCAAACTGACTCGCGTCTCCAGCTCCTCCCTTGACAGGTGGCACGTATGGAGCATCAATGTCCTTCTTGACCAGGCGCTCCCAGGTCACCTCCGAGAACCATGCATGGTTCTTCACGTCCGCACTACCACCGTGCAAGTTGCCCAGCCGCTTGGTAAGATCGGCTGTGATCAGTTGCACAAGTAGATCCTGAGCATCATGATGGATATATGGAGGATATTTGACGCGGCCCTTGAGAATGTTCTCGTAGATCTTGACGGGCGATCCGCCATCCCAGAATGGTGTGAAGCCGCAAAGCATCTCGAAGATCAGAATGCCGAGGGACCACCTGTGAGAGCATTAGCAGGCGCTGGAAATGACAAGAGTTCACCCACCAGTCGACAGACTTGTTGTAGCCCTTCGAAGCAACGACTTCTGGTGCTAGGTAATCGGGCGTACCGCAAAGCGTCCATGTGATGTCTGGAACGTCTTTGGCAAAGCCGAAATCCGTGATCTTGACATGGCCGTGTCGGTCAAGAAGCAGATTCTCGGGCTTCAGATCCCGATAAATGATGTTCTGCGCGTGCAAATATTCGAGAGCGAGGGTGACTTCTGCCGCATAGAACTTGGCGACCGGATTTGGGAACCGCTGGTGATGTTAGCGCTGGGCTCTGGCAAGAGCCAGGCAGGTAGGCCAACAAACCTGCGACTTTCTCAACAAGCTGAATAGCTCACCGCCTTCAATGAAATCCATGACCATGTACAAATTCCGCGAATCCTGGAAGGTGCCCCATAGCGTGATAAGGAATGGATGTTTGACCCTTTGCAGCATCTTCCGCTCATCATTGGTATGCTCTATTTGCTTCATCTTGACCACCTGGGCCTTCTTTAACACCTTAATGGCATAGTATCGCTGATTATGCTTAGACTGCACCAGGTGGACTCGGCCAAACGAGCCTGTTCCGAGTGTGCGTTGGATTGCGAAGTCTGTAAGTGTGTATTTGCCCTTCGTCTGCCGTGGCGTGGCCTTGCTCTCGACTGACCCGCCCTCGGGGTTGACGAGGCTTGCGATGTTCATCCCTTCTTTCTGCGGAGAACCATTCGAGGTGGTTTTGGTGTTAGTTGGGTCTGGGGAGGTAGTCACTGTGGTGACATTGTTGCCGGTTGGGACTGGGGATGAGGACTCGGGCTGAGGGGACTTGGTCTGAGACGGCGACTGGGCAGCGTCTTTATGTGATTGTTTGTACTGGATAGGTTGATATCCAGAGGGCTTCTCTTCGCTTGTTGATTCCTTTGTCTTCTTTTTCTTAAGAAGACCTCCGAAGGTAGGCATGTCGGAGGAGCGGAGAGGTGCAAGTTCCCGCTAGACTCAAGGATAATGCAGGGTGCGCACGGGCAGCTGCGGGAGCTGGCAGTGAATGCGAAGTGAGCTGGCTCAGAGGTATTGACAATCGATTGCGACAAACAAGCGCTGGGACAATTTGTGGTGGACTTCTTCTGGGTGGCACAGACTGCTTGACCTCCGACGTATTGTGCTGTGCGTGATTGCTGCTGTCAAGTGACAACAGATCAGCAAGTGCAGCTATCAGTGCTCCTGCCTGTGCAAGGGACCCTGAATTGAATGCAGTCGCTGGACTGACGTGGGGTAACTGGGCCTGCCAACTCGAGAAGGCTATCGCGAGGTTCGAAGGTATCGCAAACCGGGACTAGATAATTGTCGCGACTCAGTCCAAGCTATAGTTCGGAGCTGTAGGAGAAGGGCCGTAAGTCTGAGAGCGTGACGCTGTATAGGTATATCGGCAGGACGCTATGACGGGGATAAGGTACCAGCCGCGCACGAGGTTCAATGCTTGGTGTATACGGCCTGACGTGGGGAGGTCGCTATCTCTCGGCCTCACTGTCACCAACAGGGCAAGAAGCTATATACGTGAATGTCTCTGCACACGATTCTCGAGACAGTAGCAGAATAGAGGTATGATGCAGAGTCAAGCTGGAAGTGCAGAACAGGGCAGCTCGATAGCTATCGCATTCACAGAAAGACGAGCCGCCTAGCTTCTGGCCCCTCATCCCATGCTCTCATCAAGGGCCACTTCTACAACTATTCCAGCTGATGAGTGCAACATCCCACTTCTGCTCTCCTGCTCCCAATGCCACTGACTAGGCCGAAAGGCGCTTCCTCGGTGCCATCACCGACGCCTCTACCTACATTCGAGAAAGTAAGAGTGGTAAGGCTTGCCCTCATGATGTTGCATTTCGCGGGGAAAGCTGCGATGCCCAGGGCCTGCCCTCTTCCGGGTATATTGGGGCGGCACAATACGAGCGGGGTATCTCTGATTTCGAGATCGGCTCGAAAAGGCGGCCAACAGGTGCTTCTATTAGGGCCTTCGGCGACGGGTGGGCTAGCCATCGATCGTGTTGATTGAAATGCTCAACACTTTCGATAAGAGTACAATCGGGATAATCGGTACTGAGCTGCTGGTAGCTAGCTTCTTCATCCTCTGGCTCGTCTCATTTCTCGCGTGATATCGTCGACGATCTCCTGGGCTTCACCAGCTGTACGGGCTTCAAAGTCGTACCTCTTGAGCTCGCCCTTCGGGTCGTTCGGCCGTGGTATCGAAACCCTGACCAACTTACTATGCTTGCTGCTGATCTTGCAGCGAGTAATGTCGCTGAACGCAATCGAACTGCTCTTTGCGTACGAGCTCTTCACCGTGTCCGTCGGTAATATGTGTAGGATGTCGCCATCGAACATCAGGACTCTTTGACTGCCTTGAGCGAATGAAGTCAGCTGCTTCCGTGTCACGTAGTATTTCTTGAAGTTGCTTGCACTTGATGCAAGATCCTGCTTCTGGGCCATTTCTCGCGCCAGCGAAGTCTGCCCCTTTTTGCCCTTCTTTGGACCTTGAATATCAAGGAGAAGGGGCGCATTCGGTGAAGCGCTTCCTGGGGAACCTGTCAAAGCTGCTGGTCCCGCACCGAATCTCTTGCGAACGAGCTCGAGGTCCGATCGGGTCCCTAGTGCCTCTACAGTTCGATCCAATGGGGCTACTGTGTTCGTGCCGGTCACTTTCAGTAGGAAGAAGCCTTTGTCAAAGTTCCACTTCCTGCATACCTGGTCAAGAATCTCGGCCAGGTATGCATCAGACGAGACTTCCAGTGTGGTAGATCTTGCGGACACGTCGATGTCGAAGAACCGCACTCTCAGTGTCTTGGTCTGACCAATGCGCGGTGTTGCATGCTGCTGAGCAGCCTTTACTGGTTGATCGGCCGGTGTCAGGGACATGTTGCTCAGCGCTGAAGCAAAAGGCTGTCCACCTAGGAGAACATTCGAACGTGATGATGTCGTACGTCCAGCTTGCGGTGGTGCAACCAGACCCGCTTCCTGCGCAGGTAAGGGTTGAATTGTTGATTCCTCCTCGGCTGGAATGAATTGAGGCGTCTCTGCATTATTGGCGTGCAGCTCCCTGTCTGGTACCTCGACGAGCGCGAACTCATCGTAATTCCTTCCACGAGACCGGCCCCGAGCACCTCTGTTGTTATTCGAGGTGAAGTCTGTTATCGGTCTGGTCCTGGATAGTGCTGGAAAGTCGAACTCTACTTCGCCATCTTCTACCATACGGAAGCACCACTTGTTGACATTAAGCTGCGCTTGTGAGAGAGGAGGATCTAGCTCGGTCTCTGTGTATCGCCACAGTGCAAGACCAATGGCTTCGGCGACGATGATCGGCAAGCCATCTTTGGAAGTCTTGACCAGAGGCATTTCGAAAGGTTCTTCCGGATCTTTCGAGAAAGGCGCGTATATCTTGATCCACAAGGGGTCTGGGGTGCCCTTGCCAGAAAGATTTGCGAAGCCTTGGATGGGATTCTCTGGCTTCTTGCGCTCAACATTCAGGAGCTGCGTTAAAGCACTGACAGGTGGAACAAAGCTGATCGGCCTAGAAGGCGGCAACTGTTGTAGTACTGGCAATGTGCGAACTTTGCGAGGCGAGCCAGAGTTGACAGACTGCAGGCTCCTTCCACCTATGGATGCCACTCCAGGCAGCACAGGAGATGAGGATGGCGATCCAGTTCCGTCACCCAGTGCTGACGGTGACTCGACTGTGTCTCCCAGCTCAGAAGAGCCTGCTGAGCCTATACTATCGTCGTCAGAATCCTCATGTGCGATTGTGAGTGGCGCCGGTCCTGCGTTTGGTCTTTCGTCCGTGGGAACCGACTTAGGTACAGACCGAGCGTTGATCTGGCGGCGCTGAAAGTAAGAGGGGTCAACTTCATTTTCCGACGATAGATCGCTGCTGGTGGCTGTGTCTGCTCGTGCCCGTGCCTTTACAGCCTCAACGGCACCTAAAGATCCAGTTCTTCGGCGGCCTGCAGTAGGCTTCGAGGGTGATGTGACCATGACATCGGGCTGCAATTGAGTGGCAACGGATTGACCGGGCGATGAACCTGATCGATCGCGAGCTGGCATCTTAGCAAATCTTATCTGCTGTGCGGCTCTCTGAGCTCCTTCATCGTCACTCTCATCGCTGAGATCGCTGCTATCGTCATCATCGGTTGGTTCCTTCCTTCTCCGCCGTCTCAACGCCGGGCCGATGGTGTCGTTACTGGCGCGTCCTGTCACCATGCCACCCTCATCATCAACATCATCGATCGAATCCTCCCGATTGAGCACGGCGCCAGTCCTGAAGTACTCGGTTCCACCAGTGGTCGGGATGGGTGGTGAATAGGTGCGCTGCACGGGATCAACGGACCAGCCAGCGGCCCGGAATCCAGGGGTATTGAGAATAGCATTATTGACACTGATGAGACGCTCACCCACGCCGTCCTTGGTACTTGCCAAATACGATGTTCGTAAATACCAAATAGCAAAGCTAGCATAGTCAGCACACTCTGTCCCCAATCCACATCTTGTACATACTCTTCGTTCTGCAGCAAAGCCATGTTGGCGGAGAAGTCTCATTCGTTTGCAGATCGCTTCAAGGCTAAGGTATCATTAGAAGCATGAACAAAGGGCGCGCCAGGCGCGTCTTAAACAGACACGTGCATCCGCGGCTGCATGAGGCAGTGCTGTCTTTAAACAGTGTCGTCGTCGAAGACAACCTCCAGGGAATAACCATGTCTAAGGCCGCTATCGATAAGGCCCGATCTGCCCCTCAGCAGAAGCTGCCACCAATCGGGGCGTTGTGTGCCTGGAAGTCGCCCGCTGACGCAGTTACAGAGCAACTCAGAAACATTTAAAGAAGTCGCGTGTCTGCCTTCCTTCTGCGAACACTTATTGAACTTGAGCCGTCCTTCCGAAGTCCTCCCCATTTCTACTCATTGTCGAGCGTGCCAGCATGTCGTGTTCACATCTCAACAATCTCCAACCGCCAGGTCCCAACCAGCCAGTCTATCGTGAAGACTGCACACAATGCTTCGATTCGATTGACGACCCAGCAGGCCTCAACGTGTGTTTGACCTGTTTCAATGGCGGTTGTGCTGGCGATCGAAACCACGCTCGGTTACACTATGAACAGACAAGTCATCCAGTCGTCCTCAACATCAGACGTACACGAAAGCACATACAACGGGATGAACCCCCAGCCAAGCTCACCAAACTCGCCATCGCCGCAGAGACCGAGGAAGACAAGTATGATACCGTTGTGCAGGTGCACTGCTACGCAGATCAGCTACAGGATCTCGACCGGAGCCAGGGCAACCTTCCAAATGTCATCGATCGTGTGCTCAAAGCCATGACATTCGCGAGATCTGAGGAGGTCAAAGCATGGGAGCAAGAGTTCACTGCCTGCGAGCATACTCTTTGCTTGGAACAACATGAAGGACGGCAAATTCGCTCTGAAGATCTAGATGGCTGCTCAAAGTGCGAACTAAAAGAGAACCTCTGGCTGTGTCTGGAATGTGGCAATCTGGGCTGTGGCCGGGCACAGTTTGGAGGTGTTGGTGGCAACTCGCACGGTCTTGCACACGCAACAGAAAGCGGTCACGGCGTAGCTGTCAAGCTTGGATCGATTACGGCCGAAGGCAATGCAGACATCTATTGTTACAGATGTGACGAGGAGCGAATAGACCTGAGCTGGCCAAACATCTGGCACACTGGGGCATCAACATTGCCGAGCGGGAGAAGACCGAGAAGAGCTTGATGGAAATGCAAGTCGAACAAAATCTCAAGTGGGATTTCTCAATGATCACAGAAGACGGCAAAGAGCTAGAGCCGCTGTTTGGACAGGGCTACACCGGACTCAAGAACATCGGTAACAGCTGCTATCTAGCTAGCAGTGTACAGTGTCTCTTTTCACTACCAGAATTTGAGGCACGCTACTATCAGCCGGATCGACCGCTCCCGTCAAGCAACAAGCCAGCAGAAGACCTCGAAACGCAGCTCCGCAAGCTTGGTGACGGGCTGCTCTCCGGCAGATATTCCAAGCCCGAAACAGACGTGCAAGCCGTTCTGGAAACCCCAGAGGTACCACGACAGCGAGGTCTCGCTCCTGCAATGTTCAAACACCTCATCGGTCGAGGTCACTCGGAATTCTCAACCATGCGCCAACAAGATGCCTTTGAATTCTTGCTCCATCTCTTCTCCAAAATCTCAGAATCGTCACCACCGCCCAACGATCCGGTCGACTCCTTCAGATTTGCAATGGAGCAGAGATTGCAATGTAAGAGTTGCAACAAGGTTCGCTACCGCGTAGATGAGCAAGAGAATATCTCAGTACCTGTACCAGCTCGGCGGAAACAGGACTACAACCCTGAGCAGTCCGACGGCAGCAAAGGTTCAGAATTCGAGCCAGTCTCACTGAAGGAATGTCTCGACCGCTTCACAGCTCCTGTAATCGTCGAATTGAAGTGCTCGGGCTGTGGATCAAATGAAGGCTTCCTCAAAACCAACAGATTCCATACGTTTCCTCAGAACCTTGCCATCAATCCTTTACGATTCGAAGTCGTGAACTGGGTGCCCACAAAGCTCGACATTCCGGTCGAAGTGTCTGACGACACTTTCGACATGTCAGCATACAAGGGCACTGGGTTGCAACCAGGTGAAGAAGAGCTTCCAGATGATGACAACGCCGCCCCAGCATTCCAACCAAATCAAGCCGCTATGGCCGACCTCACAGCCATGGGCATTCCCGAGATAAGATGTATGAAAGCACTCCACGCAACCGGCAACTCGGATGCTGAAGCTGCGATGAATTGGCTCTTCGACCACCAGGAGGACGCCGATATAGATCTGCCCTTTGCTCCCCAAAAGTCTGCCGCCACAGGTCCAGACCCGGAGAAGCTGGCCATGATAGAGTCAATGGGCATTATGAGACCGCAGGCCATCAAAGCTCTACGCGTCAATGATGGAAATGTGGAGCGTGCCATTAACTGGGTTTTCGAGAATCCCACAGACCCTGGTGACGTGGGTGAGGAGGAAAAGCCCGTCAGCAACGGACCAAAGCAATTCCTGGGCGACCCTGACAAGGCGGAGTTCCAGCTGGAGAGCATCGTATGCCACAAGGGCGCGAGCGTCCATGCGGGACATTATGTTGCCTTCATCCGGAAGGCGGGAGGAACGTGGGTGCTTTTCAATGACGAGAAAGTCGTCAAGGCAGCCGATGTGGACGAAATGAAGAAGTTTGCCTATGTCTACTTCTTCCGACGACGTTAGAACAGCTCCAGGACAGATGCATGGCTGCTAGCGGAGCTTTCTGCTCAGGGTGCGTGGTGTATGCATGACATCCTTGGCGAAGACGAGATTCTCACACAGTATCAGAGCGCTCAGACGCGTAGATTGGTCATAAAGACAACCAAGCGATGCGTGTCCTCTCGACGCGGCATGGGTATCCAATAGATCGTGATTGCCGCATCCTGCACTGCCTGCTGCTACTGCTTACTCCGTTGAGTCGTCGACTTCACCTTTCCGTGCTCTCTTGCTCTTCTTCCTCACTGGACATGGGCCTTCTCCTTCCCTCTTGGCCCCGCTAATGACCGACTCTCACCATCCTTCGCCATTTCCAACATCGCAGCCAACATGTCCCCCCTCACCTTCTCACACATCTCCGTCACGTCCTCCGCTGTCTTCCCTTTAGTGGAAACTGGCGGCAACACTTTCACCCGTATTTCTCCACCATTGAACTTGAGTCCTTTCACATCCAACACCCTCGAATAATTCTCACTCACCACCGGCAGCACATCCACCCCCGCCTGGACCGCCAAATGGAATGCCCCCTTCTTGAACGGCAACAACATCGGCTCCCGACTATAACTCCTCGTGCCCTCCGGAAAGATCAACACCGACTGCCTCAATTTCCTCATCGCCCCCGCAGCGCCCTCGAACGCCTTCAGCGCCTGCGTCCGATCCACTCGATCAATGAAGACCGCCCCACTCAAAGTCATAAACCACCCCAAAAACGGGATCTTCTGCAAGCTCTTCTTCGACGTGACGGAGCAGTACTGCGGCCATATCGCGCCCAAGAACAGAATGTCCAGCTCGGTCTGGTGGTTTGCTACGATCACGTATGGTCGCTTCCTGTTCAGCGTCGCCTCATCTTCCTCTGACAACACAAATCGTACGCCAATGGTATAAGCGCACACCCACTTGAAGGCTTTGGCGGTGGTCCATTGGCCGTAGCGGAAGTGGAGGTTGAAGGGCCGGAGTAGGAGGCAGGCCAGGGTGCCGTAGATGGCGCAGAGGATGAGGGAGAGGTAGGCGGAGAGGCAGCGGGCGATGAAGCCTATGATCGGCGGGCAGCGAGGCATGAAAGCGTGTAGGGCGAAGAGGGCGAGGTGACGGCGAGGTAGGTGATGAGGAAGTAGAGCGGGTAGAGGAGGACGGCGTGCATTGTTTGCTTTTTGAGGTCGTGGTGGGACCGGTGGTAGTGGACGCGGAATAGTGTCCAGCTATGACGAGGGTCTATTCGTCGTAGGCAGGCAGATTGTTTGTCTAAGAGCTTGCTGCTCGCTCGTAGTGTCTCGATCAGGTGGAAGCAATGCAGGCGGAGGTGAGACTCCTTGATCGTTTCGAAGGACAGATATATAGGTTGTAAGAATAAAGGTACTCTTCCGTACGCAGGCTCTCAGTGGTACGGGCTCAGCTCTGATGTCCCAGGCCGCTCAAGTTCGTAGAAAGGCAGAACAGTCTCGGAGTCCTCTGTAAACGAATGTGGCGGTCAGGTGTACCGCGGCGGTGTCTCACAGAAAGTGCCGCTGATGAAGCATGTGGTCCAACTTGCCCAGCTGGTCAATAATCGCTTAATTTCTTTTACGGTCAGGTGCCGGTGCTTCTACGGGCATTTTGGTGGGATTTTCCAGTGTTGGCGGGGAAATTTGTTTCTCCAATTTTCAACGTCAACGGGGAGGGGCAGTTCTTGTCATCCGGTCTTGCTCAGTGGAAGAAGGTACATTGCCGGCGATCTGGTGCAATACATGAGACTTGCAAGTGCTTTGAGGCTAATGGAACGGTACTTAGCAGCGTGGGCAGACGTCGCAGTGGCAGCACGCATGAATGAACACTTGTGAGGTGTCATGCGAATCTTGCTACGGATTATTGAGAATATAAATGAGACATGTGATGGTCAGTCAAGGATAGTCATTGATACTATGGATGATTGATCATACGATATCATCAGCGAAGTAAGTCAGCCGTCGTATGCAGTCATGACTCGTCGTCTGAGCAACGAGAAACATCAGTCCGGAGGATACATCACTCCTTAAAGCTACCTGAATACCCCCAAACGCCATGCTAGAAAAACACGTCTCGTCCCCCCAAGCCATACCTGCGCTAGTCAGAGTCACACGCACAGAGACTCGGAACTGTTGGTCAGTCAATTGTCATGCTAAGCAGTCCCTCACTGGTCTCATCCATCCGCAGCAAGCCCACGCCCTTCTTAAGCCCGTTGCTACTACCACCGACATTGCTGCTTCCACTGTTGCTTCTCTCATTCGGCCCATTCGGAGTGTGCGTGCCGCCCTTAGATGACATTGACGGCGGTCTCCCCCAGGACTTGTCTGCCGCCGCGGCTACGGGGCTTTGCGGTAGCACGGGGCTGCTCTGCACGCTTTGAAACCCAGGACTGACTGCCCGTCGCTTGGTAAAGTCAGCTATATCGTAGAGATCGTCGTCGCGGCGGCGCTTGTTGTTGACTCTCCTCGCTACGTCGCCTGCCGTGGGTGGTGCGCCTGCAAGAGGTGTAGTGGACCGTGAGCGGGAGCGCTGGAAGTGGCGGAGGGCGAGGTTGTCGCTGCCATTGACGTTGTTGTTAGTGACAGTCGTGCTGATTTGGGAGAGCGTGCTGTTATCTGTTGTGCTCGCCATATCGGAGTCGCTGAACGCCGAGTAGGAGCTGTCGCGCGGTTGTAGACTGGGAGGAGGTGGTGTGCGGTAGCGGTCGTTGCGGATGATGCCGAAGGCATTGTTGTCCCAAAAGCTCTGGCCCGCGACCGAGGAGGAGTTCTGGCCGGCTTGCTGGCTGAAGGTCATGGGCGGAGTGGTTATGCGGTCCGAAGATGTGCTGGGTATGATGGGCATGCCGCCTTCGATGGAGCGCTTAATGTCGTCTGCTGGGTCTGGAGAGAGGTGATTATTGGGTGGGGAGTAGTTAGGATCGTTGTCTTGGACTTGCTTGACGATCTCGGCTTCCCGGCGCACTTCGCTATCGACGGGCATGGACTCTTCGATGAGGGCGGCTTTGATGCGAGCAAAGCCCTTGCTTTTGGGAAGAAGATTGCTGCGGCGAGTGACTGCACGTCTGATGACGCCGCGAGGGCCTTCGGCGTCGACGCCTGAATGTGCCCCAATAGCGTTGGGTCGGACAGCCGAGCCTTCTTCGGAGTCGCTGAGCTGCAGGGCATCGGTACCAAGGCTGAGAGACTCTCGTCGAGACTGAACTTGCTGGCGAGTGAGGCCGCTACCAAAATAGCCATTTGTCTCCACGCTCTTGACAATTCCGGGCGAGAGAGGTCCTGGGGAGGGTCTACCACTCTTGATGCTGACACTACTCGAGCTGTGTTGGCTCTTGGCCCGTCGTGCCCGTCGTCTAAACGAGAGGAGATTGGAATGTAAATTCATCTGCGCGGGGGACTGCTGCATCCACTCGGTGCCTGGACTGTTCAAGGTGACGCCCATAACGTTGCCTTTGAGTCTAGCTGCTCCCGGCGTCGAAAGCATCGGGTCATCATCGATCGCCATATCGTCATCGGAGGAGGAAGTGCTGTCAGAGTCGGATTCGAGCATGTTGATACTGCTCACGGAGGAGGAGAGAGCTGTTCGCTCAGGCATAGTGGACCACATCTGACCCGCCATATTGCTCGGAGAGTCGAGGACAGTGGAGCCCCCAACAAGACTGCGCCTTTGAGGAATGTTAATCCTGCTGGTGATGGGTGATGCATCTGGTGAGGACTCTGCAAGCGTTGAGTGGTGCAAGTTTGTGCAAGCCCTTGTGTAGTCCAAACCTCTTGATCGCCGCGGTAACATAGACGCTGGTGAGCCGTAGATGTGTGAAGCCTCTAATTTGGGTGACAGAGCGCTTTCTCTGGCTGGCATCGTCAGAGATAGGCCTCTTGTGTGTGTGCTGCGAGGAGTCGTGGGGCTCTCGAGTAGAGTATCGTCCTTCGACATCCTGCGTGGTTCTCTGAACGCAGGTGATTGCATCAGGACTGGATGTGGTGCATCCGAAAGTGAGCGAGCCTTCTTAGGGGTGACCGAAGGTCCGCGCGGAGTCTTATCACCAGCATTGTGATTATCCAGCTGTTCCGCTAAGCTGGACTTTACCGGTGACAATGTACTCGTAGTCGTGGTACCGCCCGAGCGAGACATGATTCTCGGTTGTTGGACGGTATCATTGGAATCGTGGGAGCGGCGAGGAGTTCTCTATGGGACCGATGATTCTCATTTGAACGCTTTCGGACATTGCGCTGCACCTTGATGAGCTCGCAAACAAAGATTTCAGATAGCGACCAATATATCAGAAGTTTTGTAATGCCGTGGAATGCGGTGAGGTCGACTGCAAGCACGGCGCGTGAAACACGAGGTGGGGCAAATCGAGTCCTTTAGCTCATCGTCACGGTGCATACTAGCAGTACCCTAGTGTGTGTATTCATAACATGATCTTAGATCTCTTCACTATACTCTGCTCCCTTCATCATTCGATGGGGAGACCATTGGGCCAATGCCGCCGTCGGCATCCTTTTCTCGAGCCAACCTGTCAGCACAAGCTACTGAGGCCTTGGTCCACCGCCACGACCAATCTGGCCGTATTGAACAGCATGATTCACAAGCACCTACGAACATGAGATACCTTAGAAAGTATACAAGCAAGTCCCAGGTAAATCTCTCATGGTTGCGAACACAATGCGGGTCTTGAATCGGTCTCATTCCGATATTAGACTGGCAATCCCGGTCGTCTATCTAACCGTGGTACGTCTCCATAGCTGAGGTGCAAGGGACAGTCAGCCGGACATGTTTGAATGCCTCCCACAGAATTTCCTTAGGCTGGTAGCCATACGACAAGTATGCCATTAAGAGCATTCCGGCCAAGCGGATTATCCGCAGCACCCACGGTGCGACGTGCTGAAAGTGTTGAATACCTTAGGTAAGGTACTCTACATGTGATCATGTATAAAAAAAACATCCCTCTTTCCAGCGACCACTCTTGTATGCTTGACACTATACACCGGTCGACTGCATCAGCCCTTTCCGTCATACTGCTTTAAGGTACGCCGAATCAGCAAGCTCAAAAGGAACGACATCAAATTGCGCAAACATGGCAGAGCATCATCAACTCGAACCGTTTCCACGCTTGGCAATGGAGATGGAGCGCGTACCAGCATCACCCACGATGCCAGACGAAGCTACTACCTCAGCACGCCTCAACGTGCCAGAGAGACCGTTCGACACGCCACTGCTTACACCAATACCTTCCAAGATGACGCCTCGCATGGTCGACCTGCATCGCCAGGCTCCTAAGAAAGCGCCCACCCTACAACAATTGGTAGACGAAATGGAGACCTCGGAGATGATGGCCTTTCGTATCCGGACGATAGCGAGTGCTCAAGAAGACCACTTCAACGCACTCTCAGGCCTAGAGCAAGGCAACGACTCCATCAACGCCACCTCTTTCATAGAAGCAGCAGCAGGAAGCTGCCCATACACCGCGCCACAACCCATCGCATATCCTGCACTACCGATCGATGCCACCCATGAGACACACCTTTCCACCGACTCACACGCATCTGCCGCCCACTGGGGTACCCCAGTCTGGCTCGTCTTCGCAGCCCTCGCCCATCTATGGCTGATCTTGGCCATAACCGATTTGTACTGCACCGCTTCAATCTTCTCTGTGGCAAATGTAGTGATGGCTACGATGATGGCGATGGGGTTTGCAGTTTTCTCGGCTACAGGAACCCCGCGGGCGCGTCCCGGGATGATTTGGTGGCGTGTATGCTGACTGTGGGATTATTACTTCTAACGATGTTCAGGCTGTGGGGAGGGGAGCGTTACTTAGCTTTCCATAAGCTGTTTGTGGTTGTGTAGACTGCTTGTCGATCCGGTGGGCATTGTCATCGCAGGTAGGGGCCAGACACACCGCAGCTTCTCCCGAGGGTGATAGCATCGGAGAAGCAGGCAAGTAGGCAGCTAGGCAGCAACGGATGCACCTTTCTCGGTGCGTACTCACCTACTCTCCAACAAAGTCCTCGAAGCAGAACTGTTGGGACGGGGAATCTATCTGCCATGCGAAGTTTCATCCAGAACATGCTGCTTCCTTACCTCAATCTGAGAAGGTTCAGTTCATTCTCATTGTGCGATCGTGAACATACCGCTCGAAGTGAATACATCACGCAGCAGCATGACTCCGAATCATGTAGCAGACAGTGAGTACCTCTTCGACGAGTCAGTACAGTGAATGCTCCCCGTTCGCCTCGATCTTCACTGTAATGAAGAGGTATAAATAGGTGATCGCCGTTGTCATCGCCCTCTTCTTCCTTTATGTTCCCTTACGCCTCCTGGCAAGCGAGAGGCAGAACGCAACCTCGATTGCCATGTCAAGATAGCACCTACTGCTACTTGGATGGGGCGAGCTTCGGTCCTTCGAGCTTTGGCGGTTGGTATCTGTCGTTGAGAGATGCTTGAACAGCCCCTCAAAAAGCCGCACGCCTTTCTCTCGAGTAAGGTGTACCGCACAGCCGCACGATCAAGGCATAGATCTCACGTTCTCCAATGAAGTCTCACGGCCGGTTGCGGGCGCGCCGTTCCCGTAGTTTGCCTGGACGCCTTACCTCTGGAGTCTTCTTGTTCGCTTATCTTGTACGTTGTACCTGACTTCGAGATCTGGCTCCAGCGGAGCTTTGTCATGCGTGGAGTCGAAGGCCTCGCCGGAGTGTGGCTTTCAACGATGATAATTAATGTCTTTCATTCTGATGGCACGACTTCCACTTAGCATCGCAGCTGGTCGACATCAGGGCTTCACTCGAAAGACTTGCCAAGGAGCGACTTGTGTGTATTAAGTCGTTCACGCCGAGCATGTACACTTGCCTACCATATCTTGGCCTGAGGCTGATGGAACACTGAATAATGGAAGATCCAGCGGCGACAACGGGCACGCAAACGACCTCGCCGTCTTTCCGACAGAACATCGCGATCGGCTGGATAGCTCAGGGTAGCGGTGGATAATACCTATTCGACGTAGTGTAAGAAAGGTCTTAGCATACCTAGTTCCAAGACCCTCGGTAAAAGGGTCGAGACTTGGTCGTTGATCTAACGTTTGGACTTTCACTAAAAAGGAGGCTTGAGATAAGACATATGCCCAGAAACTCGCAAGCTACGGTTGGCATGCTTTGCCGCTGCTTCGAGAATCCTTCTAGAGCTTGCATAGCCGTACATTACCGAAGGTGACTTCCTTGCTGCAGACTGCAGTTCCTTGAGTACCGCCCGTTGTTCCTAGGTTGATCAATACAGATGCTCATGGTGGGTGTTCGGCAGCGCCGTGTCATGCTGTCTTGGTCGACAAATCACCCGTGCAGACGGGGGGATATCGCCGCAATGATCGAAATGCGATCGATGACCTTGTGAGCACGAACGAGCTTGGCCCCGATGCGAATGGTCAACATACTTCGTGGATGCAGAGCAAAGCTACTCTGTAATCTCGATATCTGACACCAATCCCGACCAGCACTCCACGGCATACGCGATAATAGTAACGAGCTACCAAGGTCGCTTCAACGTGGGCTGCTTGTGGCGAAATCGAAGTCGTTCGGGGCGCTCCGAAATCATTGTTGGTAGTGCTCGAATCGAAAGATCAAGCATGCGTTCTCCAGAGCAGATGCAACCTCAGTCGCAGTAGGCTTCTGTGGCTCCGGGGGGCAAAGCCTTTTTACGGATATACCGAGGCCCAATACTCACCAGCCACTGGTCGCGTGTCAAAAGTTGTCAAGCAAACTCATGTGGAATCGATGTTCGCCACGGCCGCGAAGTTGCCGGCGGTGATCCCTCTGTAGAATTACTGCTTTCCGAAGGTAGCAACAACCCGTTTGGCCACCTCGTTTTGGAACTGATAGTGGGCTTGGCAGTTGCCGGGAATGCTACGTTAGCGATGCCCAGACTCACTTCCTAATTGTAAATTGGTTGACGCTCTTGGACTGTCATTGGTGTTCTTAGCGGAAATGGACGACATCTAGTGCTGCGAATTTGCGCTGCCGTTGAGACTCGCGCCCGTCTAAAAAGAGGCGAGCAAGTCGAGAACCCCCGATACCGATTTCTTGCATCTGAGGAGAGGAGCATGGCCAGGACTTCTCCGGTCGATCAAAGTGCTGTGACGTGATGGTGCGACGGCTTCCTATTTCATCCTGGCCTGTGTGAACTGGCGTCAGAAGCTCACGAGATGGCGCAAAGCTTCACATCGCCCTCTTACGGAGCGCGCCCGTCCATCTCCAACGAGTCACGTATCTGTCGCGATTAATGATCCGTACCAAGCTGAGGAAGCTTTCAGCCAGGATCTCTTGATAGCGATTTCTGTTGCATCCAAGCAATGAACGGCTGGCGGGATCACCACAGGCGGCTTGCATTGCGGCGTGCACTAGCAAGGAGCCATGTCGATCGTGGGATCGGGGGAGCCACTCACGGCGGAAAGCCAAGAACCAGCCAAGCCCTGGAACACGAAGAGAAGCCTGCTAAGACTTCCATGTTGCATCGACCATTGAGTGAATCTTCTGCTAGGTGGCCAATATGCCTGCCGGACCCTGGTTTGGACGCTTCGAGCTCTGATATCAACAGATAACCAGAATTGTGACCTTCCCTAATTGACGAAGCACCTCCGACATGGATGACGGGGTGAAATCGCGTGCTGGTGAAGCTGAGAGGGAAAGAATGGTTCAGAGTGGAGCGACTGCACATGTAGTGAAACCTACAGTGGCAGGTATATCACTTCGAAAATATCCGTCACCCCTTCTGTGAACGCCTTCAGGGCCATACTTTGGCTGGGACTTTGTATTTGGACGATACACGACATTGATAGTGCGCCAGCATACATCAGCAATCATGACGACTCCAGGGCATATGGATGCGGAGGTGGTCGCGCAAGCCAAAGTTGACAATGCTGCGTACACCTTCTCACCCATCGAGAAAGAGTTGGGTCGCGGTTCGATCGATAAGGGCCGCCGCACTTCCATCATCGATCCAATTGATGAGGATGAATCAGAGAACATTACTGAGGAAGAACTCCTCACACTAAGACGTGTGTCGGGCAAGATTCCCTGGCAAGCGTACACGCTGGCTTTCGTCGAGCTGTGCGAGCGTTTCTCATACTACGGTTCCACTGTTGTCTACACCAACTTCATGTAAGTTCCACCCAATGCGCTCGAGAAGCACACGACGTTTGAAGGGCGTGTGCAGGGCACATCTTCACAGATGCAGTACAATGCTCTGGCCTCTCATTCCTGACCCAAGTTCGCTGACCAGTATGCCAACAGCCAGCAACCACTCCCCGAGGGCTCGACCACAGGTGCCGACGATGAGCAGCCAGGTGCACTAGGCAAGGGCCAGCGTGCTTCGACCGGTCTGGTCACATTCAATCAGTTCTGGGCATATCTCATGCCTCTACTCGGTGCATACATCGCCGATGCCCATCTCGGTCGCTACAAGGCGATCCACATTGCCATCGCCTTTGCTATGGTCGGCCACATCGTTTTGGTCGCCTCTGCTGCCCCTTCTGTGCTGAAGAACCCAAACAGTGCGCTTGGTGCCTTCATCATCGGTCTTCTGGTTCTCGGAATCGGCACTGGTCTGTTCAAGAGCAACATCTCACCGCTTCTTGCCGAGCAACAGACTACTCTGCGGAAAAAGATCGTGACTCTGCCCAAGACTGGCGAGCGCGTTATCGTTGATCCGGCAGTCACCACTGCTCGCATGTTCCTCTGGTTCTACGTATGCATCAACATTGGATCGCTCGTTGGACAGATTGGCATGGTCTTCGCCGAGAAGTACGTTGGCTTCTGGCTTTCATTCCTGCTGCCGACCATCCTCTTCGCTTGTTGCCCAGTCGTTCTGGTGATCTGCAAGAAACGCTACAGACTCACGCCACCCACCGGATCCGTCTTCGGCAAGTTCTGGAAGATGTGGACGTATGCTATGAAGGGCAAGTGGTCAATCAACCCTGCCACAACCTACAAGAACTTCCACGCGCCCGGCTTCTGGGACAGGGTTCGCCCCTCGATGGTTCCTGAGAGCGAGCGTAAGCCCTGGATGACATATGACGATGCATGGGTAGACGAGGTCCGCCGTGGTCTGAAAGCATGTGCTGTCTTCCTGTACATGCCGCTCTACTGGCTCGCCTATGGCCAGATGACTGGCAATCTCGTCTCCCAAGCAGCTACTATGCAGCGCCACGGTGTGCCCAACGACATCATCCAGAACCTCAACCCTATCTCGATCATCATCATGGTACGTCGAAGTCACGTATGCTAGAATGAACCAGGTGCTAACTGTACTACTAGATCCCAATGATGGACTTCATAGTCTACCCTGCCTTCCGCAAATTCCGTATCCAATTCACCCCGATTAAGCGTATGGCCACCGGTTTCGCCTTTGCCGCCACCTCGATGGTCGCCGCTGCCGTCACGCAGCACTACATCTATCAGAAGTCCGTCTGTGGCAAGTATGCATCCGGCACGCTGCCCGACGGTGAGACTCCCTGCCCGGAGGCCCCCATCAACGTCTGGGTTCAGGCCCTGCCATACGTCTTTGTCGGTATCTCCGAGATCTTCACCAACGTCACTTCCCTGGAGTACGCCTTCACCAAAGCTCCCGCTAACATGCGCTCGCTGGTCATGTCCATCAACCTGCTCCAGAACGCTTTCAGCTCTGCTCTGGCGCAGGCGTTCACAAGTATGTCTGCGGATCCCCTATTGGTGTGGAACTACACCACCGTGGCGATCCTGGCCGGGCTTGGTGGCGTGGCATTCTGGTTCAACTTCCACCATCTGGATAGGGAGGAGGATAAGTTGAACATGCTGCAGACTTCCGCATACAGAGGCAAGAGGCTAGTGTGTCTGCCCCAGACACGGAGGCCCACAACCTTTCGAATGTGGAGTCGGCGCAGCCTGAGACTGTCAACACCAAGGCATAAGCATAAGTATTGATGCTACTCAAATGGCCTCAATCATTTGAGAGAACTTCGTGCCAGTGCAGCTGGCACACTCGTACTCTTCGCTCGGACAGCGTACGGGTGGATGCTGTACAGCAGTGAGATAAGTCAACACAGTGACAAAGGAATTGATGGTGGAAAGATGTTGCTCATATTGAATTAGCTGCATAGCTCTCAATGAGATACCCCTTTTCGTACCTGACATCAGTATTTTACAACGTAGCATGCTTGTCAGTAGAGCAGCTTCGCCCCTCCTGCATTTCAAGGCTGGACGTCAAAATGACCCTCAGAGGACATGCGAGCGGCGTACCGGCACCTAGCATACGCGCTCGTTGCCTATGGCCACCACGCCACCGACCCCAGCCGATGCCCGATATTTCCTAAGACATGACCCGCTGCCACCACTTACCCTTCTCACCCTCCACGTGCGGCCGCTGTCCCTGTGGAGCCACGTCATAGTCCCCATCACTGCCAGCCTCCTCCTTTGCCAACGTCTGCCTCTCATCCAACCTCGGGTTCCTGATACAAAACGCAAACACCAACAATGGCACACACAGACACAGCCCGGTAATACACAACAACCTCTGCACATGCTGATAACCGTCGACCAACGCATCCCTGACCTCAGTACCCATAGGATACTCCAGCGCAACCACAAACGGATTTCCGTACGCGGTCGCCGCCAACGTGGTGTTATCCTGGAACAGCAGCCTCCGCTCCAACTCCGCAGGCAGGACTTGCGTCCACATTGCGCCGGACACGGTGTAGCCAAAAGCGGAGCCGACGTTGTAGGTTGCAAGATACAATCCGGTCATCACGGCGAGGTACTCGTGCGTGACTTGGACTTGCAGGGATGCTTGAGCCGGATAAGGGAACATGCCACCGGCAAAGCCGAGGAGGACTTGGGCGCCGATGACGCCTGATTTGGAGCCACTGCCGCCGCGGTAGTGGATCATGAGGCCGAATGCAACCCTGCGCGGGTGTTATTAGCGAGAGGACTGTCGTCTGCTGGAGGGAAAAGACTTACATGTAGATGCATACACCAGCGACGATGAAGGGCTTGAGGCGACGGACGCGGTAGACGATCAGGCCGAGAACGGTGCCCCAAATGACAGATGTGAAGCTGTAGAGCTGTGTGACTCGAGTTGCACCCGCAATGGAGAAGTCAAAAGCGACGATGAGGACGGTGTACAGGTAGTCGGCCTGCATTCCCCATGCAAAGTTGAGGAACAATGCAATTCCCATAGGTCCCCAGATGCCACGGTCCTTCATGCGGCGAACAGGAAGAAGTGGGTGTACCGCATACTTCAGCTCGTAGACGATAAGAGCGGGTATGCAGAGGATACCGACAACGAGAGGTGCAATGACATGTGCCTGTGCCCACTTGTTACTGAAGCCACCCGCAATGGTCAATGGTGTCAGGATGAGAGCCAGGACCGCGATTAAGAGAATGACGCCGATGACATCGAGTTGCCAGAACAGCGCGAGGCTGAGCTTAGAAGCACCTCCTGCAGACTGAAAGGCGGAGGTGTACTTGTCCAGCGCGCCTTGTTTGCGAGCTCGGCGGCCCACGATAAGTAATTGGACGATCAAGGGCAGTGCGCACACTGGATAGATGATGCACCACATACCCACGCCCCACTTCCAGGTGGTCGCTGCCAGGACGGACTGCGCGATATCACCGCTCGCCCACGTGTTGATGATGAAAGGTGTTGCTGGGATGTAGCTGAAGAATAACCTGGACCGTGTGCTAGTCAAGTCGGCAATTATGACCTCCACCAATACCAAAATCATGGTGTAGCCGATTTGGTAGATAACGGCGCCTGCTGAGAATGTCTCCACATTATTTGCAACTGCCTCGACAATGGTACCGATGACATAGAAGAACACGGAAACCATGATCAACTCAGCACGGCCGAAGACATCGGCAATCTTGGCGGCTGTTGGTTGGGCAGCAGCAGCAATGACAGCACGCAGGACGTTGACTGTGGCCAAAAGCGAATGCTGGCTGTAGCTCGCGGTAGCATATGGCTGATATGTGTACCGGAGAGTGCCGTCCAGACCTTCATTGAAGTCAGCGGGCTTACACCGTCATCGTATGAGACATAACATCGACTCACCATAAGCGTATGATATCAAGAACACGCCGAGAAAAAGGAGAATGCGATCCTTAGTGGTGAGGACGCTCGCCATAGCGTCGACTCTTGCTACTCCAGTGCTCTTTGCGCCAAGAACTTGCAACGCACGGCGATCCGTGCGAGGGAGCTGTTCTTGTCCTTTCTCGTTGACATAGCTCCGATCTGGTGAGGCGCTCTCACGCGCGGTGTCTGTGGGGGTTGACATGTTGTATACTGCCAAAGGACACGGTGTCAGCCCGCTAGATCAGTCCGACTATCAATCAAACGCCGTGTGAAGTACACCAGGGCTAGATGTGTGTACGACTGAACAGAATACTTCTAAATCAGCGCTCGAGGAGAGTAAAGAAATCGAGAGACTGATCTGAGGAAGTAGAGATAGATAAGATCAAAGAGAAATTTTTATCTTTTCTCCACCTTCAGGTCCCAAGAAGAGGGCATTTCGGTTGCGTTAGTCAGTGACTCTGACACTAGACAAGACCTTCTGACCTCGATCGGAAGGCTCTCGAGAGATGGTTCGATAGCTCAGGCTCGGCGTACAGCTTTTCACGACCATTGCCCGTCGCGTTGACGCCGAGCAACAACCCTCAAGAGCGGAAGGTCGAGCATACAGTGGAGAACAGAAAGAGAAAAGAGGAGATCAAGAAGACCAACCCCTGTCAAAATGAAAGCTCAGCCGGTGAACCTAAGCTTCTTGCCTGATCTGATTAGATCAAGCAGTTCGTCATCGCGTGGGATAATGCTGTTCCGAACGCCGTCGTCATCACACCACCAGCAGGCATCGATGACAGCAGTAATATTGACTGTTCACTAAGTAGATGCTTCCAGATCAATTGTGTCCAAGCAAGTGAGACTACAGTCGTATACAGCTCAGGAGAGATCCGGAGTGCTTGCCTTGCGAGCAGTCTCTCGGCTCGGACTACTGTTCATGTTCAAGTTTGCTCGCTACCAGCCAAAAACGCCGTCAGCATTGGCGCCGGCAGGAGTAGATCTCGATGCATTCCGGTCCGTTCTTCGAGTGCTTGTGACTCGACTGCTCTTCAGAAATCCGAAAATTGGCAATCTACAAACAGGTCGCACCTGCCGAAGTCGGAACACCAGAGCAACACTGGCAAGACCGGAAGACTTCAGTGACCAGCCCTAACCCTATGGCCCGGATTCGCGACGTCTTGCCGATCACCCGCAGTCTTCAGAGCCAGCAGCCTTCTTCAAACATTCGTCCCGCTGTGCTTTCAAGACGTCTTCACAGCATGATTCAGTTACGATGAAGTTCCTTCCGACGTAACAAATCCGCGCACAGCAACAAATGGCATCACAGACGGCTGGATATTGAATCGCACTTGTGGTGAGATGGACGACAGACGCGCGTTCTGAGAGGTTCGTTGACTTTGACTTCGTGAGTTGAGTTCATCTACACCAAAAGTGCAGGACCTCTGACGACGGTGGCACTCGCCTTTGCGTGAGGCTCCCTGAGACCGCTCCCTTCTTACCTTGGTCGTTGTCAAGCGTGTGTGATCTGCAACTCTCCGCATTCTTGTTCCCAATGCTTGTCGCTCGTGCTCGTTTGACCTAGAACATCAACGTCGCTGCCGCATGGCGCAACACACGCCCAGAACCTCATCTCCACCGTCTGACCATGACCTGGAAGACGGCGAAGAGGAGGCCGCACGTTTGCTAGGGAAGGAACGCGGACGATGGCCCCCAGAACCATCTATCAACAAACCTGCAGCATATCGATCACAAACACACCGCCCCTTTCGGTTGGTAACAGCGCTTTCGGGTTTGCTGAATGTGTTGCTGGCCGGCGCGCTGGCTTTTATGCTATGGCAGCGCTTTCGTCCTCCTCACAAGCCTGAAACGTCAACGTCTACCATTCAGGATCGAGAGATCGCCGGAGACGTCAACGGCATCTGGCCCAAATGTAAGCCCCCCCTTGCCATCCCTTGCCATTCCCAACAACCACTCTTCCCATTTCATCTCTAACGCACACTCTCCCCTACACTCAGTGACACACCAACTCAAAACCTTCCAACCCGACAACCGCTACGTCGGCAACCTGACCTCCCCGACCTTCAAAGAAGACACCCACCCGCTCTGGATCGACCTCGTCCCCAAAGGTCTCGGCTTCATCGAGGTCCCCTTTCCCCATCCACCCTCGAAATACCCACACCTTCCCCCGCCGTACATGAAATACAACAAGCCCGTCTACACCACCTCCGGCACCCACCAACTCCACTGCTTGTACATGATCATGACAGGCATGAACGAGCTGGCTCTCAACGGCGGAAAATTCAAGCCTATGGACATGTCCAGCCCAAGTGACCACAACGAGGGCCACAACCCTCGCTCCACCATCACCAACTCAGACAACGCCTCTAGCGGAGAGGGTGTCGACGAAGCATACACAGGCTCCGCAAACGACGGCGGCCTCACGCGCGAAGGCGAGGATCCCGCTGAGCACTTGAGCCACTGCTTCGACTACCTACGTCAAGCGATTATGTGCCATGGCGACACGGCCTTGGAGGGGCTGCAGACGACTTTTGGTCCGGACGTGGGTGGGAGTGATGGGTGGAATGTAGTACACGTATGCAAGAAGTGGGATGAGGTCTATGACTGGTTGGAAGGAAGGCGGATTGATGATCGGATTTGGATCTGAGCAAGCGTTTGAGGGAAATTTGTTTGGCGCTCTGCGGAGTCTTTCTTCCGCCGGCAGGTCCCCGATGGCAGTGATGAAAGCTTATAAGAGAATTTGAGGGCACGCGAAGACCTCTGTCGACGGCGTCTCTCGGTCACGATGCGTTCTTCCCACTTCGGAAGTCTACAATTCACTCATCGGTAACCCCAGTCGACCGCTCCCCAACTACCTCAGACCCAAGTAGCCCTTTCCCACCTTCGTCACCCCATCCCCCTTCACAAAATCACTCCCCTCCCCAACCCAACGCCCCACCGTCCCACCCTGCCCCATCCCAAAGTACGCATATCTTTCCACTCCCTCCTCCCCATCCATCCACGCCGTACTCTCCCTCACGAACCTCTCCACCTCTTCCTCCCCCACCGCCTCCCCACCAAGACTACAACAAGCAAACTCATTAACCCACACCCTCAACCCACCATACCTCTCCCTAACCCTCCCCACCCAATCCTTCAAACCCCCCAAATCCATCCCATACCAATGCAAAACCAAAAACTCCACCCCACTCCCCTCCACCCCACCCAACAGCCCAAACCACTCATCCAACCACGGCAGTGCCCGCGCAGGATCACTGCACATCCCCGGACTGCCTACTCTCAACCCCAATTGCTTCGCCGCAGGCAGCACCTGGTCCCGCCATAGTCTTGCAGCGTCGGACGGCGAGAGGTTAGCTTGCTCCGGGATTTCTGGCTCGTTGAAGCCTAGTAGATGCGTGATCTTGTGCGTGCGCGAGATGTCGGTGAGGAAGGGGAGCAGGTCGGGGATTTGTGCGGCGGTGCGTATGCAGGGGACCCATTCGATGGGGTGGGTGTCGGATGAGGGGAGGGGCGGGCGCCAGAGCTCCCAGTTGAAGCACCAGGATATTATGGTGGGAGGATGGGAGGTGGAGGTGGGGAAGATGAGGGAGAGAGTTTCCGGGGTGGTGTCCCAGGGAATGCCGATGCCGCGCTTTGAAGAGGCGGGCGAGGATGTGGTCGTTGTGGAGTTGGATTGAGATGTGAGGTGGGACGGTTTTGGGGGTGGTTTGGGCGGCATGTTCGGGATGAATGGGCAGCAACTAGGGTCGAGCGAGTGCTGGTCGGTTCGTAGGTGATTTGAGGGCTAAGGAAGTATTTCCGCAAGCTATAACCTTCTCTAAAGCGATGTGGCATGTCACAGTGCGTACCGATAGATCAAAAAGTTGGCAGATGGGATACATAGAATGATGCCAAGACGTAGGTACGCCAGCTTTTGAAGCGGCAAATGGGGACCCCAACTCCAGATCAATTTGGACTTTATTGGACAATTATATAGCGGTCAAAGCACCGTCCTTCCTTCGACAGTGGAAGATCTGCTTAGATGAGCCTTCCCAACGCAGTCGCCCCACTGACCGCAGTATGCACATGCCACGGCACACAACTACTCTCCCGATCAATCACCCCTCTCGCTGCCGCCAGGGCCACCAGTCCTCTGTACTCGCTCAGATACTCCTCCAGCTCCCGTTCTCTTTGACCCGCCACCGTCGCGGACGGGTCAGGTGTAGGCCACACGAGATGCACGCCCATCATTGTGAGGCCCTCGTCGTCCCTGTTCCGCCCACCGGTCTTCTTGACCAGATATCCGCTTGCGACGGCAGGGCGCATCTCGAGGAGGTCTTTGGCCTGGTTGATGCCAAAGGGTAGGACGATTGCCCAGGCGGTTTCGAATGGGTCGGTGATGGATAGATCGGCGTCGACGTTGGGGTCGAAGCTGTGGTCCGGTGGGGTGGGGGCGTTGATTATGTTGGAGCCGCCCGGCGTTGGAGTCGCAGCGACTATTTGCTCGGGAGAGGTCACGCCACCTTGGGGAGTTGAGGCTGGCGTGCCGTATGCTTGCTGGATAGTTGTCTTGAGTGGTTCGGGCTGGGGAAACAAGCGAAGAGTTGGTGTCATCTCGATGGAGAGTAGAACGAGATTGGCTTTGGCCTTTCCCGGTGTCGTCGTCTGGGCGTTGAGAGCCGTCATCCATGCGTTGACTTCTGGGGCTTCGTAGGTGCCCGCTTTCGCGACTACGAGCTCCCACTTTCCTCGTTGTTTGGCCATCAGCTCTGTGGACACGGTCCATATATCTTTGATAATCTCACTGGGCGTGCGCGTGGGTCCAATAGCCATGCTCTTCAGCTCGTACGCCATCCACATGGCCAGTGCGCCTTTGCTGTCTGTCCAAGCCGCGAGGAGCCACCGCCTGTCCTCGCTGTACGAGTAGGCGAGGTGGAGGACGCTGTCTTGCGAGAGTGGCCAAACGGCGCCAGCGTCAAGACCAAATCGAATAGTCTCTCGTCCGTCAGCTAGGGTCAGAGGGAAATCACTCCTTCCGGGCGGTGCATCTTGTTGGTCCGATGGCACTTGACCAAAGACACTGAGCGCAAGGCTGCTGTAGTCTCCTTGACAAGGCACGACTAATTCATCTGGTGAGCTGATAAATCCCGGCGGCACAACCTGAATAGTCACATCTAGGCGATCGGTTCTCTTCGCCCATTGCTGTGCCACGTGCTTACGGATCGCAAACGACGCGATAGAAGCGTAGATGTATGCCGTTTCCGATCTTGACTGCGCCACTATGTAAATGACGAGACTTCCACTAGGCTGAGACTCGCTGGACAGTGCCTGAGCAACCTTTCTTATGGGACCCAAAAACATCCCATGATCACCACTGTCGCCGCTGATCAGACCGTCGGTTGTGATGCCATCAATCGTGCCCCGCGTATGCTGACCGAGGCCACAGGTTGTGTAAGCATCAGCTACACGATCAAGAAACTGCGAACAATTGTCTCGCATGCCAGCTATGCTCGGATAAATGCATAACGCTGAGACATCCTTCGCTTTCGACACAGGTTGCAAACCAAGGACATCCCAGAAAGGCAGCACCGAAAGTCGAGCGCTGAGTGGCTTTTCGAGACGTTTCATGGCGATATCTGGGTCGCCGAGCCTTGTTAGCCTACCTACGGGCTGCTGTTGTTTGCCGTTCACAGCAGCGGGAACGATGCTTTGAAGCTGATTGAGGAACGAGTAGGTCGACTTATCGTCTGTGATGCCAACACTAAGGACTGCGTCGTTGCGAGTCCCGCATTCTATCTGAGCAGATGAAGTGCCGTACTGGTCCCGTAACAGCGGCGTCTGTGTCAACTGGCGGACTAGTTCGGAAGCAAAATCGTTGCGGAAGTTCGGCTTGTCGAAGTTTGCAGGTAATCCCTGAGGTCGGCCGATGATGACCGCGTCTTCGAGAGATGCTCTGGTGTGCGACAAGCTGACGAGATCAAACACAATTCGTGCATCGTTTTCGATCAGTTGCAAATCGGGTTCTTGCTCGGCAGCTTTGGCATCTTGCATCTCGATATCATCCATTGGCCGGTCCGTGGCAGTGTCTTTGTCTGGGTTGCTCTCGGCATAAGATATGTCATCGTCATCAGTATCACTGTCACTTGACGTGGTCGCAGATGGAGTCCTTCTGAGCCATTGATCAAGCTTCTCCGGTCGGCGAGGACTGCTCGGACGAGATATACGATCGAAGAAGAATGAACCCGACGCCGCGTAACGTTGGTCACGGTCAAGCGTCAGCTTTGGTTCATCAACGGCATCGAACACACTGGATCGACGGCGACTTGCTGTTGCGTCAGCAGGTGGTGCATGGTTGAGCCCTTGCTTTGACTTATGCAAGGCAACATCGCTCGTAGGCTCTTCAGCATCCACACGGGTCTCTGCCGGAGGCGATGTGGTGTCCACAGCTCTGTTGCCCTCATTTACTGCTGGACTGGCTAGAGTCTCACCATTTGATGCGGCTGGCTTGTTGGGAAGGTCCGTATCCATGACATCGGGCTCATTCTCGGTGGCTTCTGGAGGCTTGTCATCCTTCTCCGGGCCACCTGGCTTGTCGAAGAAGTCCCAATTTGGCTCATCGGCGCCAGTCACCTGCTCGAACGCATCGTCCGGCATCTCGTCGAACAGATCGTCATCGTACATGCCAGAGTCATTGTTGTCTGCCGCGTGTATGTCTGCAGTGAGTGGCGTTTCAGCCTGGATGGCGGAGTGAGGCTCTGTAGCCAGCCGAGATGCATTCAGCGGGGTGGCTGCAAGACCATCCCCAGCAGACATAGCAGGCGTTGCATGAGTCATCACCGCGTCGGGTGGAGTTGGGTACACGGTCTGTCCGGTTGGAAACGTAGGCGGACCAAATGGCTGAAACACCTCTGGATTATCGAAAGCGCCGTCTTCTCCTAGCAATGGACCATCGTCACTGTCCGACACCGCCGCGGATGACGCCTCATTGAGGCCAAAGTCACCGTTAGCCAGATTCTCGTACCAGTCGATGATGAATTGAACAGGATCGTGACTACCGTTTGCTTCGGGTATCTGTTGTGGCTGACCATATGCTACATTGAGTGAAAAACACAATTTCGCTGGCCAAAAGAAGGTCTTGAGGCCCATTGACTGTCTCGGTTCTGGCTTCGCGGCATTTGGTGACCCAGAAGGTTCGGGGAAGACCTGTTCGTAGACGGGAACGACCAACTCCATCCAGACATCGTCTGCTGATACGACAACGCTGGATTCGGTCTCGGCCCATGTCGCAAAGACTTGTTGCCAATGGAGCAAGTTTGCACGTTGGACCGCGCTCAATTTGTTCGCTTCTGTCATCCTGCCAAAGTAGCCGTTGCGGAAGACGGCCAGCTGACCGCTGGGCGCCAGAGCGACAGGAGTAATCTTTGCAGTGATCAAAGCACCATCAGACAGTCGCTGAACTTCGTTCTCTGTGCTCACGAATGGAATCATTGTTCGCTGAGCCGAGACGGTAATAATGATGTGACCGGACATTACGACTTGCATATCTGTGCGCAACAGCGCCCATGATTGGAGCACCTGAGGAAAGAAGCTGGAGTGATCCACCGGATGGGCGATAACGTGGTAGCGTTGGCCCATTGGTAGGATGCGGCGGTTGTCGACAGCGTCTAATTTGACACTGGCAAGCACAGAAGCCACGAACAGGCGATACAGCTTGGAGTGCTCCGGTTTGAACAGATCGGGAGCTCTGGCGGCAGCTTTGTACGCAATGGTACAGGAGTTGGACCTCAGGATCTGGCCAAACTTGCTCAATATAGCTCGTTGGTCCTTCATGACATCGACCTTCTTGTAGAAGGTATACAGCTGGAGGTCAGCCGTGTCGGTTGAGGCCAGGATTGAAGCCTCGCGGAACTGCTTCTGGGTTGAGCGTAGCCTTGCCAGTTTCGATTCTGATGATGTAGCCTGAGCGCCATTTTGGGGTGGTAGTGAGACTGTGCATACAATGTACGCGATTTCGCCAAAGTCTTGAAGCACAATGGCGTTGGTAGAGCAATTGCTCAATGGATCAGAAGTAGACGTCATCGCTGTGATGCTATCCGTTAGGCAGCAAGCTGATCAGAAACCGTGAACGACGACGACGGTAGTATGCTTCAATTTGCATTGCCGGCTTGCGATATGTCATCCGCCGAGCGTTGTATGGTGACAGCACCAACGCGTATTCTGGCAAGCAGAGACTGGTTGCTGATGCTGAATTTTGCGGATGCTGTACAGACCGTGGTCGGTAACAGATTCCTCTAGAGCAGTGTTTGGTGGAAGAAGAAGCTGACGGTGTGAACTAATGGAAGGAATTTCAGTGCATTTGAAGGATATTGATGGGCAAAAGTCTGGTCAACCACAGCCGTGGGTCTGGAGTTGTTTCTGGGGAGTCTCGAACTCTCTGATCAGCAAGGCAGCACGCGGCGAACTTTGTGGCTGGTCCCGCCCTCAATTCAAAAAAAGCCACTAATCCGGTCTAAATCTAGCGCGTATCGGCCGAGAATTGGAGAAACTTTTCGAGATGCGGGCGCAAAAGTTCGTGGACGATTGAGTGACAACTTCCACCATGTAAGTAACATAGACTCGCGGTCCAGGAGACGACTGACCCAGGGAGCAGAACCTTGCATCATGCTTAAGCCATCTTAGGGACCGCTATGAAACTCACCAACAGCAGTGTGCCAGTATACACTGTCAGTGGCAGCAACATATCACAGGGCCCTGACTGGCAAGCGCCTAAGAAGAGGAAGAACAAAGATCCAGAGTATGCCAATCGGGTCGAGCTCCTGCAGGATTTCGAATTCGAGGAGGCCTCACAATGCGTTCGCATCAGCGAAGATGGCGACTGGGTCATGAGCACCGGTACCTACAAGCCGCAGATCCACACACATTACCTACCAAACCTGTCGCTGTCCTGGGCGCGCCACACGGACACTCTGAACAAGAAATTTGTGTTCTTATCCACAGACTACTCCAAGACGGTACATCTGCAAGAGGACAGATCAGTCGAACTTCACACGCCAGGCGGCAGGCACCATGCCCTCCGGATACCTCGATATGGACGAGACCTGGCTTACAATAAAGCGGAGACTGAGATTCTCATACCATCAGTGGGTGTCAACGCCAACGGCCTCGGCGAAGTATTCCGGGTCAGCCTGGAGTACGGTAGATTCATGGAGCCCTACGAGGTGGACGTGGGCGGGAACGAAACAGTCCAAGGTCTACAAGGCGGAGTCTCGACTGGAGCGGTCAATTCAGTGTCAATAGCTGAAGGCAGTCATGGCCTCATGGCCTTTGGGACCACTCTCGGCACAATCGAATACTGGGATGCACGTTCACGAGCACGAGTAGCGACCTTAGCTCTTCCAGTCGAGTTCGAATCCCGGCCAGAAGTCACTGCCCTCGACTTCCATCACTCCGGCATCAGCGTCGCGGCCGGTACCTCCTCCGGACTCACATATCTGTACGACCTTCGTTCTGCCCTACCAACACTACGAAAAGAGCATGGCTATGGCTACCCTATCCAACACGTCGAGTACCTCAACTTCTCTAGCTCCACGAAGGCCGCTACCACGGAACAAAAGATCATGGTTGCCGATAGACGCATCATCAAGCTCTGGGATGAGCGGTCTGGTGTCCCATGGACCTCAGTCGAACCGGCTGTTGACATCAATTCCGTCGCCTGGTGTCGTGACAGTGGCATGTTCCTCACTGCCAACGAAGGCCGTGCTCAGCATGCCTTCTTCATCCCACAGCTTGGACCTGCTCCCAGATGGTGCTCGTTCCTCGACAATGTCGTCGAAGAGATGGCCGACGATCCCAATGATCCTTTGGCCTACAACCGGAAGGCAGGCGAAGTGTACGAGAACCATAAGTTCCTCACAGAGTCCCAGTTGCGGACACTCAACATCGACCACCTCATTGGCAAGACAAATTTGCTTAGACCATATATGCACGGCTACTTCGTGGACCAGAAGCTTTATGATGAGGCCCGCCTAATCACGAATCCAACGTCATGGGAAGAGGAGCGTGCGAAGCGCGTGCAGCAGAAGATCGATAAGGAACGCGAAAGTCGCATCCGTGGTAAGAAGAAGATCGAGGCTAAAGTCAACCGGAAGATGGTGGAGAAGATCCTCGACCGCGAAGAAAAGAACGAGCGGCGGAGAGCTCAACGTGTGCTTGCTCAGGGCGGTGATGCCAATCCACCTCAAACCGAACCATCCGCGACTACCGTCGACGAGGCCGAAACGGAACCAAAGAAGCCGAAATTGCTCGGAGACAGCCGCTTTGCGTCTCTCTTCCAAGACGCGGAATTCGAAATCGACGAGAATTCTCGGGAGTTCCAGAACATCAACCCGTCCACCAAAGTCGATGCACAAGCTCCGCGATCGAATCTCGACCTCGAGCGTGGTCTTACTGCTGTCGAGGAGGAAATGCTCGACGAGGTGCCGAACTCCAGCGCTTCAGACGGAGAAGACTCAGACGATGATCCATTCAGGAAGTCAAAAGACAAGATTTCGACAGCAGACTATAAGAGAAGAGACCGCAGTAAGAAGGACAGACAGAAGGACTCGCAGCGAAGACGGAAGCTTGAGATGCGTGTGTCCAACTCGAGCAATTCCGTCAAAGGTGGTCTGCAGCAGCGTCAGCAGCGACTGGCAGATCAGAGTTTTGGTGCCCGTGTTCTCGACATGCCTGTTCGGGAGTCTAGAAATGATGGTGCTGGCGGCAACAATGGGAAGAGAGGCGTGATTGGTGATAAGATGGTCACGTTCGAGCCCACGAGAAAACCGCCGAAGTCGCGCTTTGGTCAGCGGGGCAGCGATGACAACAACGACAATGGCAGGAAGGGCTTCAAGGGAGGCAATGATAGGAGGAGCGCCAGTGGGAACACCTTTCGACGGATGTAGTGCTTGCAAGGAAACATCAGACCTCTGGCGTTTACACCGAGAGGACCTGGGCAGACGGTATTGATTTTGGCATCAGCGACGGCGCAATATGGGAAGGAACTTCCATGGTTCATCATTCTGGGACGGATAGGAACGACACAGCATTCATTCCTTCCTACCTTCTACACAATCGTTCTTGCATTGCTCGGACTTGCTTTTCGGTCTCGACAGGGGCGCCTCTTCTTCACTTTGGCTTGACCGACTTCTTTTCAGTCACTGACAAGTTCCTCCTCGCACATCATACAACCAGTCTGGCAGTATCCATTGCGCTCAACATCAAGGCATTTGACTCTCCTTGAGCTGCTTCTGCTCGCAGACTCTACCACTGACGACAAGAACGCCTCATCTGCCATGGACAACGCTACGAAGGCCATCTTTACCGTGAACGCGATAGCGGGCTTTGTCACAAATCTGGTCTATGCCTTTGTGTTCAAGCAGCCTTTCTTCTGCCTGGGATTTGTCTACGGCTGTGTGGTGTGTATGATATGTATCTGCAGTACGATGCCCTACCCTGCTGCACCTCATGCTCGTCTGCTGACCTCCATTCCTTCGCAGCATACAAGTTCCGTCAGACCTACTCTTAAGCATCCGTCGGACAGTAGAGCGAATTTGCAAGCCCTGTCCACATGTGTCTCTATTAGTCGACTGATCCGGATCGCAGCGGACACTAGTATCAGTAACTAGTAATTGCAACCATCATCCTCTGCCAACCGCTTCGGCACATCGCTTCATCCGAGTGCCCGATCGAAGCCGATATTCCCTACACGACGCAATCGTGTCATCATAAGGCCCGCTCGACGGATCACGATACCATGCAATATGCAGCCCTACCCGCAAGTCGCCTTACCTCTTGCCTTGACGCGGCAGCTTACTGTGCCACTAGCTACTTGAACGATCTCGCACTTCCAGCTCTACTACGGCGGGAAGCGTAACAAGCAAACGTCAGCAACATTGCCAACACACTTTAAGACCTTGGCTAGTGCCTCTCTAGTGCACTGCGCAGTATTTACTGGTGCCTGGACCAGACCATGCTGAGTCTAGCTGGAACAAGTCGCGGGACAGATAAAAGAGCAAATTGATGGTTTCGGAAGGGAGGCTGCCGTCTTGGGCAGACTTGAGGTGTTTCGACTGCTCTGCTGCTTATAGGCCCCTCCTCTTCAACTAGCCGTCCGGTGCTTTGAAGTGGTGGTCAATGCCTCTAGCGCGAGTACTATGCCTGATACCAAACCACACTGAGTCTAGCCACAATCTGGGGCGCAACAGATGGAAGTTGATGGCTTCTCAATGGATTGGGAAGGACGAATACCTTCTTCGGTCGTTGCTGACTAGCATAGGCCTCTGGAAGGCCTTTGCCTCAGATATTGCAGCCACTGGCACTCCCGAAACATTGTCGCCAGCACATACACCCTGACAGGGCCCCTCTCTAGACATATTGCCACCATTGCCGTTAGTTTGACTGCCGTTGGACTTGTTCCTGATTTTCGACTCTTCAGCAGTTGAGGAGAGATGCGCGTCCTATGTCGCGGCTGGGACAAGTCTTCCGAGTTGAGTCGCTCGTTCTCAACATCCCGACCGTGCCAGAGATTGCGAACTGCAGCAAGCCGACGGTCATGACTATGATTCTTTCGTCACTGCTACCCGACGAGATTTGTCCCCGGAGCTGGTCGCTCGCAGCTACCTCTCTCAAGGTATTGAGCACGGTACATTCGTGAACCGTGCTAGCAGCTCAGGTCGAATGACCCGAACGAGCATCCGCGTGCGACAATATGACTTTCACTTTCTGGTTCGTGTTCGAATAAATACTCGACTCGGCCACTCAAGGTGGCGCTGCCGCAGGAGGCTCAATCGCTGCCGGCGGGCTCGACTGTTGTTTCTTCGGCTTGATCAACAAGACAATGAACATACCAATGACCAGCAGCAAAAGGAGCAGCAGGATCTTCCGCTTCGTGTTCCGCCTCTGATAATTCGTGGCAATCACCAATTCCTTCTCGGCACCCTTGACGTCCGTCGCCATACGCTCAACATTATAGTCGATCCGATCGAGCATCGTACCCTGATCAATGACCATAGCCTGCAGATCCCGGAAAATGTCGGCCAGCTCAATGATGCCTTTTGCGATATCGTTGATCTCCTGTTCCCGCTGCGCAATAACCACATCGTTATTGCCATGTCGCATCTTCATGGCCGAGGTCTGCTGCAGAGTCGACTGACTCAAACTCTTATCCGCATCTGACTCCATTAACGCAGGGTCTGTGTAGGGATTCTGCGCGGGCACCGGCGTCCCTGCCCTCCCAATGCCTGCAGGTGACTCGAACCCGCCCAATTGCCTTAACTTATTCAAATAATTACTCTGCTTCTTCCGAAACACCGCACTAACCTCCTGCACCCTCGCCGCCAGCGCAATTCGTATATTCGCTGCCATAGTCTCGTCCCCTTTGTTCAGCCCGCCCGCCTCTTTCGCCTCCTTGACCATCGCCTCTATCCGCTTGATCGCCTTGTGGCAATTATGGAACCCGCGCGTGATCTGTTGGGTCAACTGCTCGATCTCGCGCTCTTCAGCCTGCTTGATGTGCTCGTCGTCGAATCCCGGAAGGACGTGTTTGGCGTGCAGCTTGTCGAGTTGGGAGGACGCGAGGGTGATGGAGTTGAGAGTGGAGGAGACTTCGTCTTGGATGTCGATCCAGCGTGGGGGGAGGAGATCCATTTCGATGATGGTATCATTGTTGTCGTCGTAGGCTCCGGTGGAGAGCAGGCCGCGAGTGTCGTCGCCGGAGGGGTGCGCGAAGCCATTTGATGCGCCGCCGTCGAAGCGTCGTTTGGTTGGGTGGTGGGCGTAGGATTGGCGGTAGGAGATGTAGCTTTGAGCAGTGTGTGAGTAGGAGCATAGGCATGAGTGGCGCACGGGCTTACAGATTGGTGCGGTCTCGCCAACTCATGATTGATCTGTTCTATGTTACCGACCTGGAGGCAGGACTATGAATTGTGGCCGGACGGATTCAGTCCCGGATCGCATGCTTGAGGACTGCTGCTGGGTAGAACGCGCGCCCGATGAGGTCTCCTTCTCCCACATTGGTTTATGTGTGAGTAATCTGCAAGCGAGCATGAGCATGAGTCGATGTGCATGTGTTGCTGTTCCGTCTGCGATGCCTGTCCTCGGCCGACCTTCCCTATTGAGACATAACATCATCGCCTGACCGGTTCGCGGCGCTCCTTTGCACAGGCACTCCTTCTACTAAGACTGACTTGACTCGCCTACCAACCATCTAACTGATAGACACCGTCGCGACTACCTCGATCCTAGCTAGCAGTAGTCTCCCAATCACTCTGAGACAGCGAGCACACTAGATACACGGAGGCCCTTCCCAAACATCCCCCTCACACCAGCCCACCATGGTACGTCAACAGAGCCTTGTGTGGGACATCGATAGGAAGGAAAACAATGCTGATGCGCGACACACACACGCAGGCCGACTCCCTCACCGAAGAGCAGGTCTCAGAGTTCCGTGAAGCCTTCTCTCTCTTCGTGAGTAACGCCATACTATCACTCGATGAACTGATCTGACGCGACAGTAGGACAAAGATGGCGATGGTTAGTCACTTTCCCTCTCCGGCTGCTCTCGAAAGCGCTCGCTACGAACATCATGCCTACATACAACGACCACGACTAACAGCTACGCCCATTAGGACAAATCACAACCAAAGAGCTGGGCACCGTAATGCGCTCCCTCGGCCAGAACCCCTCCGAGTCCGAACTGCAAGACATGATCAACGAGGTCGACGCTGACAACAACGGCACCATTGACTTTCCTGGTCCGTCTCTTCGCCCGGCTCCCAACCTCCGAATACTAACACTACCCTAGAATTCCTCACAATGATGGCCCGCAAAATGAAAGACACCGACAGCGAAGAAGAAATCCGCGAGGCCTTCAAAGTCTTTGACCGCGACAACAACGGCTTCATCTCCGCCGCCGAGCTGCGCCACGTCATGACATCCATCGGGGAGAAGCTCACAGACGACGAAGTGGATGAGATGATTCGCGAAGCAGACCAGGACGGCGATGGGCGAATCGATTACAACGAGTTTGTGCAGTTGATGATGCAGAAGTAGAGCGACGCAAAGCGAGAGACATTCAGTCTGCTGCAAGCACAAGGCAGGGCTATCGTTGAAGGGGAGAGCAGGCTGGCTTTCTGGTCTGAGGTGCTGCATCGTGAAGCAAGCGAACAGTTGCGACAGATCAGCTCAGAAAAGGACGAGGCATTGAAGACACTTGAGCACACAATCCCACCAAATGTCACAGCCAACGAGCCACGCAGGTCCACTCGTCAGAAGCGTCCAAGTATACGATTGAGCTCGAGACTCAACTAAGATCATGGTTCCTCAATGGCCTGTGGAATATCGCCTTAGCCTATATACAATACGACCGAATGCGCCTTGAAACAACATTTCGCGGCAGGCATACGAGGTAGCAATAGAAAGCACGTTGGACACACAAAGCTCATCGTGTTTCCGATTGTAGGAGGTGAAGCATCGTGCAGGCTGACTGACTGACCTCCGGCACAGCATGAAGCACAATGATTTCGTGCCAATATCAATGATTCTTCACACATGTTTTTTCATGACTATCAACGAACCTCGCCCCACCGTTCAGCAGTAGATGCTGATAAGGCATGGCAACGCGGCGCTACACGAATGTCGTGGTGAGGAGTAGAGGGAAGAAGACGAAAAAGGCGAGGGCAGGTCACGTACTTATACCTCTTGAACCAAGTGGATGTCCGCGGCAGACCGAAAGGAACACTTCACTGGCTCAGTAGGCGCCATTCACTGTGCTTTGCTCGATTTACAGTCATTCGCTGCTACTTGCAGGTCTCCAATTGCAGGAGCACGTTGACCATTAGGTTGGACGGATCGTATTGGTATCTCTGAAGGACCGCAGACTTCCTGCCATCGATGAAACGCCTGGGTGCTCACTCAAACGCTCGATTTCCGTTGCGCGAGCCGTCATCGCGGGAAAAGAAAGTACCCTACCCATCATAGCGCCACTCACTCATTCTCGTGCTCATACATCAATGCCCATCCAACCACTCCCTCATCTGCCCCCAAGCCCGCTCCTGCTCCTTCCGAATCCGCTCGTCCTCGTACTCTCCCAACACCGCGAATCCGTGCGGTACGCTTTTGTACACCTCAACCTTGCACTCAGCCTCGTTTGCAGCCCACGCCTTTTGCGCGAGATCCAGGACTTCGGAGGGGAAGAGAGGGTCGTCTTCGACGGCGATGCACAGCGTTGGCACGGAGGGGTGGATTTGAAGGACGTCCGGGTGGGTGATAAGTGTGCCGTGGGCAATAGCGGCGGTTCTGAGGAGGGGTGTGGGAAATAAGGGTCTGGGTAGGGCGGGTTCTGCATCCGAGGATGGTAGTGGTGCTGTGGTCGTGGGTGACTGTGACTGTGGAAGAGGAGCTGCTGTTGTGGTTGTGATAGGCGCTGCGGTTGTGGATGGTGCTGCGCCAGCTCTGGCCTCGACGTCCTCATTTCGGTCTTCGGTTTGGCTTGTAGTAGACGCATTTGCACTGCTTCCGCCTAAGACATCCCTGACTGAACCCATCCTGCCTATACTTGGCATGACCGGTATATTAGGCATGCTTGGTAACGACGCGCTCAACGCGCTCAGATCGAATCCCTTCCCAGACAGAGCTGGATGGCTAGCAACTCCGCCCTCCCCTCGCGCCAGAATGAGGATGTACTTCGCCCCAAAGCAGTATCCTACGCCATGTATGCCTCCACCGTGCTCGATGGCGTCTGCGTACTCGTCTTGAATCGCTGTGATGACAGAAAGCAGTCGTGGAAGGACCTTCTCAGGTGTCTGACGCGCGAGCCACATGTCTAGCATGAATGACTTGGCTGTGTCGGCGAAACCCAATTTGATTCTGTCGATGAAGCTGGGACTTGGTGGTACTTGTGTTGCTGCAGCGTCGGATGTTGTGGTGGGCAGGCTCTGGTACTGTGCTGCTGAGGTCGTTTTTGGCGATGTGATGCGGTTGCCGCTTCCAGGCGCTGCATCTCCTGCAAATTGGTCAGGCATGATGACTAAATATCCTGCGCCGGCGAAGCGGTCGGCCTGGAGTTGATTGTTGATGCTGTGGATACCGGTGCCGCCGGTCAGAAGAAGGAGGAGTTTTGCTGGAGTGGAGGGGTAGTCTGCTGGCTTGGAGATGTACTGAAGACGGTCGTCAGTTTCGTCCGTGAAAGTGACGCTCAGCGCTTGGAGGAAGGCTGTCCAGCACTCACCGTCTCGATGCCATTGAGTGTAGTGATGGTGCCGGAGGAAGTGGCTGTGGCAAGCGAAGAAGGAACGGGGCGATCCGAAGTGCAATGCTCGCCCATTGTAGGTCCTGTCTGAGCGGGTGAATCATCCGATGAGATCGCTGCAATAGCTGAGTTGATGGTCGTGGTGGCGGCTGACGTGACCGATGCCGCGGCGTAAGAGATGGTTGCGGATGCTGCAGATAGAGCGTTGGCTGCAGTTGGTGGTGTTGAAGTAGTGGTCAAGGGGCCTTCACGAGGCGCTGTACTGGTCGGCAAGTCCTCCATTGCATCAGACTCAGGTGCTCGTGTCGCCAGAGCTGGATCAGACATGTCGTTGGTGGACAACTGACAAGTATCGAGCCTGGTGACAGGCTGTAATGTAGCAAGGTTTACAAGTAGTCTGTGGCTGGACCGTCACGTAGGTGGGCTGATGTTGGGAGAGTGCGAGACCAGAGTCAATCACTGCAAGCGCGACAGGCGCTGAATACTAGGTAGTCTGTCAGTATCTAGGCAGTTGCGTGGTAGATGTTATCATTTGGCGAATGGCATAGTAAGAAGCACACTTGAACACGGGTTGTTATTCGTAAGGCGACTGCCCCGCGTTAGGCAACGAGGCACTCCCTGGAAGGCCCGTGCACCGGCATCAACCTTTTGGTTACTTTGCATTCGCTGCCATACGCAAGGCCGTGGCATCGGAATCCATGATAGTGCTTTGTTGCAACCGCACGTACTGCATACAAGAGACTGGAAGGAGCAGGGAACAGACGACACGGAGTAAGTCCCAGGTAAGCACAGGGATCCCTGATAATTCCAATTTGTTCCTTCCTCACGTCTGCCATTTCGACGGACTTGGTTGACAGTTCAACGGCAGGTGTGACCTGACATCTGAAACATCATGCTGGCATTGTGCGCATTGCGATTACAGTGCAGGTGCGGTTGACAGTGGTATTTTCATGTTTGGCTTTGCAGTTGTGCTAACGAAATTGGTATCTGAAGCAGTAAATGGGTCCTCCAAGGGACCAAGGAAACCCAGCCGTAGCACGATCTCGACGCCGAGCAGGTCTTCGGAAGTCGTAGATCATTCGTCTATCGCCTTCGATGACCGTGTGCTGCTTCCGTACTGCGCACTCGCCATGGACCAGTATTTGACCGTGTACTCCTTTCCAGCGCCCAGTCGCTCCTTTGCCTCCCAGGAATTGATGATGATTGCTGATGCTGACTTGGTTTTCTTGATGTGAGAAGATGTTGATGTATCTGTGGGTGTCCGAGTGGCATACGCCCCGTTCACATCATCATCATCATCCTTGTCGCCCGCTTACTGCTGAACGACGGCCGCGGGCTGCTCTCGCCATCCTTGCTCGCCCACGGCTTATTCAAGAAGCTGTCCCCGTCGCCCACCGTCATCGTGCTCTGTCGATTCGGGTTATCGCCCGGCAACCGCGCCTTCTTGGGCACTGGCATCATATCGATCATGCTGCCCCGGTAAAGCGGCCCCATCATTCTGTCCTTGATACTCTTCTGCCGCCTCGGGATGGCACCAGCTGGTGCTTGTGGCTCACTGGGGGCCGCGAATTTATCTGGTTTGTCTGATCCGTCCGCATTCTTCTCGCCTGCGAGAATAGCGCGTTCCTTGTTGATCTGTTTGATGTGTGATCGGCGACGGAGGTGTATAACGAGGAAGACTATGACAATGACCAGAACGATGGCTGCCACCGCGATGCCGACGCCCATGCCAGCTTTGGCGCCTGTGGTCATTTCTCGTTTGAGGAGTGGCATGGCGTCTGCCTGGATCGCTGCTGCTAGTAGCAGCGATGTGAATCGTATTGATGACATTGTGAGAGTCTAATGGTCTGTTCGTCCAGCGAAAGCCGTGGGGAAACGTATAGATATCTCGAGGATGAATGAGTGACGCGGGTGGCTGCACTGGTTTCGAGGATAGGTTCGCAGGTGATGTTGAGGTGTCTCTAATGTTGACGTAGGAGATGAGTTCCCAGAGCGGTGACCTGCTCGAATGGAAAAGTCGCGAGAACAATAGAGTTGAGGCGGGAGACGACGTGTGAAGCGAAAAGCAGAGTGACGGGATTAGTACAGAGGCGAGATGATCGTGTTCAGTAGTACCAGGTACGTATGACTAGTGGGCGCAGTTGAGTTAGGGGGCTTTCCGGGTATAAGATGGCACCTTGTCAGACGTGAGGCTGCTCATATCCTGGAGGGGTTAGGAGGGAGTGGCATGCTGCAGCCATTTGCCTGACAGATGAAACGCTAGCCTTGGCCGAGATTTCGAAGCACTCTGTGTAAATGCGCAACATCCACATAAGGCGAAGGTTTTGGGCTACTAAATCGATAGAAGAGAATGCGGCTTCTCGCCGCCTTGACTATGTGATTGGGCATAGGTGGTTGACAGCAGACGTACCTTACATGTCCGGAACATGAACGAGGCAGTGCAACAGCGGCCCTGTGTTGAGCGCTGCTTGCGAATCAAGGAGACCGTCGTGAGTAACGGTGGCCGTTGAAGTCCTGTACGAGGCTTTGATGATCGAAACCTGGTGGGATGTGCAGATTTCCCCTGACTTGCGGACGTGCTAAACCGACAACGGAGATGAGAAGTGGATCGCTGCATCTCCCTCCGAACACTAGTCCGCATGGACGCCGCTGTGAGATCGAATCAGCAGTCGCAAAGATCACGTGCCAGGCACAAGCTCGAGTTGCAAACCTCCGATCGCCGACCTCACTCGATAGCCGCCGCCAAGTACCCTGTCATCAAAGCACCAAAGCCAGCAATACGGCGCGTGTACTTCTTGCTCTTGAAGGAGGGGCACATTGAACGAATTGCTTCCGCTCCCTGCATCCTTGTTGCAAGTGCTCCGTGCATAATTTCAGGCTGCTCACATCTTGCTTCAACTTGAACTGTTTCGAACATAGCGCCGACATTGAGATTCCGGGGATCGGAAATGCAGTGCTGAGATAGTCATGTGACGGACGTGATTTTGAGGTGGCAACACTTGCTGTGGCGTCCGCAGTGCCCAGGCAGCCACAGAGCGATGGCATTACCCAATACAATCTGAATCGAGCGTGACTTCAAGATTCGGTCTTGGCTCTGCTCATGTCCCGAGTGTGCGTTTCGGAGACCACCAAACACTACGGACCGTCAGCTTTGCTTCGCTTCTGCGAAACTACTGCAGCCACTGCTCTGAAGCGAAAGTCGGCGAGGACGGTGATACACAAAAACCGACCTGCAAGTAATGGTAGGGCTGTAGAGAACAATGACGTGTCATATGCCGTGATCAGCCCCGCGATCGATGCTATACATCGCCGAGCGTGAAGCTCAGCAAGCTACCAACAGCCAGTCCGGCGACCAGCATCATGCCCATGAAGCCGCCAGCAACCTCGCGTTCCTCTGGTGCTACCCAGCTTCCAGCTCCCATCATGCAGCTGCTTCCGAGGTAGCCATTGCTGAGTCCGAAGAAGAACTGTACGACGACCAGATAGAAGATATCACTGTTGACGTACGCTCCCCTTCCCTTGATGTTACATAGAAAGTAGAGAGGAATGAAGACCAGTCTCGCCATTGCTATGCAGAACAAAGCAAATGGAAAATGTGTCAGTGACAACTTCGGCACCGCGGTGAGCAAGCGGCCACCCAGATCTCCTATGTTCCAAAGTAGGAAGCCGAGTGGAATGAAGACAGCAGATTCAATGCCAGAGACAGACTGTACGGAGGCTGTGAACACCGGGAACACCATGGTGACGGAGAAGCAGAGAAAGACGGCTATGGAAAGGAAGGCCAATTTTCGGAAGAGAGTCATTAATGGGACTGTCGCTTGTCGCTGATGTCGGTCTGCTCTGGCTCGCCGAATCGGTCTTGACCGGTGAGGGCGTCGCCTTCCGACGCCCCGTCGACAGTGGATTTGCTTCCGGCCGCCAGAGCATCTGCATGAGCCTTCCGCCTGAGCAGGTAGAAGAAAGCGATCAGCGAGACCGCTGAGACAGCAGTGGCGGTCAGGAAGTAGATGAAGGCAGACTTCGGTGACTCTGCCGCCGCATCAGCGTCATCTCCGTTCTTGTTCTGCACTGCTGCGACGGAAATGATCTGTACAAGCGGCGGTAGCACACCAGCCACGCCCTGCCCAGTCATGATCGCTTGTGTGTATTCGGTCCTTCCATAGCCTGAAGTGAAGGCGAAGAGACCATTCTGGATTAGCCCCGTAGCAAGACTTGACAGCAGCATGGTGACGAGCAGAAAGCCGAAGTAGCCGCCAGCACCAGTCTTGACGAGTGTCGACAGTGCCAGCACCGCGAATATGGCCGTATATAGAATGAGTGACGCGCTGATTCGCTTTGGGTATGAAGCACCCTTCTGCAATTTTGTCAAGATGATCATAGAACCGAGGTTCGTCACTGTCGACACCGACACTTCTGCCGCCTGGAAGTGGTTCAAGATCCACTGACTAGTTCTGAAGCGTCGCTGGAAGTATGGTGCAGCGGCAAGGAACATGTTCCTATCGTATGGTCAATACAGAAGTCTGAGTAGACGCTGATGCTCATACCATGCCCACAGCATCGCCACACCTAATAACATGAATATGAAGTATTCAACCCATGAGAACGGCTGTTCTTCTGGGCCACCTTCGAGGTCCTCCTCGACGCTGTCGCCATCTTCGTGCGGCCTGTCGTCGATAGGCTCGTAAGGCTGCTGCGGAGGTCCAAAGAAGCGCTTGACGCGATCCATATTGCTTAGGGGTTGCAGCTCAATGTTGAGAGCTGGCATCGACGGAGACTACACCATCTTCTGGTTGGAGCCTGCAGGCAGTGCTAGTCGAATGGTGTCCACGAGCGCGGTTGTCATGACATGACACGGGCCGATTTGTTGGAGAAACTTGAACTGCAGGAGCGCAGGCAGTGGTCGAGTAGGTTTCAGGGCAAGGGTTAGGGCGCGAAGGATGTGAAGGATGTTACGGCCATCGATGTCAACTTTGTACAGATCGATGATGTAGACTACGAACACGCCATCAAAAACATCTCGTCTGGGACGATGTTAACCGCCAACGCCAACGCTGCTGCAAACCAAAAACTGTCAACGCCGTGTTCAGCCTGCTGGTGAAGCATCAATGTTCAAGCTCTCCATAAAAGCATCGACATCCGGCTTCGCAATCAGTCCTAGATCCATGGCCTCGTTGAGAAAACGTTCTGCACTTTCCGGTAGCGAATGTAAATCTGGCGAACCAATCCACTTCAATGTCTTCGCTAACTTATTCCACAAATCATCCTGTAAGTCTTTGGCCGTCGCAGAACTTCCTGGGACATGGCAACGCTTCTTCTTCGACCCAGCGGTTTTGGTGAGCTCGTACAATACGTTCGAAAGCCAGATCACGTTTGTCTTTGGGGTGAATGTCTCATATTTCGCAGCACCATCTTTCTGAATTTGGTGGCTCTGTGACATCCACTGCTGGGCCTTGACGATTGTGTCGAGCTGATCGCAAGGACGGCGTTCTCGTTTGTAAGACGCCATTTCCTCTGCGGTGAAGGGACATTCAGGATTGTATAGTATCTCGCCCGTTTTTGCATCGCGCATCCGCGAATGCGTGTAGTCGATTATGCTAACTCGGAGGCCCGACAAGCCTAAGACCTTGGACGGATTCTTTCTCATGTCCTGGACGAAGCCTGTGCTGACATCAACAGTGCCTTCGTTGCCTGGGCGGAAGCAGATGTTCGACATGTGTAAGTCTCTGTGCTCGAATTCGATCTCCTTCTCGGCCTTGGCCAGCAGGATAGCGACCATCCAAAATACGTCGAATGCTTGGAAAGCAGAAGGCTTCTCGAGGAGGTCTAGGTCAGTCCCAGCGTACGCCATCTCAATGACTCCGTAGATCTGATCTTCGGGATATCTTGATCCGGGATCTATGGTTTTGTCAACGTCCTCCTGTGTGGTTTCCAGCCAGTCTCTAGCTGCCTGAATCATTTGGTCATGCATTCTTCCGCGAACGATCCGACTCCTGAAGATCTGTGCAAAACCGTGGAAGTCTTCCAGCGCAGCCAGGAGCTTCACTTCTCGCAAGAAATCATATGCCCGGCTCGCTGCTCCAGAGGACGCTCTGCCATTGCACTCAAGCGGAATGATCTTCAGGACAGCGGTTTCAACGTCTTCGTTTGGTTTTCGGACAACGAAGCAGTCGCTGTAGGAGCCTTCGTTGAGCTTTCGGACGTCGAACTCCTTGGTGAGTTGGCTTCCAAAAGCAGAGAAGTCGCGCGCGAATGAGGCGACACGATGAAAAGCCATCACAGGCTTCAGTACCGCGCGTTCTTCTTTGGATAATGCTACTTTCCGCTCAACGACGGGCTTCGAGACGGTTACGACGTCCTCATCTGGCGCAAATGAGACATCTTGAGGAGGCTCATCGTGCTCCTGCTTGTCACAGCGTCCAGGTAGTCGCTCCTCTTGATATTGATTGTCATTTAAGGCTGCAGCACTTCGTTGAGTTTGTATTGAATCGTGAGCTTCTTTGATTGACAGCTTTGCTACAGCCTTTTCCAGTGAGAGTGAAGGGTCATTGCCGGCGAATAGGCTTCGATTTGCATCGCTCGTGGCCAGCGGAACCAGTCGCTTCCGTCCATAGACCTTGTCGCGCTGCCGGGGACCAGTTGAAAGATTCATCAGGGCCATAGTCGATGTGACGATGCATCCTGGCTAGCCGCTCGCGTTGTTGTCCATCATAGTCGCGTCTCTATCAAACGTCGTGCCTTGTAAGTGAGTGGTCTATCGTAATGGGGATGAGGTCAATGTTGGGACTGGTCGCTGCAGCAACCGACAGGCTTGGCACAAGGCATCCAGGGTGACCCCCGTCACGCATCAGATGGAGATTGTTGTTCTCAGGATTGACGACCACCTGCGCAGAATAACCAACACCGAGAATCTGGACGAGAATACTAACCGTAGCAGCAACATCGCAATACTCGACCGGACACGCCTGTCAACGCCGACAAACTACTATCAACACATCCCCACTACAACAACCACCTCGACAATCGCGACCAACAATCTTCCAGGCACCCATCATAACGGACTCATGGCGCATTCATATCCATAGCATACCGCACCTCGACACACATCGCGCAGCCGAACGGAAATATACGCGACAACACAAATATGCCCCTGGACGATGACCTCGTGTCCTCCTCCCCTGGACCAGGACATACCCTCGAGGAGAACTTGCGCTACTACAAAAAGCAGTACGAGACCCTCGAATCGGAGCTTGCGGACTTTCAAGCTTCCAGCAAGGAGCTTGAGGCCGAGCTCGAAAAGGATATCGAAGCCTCCGAAAAACGCGAACGCCAACTGAAAGACAAAGCTTCTAATTTGCAGTATGAGGTGGACGAATGGAAGGCGAAACACAAACAAGCTAAGAGCGAAGCCGCCTCGGCGCAAAGCACTCTCCAGAAGGAGATTACAGAGTTGCGCGACACCAACCGGACACTGCAACTGCGACTACGCGACACCGAAGTCGCCAACGACGACTATGAACGGCAGCAAAGAAACACCGAATCCTCGCTGGAAGACATGGAGTCGAAATACAACCAGACCCTCGAGCGCAGTGTCATGCTGGAGGAAGAGATGCGCGTTGGTGAGCAAGAGCGCGAGGCGCTCAGGATAGAAGCACAGCGGCTGAAAGATGAGCTCTCCGACATAAACATCGAGACTGAGATAGTGAAGGAGAAGCTCGCCAAAGCCGAGGCGGTAATCGCACGCCGACATCATCTAACGATCGATCCCGTGGCTTCGTCTGCATCGCCGCGGTCTGAGCTGTCTCCAACGACCACGGACACCTCATTTGACACGCCGCCTGCGAAGACGGCCTCTTCATCAGCAGTTTCAGAGGCACCAACACCGCCCTCTCCGCCAGTATCGGACAAGTCAGCTGCGCTCCCAAAACCGAAACCTCATGGGTTCGCGACGCCCTCAATACCGAGATCGCGACCTTCGCTGAATGGCAATTTGCCAACACCACGCCAGTCGGCCTTCTCTGCTGTCAAGCCGAATGCGTCCGGAGCCGCACATATACGAGGGTCTTCGGTCCAAGTTCCAGCTATACAGCGGACTGTACCCTCCTCGACACATGCGCGCCAGTCTCTGGGCCGGGCTGGAGGTATACCACAGCGATCTAGCCTTCCTCAATCCCAATCGATTCTGCACCTGCGCAATCTACGCAATAAGATGCAGAATCTCGAAGCGAGGGTGCACACAGCTCGATCCAAGTTGCCTGGCCCGGTCAACACACCGCCGAAAGCCTCGCCTCGCTCTGGTTCCGCAATGGGCAACCATGCCATCCCCTCATCCGTCACCGTCCGAAGCCGGAAACGAGCTGGCGGCTCGACAATCAGCGGCGTCACCTCACTTGCAGACAGCGACGACACGCCATCTGCTCCTCGTACCAAGCCCTCTCGGCAGTCTTTGACAAGTCAATATGCCCGCGACATGCCTCCGCCAACTCCAACGCATTCCACCTTCGGCCGATCTGCACTTAACGATATGCCAGCACCGACATCTCGACCGTCTTCACGTGGCGGTCCACAAACATCTTCCCAGCAACCTTCCCGTCCCGATTCACGAACCTCCACTCACAACCGCCACTCCTTCATCGCATCCCACTCCCGCCCCGGCTCAAGAGCATCCATCTCCAACCTTCGCGGCCTAGGCAACGGCGCCTCGTACGTCCCCAACGCAAGCACAGATCGAGTTCGACCAAAATCCGCGCTGTCCTCGCACGGGCCCGTGGGTTACGACGGCGCTTTCGATGCAGACTCCTCCTCAATGCACAACGGCGGCGACCCCGATGATTCCATAATGGAAGAAGCCGAGCCCGACGCAGACCCATTGACGACTCCGACGCCACGGCGGACGAGTTTTCTGATCAAGCCGTCAAGTCGCACTTCTGACATTGGACTGTCTGCGATCCCTAGCCCTGTCAAGGGGAGCAGGACTAGCATCGGCGGAGTTGGGGCAGGAGGTCGTGTTCCCTCCAACAGTATTTCTGGAAAGCGTAGTGAGAGTGCGCAGGGACAGTATGCTGCTGCCACGGCCGCGTCGGCGTCGAGGAGAAGTGTTGCTGGGAAGAGGTCGAGCCTGATTCGGCCGCCGAGCAGAGCTGCGGCTTCTGCTAGGAAGGAGAAGGAGACCGAAAAAGAGAATTCTGCCTACGATGTAAATGAGACATTCTGATGGTCTGCTACGACGCAGCACGACAGCATGAGCGTTCCTGGCAGGCGTTGCGAACTTGGCATGGGTTATGCTTTGGCATCAGCATCACAATTCTGTGGCTCAATGCTTTCGCACCAACACTAGCATGAAGTTGATGAGTTACGGCACAGTAATGAGTAGTGTTTATTGGTAGTACTTCGAACCTCAACCGCCTTTCTTCTTCGCCTCCTCCGCCTCCCTCTTCCGTGCCAAATATCTTTCTTTGGCACCCATCTTGGCCTCCTCTGTGATCTTGCTCTTGGCCTTCTCCTCGACAGCCGCCGCCGCCTTTGCTTCCTCTGCAGCAGCTGCTTCCGCTTGCGCCTCCATCTGTGCCGCGATTAGACGTGACTGGCGCTCGCGCTGGGAGAGGCGGGCATCGGCGCTGACTCTTGGTGGTTGATATGCTGGTGCCTTCTTGTCCTTCGTGGTCGAGGAGGTGGCGGATGTGCCGGGTTTCTTGGGCGCGACATTGAGGCCTGCGCTCAGAAGCTGGCGCTTGTCGATGACTTCGCCTTCTTCGTTGAGGATGGCGCCGCGCTTCTGGGCCTCTTTGTTCTGTGCGTCGTCTTCGTCTTGCTGCGCAGGTATGGGCCCATCATCTGCAACCTCGACACCCTGACTACCACCACCGTACCCATTGCCATTGACGCTCGCCTTCCGCCGCGCCTCCTCCGCCTCCTCAATGGCTCTTCTCCTCTCCTCTTCCCGTTCCAGCATCATCTTGTTGAAACCCACCATCCCACCCATCCCCTTCCGCTTCCGCTCCTCCTCTTCCTCCACCTTTCTCGCCTCCTCTGCCTCCGCAAGCCGATTCTCCTCCTGCTGTTGCTTGTACGCCGACGTAACAAACGCTTCCTTTCCTGCGAATTCGTCACCCTCCTGTTCGCGTTCACGCTGCAGCGCTTTCTCGCGGGCGCGCTCGTGGTCCCGTTTCCGTTGCGTGGTGGAGGCGAGGAGGGAGGTCATGTATTTTGGTTGCGTTGGTTCTGTGTTTGTGCTTGAGGAGGTAGGCTTGCTGGGCTTGAATGTATCATAGACGGCGTCGTAGTCGTAGGCGGTGGAGTCGAGTTTGGAGGCTTCGGTTGCGTGTAGATTAGCTGTGCGGAGGGCGGAGAGGTTGGTGTAGTCTTTGTCCGTGGTCGGAATAGCAGTCGTGTTGGAGGTGGGCTTCTTTTGTAGACCGTACGAGGGCGCTGGCGGTTGGGTGAGTTTGGGTGATTTGCGAGGACGTGAGGAGGTTCCATTGTTGTTCGAGTTGTCCTCGGAATCAGAGGTGTCGTCCTTGAGAGGCTGTATGGGCTTGAGTGGTCTTGAGGGTCTCCCAGGACCAGACTGCGGAGGTGGGCTTGAGGCGGGTTCGTCTTCATCGTCGTTGTCAAACATCGCTTTCCGCTTGGCTCCAGGTGTAATCTTGGGCGCACTGCCCGGTCCGGGCTTGGCCTTCAGACCGAACGTGAGCGCCGGCATGACTAGAGTCCAACCTGAATGGGATGGATTTGAGCAGGACTGCAACGTCGATGGCTCTCTAGATCAATGTATCGGATCACGTGACTATCAAAACTCAGGCAGCGAATGGTGACTTCGTGGCAGTGAATGCACGATAATGGGTGGGAGCCAGACGACGAGTCTGTTCCTCATTCACCCATCCAATTTTGCAGGGCAGAGTAGCAGATCTCATGTTGACCCGGGTATGCCGAGGACTCTAAGATGTCATGGACACGAGATCGAAGTTCGAAATGGGCATGTTGATGAGTAGTAACAACTATATTCGCCGATTACACGCTCTCAGCAAAGCGCATTGGTCGAGCTGCGCTCAGTGAACAGCATCTACATGAGCTGGCGTTGCCTTCTTCTCGTTGTCAGAAGAGCTGTCTCCGGCGCCACCATATGCCAAGTCGGTGCTATGACCAGCGAATTGATCAACTCTGGTCTTCCTGAACTTGCGCGCTGAGACTTTGTTTTCGAAGAGCACGTCCATCTCGCCATAGGTGCGACCCTTTGGCTCTGGCAGTCGGAAGTAGTGGTAAGTCCAGAGGAGAAGGCAGACACCGGCCCAGAAGAAGCCTGCCATCCGTTAGTATACGTCCGTGGTCTGTTGATGACGAGACGACTTACCAGACTTGGCACCCCAGTTCCACTCAGTGGGCAACAGCATGCGAGGCATGATGACGTTGTTGATGATGCCACCGACGTTGTAGAGATTGCGAGCTAGGACGACTGTCTTGATCTTGAGGCGTGTCGATGGAATGTCGGCAACCAAGGCGTAGCAGACCGGTCCAACAGTGAAGTCGTAGATAAAGGTGTAGAGGAGCAGCAGTGTACCGGCTGTCAACGACGGGCCTCTCGCAGTTCCAAGCACTCCCATTCCGCCAACGACCATGAGGAGAGCAAAGAGAACAGCCAGGCCGTACAGGTACAGTGCTCGACGACCCAGGTGCGGCATGAGGAACCATGACAGGACCGTTCCGACTGCGCCCATAGCATATTGACCAAGATTGAAATTGAAGGCATTCTCAGACGACAGGCCAGCGTACTCGTAGAACTGAACGCTCTGGCCCATGAGCGAAGAACCGCAGAAGGCCTGGGTGACCCACACCATGCAGGTGATTTCGGTACGTCGGAGATCAATGCCCTTGAAGCAATCCCAGTAGTTGGTGCCCTCCGACATTGCCATCTCGAGGTCGTTCGTGGCTTTGATCATGGCAATTTGCTTGTCGACGTCGAATGGGACTCCAGAGTCAACCTTTGTCAGCTTGAGGAGCGACTTCCTGGCCTCGTCCATCTTGCCGTGTCGGACGAGCCACCACGGAGACTCAGGAGCCAGAATGCAGCCAATGAAGATAAGAGGTGGCCAAATCCATTGGAGTGCGAAGGGGATCCTGGTGTAATCGTTAGGTAAGACGTGTATCGGAGAGAAGCAGAACATTGAGAGTATTGTCTCGCTTGATTACTGTTCTTGGAGGTACGTACCTGTAAGCCCATTGGTCTGTGCGGGTGAGCATGCCACGTAGGACACCAGCAGCAATGAATTGGCCAATGACCCAGCACAAGTTGACATAAGAGGTCAGGTATGGACGTAGCACCACAGGTGTCACGTCTGATGCGTACGTGACAGTGATCGTCTGGAAGACACCCCACGGAAACCTAGCAACATGAGCAGCTTGCCCTATAAACGACACGGGTTTTACTTACCCGCAGAGCACAGCACCCGCAAGGATGGTCTCGATGTTCTGCGCGAATACTGGCAAGAAAATGAATCCGATCATGAGAACAAGTGATCCCAGCATAGTCTTCCTGTAGCCGAACTTCTCCGAGATGATACCATTCGCCCACAGGCCGATAATGGAGCCGACCTACAATCTATTAGACTGATGAACCAGATCCCGTTTGACCGTTTCGTACCTGGACACCGTTCTGAATACCAGACTGCCACGGAGCACTGATCAGACGACCATCGCCGTCGGGATCGTCTTGCGTGCCGTAGCGGTTGCGGAAGGGTGGGAAACCGAAGAAGGAACCCATTAAGCTGAGATCGTAACCTATCAGAATTGTAAGTATGCATACCGAACGTGGCCGGTATATCACGTACCTTCCATAACGACCGCTGTTGAGAAAATGATTGAGAAGATAATAGCCTTGGGATACAGTCGGATGGCATCTCGAATGGTGAGCTCGTGTTCTCCAGCAGCGGCAGCCTTTGCTTCCTCGAATTCGTGGACTACGCCAGGGTTGATCGAGGACAGCCTGCGCATGGCAGAGTCCTGAATGCGAGCAACACCATCTTGTTCGCGATCGACTTGTACAATGCTGGACCTTCGTCTCTCGGTCATGGTGAATAGTATTGAAGGACTGGAGCTATAGACAAAGGACTCGAAATCACGGTAGACGAGCTGCCATCTGAACCAGGGAAAGTAGATCGAACTTATATGCTTCGGGACACATGATTAGAAAGGATCTCGCACTTACGTAGGTGGAAGCCGAAGCCACGAGACGTCTGCCGAGCGACTTCGCATTGGCCAGATTGGATAGCGGGATGCCCGCCAAGGACCCCCGGCTTCTGCTCTTCCCCAGACGTAGCACCTGTGATCAACACAGCCGAAGCGTTATGACTGGTCGACTACGAGTCCAGTACGGCGGAAATTGCGCTGGTATCTAGCTTGGACAAGTACAGCCGACGGCGCAGAGCAATCACGGCCATATTGTGGATAGTACTGGACGTGAAGGGCCATAGAGAAATGCGTGCCCAGCACTAAACAAGAAAAATGGACGAGAGAGGCAGTGGATAGTCAAAGGAGGGGGACACAGCATGTGGCAATCAACCTGGAGATGGGGCAAAAGATGGGCCAGCTGAGGGGAGGACCACGCAAAGATCCGCTTATTAGCTCGACATCAATCGACAGAATCCCTGCAAACCAGAGTCGTCGACGATTGAGTGCGCAGTGCCATGGCGCCGTAGAACTCTCCCCTCACTTCCTCTCCTCTCCGCCCAGCACTTGGCAGAGGCTGTGAGCATCGACCTTAACTCCTTGACGTTCTCGCTCTCGCTCGTGATGAGGTTTCTGAAGTCATGTCAAGCCGCATCGCATAAACTCGGAATACCGACGGGAACGTCATATGATATTCGCTGATAAATAAGCGAACCTGAAGGAACGAGCGAATCAGCGATAATGGAGCCCCTAGAGTGATTGGCCCTGCGACGGTGTGTCTTGGAACGCGACTGCTCGATGCGCCCGCTGATCTTGGCCGAGGTTCGTGAGCTAGCTATATCGGGCCTAGTACATGATCAGAAACCTTGCCTGCCAGTCCTCACTACCTTGATTCACCTTGTTTTGTGCTTGAAAGTCTTCGATCCAACCAAGACAGAGTAATGAAAGGCCCGAGTTCGCTACACTGCAAATACTAAGGGTTTTCTCAAGCAAGTAAACCACATGGCCATCGAACGCTCGCCTTGAAGCGGAAAGCTCTTCCCGCTGGGCACGCTGCCTCAACCACCGAATTGCATGTACGAGTCGTGAAGCCTCGTCAAAGTTGTAACACTATACGGCTTTGCTGCGACTCCACTAGTCACATCGGGAAAGATGTCCTACTACTTCGCCATCATTTCGCCGACTGATACACCGTTGTTCGAGCTGACCTTTGGCACGTCCAAGGCTGGCGGTGATGGAGTCGCTCGCTTTCGTAATGGCGAGACGTCGAGATACATGAATCAGTTCATAGTGCATGCTGCGCTCGATGTGGTCGAGGAGGTGCAATGGCTGACGCCGAATATGTGGCTGAAGGTCATCGATAGCTACGCGCCTACGAACTCTCATGTGTCCTGTATGGTGACAGGCTCGAATCATCGATTTATGCTTCTGCATCAGCCGACACCTACGCCAACGTCTTCGGCTGGAAGTAGAGCTTCCACCATATCGTCAAACTCGATTCCTCACAACCCCACCGCACCCCAGACAGAAGATGCTATCAGACAGTTCATGAGTGAGATTTATGAACTTTGGATCAAGGCAACCATGAATCCATTCTATCGACTCAACAGCCAAGTTGTAAGTCCTGTCTTTCGCCAGCGCGCCACTGCCGCAGGGCGAAAGTGGTTGTGATGGGCCATATCTGGCCTCGTGTGCGGCATGCCAAACGCAAGCAGTCAAACATGGTCATAGCGCCAACTGGTCTCGGCGACAGGACAAAGGACCCCAGACAGCATCCTGAGTTAAGGAACTTGCTATCGAAGCTCGATATAACTACGATTATGGCCGCTGAGCTGCTGTGTCGTTATGCTAACGTTGAGAATCGTCACTCCTTCAACCTAGAATAGTCATCTGTATACAACCGAGCACTACGGACAGCTTCACTCTCGAAAAACGCACAGACGACGCCAATTTCGTCAATTGGCCGCTATGGGCACAGATCCTGCTACCGCTTGGGCTTCTGACCATCTGGATTCCCGTCTGGTTCTTCGTCACCTTGATCCGCGAATTCTCATGCTGGCAGAAACGGCATCGAGACTATCCCGACGTTGAGAAGCAACAATCTCAGAAAGCTCAATCAAATCAACCACAAATAAGGGGTTATCAGCCGCCCTTAGAGAGGCCAAATCCTGCCGCGTGGCCGCTTCCACAGTAAAGCCGAATTATCGACCGCAGGATCAGGTCTCAAGCGTGACGCAGATATTCAGGGCATCGTCTGCTTCCCTTTTGGTGGACTGGCGCTTCGATGTCGCGTAATGAAGGTACGACTCGATTCAGGTTCGACGCGATGGCGCCTTCAATTGGATGAACGACCTTGCTCTGCGCGAGTAGACCAGGAGGTCGTCAAGTGCTGGGGCGATGATTGCCTTACATTGCGTCTCGATCACCATCGGCAGCATGATAGCAGCTCGTGAATGGGTATGCTCATACATATGAGCCGCTGTAGTGACGGATCGGCGCTTTTGTCAGATGCCATCAGATCTTCTCGGATTAAGCGAACTATTCGAGTGGAAGCTCTCCATATTGTCAATTATGCGTTCCAACCGACTCTCAGTCATCTAGTGCAACATCTACTATGGCATCGCCTTGTAGAATGGTCAGTCACCCATCGTGGGATGCTGCTTACCCACCAAGCGCTAACTCCAGGCTTGATATGCCGTTGTTCGGCAGACTATACAGACTCTTAATCTACAGAGCACGAAGGTCTCGCAGTGTTCAGCGTTCCTAAGGTGGGATACAGCAATTCTCTCATTCACGTCAACCTTCAATCATGGAATACGCGACTCCCATGACTCCCGCTGAACGGTTCGTTGAGCCGCAAGTACACGGCTCGGTGCGTTCGCTCATGACTCTGTGGCCGCGACAAACGAGCATAGACCTGCTATATCAGCGCCATGAAAATATCGCTGCCTCTTCCAGATGCCTTAACTACGTGCACTGACAACATGCCCTCTCCATATACTGAAGACTGTCTCGACTCCAAGTCCGAGGCAACTTGCGTGAACAGTCCGCGCCCAGCCATGACTACTCCTTACCAGCACGAGCTCGACGATCTAGGTCACCGAGTCCGTAGCCCTGGCGTGACAAGGCCTCATGGTGTGGATGACGACTACCTGACATGGCGGTATGCTACGCAGAACCAAGTGATGCCTGGTGAGGCACGGAACTCGAGGAAGAATCGACTTTACGGGACGTTGTGTTGTGGTTCGGCATGGGGCATCGTCACATGGCTGGTGCTGGGTGCTGGCGTGATCGCTGCAATCGCGATCCTGCTCGTCAAAGCATTCAGTCCTGCCGCTTTCGGCGGGCATGCTGATGCCGCAAGCACGACCAGCTCCAGCATTATCGAACCATCGACGACTACCATCACTTTGTCGCCATCCTCTCCCTCTATCAGTACGACGGTACTTTCAACAGTCGCCACCGAGACGGAGACCGAATTTAGCACTACTACGCAGACACAGACGACTGAGGAGAAGCAGACTACGACTATTACATACACTCCTCCTACCACAGCCACTGCGACCGAGACATCTGTTGCAACATCTGTACTCACGTCGGTCTTCACCACCGAAGTCTCCGAGTCCTTCCGCACGAGCATCGTCCCAACGACCGAGACTGAGACCAGCTCGATCACGGCAACGGCCTCAGAGACAACAACAGCCACTACGACTGCTGTCACAACGTCAGTGACCACAGCCGCTCCAAAGGACGATGACAAGGACGATGACGATGAGGGAAACGATGACCGTGATCGACGCGCCTTTCCCGTCGAGAATGCAGTGTCCGATCTCACCTCCCGCTTCGCGTCCGTGGAGTCTAAATTGCAGACTGGCCCGACTGTGACGGACGCCCCTATGTTGTCTAGAGATCGTGAGCGATACCGATCCGAAACAGAGGCACCGATCCTTTCCGAACTGAACAAGGCAATCTCATGGTGTTCGGACGTTATGGCGGAGGCGGATGGCGACGACGTTGGCAAGGGTGTCAGCAAGTCCTGCGAGGGATATGATAGCAAGTCGGTCGACGGCTTTCCGTACCCAGGCGTCACTCTTCATGCCACGGACCCAGTCGATGGGGGCGCAGTGACCGGCATGACCCACAGAGCTTTGCCGAGCAGTAGTGCAAGTCCAGTCGTCAGTATCCGCACGATCATGGTCCGAATTCCGGTGGAGGTGTCAGCAACGCCTTGCCCGAACACCTTCAGAACCATTGTTTCGCCTGCCATCGCTATCCGAGACCCGGACCCAACCCAACGAGACACCACATCCACTGCAGTCCCCGGCGCCACTCCCGAATCCGCCTTCGACACAGAACGCCTCCTCGACATCGGCACCAACAACGGACAGCCCATAACGGTCGACAAACAGCCCATGGTCGGCACCTGCCTCTTCTTCGCCGGCCACCTCGACTGCGTCAAGCACCATAACCGGTGTTGGGGCGCGCTCGTTGGTGTCGTAAGTCCTCCTACTGGGTTTTCAGCTTTCTCTCGTTGCCGTTTCCCATTCCTCCCGTTCTTGCTTCAAGCTTGATTTGCGTGCTAATATATACGATAGGGTGCCGGCGCAGCCATCACCACCTTCGTCCTCGCGGTATGGGTGGTCTGGCCGCTGACACGGCATTTCTGGAAGGCGTGGAGGGACAAGAAGAACAGTCCGCCGGCTCCACAGATTACTTATGCGCTGCCGCCGACGACGGTGGCTGCGTGAGAATAGGGCCAGGCTGTGTTGGTCAAGCCGATGAAGGGAGTGCGGTCGGACAGAGTCATATATCCATTAAGAATCGCTACGCTGTGTGTATTATATACCAGTCATTATCATATTCTTGAGAGTCCTTCAATCATTCTCATTAGCATGTTCGTCCTTCACTGATTCTTGTTGCAAATTACGCGGAGATCATTTGCTATCACCAACTGACCGAGTTTCGTTCGAGTCGTAGCAATCAAAGCTCCCGTACTCTGACCATTGGGACTAGTCCCCGCTCACCCATATACACTCCCTCCGCCCAATCCTCATTGATCTCCTCCACTTCCCCCACCATAGCTCCCTTGGGAAACATCAGCTCGCCTGCACCTGCATCGCCTTCTTCAGGATAGTAGCTCCAGAGCGCAATGCACTTCTTGCCAAAGCCGCCATTAGGCGGAAAGCGGTTGCCTTTTTTGCTGCTCTCCGCAGAGACGTTTCCGAGTAAATTTGCTTTTTTAGAACGTGTACGTCTAGCACCACTGCCATACTGCTGTAACGAGTCTGTGGACTCGGCAGGGTCAGGAGTGCCATCCTGCCACGTCCACTGACCTTTCGTGGTGAAAGCCGATGGCGGCGCAGAAGCAGGCGACGAGTCCAGGTTTTGTTGCCAGAGCGCAATGTCTTGGTCGGACATTTTCACACCTCCAACCAAGTCGTTCAGTACGACCCGACGTTGTCCTGCATCTGCGCCATCAGCTTTGAAGACTGTGACGATCATGCGATGCCCTTCAGGACACTTGCGCCACCCTGCAGGACCGGCGTCGCGAGTGATTCGCCCGATCTTGATCAGGTTGTGATAGCAGCCTGTGCAAATGTCGTAGTCACCTGTGCGCGTTGGGGCCGCTTTTGTGGGTGAGGGGTGGGACGGACAGTGGTAGCGCGAGTCTGAAGGTGGGATAGGCACGGCGCAAATGTCGCAGTTGGTCGTGATCGACAAATTGACGAAGTCTGGGAAGGGGCCGGCAGAGGCAACGTCAGTGGCAGATGTTGCAGAAGACGGAGCACTGTGAGCTGGTGAGAATGAGCGCGGGTTGACTGCGGATCGCTGAGCTGAGGTCGCATGTAATTCGGACAGGTTGGAGTTAAGTGCGCCTACATGTGGATCGTAGGATCGAGGTAGAACGCAACCAGGCGTGAAGAGCTTGTGGGCGATTGGCAGGAGAGGATGGCTGCAGCAATGATGTGTGTTCACGCAGTCGTTGCAGAAGCCCCACTCGCCGTCGTTGCAGTAGTCGCAGCTCCAATAACAGGCGTTGGCAAACGCGCCGCAGTGATCACAGAATTGGCCTTCCTGCAGGCGTGATGTAGGGTCGCTATCTGTCGTAAGGTGCCCCTGTGATGTAGTTTGGACCGCTTTCTGTGGAGGCTTCCGATACTGTCTGCCAACAAGAAGATGCGGCAGCTCCATACTGCGACTCACTCGCCGAGGATGCGATGCATCAAATTTGGCCTGGGCAGCAAATCCGAAACCGAACCAGTGATTACATCCACGGCCGATTCGATAACATCGCATGCACAAATCCACCGCACAGGGGTCGCAGTGCTTATAGACTTCATACTGTATGCCGTTTCGCCCACATCTGTAGCAATCGACTAAGGGCTCCTCGAATTGTGTTGTCACAGGTGCGGACTTGCCATCAATCTCCACAGGTCCGTCCTGCGGTATTGATCGAGGCATGACGGGTGCGACAGCACTGTCTATGGCAAGGACAGCACACGTTGTACTAGGTGATAGATGTCTTGGCGAGTCAACTTCGGGCGGACTTACTGCTTGCGTAGCTGTAAACGATCGCGGTGCACGCCGCGGGGAGTGCCTAGGATCAGTCGATGCTCTCTGGTCACTGGACAACCGTCGAGGCTGATCAGCTGCGGATGAGGTTGACAAATCTGTTGCTGATCTTGCTGCCTGCGGAGGCATCACACCAGGATGAGTGGATCTATGTCCACGGACATGTGGTCGAGTCCCGTTATCCGATGATCTGCGTTGATGGGCTCTTTCCGACTGCGATGCAGAGGTCGGTCGGCCAACCTCGGACGTAGAGGTATATGACGGAGGTGGACGAGCTTCTCGGGAAGCGCTTGAGCCGCGAGTGGATGGCCTTGGGCTGCCATCTTGACCTCGCGAATTTGAAGCAGTCGAGCGTCTGCGATCTCTGGCATGATCTACGCGTAGGTTCTGCATGGCTGTAGCAATGTCTGTGGTAGGCTCTGGCGAGGTCGGTGCCGAAGTCTGAGCTGAGCGCTGAGATGGTCTCGGATGCAGTTCTCTGTAGCGTTGGGCGATGACTTCACTCAGCTCATCCTGCTGCTCTTCTGTCAGGGTATCAATGTCGATACCGTCAAGAAGACCCTCGGCGAGAATTTCTTGCATGAGACGAGCTTCATCAAGACTATCGCCAGTCCCAGTCCCACTATCGGAGGCACTGACCATCGATCGGAGACTGGCTTGGTGTGCAACGGTCCGTGCCCCACGCTGACGAGCTTCCACTGCATCTGGATGCCGCGGTGAAGATATGGGTGGTGATTGTGGAGGCGAAGCCAAAGCAGGCGCATCTTCTCGGGATTGATCCAACACATCTTCTTCTGCTGGCGTGTGTCTCCTCTCGCGGCGTTCGGTACGCTCTTGGATACGGCGCTCACGCGCACGGTCGTGTTCGCGACTCCTGCTCCGACTTGTGGTGTGAGCGTGGTCTGGGGTCAGCAGATTGTCTCTGCGAGGCTGGTAGGGCGAGGCAGTGGTGTCCCGAGTGCTGCTGCGCTGGCGCGGGATATCAGTCGAATGCCGCTCTCTGCGGCTCGGATCCTCCTGCTCACGTCGCCTTCGGTCACTTCTCCTGCCATCGACCCGTGGAAGTATGTTCTCAGGCGGCTTGTAGATTTTTGCCATCTCAGCTTTCTCTTCTTCGGATCGAGCGCGATCTGGATTCGCTGTCAAGAACATATCCAGCAGGGTCGTAATCATAGCATTGTGCTGAGCGTCCTTGACGTCTGCACGACATGTTGGACATGTATACGGCAGAGGATTCCGGACGGGAGAGTGCGAGTGGGTGGCTTTGCGGTGCTGGTGAGAAAACCATTCTTTCAAGCACGATCCGCAGAACGTGTGTAGACAGTCTAGCAAGGTGAGGGGCTGATAAAGAACTTCGGTGCAGATGAAGCAGATTAGCTCCTTCTCGAGGTTCAATAGGCCAGTTGTCTTTGCTGCAGCTGCTGGAGTTGCTGCCATGGCCTTGTCGGGCGGGAGCTGGTCATCATCAACGTATGAGGGAGGCGGGGTCCGTGCTTGCTGAAGGTCGGTTTGTCATAGCTATGCCCGGTGGCGCGTTCGTGGACTCATTTATCGCCTCTCGGGCGGGGAGATGAACTGGCTGAGAGGTACAGCATGATCGAAATAGCAGTTGGCCACGACAAGCGACTCAACTCGTTATGACTGGTCGGCTGCCCAACTCGTGAAGTGCGACTAGACCACTCGGTAGCTGCACAGAGATCAGCTCAGCCAAGCACAGAAATGCCAAAGAATCCAAAACCTTCCATCAACCTTGATGCACTTTCATCATCAGCAACGACTGGCACATCGCCATCATGATATCATTCTGCATCCGCTAGCAGAATTGGCGAGTCGACTTTAGGTCACGCATACAAGCAATGGTATCAAGGATGCACACGTAGACAGTCGCCGCTGGCGACTTGCACCAGCGAATCTGATATCCTGGAAATGAGGAGCTCGTCGGCGCATGCCGACCATTACAGGAAGCATGCCTTCCACACCGCAACGGAAGGCACAACGTGTGCATTCGAACCTCGGCGACTTACGCAGGGATGTCCGTCGACAGGAAGCTGCAGATAGGAAGGGGCAGCTGTTCACTATAGATCAATTGCAATCCCAGTCAAGCGAGTCGAGCCACGATCGAAGGAATCGCGACACAGGCTGATGGACCTCCAAGCGACGCATTTCCTTACGGCAAGTCGGTAAGCGATGAAAGCGCATCTGCCCGATATACATGCTGTCGACGCGACCACCACGATGAACAGCTGGAATCGAGCGTCTGGCACGCTGCCAGAGACTAGGGACGAAAGATCTGCCCGAGCGATGCCCCTTTCCATACCTCGTGCTTACCAACTGCTTCGTGCGAGTGACTTGCAATGGTCGTTGACCCGGCCCCTACCACGTCCAGCTCATTCACTGTCGTTGTGGACCGGCATATTCACTGTGGCAGTCACTTCAAAAGGTTCTTCTCAACTATTTCAATCTTTCGAAACCTCTTCCGTCCTCTCGCTCTCTCTTACACTCACACAGTACACCTGATCTTGCAGTATCGACCGAACAAGTCCCTCCGATGGCTGTTTAGACGATCCAGCCGGTTGTCCTTGCCTTCGCGCAAGGCCAGGTAAGAAGTTCTAGCGCTGCGGATATCCTTGCCATCCTTTTACTTCAGTTACAGCAACCGAGAGTCTGTCAGGGTCTCCTCATCTGATCGATGCGCCGTACCGATTCAGAAGCATCCAAAAGTCGTCTCCTGGTGTCAAGTCTTTAGCATGGGCGCAAATCAGAGCAAGGAGCAACCAAGCACCATGCTTCCGCGCGCACGCCTGCGACATTGGCAATTCCGAATGAGATGCTTGCACACGATGATGAGGTACTTAAGCGACCAATCCCTCCTCCATTCTCACGCGAGGGCGTACTTCGACAATTTCGCGATTTTAACCCCACCACCATCGACAATGCCGACTATGGCGAAGTCATCCTCGTTGCTTCCTGCAAGCGACCCCTGGACGGAGTCATAGTCGAAGATGCTGCCAGGGAGGCCTCTGTTGGCGCATCTGCTATGAAGAAACGGCGCCTAGTACTGTCCCTTCATGCTCACAGGACGGCCAATGATACAGCACATCGGGCCACCAGGGCGGGCTCTGCGCAAAATTACGTCAAGCACACTGTCACCTCGACCGCGTTCGAATGCACGACTCTGGACGAGGAAGAATGTACCGCATCGACCAGGGATCCCGATTCGCCTGAGCAGCTGGAAGGTGACCTCGATGACGACGTTGCTGCGCAGGAGCTAGCTCGAATTCACAGTCTTGTTACCAAAGAGCTGAGTGGTTCACCTGAAATGGAGGCAGAGAACGAATGGATCTCGATGTCTGGCCGCAGGGTCGTGGACAGATCTGCAGCCGACGAACGTTACCAGACTGAAAAGGAGAATCAGTACGCTCTTCGAAGTAGGCAACTACGAGAAGAACGTCTGAGACAATCTTGTGAGGTTGAGGATCCCATTGTGGGCGAAACAGTTGCTAATGATGCTTCAGAGAGCATCGAAGCACCTGCACAGTCATTTTCTGAAGCCATTCTATCCTCGATCAGTGAGCCACAGACCGACTCTGTGCCCAATGACTGGTGTGCCGACCCAGAGTCCTCCGGAGAGCAAACGGATTCGGAAACCCCTGGAGACGAGAATTTTGACTGGTATGAGTGTCCTCCTAAAGCCGGCACTGCGCGCAATCGACCTAGAGCACTCCCCAACCCTGCTTCACGGCAAGCTGCCGAACGTTATCGGACACAAGGCCGACACCTTGAGACCGGTGCATTCGATCACGGACTTCAGAGACGCCAAGCGGTCAACGAAGATTCCCTCCTCGCAGCAAAGTCAGGACGCACCATGCCGGTCAGTCAGGGCGGACCCCAGTCGGTTCTTGGACACGTGCCTGTGCAATTCTCCAGACCTAGCGATTCGAGGCTCGAGAACGACTCGGGACAGACACTTAGTCCTGCGGCTCAAGCATTAGCTGCTAAATGGAGGAAGCAGACCGCAGAGGCCTCCCTGAGTGTTCCGGTGGGCGAAATAGCATCAGACGTCGATCGGTCTGATGACACGGCCATGAAAAACGAGCGGGCGCGCCTCAAGTCTCTTGGTACTGTTGTCAACAACCTGAACCTGGCCTATATCCATTTGAGTCTCATCCGGCTTTCGGGCAAACTTTTTGCCGAGCGCGAGCAGGAAATACATAGAAATCTGCTCAGGGAAGGCATCAAGTTGATGAAAATGGGCGTGCCGCATAATGTGGTTCATGGCGAGATAAGTCGCCTCAAAGATCAGTCCAGGCGGACTCTGCCGGGCGAAATGCTGACTTACAAAATGAGCACAATCGACAAGGTTTACGAAGATGTCAAAGCTCATTATCACGAGCTTTGTGGTGCTGAACATGCGGAAAAAATTCAGACAGCGCTCAGAAAGATTCCCGAGTCTATGGCTACGATTGACGAATGGCTTGAGGCTCTCTATAGGAGGGGCGTGGAAGAAAGGGCTCGAAATCGTGCCAGAAAACGCGTTGGTGGTGATCAGCCGCGTGTTCGCTTTGCTTCTGCCGATGAGGTATACAGGAGCGATGATATTGCACGCAATGTCAGGACCCAGCAGCCTAAAGCCAAGAAGCTCTCGAAAATTCAACGCATCCGAGGTCGGCTTGCATTGTTTGAGGAAGCAGAGAAGGAGCGCGAGGCGGAAAAGCAGTCGCGGGAGCAGAGGCCGCTTAGTTCAACAGTTCAAGATCAGGAATCTTCAGAAGAGAGCGAAGAGGATGCGGACGGCGAGGGCTACTATGGTGCAGCTCAGCGACCTTCTTCAGGTTTCGGCAGTCAATTGCCGCCAGCATTCGCTCAATCCGAGAGTTTGGAGATCGAACAAGAGCAAGAATCGCCAGAAGCGCCAGATCTTACAGAAGCTGAAGTCTCGGTAGGGCCCCAGCCAGCCAGTGTTCAAAGCTTCGACGAGCGCCTTGCATACCAAAACAAACTCAACGCACTCGACCACCAAAGCCGGGGTTGTCGGCTCCGAGAAGACCTGGACGACCTTGATTCTTCCGCCTCCGTAAGCGACGAGACAGAGTCATCCGACGAAGACGACCGTCAAGCATATAGGTATTCAGTCCGAGCCAACTTCCGGGGCATAGCCGGCTACGAGGATGACTGGGATTATTCGTTTGGATCTTTCTTCCAACGCAAGAAGGCAGAAGCGCGGATGTGGCACATAGTCACGGAGATCCGAAAGCAACAACACGAAGAGTACGGACACACCTGCGACATTGTCACCCAGATCCGCAACGATATGGTTGTCAGCATAGCCCTTGAGATGCCTGACGGGAACACAACCATAGTCCGCATGAGTCAGACAATTGTTGATCTCACCAAGCGTCAAGCAAAGCAGGCCCGCAACATGATCCCACAGCATGTCGGCCATCAGTGGATCGTTCATTGGCAGAAGGACATTATAACCACCACTACTACGACCGTCACGAGGCTCGCACAGCCATCATGCGATTTGACGAAAGACGTAGCCGACATGCGGGACAACGACAGCCTTTTCGGTGGGACACCTCCGCCACAAAGCGCCGGAACTTCTTTCAGCTCATCCGTCTCTACACAAGCGGCTACAGAGACCGTCATCGACATCAACACTGACGTCGAGCACAAGACATACTGCCCCAAACCGGAGGAACAAGACTTCTATACCAATTCGTACCACGCCAACGTGAGGGCGAAAGAGATCTACATTGACTGGTACGCCTCTTTCTGTCCCGAGCACGAGCGTCCTTCCGACAGATACCTAGAGTACAGCGGTATGCTAGGGCAGGAAGAGGCTGCTAGGCGGGCAGAACTGGAAGGCGTGGCCGATCTACCTGGTGCAGTCGTTGGTCCTTGGGAAGCGGAATTCGAGCGTCCCGAGGAGGAGACAGTTGAGGAAGGACAGGAAGTTGGGGTGGTCAAGATGGTGAAGAAGGTCAAGGTGAAGGAACACATGGTTGTGAGGGTGGTTCAAAACTCGGTCAAGGGACCGCGGAACTAGGTGGTCACGAAGGAACAGCATTCTGCTCGGGTGTCCAGCTACGACATCTGGCATAAAAGAGGTGGTCCATGTGCACGCAGGAAAGTGGATGTTGTGTCAGATCTTACCAGGAACTTTGACAGACATCATCGCCAGCGGCATCGACGCCGATCACACATACGCACCGACTTATCTGGGAAGCACAAGCATGGAAAGAAGAATCATTGGATATGGATAGAATGAGGGTGCTGTCGAGCTGTCATAGAGAGGTCCATTTTGGCAGACATCGATGCTTTTTCATAGGCTGACTGGCTATCTGGATCACTAAGAATGAACGTATCGATATCCCACGATGACACCAGGAGGTCGTCTGCATTACGTTTCTGCTCGACGGTGTGTATCTTGTATGCATGCTCTACGACCTACTGCCCTCGCACTTGGGCGATGTCTCTGTGGCGACGCGGTCTCTATGGGGGCACGGTTTCCGGTCCACCAGTGCTGAACCACACGCGCAGAGGCCCTATCCCAGCGACCGATCCGGGCGTGGCACGGGTGAAGAGGCTGGCAGAGTGGAAACGGAGGCCAAGGGAAATTCGATACGCGTGGATGAGACGAACGAGCAGGTAAATCTCTGCAGGCATGGAAATCGCAATGCCACAGTGATCCGTCGAGAGGAAGAACGGCGGCGGACATTCTGCTGGTGACTGCATCGAGGGATGCGAAGCATGGAGGTGCGAGTGATGGCCAAGTGACCTTCAGTGACGGACTTTACCGTCCTTCATCACCGCAGTTAGAGGGACGCGACCTACGTGAGCAAGTCGAGCAAGTACTGACTAGAGCAAGCGCAGCGGCTTTGCAAGTGCCTATCGCTGTTGCAGTGGCAGTTAAGAAGTCGAAGGCCACAGTGACCGTGGGCAACTCACACGTATCTTCCTAGTTTGATCCAGAGGTAGTCACCCTGATACCTTGTCACTTCCGGGATGAACAGCCTGGACCAGCTCAGCAACTTTTCCTTTCTGTCGCTGTCGAGTCATGCGTAACAGATAGATATCCCAACGTGGTAGGAGAACTTCCCTGTCCTCACCCACATAGACCACTTCGGACCTATCCTCAACAACAGCAATAGCAGAAAAAAGACTGTGCGTGACAGATAGAGGTCTCGAAAAGGCAAGAGAGCTGCCTCTCCCGTTCCACACAGACCGAATGAGATCAAATCAAAACAGCAGCAACAGGAATAAAAAGCCTGTGCTGGACAGATGAAAGTCCCAGAATGGCAGGCGGCCTTCATTTTCCTCTTTCATGTAGAAGAGGTCGAATGGGTCCACGAGAACAACAGCAATAACGACGGAAAAAGCCTGTGCTGAACAGATAGAAGTCCCAAAAAGGTAGACGACCTTCCATTCAAGGCACCTGGTAGGCATGTCATACTAACGATGAGACTCCGTTTTCCTGCTGGACAGAGTAATGCTGGGAGTCTTTCAAGACCGCAGTAGACCAGGTCGAATAGCACTTTTTTTTTTTGCTGTTATGGTGAACTTTGACAGATAGGAGTCCCAAGATGGCAGGAGACCTTCCCGTTGAGGAAGATCCTCCTGGCCGCTCACTCAACCAAAGCTAGCCTCGCTTCACTTACCTTCACCTCCACTCGTCCACCACAAAGGAAACACCCGACTTCTCATTTGCGTACTCCTACCTGTACAGCATTGAAGGCCGGGTAGGTGGGATATCCTGGATGTCATGGGCAGGCCGAACAGCAGTCTCCACACGTTTGGAATAATACTCAGAATGAGTATCTTCGGCCTGCAATGAAGTCGAAGCCTCCGTGGGTAGCGCACAAGGGCGGTTCTCGGCCCTCTTACATGCCGGACACTTACACGGACCGCGATCTCCTGGTCAAGCGGCTACTGTTCAATGAGAAGGCCTCCTACCTGCCTGGATTGATCTCACCGGCCGAAACGAGAAGGATTGTTCGTAGCTCATCAGGTTAACGAGATGGATGATCAATGGCGGTGTTCGCGGCGTCCTCGCGTTCGTGTCTTCAAGCCGTGGCCAGAAACGATGCTACGCTGCGGTTGCGCCAACAGCCAAGATAATGGAGAGCAACTCACATGCTCTTCACGAAAACTTCGTGCCAGCATCGGTCGTCTGCAGTCATGGCAATTGGGCACACGAGCATCGCACTGCCCGAGAAGAGCCAGATGCAGGGCGCTTCGCCCCCGTGGGGAAACCTTGCCATTGTGCTGGCACGGGTGGCAGCCACAATTTTTGTTGAGACACCTGCATGCAGACATGACTTACAGAAGGACTTGCTTGGTGATGCAAGCGACTGCTTGGGTGGAGAGACGGATTTGCTGATCACGTTTTAAAGTGTGTGATCAGTCGTCCAGATCGTGGGATATGATGTGGTGACCCGGAGCATGTGAAGATGGTGATCGAGTTGGGGTGGAGAATTGGGTTCGGATCGACTGCACATCATTCTCACCACCTAGGCTTCACTGACTGGGCAAGGCGCGTTTGTCGTCGAGATCAGTATAGTCCCTAACAACCTTCTTGTTAACATCGGACGCACTTGTGTCAGAGGAGATCCGCATTGAAGTCTGGCTAGATCCAAGTCGGGTTGGAATCCACATCGTATGTAGCGCGCCGGTGAAGGCAGGTCCCGCCCGTGCGGATACGTCGTAAGCATCCTGCCCAGGTTCAACTGAGCAGCAGCTGGCGTGACCAGGATCATAGAGGCTCAGGCTTGTCCAGATTTGAGGGGTCCCAAAAATGATCCAGAGCTTCCTGGGGCATCCGTAAGCTCTCAGAGTCGTTTGTCTGCAGAGGGCGTGGTCTGGGGGATGAGGGTGGAGTCAATACTATCGTCGCTCACAGATCGAGCTTCTCCACAGTCGCTTTGCATTGCTGTGCGACCACACCTGTACGGAGAGACAGCTGGCGGTCGCAAACCTGGAACACTCTTGCAGCGTGAGCAACAGCGTGGGGGGCACTCGAATACCTATTCGGATGAGTCCAACAGCGCATTGGGTGCTTTATCAATATTCGGAAACATGATGCGGCAGCCTGAGAGAATCTGATCAATCCTGGAGGACTGATATGGAGTGAAGCAGACCGTAGCCCATGGCGGCAGCAGGCATGTCTGCTGGTAGTGGCACCTAGCCAGTTCTCCGGGGTGCATGAAGCCAGGGCCAGTCAGACCCCGTTGGGCAGCAAGTGTGTAGCATCGCACGAACCCGTGGCATGTGAACCTGTGAAGGACAACCTACGTATGTGGCAGAACCTGAAATGATCGAGCAAGGTTTCGCTGACGTGCTTTTGCAGAAAGCATGCGTGCTCTCAAAAGGCTGAGGCGTACTATGATGTCGATAGTGATACAGTGTTTGCCTTGAAATTGAGATGCCGGGCAATGTTGAGACTGGTGTGTCATAGTTTTCCAGGCGTTGATCTGTTGTGTCTCGACACTATCACATGTCGAGACAGACCTGTACTGGATCCTGGTCGCTGTGTTGCAGTCATCTCCACGGACCCACGTAGCCCTGGAGGCTACAGAGAAAGGTCCCAGACTGCACCCCAAGGTGGAACAATCATGCAACTCGTATCTCTGGATGTGACCGCAGAAAACCGGGATATGAGGTAAGAGACAATCTTGAACTTCCCAACGGAATGGCCAGGGTGGGGAGGAACGCCTTGGGAGCCCTTACGGCGCGAAGCGCAGTGGAATACAAGCAGTGGCGATAAGGACACGAGAAGGCGAAAATGTTGTTAAGTCTGGAGAGACGCATGTGAAAAGATGTTGAATTAAACTTGGTGAGGATGGACGGAGAATTTGGCCCTGAGGGTCCTGAGCTAGTGAGTGCTAGTGTGAAGGCCACGGGCAAGGACTAACGAGTCAAAGGAGTGCTGTGGCCCTGATGGTAAGAGCGAATCCTTTCAATGCCGTGAAGGACGACGATCGATGCTACTGTAACTTGCGATGAGCTATTTCGTCGTGTATGGCAAGTTCGCGAGCAGCTGCTGAGCAAGGAGCGACTCACGGAGCGCACCGGAGGACACCGCTTAGGACATCCTGAGATGGCGCAAGCTGCATGGCTTGCATTAGTAAGACTAGCGGCCTCGTTATTTCGCCGTTAATGGTCGCTGTCGCTTCGATGGTGGGGTAAGGGCATCTTGCCCCTCTATCGCAGCCAGGTGAAAATTCTGATCCTGCAGATAACGCACTGTCTGGATTTTGCAACAGTCGTTGAAGCAAGCTCGAAGCGCCCGCGCTCCTGCTGGAGCTCGCAAATTGCAGTTGCCCCAGATGGAGTCAATGGCAGACAGGTTCCATATGATCTGATCTGTGGCGGAGCGCCTGGAGTGCAGGAACGTCCTCATTCCTGGACTCCCCGTGAGCGTACAGATACTCCTTACACGGTCGAGACATTGGTAGACGTTGAAAACAGCGGTCATTTACATTTCGTACATCGTAAGGCCAGTGTCGTTCCTGACTACCCCTTATCTCACGGTTAATCGCATGCGCTCAGACAGGTGAGTAAGTCGCCTCATTCGGACTGCTGCGCACACAAGCAGTCCCGATTGAGCCGATTTCCTGCCTATACAGACCATGTAATTGTGCACCGCCGTTGAAACTGGCAGCGTTAGTGGGTTCGCGGCAGATAGTAAGCTATGCGTCACTGTCTTGCTGATACGTACCGTGATGCTGTCGCAGCTCAGCGACGCTGATCAAGTGTAATACGGCATCGAGAGATAGCAACGTGACACCCGAGCAATGCTGAGGAGCTGGATTGGTTGAACTAGGGTTGCTGCACGCTTGGGACCGGAAGCCCTCGAACCTCGACTAAGCGCGACGATCAGATTCGGAAGCTGATGGCAGCTAGGCAGCCTGAGATCGTTTCCTGGACCCTGATTTCGTGCAATGCGAGACCCTGACTGAAGATCGGCAGCGCCAGCAAAAGTCTAGACGCACTGCCGATAAACAACGACCTCAGTGACAATTATTTGGCGGTGATACGTAGCACAAC